ACTCGGTCGCGTTCTCCCACGACTCGAAGACGCTCGCTTCAGCGTCGTACGATAGGACCGTCAAGCTCTGGGACGCGGCAACAGGCGCCTGCACGGCGACGCTTGAGATAGGCAGGGTTGTCACGCACCTCGTGTTTGACAAAACCGGTTCTTCTCTCCTTACAGACGTCGGCACTTTCACACTAAACCCGTCATTGTCGTCGACAGCTGTCACGGTTACTCCTGTGCTTGAAGCATCAAACTCAATGACCAGTCCCCTTTCGCAACAAGTCAGTCGTTCTGGCATTGGCCTGAGCGAGGACAATGCGTGGGTCACTTGGGGCTTGCACAAGGTACTATGGCTGCCGCCGACATACCGGCCAGGAAGGTCGGACACAAGAGCGTCCGCAATGGCTATTGCATGCCCTTCAGGACGAGTCTTGCTTTTAACATTTTCGTTCAGTCACGACCTTTTCATGTAGCTTGTCATTCATATCGGGGAACCGTCCAAGGCGGAGTTCATTGTACCTTTTTCTCACCCCCCTCTTTGCATTTTTGAGGGTCTAAGGGGTCAAGTTGAATCTATGGTGGCGACTTGGAATGTTACTTTTCACTGTAACGTTACCATAAATACGGCGTAAACTACTGACGTTGAAACCTAGAGTAAGGGCCTCTTGCATCCCACACGCAACTCAGCTAAAACAGACGAAAATGGTATCATTGGAAAGAGCTCGAAAAACTCTATCTAGTGATATCAGTTTTACCAGCGCGGTAGCCTGTGCGTGGCCGCGCAGGGTACCCAGAGAGGGCGCAAGCAGCGCCCTCAGCACTGAAAATTCCTCACACACACACGTGACCCGCACGGATCATACTCCAGCCTCGACCAGCTACCCTACCAGCCACAACGCCGAAAAGCCACTCCCATTCGACCGACCCAATACCCGGGCGGCTTGCCCTAACCCTAGGAAGCCTGTACGGCACGGGTGCCAGTTGTTACAGCTTCATAATGCAGCTAATAATTCAGTCTGTCGGATTGAATTATTTGTACCCTTTTCTAAGAATATGGCGCAACGCTATAGCTGCACGTTGTATGCTATTACAAAGCTTACTTTGTGTGACGGGCACCACCCAAAGTCTGGTCAGCTCGCACATACAAGATCGATATTGCTACAACGAGAGCAAGAGCTAGATGACAGGAATGGGCGTGCAACCAGACCTTAAGTACTGGAGCAGAGGCCTATGCGTAAGCATAACCAGAGACGTATGATCAGACCCCATGACGTATGCATAACCGCAAGCATATGACATAACTATGAGAACAGGAACGGTGAATCTTGTGACAGAGCTAGTGCTATCCTGGAAAGAAGCAGGAAGCTCTAGCTCTTATTAAAGAGCTATAATAAGCTGCAGCAGCTCTACAAAGTCCTTTGAAACTGGATATCATCCCTCTCATTAAAAAATGGCTATTATGACTTCTAAGACCGTAGAACTGAGAATATAAGCTATAGTAGCCTCCTAAGGCCTCTCATAGTCTCTTGCTACCTAACTGAAAAGAGATAGTGTGTTACAGCCCCCATTATGAGCTCTGTACTTCGGCAATTGGTGGGCGAGACACTGTGGATTTCATGGCGAAGCGACATGACTCGCAATAGAGGGAGGATATTTGGAGAGCGGGAGAGTGAGATTAGAACTTAGAACTTCCCTCTCTCAAGAATCAGTCAGTTGGTTAGTGGTGCACGCACAATACAGTCGTCTTGCCTGCTGCTCGTTGGGGATTCGGTGCATCTTCCTGGTGAGCCTGTGTGTGTTACCTTACAGGGAGCTACTGTCCTGATAGCTCTATAGAATCAGGAGGAGGCTAGAAAGGCCTGTGATAATACAGGGATTTAGGGGGCTTATATCTGGGACTGCAAACTATACTAGGCTGCATTAGACCTAACTTAATGCTTCAAGTGCTGGAAGTAGAGATATATCCAATAGTACTACCCTTGAAAGGAAGCTAGTGCGCTCTTGATCAGGCCAGGTCCGTAACGTAACATACCTGTCACGGGATTCCCCGTTCCTGTTTTCATGGTTATGTCATATGCTTGCGGTTATGCATACGTCATGGGGTCTGATCATACGTCTATGGTCATGCTTACGCATAGGCCTCTGCTCCAGTACTTAAAGGTCTGGTTGCACGCCCATTCCTGTCATCTAGCTCTTGCTCTCGTTGTAGCAATATCGATCTTGTATGTGCGAGCTGACCAGACCTTGGGTGGGGCCCGTCACAGTACCTCATCTGGTGCCAGCTAGCACAAGTGCTAAGGTTCGTGGCCTGCAAACAGCAGACGTAAACCTTCCCATAATCCGGTTTACTCGTTCATTGTGCAATCATTGCAGTTATTAAGCTCATCAACCCTAACCCTGACCCGGTAGTCCAAGTCTTGCTCGGATTGACCAATCAAGAGAGTTTTAGGAGCCAAAAAAATAACCTGTAGAAATATATGCTGCGGTGCACAAGTCTGACTATATCCGCCTGTTAGCTTCATGCTTGGGTACCTTACTTCAGTTCGGTCGTGAAAAGCAAAGGTCATGCTGGCTCTTTCTGTTCGCAGCTTGTTCACGCTCCCGATCGCGAGTGGAGCAGCTCGCCTGCTGCCAAGGCGCTTCCCCAGAAAAGACAAGCATTCGCCAAGACTTGATGCCAATTTCTGGGCCCTTGGCAGGTGCTTCTTGTTTTCAAAGAAGACCGCAAATGACAGAGATACATACACGAAATACGGTACTATCCAGCCCAGCTTTCTTCCGTTAGAGTGGCAGGCACATGGAATGCGGCTACGGTAGCAATGGAAAAATGGATTGTGTGACCCATTTGCCAACGGTGCACACTGAGACGGTCAACAATACACAACAACCGGCCTGGCTTTGCTTGGGAATGATACAATACGCTCCCCCGAGGGTGGGCTGTTGATGAGGGGGCGTGATAATGTCCACTGGAAAACATTGTGCAGGTACCAGTCTCTCTCGCTTCGTGATGAACTGTCCTCGGGTGCCACCAAATGTATCTCGTCAGCGGGGTAACGGCACAGGGACTGTTCAACCCGCAACAGGTTTCTGCAGATGAAGCCAGCTTTCACTGCATAAAATTCGCTCCGACGGTCTATCAATTCTCCTCTTTTCCCGTCCGATAGATGAGAACTGGTGGCTCAATTTAATGCTTGTCATCTTTGACTTGTAGGGTGGCCTGTCCCCGCGCTTGTGAGCGGCGGCACGCCATCGACCTTGAAATTCCGCACTGTGTGGTCTTCCGGAGGATTCGGTCCACCACCGAGCTCGACCTATCGCATCCTGTTTAGGAATGAGGCGCAGCTTTCCAGGCGATGTCCGTGGGAGCCAGACCAGCACCCAACTGACACATGTTCCTTACCTAGCAAGCCCTAGCTGTTATAAGGCGCATGTTGAGAGGGCATTTGATTTTGACTTTGATGTCAAATCTGATATAGTCGCCCTTCAGGTTGTCCATCAACCTTGACTGGACATGTCGCGGTACGAAATCGCAACCTATCAAGCTCATTCGAGACTGTGAGACTTAGAACACGTCTTGGAAGGAACCAACACCTCGAGAGATTTCCCCATCCCCCGTGTACGAAGTGTGCCTGCTGTTACAGTCTGTCCTCACATTGTGGTGTTCCATCCGGGTTGCTCTGGTGGATCACTCGGACAGTATCACGGTAAGTATGCACTGTGCTTGAGTTGGCCTCGCCTGTCCATCCCCCTGGAAATTTGCTGAAGATGCACCCTCCTGCTCTCCCGGCTCTTGAGTCAGGGTTCAAACACATTCGAGACGGCCGAGCAAAAACAAGAGAAACTCGGCGCCAAAAACGGCCGTCGGCAGCCTTGAGCACGAAACAAGCATTTGCCGCGCCGTTCTAAATCCACAGGACGTTCCTTTTTACCTTACAGGTGACTTCGCCCCTTTCCAAGAGGTCCAAAGCCTTTCCCGGCCACGAGGACTTTCTCGGCGCCCAGCCTCTACGCTCCCCCACGCCCAAACATCGCGACGACATACGCTTGGCTTTTTCGTCTCGCGATTTGGCAGTCGCGGAATCTCTCAATATCGATAACGCCATACCCTGAAGCGATAGCGCGGGTTTACGTCCAGCGCCGGTCGAAACGGCAATCGCGCCGTCGCTCAAGGCCCGCGCGCCACCGGGCAACCGCCATCGCTGCAACAGAAGCAGCCGCAGCGGGTCATCACGAGCGCGAGCCAGCGACGAATTCGTTTTCCATGGCGGTTGAGCAATAACCAGAAATCTGGCGGAAGCCGCCGTATCTACCGCAACCATGGAGCCGCGACGGCTCCTCGCCGACTTGACGGCCACCGCGCCACAGCCGACGACCGCGCCGCTGGTCGCCCGGAATTGCCGCGGCCTTAACCTTCCCATCGGGGGTGTCCTCTCCATGCCCAACGGGGAGCTTGTCACGCTTACCGCGGCCGCCGCTTTCAAGCCCGTGTGCACCCCGGTTACGCCACCGGCCATCATCGCCAACGGCGGAGGAGGATCCGTCACAATTGACGACAAGACTGAGGTGACGGGCCCGAATCAACAGATCCAGGACCCCTACGACCCCTTTTACGCATCGACCTTCCCTCAGTGCTACGCCCTCGCTGCGACGACAGTGGTGGCGTACATGCTGGTCATCATGCTCTTCATCACCCCGAGGTCCTTCCTTGATGGCGGCGTCGTCGTGCTGGGCCGAAGGGGCTTTACCAATGGCGGGGCTGGTCCAACCATTGGTGGGCGGCCCTGGTTGCAGAAGGTTGCCGCCCTTACCGTCGCCATTTCCTTGACTATCGCCAGCGTCGCCACGTTTGATGTGGCCGAAGAACAGTATTCACTCGGCGTCCAGAACGCTGCGGAGCTGCAGATAAAGGTGCTTGGCGGCAACGAGCTCAAGATCATCCGCATCATATCGAACACCTTTTTGTGGCTCGCCCAAGCTCAGACTCTCATCCGCTTATTTCCTCGGCAGCGAGAAAAGGTTATGATCAAATGGACCGCCTTCGCCCTCATCACGCTCGATGTCATCTTTCAGTCGCTCAACAGCTTTCAATATGAACAACAAGGGGTGGCCCGGCCCGGGTCGTTTCAGCATGCCGTGCCCGCCCTCAGCTATCTGTTCGCTCTCTCCCTAGGCGTTCTCTATGCCGCCTGGGTCATTTATTATTCCCTCTTGAAGAAGAGGTACGCCTTTTGGCACCCCCAAATGAAGAACATGCTGTTGGTCGCGGTTTTGTCGCTGCTCTCCATCCTTATCCCTATAGTCTTTTTCATTTCCGACGTCATCCAGCCCGAATTCACCGGATGGGGAGAGTACGTTAGATGGGTCGGAGCAGCGGCCGCCAGCGTCATCGTCTGGGAGTGGGTGGAGAGGATAGAGGCTCTAGAGCGTGAAGAGAAGAAAGACGGGATCCTCGGCAGGGAGGTATTCGACGGAGACGACATGCTGGAGATGACTGATTCAGATGACGGGTTCAGAAAGAGGAAGAAAGGGGGTGACGACGGAGATAAAGGGACCAGTATTGAAAGTGGGAGGCATGACAGCCTCAGCAGTGGACGGAATAACAGATGGCCGACGGTCACGGCGCTCAGAGCACGATATAGGTCTCGGTCCGGACCCAGGAAGGCCGCGGATCCCACAAACACACAGTCAACGAATCACGACAGGATACGATTCCTCCAGCCACCGCTGTGGCCTGCCAGACCAGCTCCCGCAGTCACACCGATCAGCCGCACAGACACTGCCAGCGCCGCCAGCACCGTCTATGCCATCAGGTACGGTGCTCCTACCGAGACCACATCCCGCACGCCACCTCCGGCGCACAATACCTCCCCGTTGTCTCAAAGCCATAGGACAGCTTCAGGCCGCGCCAGCCATGAAGGAACCCAGAGCGAGGATGGTGATACGGCCGGCCCACCCGCGCAACCCACTCCGGCACTTCAGGAAGCGACGCCCGTACCTAACCGGTGGCGGGCGCTAGCAGGGCGCGTCCCGTTCCGGTCTCCACGCCAGGCTGACGAGGAGCGGGCTGTTCCGGCATCCGAGGAGAACATGCCACGCAAGGAGGGAGGCGGTGGCGGCGCCAAGTGGGACTTGCGTGCGCGCGTCGAGGAGTTCGCGGCGATGCAAGCAGAGAGATTTCGCGAGAAGTTCCGGACGGCCCCTGACACCGACAGCCTGCCGGTGACGGTCATTCCTGCGCCGCCCCGCCAGGGTGCGGCGCTTGCTCAGCTTTTGGAGGAGGAGGAGTTGGAGGCTCGGCGGGCTGCAGCTTTTGCGACAGATCGACGGAGTAGCAGTTTATTGAGGAGTATGCCGCTAGGGGACGAATTGCCGGTCGAGCCGTCGAGGCAGCAGTTGCGACCAATTGTCACGCCGGGCGAGTTGGGGCCGGTGGCTAGGATTTCTCGTCGGCTATCAGTGCCGCTTGCGGACACGGCGGTTTCTCCCCAACCAGAACCGGGAGCGCCGCAGCTGGGAATTAGCAGGTCGCCGCAGCCGCCATTTGGTTTTGATACATCTGTGGTGGATCAACACTCCTCAGATTCTCAACCGGGCGTTACTCCTGGTCCTAGTCTGGACCACGGAGGTGCGCCTCCTCCCTCTGTTTAAGCAATTTGGTCTAGTGTAATTTGACGAGCATGTATACCCCTGTGGAGCGGGTGTTATTAGGGTCCTTAGGATTCTCTGTCGACGAGCATCCCCTAGCACTATCTAGGAGGGCAGAGCAGCATAAAGCATTGGGCGAAATGGACATGGGTTTTGGGTATTGAGCCGTCGTGGAGTTCTGGATTCGGGTGCGATATCCGGCTGGGAAATGGAATTTCCATACTATATGATTCCGGCAGTTTTCTTCGGGCATTTTTGTCATTTCCTGTATTCTGGGAGACGGCCGTCCGTTTATACGCCGGGAAGTGGCCGTGTTCAAGCAAAGGGTCGTGAAGCCTGCAGGGTTTTGTCCCTGTCCCGTGGAGGACTTCTCTCTGCATGAGCAATAAAAAGATCGATAAGAAGGCAATGTGCAGTCCCTTTGGGGCCTTCGTGTCTGGAAAGACGTAGCGTCGCACTTTCGCTGTCTTTTGGGTCGTCTGAAAGATGCCATGTCCACACACATTGCTGAGGATCTCGGGAACAGCTCTAGGTGTCGTTATCCTCCTCTTCTTCTTCCACCTTGCTAAACGTCGCTTCACACTCCTCCTCATACCTCCTAAATTGCCCCATCTTGACCCTTGCCTACTCCTCGAGCTTTTCTCTTCCTATTTCCATCACCAACGCTTCTCCATCCTCGTCCCGCTCGGGGTCATGAAGCGCACTCCAGTAAATGTCATCCACGTCCAGGCTCGTCCTAACACGTAGTCAAACCAGAACCGCCCCGTCTTCCACGACGCTCACATCCTTGTGGATAATCTCTCCTCCTCTCCCTGCACTACCGCGTGCTCCCCGGCCCTAGCCGCCGTCGCCGCCGCGTCGTGCTCTTTTGCCTCGGCCCTCACCAGGGACCTGACGAACTGCTCCACGTGCGGCACATACCGCTCGAGGAACTGTGCTATGCCGCCGAACCGGTCGATCCACACGTTCGGCCCGCGCAGCAGCAGCGACCACGGCGGGTCGTGGATGAACTGCGCCGGCATGGCGTTGGTGAACTCCCAGTCGATGATGCCCGTGATTTTGAGAGTGGACGGGTTGATCAGGATGTTGGTCGGTTGGAGGTCGTCGTTGAACAGGGGGGATGGGTCGTCCTTCTGTGTTGTGCACTTGGGGAGGAAATGCTGGAGCTTGCGGCGGGCTATGAAGCGTTTGCGGACGTTCTGCCCGTCTTGACAGAGGTTGCGTTGGGATTGGAAATGGCGGAGGTGGGTTTCCGTGAGGGAATGAAGGAAGGGGGTGGCGGTTGGGAAGGGAGTCGTAGGGAGGTGGGAATGGGGGAAGCCGGTGTTTAGTTGCGAGCTCCTTTATGTTGAAAGGTTAGCGGGCGGCTGGCGACGGTCCAGATTGAGTGGCTGCTTCCTTAGAGATAGCACCAATGGAGGGAAATGTGAGACGGGAGATCTGAAGGAGGTGGGAGGCAAGTTGGTCGTAGATGGTGTCGAGGGTTGCGGAGGGGATGGCCGGGTCGAGGATGAGCTCGGCTTGGTCGTCTTCGTGGTGCTCGCGGAGGAAGCGGGACATGCGTACCCCTTCGATGAAGTCCACATGATGAATGGCCCTAACTGGGCCGGGCTTTTGTCGGACAGGCCCCAACAGCAGAACGTTGGGGGCTGGGATGGTGGTGTGTTCGCGGAGAACTCGATCACTCGAATGTCGTTCGAGACCTTCTCATCCCGCCTGGAGGAGAGCGTGTGACTCGGTTTAGCAAACCGAATCAGGGCGCTGGGCTGTCCCTCCCCAAAGCCGATGTGGAAGCAGACGTTAAACGAGCCCTTGAAGAAGTCCAGGTACTCTCCTGTTTCCTGACCGTCCAGGTTGGGAGTCGACAAAGGCTACGACGTCGTCCCTGGCTTCGATGAGTCTCCGTACCCAGGCTAAGCATTCTGCCTCGGCGAGAAGGTCATAACCCGTCATCTTCCCTTTGACGAGAAGATCAGCGTGGATTGGGTTTGGAAATGAAGCCAGACTATGTCCTACCCTTGTCACTTTGCGGGGCATGTGCACATTGGAATCTGGCGGCGGGGTGCCATGGGCACTTGATGTGTATTTGTCGTATATTATAGATCTGAAGTTGATGTGAGATTGCCGGCAATCGTCCGGCATTTAAGGAATCAGATTTGCTGATCCTCTTTACAGAGTTTCTTCCCAACTTCCAACAGGTAAGGTTATTGTAGGTAGCTAGTGTACGAAGCCTCGTACTGGGCGTCAACTCCCGAATTCCAACCCTCCGAGCCAAGGTGCTGCGGTTTGCGACCTCACTCAAGCACCAAGCGCATTGCTCGCCAAAGACAAGACCCCCAGCGCAGGGTTGCTGGTGTTTTCCCATCGCCATCCCCACTACGGCCATTTGCTTGGCTCCGATCCTCCTCCTCATCCCCCCTTCTCCCATCCCTCACGCTCTGACTCTCCTCAGCATCTCTTCTCCTTCTGCCCATCTCCACACCCGCATCCCCTTGGCCGTCCCCCGACGAAAAAAACAAACCCCCAAACAGACTTGATTCAGCGTTCAAGATGCCCACCACAACCGCGGTCAGCCCAATCAAATTCACGACATCCAGCCACTGTCCAGACGCAGCCCCCAACCCCGGATGGACAAAGACCCAGCAGAAGAAACTACAACCCCAGAACTTGAAGATACGGCGCAGGCAATGCGCAGACACATCTTGGTGAGCTTGGAGTCGGCGGGGTTGTCAATATTCGGGTCTCCCGCGCCATCATCAAGCAACTCCAGCTGAAGGGAGGTCATACCCCTGCTGAGGGAGGAGAGAGCGGACACAGAAATGACCAGGGCTTTGGGGGTGCGGTGCCGGATCTGGGGACTGCATGCTGCGAAGGGAAGGAGGGATAGGACTGCCAGCGAGAGGAACACGGTGTGGAGTTTCTGAAGGCCGCCGGCAATGCGCGCCATGTTGGCGTACTTTGCTGGTGAATTTCGCGGCATTAGCTCGACATTCCCATGCAGTGATGTCTGAACGAAGTCTTAAGAGGTGCTCGTCTTGCCGGGTTCCGTGAAGGGGAGAGAGAACGTGGCATTGGCCGTAGCTACGCCGGTTAGCGATCTCGTTCTGCGAACTGAGCGCCCTGTCAACCTCGACACCTGTGAGTTCAACACGAGGAGGGCAATACACATGCTCCTGACCGCTACGATCAGCTGTTCCCGGCTGCTGGCCGTCCCGTCCTCCGACAGGTTGGTCATGTCGGTCTCAAGCCTTGTCGTGGTATTTCCCAGCGTCCAAGTGAGGTGTCAAGAAAAATGATGCCCGTCGCTCCAGGCAATATCAAAAGTTAGCTTATAAGGAGCATCGATTGCGTCGATGCGGGAAAAACCTTTGCGCAACAACCCTGCTTTCTGCACAGGGGAGAGAGAAGCGAAACTCAAGACCCAGACAGAAACATTAAGAAGAACAAACTTTGGCCAACGAGTTGTAACAAGAATATATGTTGTAGCCACGTCTGCACAATGCTGTCGAGGCGGAAGAGGCGGGTCCAATAACAAACCAACTTTTTTGTACAGAGTAAACCTGTATGGAAGTACTACCTGAGTTACTGCACATTTGGCCTTCAGTTCCCCTGATTGATGCCCAGCGTGAAAGGGAGCCTCCGTCCAGCAGAACACGCCGCGCCATCGGATCCAATCAGTTCCACCGAAATGGTGTCGGCATTTTTGCTCTTGCGCAAAGGCATGGGCAGAAAGTTCCTGATTGCCCGCCTCCTCCGCCTTCAGCCGCTCCTTGATGTACCGGCAGTCTTCGGACTTCCTTGGTGGTACAAGACTTGGGCTCTATAAAGTTCCCCAGCTGCCCGACAGGTAATTGTGAGAACACGGTTACACATCGGCAACAACCCCCTTCGTTTCTCCTCTGGGACCGTACTTTGTCTCCCTTAACCGGCCCCGGCAAACGCTCAATGCCACTCGCCCCCAGGGAAATGGTCAACCACACACAAACAGCATGCAACCACAACTCTGTGCTCATAACAGAGCCATAAACATCATGCGTGCGGCATCATGGGATTGCCAAAACGCGGTCGGTGAGACGGCGCTGAGGCCAACGCTAGCCCTCACGAAGGAGTCCAACGACGTTGTGATAAGACCTTTTACCTTTACCCATGGAGAGCGCAGAGATGCCTGCAGCCCTCCCTGACTGCGACGCCCGACACCTCGACGAAGTCACCTTTGTACATGAGGAGCGCAGAGTTGCTTGCGGCCCTCTTTGACTCGGACACCGACACCTCGGTGCATAGGATCAAGAGCAAAGTTGCAGACGCAGACTGCGCGCGCTGGTTCGGCTGGAGCACACGGAGTCGTCGGGGACGCGCGTGGGAGATCGGCCCTTGCCCCTGGCATCACGGATGTTTCCAGTCCTGTACAAGCAAATTGGCAAACACTGCCGACGGCCTCAGCGTCCTGACGGGTGGGCTTGCGACAGCCGTTAATCTCAACTTCAACCACTCTCAAGATGAGGTTATCCCCAAGAAAATCGAGACGGATGGCGCCAGAGTAAATGACTTATGCCCACCCAGGAATATATATGTCCAGCCGTCGAGGACGACGCCCGGTGCACCACGGTTCTTCCTCTGCTGGCATGGCTGCCGCAGCAGCTCTGATGTCCAAGCCCGCCACTATATGTGAGAGCACTTGCCACCTATTCCGCTTCGGCAATCATCCATATCATGAGACAACCTAGACACTCGGCCACCTTCGCTCTGCTGGCTGCTCTCGGGTCGATCGTTGCTGGCGCTCTATATGGCGTTCATTCTATGCTTGATGTTTTCATTCTTGGAGGGTTTTTTAGCTTATTGTGCTGCCAAGGAGTCGTGTGGTGGACTGGCAGGACCTAGTCATGGACGCAGCCCGGGGCGATTTCTCGAAATCTTGTACCCGGCCCATGCGATGACACCTACGCAGTACTCCTCAGGGCTCCAAACTCGCCCAGGATCGGCGATTTCGAGACACCGACGAGGATGATGGTATTGCTTCCATAGCCCCAAGCAGCCAGTGGCTATCAAAGCAGGTTTATGCTGGGACACGGATATGTCAATGATCACGCAAGCTCTCAGAAGGGATATTAAGTTCAAAATCGTGTTTGCTTACTCACCAAAACCGCTCAAGCCTCCATCAGTTGCGGTCCGCTGTTGATGTTGTTAGGGTGTTGTGTCTTGCTAGCAGGAAAGATCGGCATTTCATCGGTCTGTACCTTGGGATGTACGTGTAGTCTGTACGGTTGTGTATCCGTAGCGAAGGAGACATCGTCAGGGGTTTCAAGGCCTCGGTGGCTTGCGTGGGTCTCGTGGCCGAAAAATTTAGCGTCAAATTTGACACTAAGTTGAACGTGGTTTAGCGTTGACCAGGCCTGCAGAACCAGGGTCCAACTGAATTCGACATCGCGGTTGAGAGTGGAACCGGACGCGCCGAGGTCATCGATTTTATGAACTTCATGCTGTGCCTGGACCCTGTTGGAGTTTTTACTCCCACATGCCGCATGCAAGACCAATTTGATTTGCTTTCCTTTTCCTTTCAAAGTTTGCGCTCGCGATCGGCCCGTGGTGACCGACGGACTTCCTGCACTGCGATTCATTGATCACTTTGACCGTTGGCGAAGACAAGCATTACTTGGTCAGATTTTAGTGCGGCTCCAGGGGTTCGGAACTCGTGCTCCTGGCGTGTCTATCGAGTCTCGGACTTCGTTCCCTCTCGCATTTCCGACTTGAACCACAGCCTCGCGGTCCCTCCGCGCTCTCGACGGCCAGGTAACTCCAAGAGACAAGAAATCAAGCAGCCATGGCTGGCGACTCCGAGCCTTTCCCGCCGCTCACCTCGGCAGCCGATCACCAATTTTGCTCGTCCTCCAGCGACATAAACGGCGCGCGCCGGCGCAGGAAATCCAGCCATCTCGGGAGCGAATTGCGGGTCGGCGACACAGGTGCGCCCTCATTAGGCACGGGCATTGCCCATCTCAATGGTTCCCTGAAGGTATGTTCTCTGCAGGAGAAGGCGCTGCGTACAGGAATATGCGCTGATGAGGCCAGGAATCGCCGTCACCCTCACCACCACCAAAGCGCTTCTCGAAGCGCCGAAAGGCGCGCTCTGCTCTGCGCCGCGCAAAGAGTATCATCGTCAAACACACCTGGGTACTTCCGCTGGTCATCCTGCTCGTCTTTCTGTCGCTCTACGCCATCAACCCCACCGAAGCCAACCCCATCCATCACTTCATCTTCCTGTCGTACAGGCTACCCGTTACGGACCCCGACGAGCTACCGCAATATGGAAAGGGCCCCTGGGATATCGCATTCGTCACCTTCTACACCGTCGTCCTATCCTTCACCCGCGAGTTCATCATGCAGGAGATCCTGCGGCCAATGGCCCGCTGGGCGGGGCTCAAGTCGCGCGGCAAGCAGGCTCGCTACATGGAGCAGATGTACACGGCCTTGTACTTTGGCGTCCTCGGGCCTACGGGCATGTACGTCATGAGTCGCACGCCCGTGTGGTACTTCAACACGCGCGGCATGTACGAGAACTTCCCGCACAAGACCCACGACGCCCTCTTCAAGTTCTACTACCTGTTCCAGGCCGCATACTGGGCCCAGCAGGCCATTGTTCTGCTACTCGGCATGGAGAAGCCGCGCAAGGACTTTAAGGAGCTGGTCGGCCACCACATTGTCAGCCTGGCCCTCATCGCCCTGAGCTACCGCTTCCATTTCACCTACATGGGGCTGGCCGTGTACATCACCCACGATATTTCCGATTTCTTCCTTGCTGTACGTCTCGGTCACCCATCCTCATCAGCTATCCTTTTACATTCGCTAACTTGTATTTGCACAGACCTCCAAAACGCTCAACTACCTCGACCACTGGCTGACGGGCCCCTACTACTTCACCTTCATGTGCGTGTGGATCTACCTGCGCCATTACCTTAATCTGCGCATCCTCTTCAGCCTCTTCACCGAGTACAAGACGGTCGGCCCCTACGAGCTCAACTGGGAGACGCAGCAGTACAAGTGCGCCCTCTCGTTCGTCATCACCCTGGCCCTGCTCAGCTCCCTGCAGGCCCTCAACCTGTTCTGGCTCTTCTTCATCATCCGGATCGCATACCGATTTGTCGTGCACAATGTCGCCAAGGACGATCGCAGTGATGCTGAGGAGTCTGAGTTTGAAGACGTGAAGCAGGCGGCGGCGGTCAATGGCGCGGCGAATGGGAAGGCGAAGAGTTACGCTGCCGTAGCCGCCACTTCTAACGGGACGGCTAACGGGACGGCGAAGAAGAGCAGGTAAAGCGGTATCTGCTGTCCTCCTCTTCTTGTATCATATGTTCGGGGTTGGATGAAGGGACTTAATGACTGCGGGGTGAAGAGGAGGATGGCGACATATCTCTCACTTTTTATATCCGCATGCTCAATGGCTCGCTGGGGGCAATGTGCCGGTGTTGGGCGTTGTTTGGGTGGAAGGGGCCGCGGCTTTTGCATGGTCAATCAACTTTGGGTCGCAGCATCGTCATTCGCTTGGTGGCTGGGGGACTATACGCTCGCTTTTCGGTTCTGGATAGACATGGGTGGGCTTATGCCGATCATGACGGAAAGGACTGGCTCGGGGGAAGCCGACGTGGTGGGCTTGTTATTCTCAGACCCTGGTTGATGACGGCTCGAGGGTACTTGACATGGCAGTGCGGGGGTCACATGGGGTTCAGAAGAGCCCCACACCCCAACCGCACACATGACCACCTCAGACGGAAGGGTGACTGAAACATAGTCTTGGATTGGGGAAGCTTCAAGCAAGCCGCGAGCCCAACACTACACGTCGAGGTGCGGGAACTCGCCTTATAAGACGGCCGAATCCGGGATGGGACGAAAAAGGCGATATGGCTCTGGTGGCCACAACCCATTAGATGGGTGTTAATATGCTTCATCTGCCTGTACGACCTTTGAACTTCTTGCTACTGCAACACATTGAATATAGCTTTAATACGACAAATGATGTACAGATTCACGAAGAAGTCGCGAAGCTTCCATGCCCTCAAGCATTGGCTGCATATCACCATTGTTCACTCAACAAATTGCTGGTCTAGGCCGCCCACCTCTGGACCCGACAGTCTGGATCTGACTCACAGCCACAGCACCTTCAAGCCAACCGCCACAGACTGTGACCGACAGTGCGTGTAGTGAAGCAATTGAGATGTACAGCAAGAGTCTGGTCACAACGGAAAACCTGCTTTATCACCCCCTACTCAACCCAGGGACTTTTAGGCGATCTTTGCCCTGCAGCGACTCACCACTGAAGACTCAACCTGGATATATACATCTCTCTAAACTTACACTTATGCTTCCTATAATGTATTGGGTGCGTGACAATGATAATAAGAAAGTGTTCATGCAACACATCCATGCTTGAGAACCATACTCCCGTTGAAGCACCCCTTCCCACTATTTATCACTTAATCACGAACACACTTCACAGCCGATAGACGGCCGGCATGCGGAACTTGTTTGGAGAGCTCACAAGGTATCATTTTCTGTATATCCTATACCTGTTCCCATTCTCTGCCTTTTGTCTGGCAAGAGAAACCTTTCCACAAAAGACCGAGCCAGCCATCAGCCAGCAAACCATGCTTCGAAACTCATCCCAACCCACCCAATCCTTCTTGTATGTATGCACACCCAAGTTTACACCTGTTAAACCCACCCCAACCCATCCTATTACCCCCCGTCATCCCCCCTTCCCCCTTCCAGCCACCAACAAAGCACCCCTTGAGATAACCAACCCAGAACTCAACCCAACCCAAACCGCAAACCGGTCCAAAAGAATAGAAAACAACGCCACCCATGCTCAGGGAATCATGGTCATATCATCGTTAAAAAAGTGCAAGGCCGGTATATAAAAAAAAAAACACACACAGAATATGGTGGTGGAGTGTACGTCGAAGTATTGACTGTGTCGGGTGTAACAACCAAACTTCGTGCGGGTGGTTCCAACCGAATCAATAACACGTCGTAGCGTTCCAGTCGGCGCGTAATTAGAGTGGAGGCCTTTTGTATGTTTATGTCGCCTCGTTTGAGTATGCCGGAATTAGTGACATCAGATGGAAGGCTCGCTCGTTGGTGTGATGATGATGGCAAGAAGGTCGGCGGAAGCAAAGGACAGAGTCCGGAAGCTGGATAGATGGATGGATGAATCCGAGCTCCAAAGTGACAGACCAACTGCCTAGCGTACTAAGCTGTATTTCCAATACCAGATAGTTGCTGGCGAAGGTCAGGAGAACCTGGGTGCAACCATCGAACGCCGGCAGTTGATTCCGACGGGAACGAGTAGAGTGGAGGCCGCCTCGCGGTTTCGGGCTTGTCATCGGGGCGGTGCTCATCGGAAGAATCGTATTGTAAAGTCCCGTCCGAGCGGCTTGATGAAGAGCTGCTGCTCCCATGCGATGAGATAGACGCGGTTTCATGCGCGTCAGCAGCGTCCGCCGTAGTGGTGGTCGGACTGTGGGGGACAGTAGGAAGTATCGTGGACGAGAGCATGCTGTTGTACCCGTCGCCAATGTTTGCCTGGCTCAGAAGCTTCTTCGCTTTTCGCGTAGCATCACGGGCATGCTCGGCCGCCCGTTCGGCACGGCAGTGCTTCTCCCACATGGCGCTATAGCGGCCGTTGAGTGCAAGAAGTTCCTGGTGGGTGCCCCTCTCTACGACTGTGCCCGCGTGGAGGACGATGATCTGGTCAGCGTGGGTGATGGTCGACAAGCGATGACTGCGGATACGATCAGCCCTGGAACACATTCAACACCAGCCAAAAAAGCAACTTACGCAATAATCAGCAATGTACGATCCTGACCGAATTTGCCGCTGATCAGCTTGGACTGAATCTTTTGCTCCGTCTCGCCATCAAGAGCTGATGTCGCCTCGTCCAGCATAATAATCTTTGGGTTCTTCAAAATGGTACGCGCAATCGCCACACGCTGCTTTTCGCCGCCGCTCAGCCGGAGACCGCGTTCGCCAACCTTGGTGAGATAGCCGTCCGGGAAGCTCATGATGCGGTCGTGGATGGCAGCAGCGCGGCAGGCGTCGTAGACCTCCTCGTCGCTCGCCTTGGGGTTGGCGTACTTGAGATTGTACATCAATGTTTCGTTGAACAGGATGGTATCCTGCGGCACGACACCGATGAAGCGGCGCACGGAGTCGATGGTCAGGTCCTTAACGTCGTGGCCGTCTATCTCGATGCTGCCCTCGCGGCAGTTGTAGTACCGAAACATGAGCCGGAAGACGGTGGATTTGCCACCACCGGACTCTCCGACGAAAGCGGTCGTGGTGCCGGGTCTGCACTCGAACGACAGGTCGTGCAGAGCCGTCCTGCGCCTGTCGTACGAGAAGCCAACCTTGTTCCACTTAATGTGGCCGCTACATTCCAGCAGCGGCTTCACGTCCGGCTTGTCGACGACGGTAGGTTGGATCTTGAAGAGCTCGAGCAGTCTCTCACCCGAGATCATGGCCGACTGTACTGTCCGGTAGAAGGTGCCAAAAAAATTGAGAGGACCCTGCAGCTGGTTCAGGTAAGTAACGAGCGCGACGAAGTCCCCAACCCTCCTCTCCCCGCGCGACACCTGATAGCCGCATGTCAACAGTGCAACAAGCATTCCGCACATAAAGACGACCGACTGGCACATGTTCATGTAGTTGATGCCGTATGTCACCTTAGCCTCGGCCTCTTGGAACTTTCTGATGGCGTTGCCATAACGCTCAAACTCCCTCTCCTCGGCGTTGAAGTACTTGACCGTCTCGTACGACATGATTGAGTCGTTCTTGACGGCTTCCTCTTCCCGATCGGCGTTGACCATGTCGCGGCGCTGGTCAGCCCTGGTGGCGCCCATGCGGATGGTCAGATAGAGGTAGTATAAGGTGATGATCGAGACAAAAAGCGAGTACATGGCTCCGAACCGGACGTAGAAGTAGATGATGGCCACCAGGAGATCCACCAGCATGGGCACCACCTGGAACGTAACCTGCTCGAGGAATTGGTTGATGGACGCGCCCTTGTTGAGCGCCGAGAGCACCTCCCCCGTGCGCTTGCCCAAATGGAAGTCCAACGAGAGCGAGTGGACGTGTTCGAAGGCCGCCGTTGTCAGCGCCCGATACGTGTGTTGCGACACGGGAATCCAAAGAATGGATCGAATTGATCCGAGCAAGCCAGAGGGTCCTTGGAGCAGCTTGTACAGGATCAGCAACCCAAGCTCCAACCAGACCTTGTCGACGTCCTGGTTCTCAAAAGTGTTGGTAAGGACTCCGAGCTGAGCCGGCACCAAGATGTTGACAACACGCTGCAAGATGACGAGGATGAAGCACAATAGAACCACGCCCTGGAGTTTGGCAGACCTGCTGGGCCACAGATAGGGAAAGAATACCGAGTACCCGCGACAATATTCAAACCACGTCTTGTGAGGCAGTTTGTCGGGTCTGTAAAAGGCGGCCTCCTCCTCGCGTTGCTGATAACCTCCTTGTTGTCCGCAGCCTTGCGGATCGCGGCGGGTCGCCTCGTTTGTGCTCCCGTAATGGGCGTTGCGAGTCGCATGCCCGTTGGCGCGACCGTGGAAATCGCCATTGCTGCCCAGCAATGGGCTCGTCTCGTCCGTGTCGGACCGATGTGCTTCCTCATCAGCAAGTCGGCGCTCTCCCAAGCGCCTCCTGGCAATAGCGGCGTACATGCCGATCAAGAATATGATGAGGAAGATGCGGACTCCGGCAATACAAAGGTCGACGACATCCCATGGTTCGAGGCCATTGGTGACGTCCGTGGCGCGTTGGGCAACGTAATCTCCGTCCATTATGCTGAGGACAAAAGCGAGCAGAATGATGACCTCGCCCACAAGACCGAGGACCCAGAAGATGAGGTGGACAACGATAGGGCTGTGCCGCCACTCGAGGAGCGTGATGAGAACATAGAGGTAGAGGAACGCCGACCCGACAATGTAGACCTTCGCGGAAATCGTTTTGTCAGCTTCATCGTCGTCTTTGAGCGTAAGTAGGTACGCAAGGATGACAGCCTGGCGGAGGCAACTCGTTACTCACAATTCTCTCTTCGCCACACCACCAGGCGCTGCCGGGCCCGGCGTCCCTGCTCGACTTCATGGCATGAACGGCGACCGCCGCGCAATTGGCAACGAACGACACGATGACGGCGCCCGTCAAGTAAAGGAACAATGCCCAAGCGGAGCCGCCGCTGGCCCTGTTGTCGCCATGTGCTTCCGGCACCTGCTGCTGCTCACGCTTCCTCTTGGTGACGGGCAACGGTTTCCCGCCGGGGCCTTTCACGGCCGGAACAACCAACTCCTCCTCGGTCTTTGACGTGACAATGGTGTGGACCGCAGCCGAGACGACGAAGCTCAGGAGCAGAATGACCGGATAGAGTAGCTGGGCCGTCCGCAGGACCGACTGCGCGGCACTCAAGCGCCGTTCCGAATCTGGGTTCTCCAGCATCGGGTCCATGCTGAGGCCTGTGATAGAGAGGGACGGGTGTTAGAGAGGAGGAAGGGACCGCAGGGAGCGAAAAAGAGCGATGATGGAGGACGGGAAGAGGAAGAGGGGAGAAGAAGAGCAAGGGCTATTGCAGGCAACACTGCATGCTGCTGGCCCGCCGAGGCGAAGCGGTTCCTGGTGTTGATGGTGGCCGCCGCGGCAGCAGAGGCGGTGGTGGAAGGTAATGGAGCAGCTGTGGAGTTGACATACGAGTTTCCAGGCCAGGGACGTCGTTCTCTTAGGATGAGGCGAAGCCGTACCGCGGCTCATGGCCCTTTACGGGTCGCGGCGGCAAATGGAGGGGCTTGTTGATGGAGTGGCATGTCAGCGTGTGGATGGTGGGGAAGGCGATGTGCAGCTGACGAGGTTGGTGTGGCTTTTGCCACCGAGCGGGTCTCGAGGTTGAGATCACGAAACCGACCATCACTGACGGGGATGAATGGCAGGATGACTTGACGATCTGGCTCTGACTGACCTAGGGGTGTGCAAGCTTCCAAAGATCTACAGATCTAGAGGCTTGTGGCTGCTCGGGGAATTTGGTTGGGGCGTTCTGGGTGGAAGCTTCACGGTTCTCGATAAGCGGGCGGAGACCACAGAGAATCCAACAAACCTCACCAGGGTTGAGGAAGGGGCAAAGTTAACGAGCGTGCTGGAAACGATGATTGCTGGTCTTTGAGGAGAGTTCGAGATCCAGAAGGACCAGCAGACGGGGGTTTACCAGGTATTACTTGAATCAAACCTCCGATCCGCTGTCCTCCCGGCCCTGTGTGGTACAGGTTGAGGTCGTTAACCACCAGATCTGTCAAGTGGGTGTCCGCTTGGTGTGTGCCGGGCCTTGCTAGACCGGCACCCTGGGGCGCGGCCTGCCGGCCACGCAGGGGTACCCTGTTTTTCATGTCAGTCAACCGGCCAACCACACGATGGGGACCAAAGCAGGTTCTCTCGGCGGCGGGGTTGGGGGTAAGTTCCAGGCCTGGCTGCCAGAAAGCAGCAGAGCAGCAATGGTTGGCTGGACGGCTGTACAATTTACAAACCCGCAGCTGAATGTTTCTCTGGAAATCAGAACCAGGACCTCATCTAGATACCTCAATGAGAGCCCAACGCAGGTTCCCTTTTCCACGTCCAGCTCGACCGGTGACGCGCGATTATGGACACGCCCGGATTGTCAAACGATCAATACGCTGATTCAATGATATGAGACGGCGAAGGCGGGAGCCGGACCGGTTATAGGCGAGGATCTTGAGACGTGAACGGACAGCGAGACACACATGCTTGGGATGTTGCCATCCGATCTTGAGCTCGGACGGGGAGCTGATCAAGGCCAAACTTTCTTGAAGCCAGGCGGATGGATTCGCCTGTGTGTACCCGCGCCTCGAGTACAGTACCACTAATGAAGCTGACATATGGAGATACTCCGTACCGGCTTGTCATACCGCGACCCGGGGCGCCGGGTAGCGGCTTGCCAGGCTGAAAGCGAGCGCAAGAGTTTCTTGGAACAAGCAGAAAAGTTGATGGGGCTATTCGAGGGGAGTACTTTGCTGAAATTGGTTGCTGATGTCGAGGCGACGTGCCTAACGTTAGCGTCAGTATTAGCTACCAGACCTCGCTGAGCTGCAGGACCCGGACGGGCAAAAACGACGAGCCAAACGGCTCCGCTTCCCAGTTGCCCCGGGCTGTCCCTTTGGATTGGCTCTCTCACCGCCTTGCGTGGTCGAGACGTGATGCAGACGGCCTGCATGCATGTCGCATATATCCACGGCCCTCACTGGGGTACTGCATATGGATCAATTGCTCCCGTCAGCTCAGGTTCTTCGAGGTTTTCCTAGATGGAAGTCATGGGAGTGGTCGGGCTTGTCTGCGCTCTGATTTGTCGTCGCTCAGCTGGTGCTGCTGCTCGTCTCCCCGCTGACACCAAACTTTCAGATTGGAGGGAACAAGCGAACGAGCACGGAACTAGTTAGTCCATAACGTTGTCCAGTCTAGCGTCATCGCACCCGAGGAGAGATGTGTAGTGAGGGTACATTGCGCTATATGCATATTCGTACCAACCATGGTGGTTGAAGAAGGCTAAGATACCTTAACTCCCCCCTGGTTTGCCTGTTAGCGGGGCACTTGGGCGTGGTCCTGATGAGAACCGGACCCGGTCGAGGAGAGAGAGGGAAGCAAAGGGAAAAAGAAAGGAAGTAAAGATGAAAGACAAAAATGACGGTACTTGGGTAGTGTTTAGAGGCCAAACATTATTGACCAAGGGCAACGAGATAGACTTACTGTCTCACAAAGTCCCAGCCTACCTATAGCTACCGCAATAAACCACCTCGGGTGGTTTGCAAAGTGGGGCGGGAAGGGGCACACGTACGCTAACGTAGCTTGGCCCAGCCAAAAAGAAGTCACAGAGAAGTTCGAGGGCGGGCAACGAGGTATGCGAGACCATCCGTGCGAAGGGGAAGTGAGACCTGATGTGGCAGTCGAGAGAAGGGATGGGCATCAATGACAGCCAGACCAGGCGACTCCCGTCGGACTGGACTCGACGAGGCGGGCTGGCACGGGAATCGAAGAGACGAGAAATGCGCCGACGGCAGGACCTGGGAGGGATTGGGAGGGATTGGGTCTCCGTGCCCACCGTGACCTCAGCCTTTGCCAGCGGGGAGGAAGGAACGCATGGACACTTGGACAGGTACACAGTACAAAGCAGGTGGGTTAGACAACCGTGACTGCCAGCACTGACGGCTCTGCCAGCATCCCGTCATAGGATGGAATTTGAACTGCTCCTAGTAGCCCACGCAGTTGGTGAAGGTCAAGCACCTACGGTTCTGCAATGCCCCGAACCGACAATTCAGCGTCTCATACCACCTAACTTATAGAACTTCAGCATTATCTGGTACAGGTAAGTAACAGCGAATTGATGGGCAAATCCTTAGCAATTTCCCCGACTCTCCCGGCAGATGGAGCCACGGGAGCGACGGGAAAGCTCGAAATGTTAAACTTGGCAACACACAGTTATTAACGTTAGAGATCAACAATATCTTTTTGGCGCTGTCCGGTGACCGGAGATGGATGCGGCCAGATTAGGTAGCCAGCCAGGGATGGGAATACCTGCTCCGGCTTCTTCCTCTTTCCGGCCGTCGTCGTGCCTTATCCGTCAAGCTCCGGTACATTGGCAGTACCCGGCGCCCTCTCACACGAACCCCAGAAATCGTCCGGTTCGCGTCATTGAGGCCCGCCTCGCCCGCTTCGCTCCGGTGGGCGGATCCCGTCCCGCCAACCAAATAAATACAACCTCCCAAGGCCCGAGCGCCGCAGCGGGATGCAATGCCACGACACACTCATCCTTTCCGCAGACTTCGCTGCCTCACCGACACAACGATAATGCAGGATAATGCAGCGCTAAATCGACCGGTCAGAGAGCGGAGCCACGGATGCTCTCAGGGCAGGTTTCCAAACGCAACCAGAAAAAAACCGAAAAAAAGAGACTTCTACCAGAGCTTCCGGAAGGGTCGTCGCCGATCTTCGATATGTGGGACCTGTGCCGGCTCTTGGGTCCAGCTATTGGCATTGAGAGAAGGCCCCCGTCATATCTTCGGCACCTGCTGCCACCGATCTCCGCGTGTCAAACTGAAGAAAAAGGTGTCCTTCGGCAGCACAAAGTGCGCGCGCCATGGGGCTGCACAGCAGCTTCTCGGCAGCTGCTGGTGTCATGAGAAACAGCAGCCTGACACAGCTTACTGGGACAGCGTAACCACGTTGCCGAGCACGAGATGCCGCGAGGGACGCTTTCCTGAGCCCCGTGCTCGAACTCGAGGCAATACCGCACTTCCGATTCGCTGCCGCGATACAATACACATCCTGGAACGGCCTGGATGCTTTCCGGCCTTCACCGGCACCAGCAGACCCAAACTTTGCGGTTCCCGACGCCTGCGTCCGATTTGCCATCGGCATGTTCCTCGAATCCTGAAGCTGAGGCTCGCCTGGGACCATGTACCCGAACGGAAACCTGCTTATGCCGTCAGCGGGGCTGCATCCGACGTTGCGAAACACCCCCCCTACAACTTTTGGACTTGTTCTGACCTCTTTCTTGATCTGCTTCTTATGGTTCATCATCACAGAAGGAGATGCCTACTTGCGAGCAGTTCAGGGTGGCGGAAGGGAAAGGGCGCCGGATGGGCCGCCGGAACCCGAGATCGCCGCCCGTGATGTCGCAATCCACCACATGCAATTGGGTTCACCAGGCTGGGACCTGGGTGCCGGCAGAGCATTGGTACCGCGCCATGTCGGTCACCGCATCGTCTCTCAGCGAGATCCGGGGTAGAATTTGGCTCCCAGATGCCTGCCGGCGATCCCCCGCGTTTTCCCGGCTGCCGTCTGGTTTGTCTCGGCTACGTACAGTTCCTCATTCATGGGAAATGACTGGTTAGCGATGCCGTGCCACGTTGGAGCTTTGTTAGACCATGACTTCTCCTTACGGGTGCTCCGGACAACCATTTCATATGCAACCCCCTCTTCATTTCCCAATGTCTGATGTAGCTTGTAGCCGCACACAGTAAACCAAACATCCTCAAAGATACACCGTTTTCCATACGGGATTGGGCATGACTTATGTATCAGGAGCATGTGGGATTCAATCTGTTTGGTTGTTCCTTGAAAATGAGGCCGATAAGCCCCGGGCAGCTGCGCGTCTGTTTTTACCATTTCCCTCCATCCATCTGCCACAGCCGAGCGGCTCTCCACGATTTCCTCCTATATCACTACCCAGCGAGTTAGCACCAAGCACAAGTGTGCCATGGGGCCTAAATAATACCTGCTGCACTTCCCTCACGGGACTGATGCCTCGGATGTCATCTTGACGATGTAAGTCTGCCGAGACGTGAGCAAGCGCTCAGAGAAGCTCAGGGTTGTCGTCAGACTCGAGCGTCACTTACGGCTCACATGCTCAAGAGTGGGGTGGTCGTCGTCCAGGGGGATGTGGGAACCTCTGTTGGAAAAGTGCATCAGCAAGTCGCTCTCTACGTCAGCTGCCAATTCGGCGGCCTGAAGCCAGTCCAGCAAGAACAGGGAGAGCTCCGAGAAGACAGTGGCACGCTTGCAGGCTGTTCGCATCCGGCGCTGGAATGCTCACCCTAAAGTTGCTAGGAGAGGACGAGGAGAAAATCCAAGCAGTTGCTTACCTCTTTCTTCCCTTTTCCTCACCCTGTCGAACCATCGCGGTTAGGTTGATGGTTTTAGGTGCTCTGCTCGGGGTGCTGCGGGGAGTCAGGAGATCGCGGTTGCTCCCTCTGCCGCTGCTCTCTCAGCAGCTCGCTAATGATGCTTTTGCCGGGTCCGGGCGACCGGCCAATCACCGGGACCGGCCTCCGCGAGAATGTCATTGTTGGAGGCGGGGAAGGCGGCAAAGGAGACACCGTCATCGTCGTCCTCGTCGTCCTCGTCGGAGCTGCGGCGGCGGCAATGGCAGGGACGTGGGCCGCGGGGAAGGTGTGAGCAAAGACCGGAGCATCCTCGGGGGTGGGGGCGACAGCCAGAATCGGACGAGCGAGAGGGACGAACGTCGGAATCGCGGCGGGGGTGGTGGTGGTGATGGCGTTGGCGGCAGCTGAATGTTGACCCTCACGGGCCAAAGTCGGGCTGTCGGTGTCCGGAGCAGGCGGCGACCAATCGGTTGAGTGCGGCATGGTGAATGTCGCGGCGAAGATGTGCGTGATGGTATTTTTATTCAAGGGAAAAGTTGGATCAGACGGATAGCCAGCGTGGTGCTCGCTGGTGAAAAATGCGGGAGGAAGGTGGGACGGATGTCGATGTGAAGTTCGGAATGGAGGCCGTTTTGAAAGATCGGAACCGGAGGTCAGTATAGAGGTCATCGGGTCCGGTCTGTACCTCCCGCGGTCCGCACTTCCCGGCCTGGGCCCGCATGGCTCCGCTTTACTCCGGATCTAAGGGGTTACATACGGGTACCCCACCACGACGGGCACGGCTATTCTTTATGGAGGTAGATTGGGAGTAGGTAGGTTCATTGACATTCTGGCTACAAGTGTTGCCTTGAAGGATCATTGTCCACCCAGACTCAAGGACGGTTGTTCAAGGGCTGCAGGATGGAACTTCGCCGGTTCAAGCTCTATGCAAATTCAGTAGTCAAGTGTGAAGATGCTCGGTGCGAGCGGATAGTCACTCTCCAGGGGCTCCTGGCATTCGGATCCAAGGTTTCCTTGTTTACCTCATGCGACCCCCTGAAGTAAGGGGTTCAAAATCACAGAACCTTACGCTGGCTGCACATGGTTGGAGAGTCTACACTGTTACTTACTCTCTTACCTGCGCTAAACAAATGGAACCTGTGCTTTCACAAGATTGTCAACATCAATCTCTCCGACAATGCAAGCGACCTCCTAGACTCCTCCACAACGTAGGCGTGTCTCAATACGAACGATGACATGAACCAGTCAGAGCCTGATTGCCGCATCTGGGCCACTTAACTTCCCAATCGAGCCCGCTGCAGCTGCAGCCTCTCGAGGGCGCCGTTGTACGCTGCTGCTACTGGCCCTCGCCTCGGCTGAGCCAATGTGTATGCACGTATTTGTCCAAGTTGTCCCTCTTGTCGGTCATGATAAGTCCAAGTCATTAGGTGATAAGTCACATTGTTGCTCTCCAATCACTGTCGCCCTTCATGGCATGATTCGTATCATGGACACCTCGCGGGGCGGGTCAGAACCTGTTCAGCATACAGGCTGCCACCGGTCTAGGTATGGCTGCCCAGCCTGATATGGGGGGTATGGGAACTCAGCTGCATAACACCACACTGGGTGGACTCGGTGAAGTCTCGCCCGGAGCTAACGGTTGGCAAGTATGGCGTGCATGTGCGGGTATTCTAGGGGTCCCAGTCCTTCTCCCGCCTCGCATGCCGTCGTCCATTGCGCCGCTGACCCGCATACACAGCATGACTACATATGCAGCGGCAGCGGCATCCTGTCTATCTGGCGTGGTATAGGTGATTGGGTGCGGCATCCCCCATGTGCCAAGTAGGGTGGCCCGGTCAATGCCGTCAATGATCCCCTCCCCATCTGAAACAGGGACTGAGAGATGGGAGCATACACTCACGCCCCCACCCCTTCGATATGATCAGCCAGTGAGACCCGATACAGACATGCTGATGCCGTTGGAAGCGCCCGGTTGCTCCCACACACCCTTTCTTAGCGACGCTAGGCTCGCTGTGTCGGATCTTGCAGCGCGGGACCTCGCATAAGAAGAGGTGGAGGGTGTGGTCGTGGTGGATCTGGTCTACGTACCGTAAGGAGACGATGCCCGTGGAGGGAAGACGCTGGATCTGACAAGGCACGCTTGTAGTATCGCGTACGGATACCGACATGGGGACCAGTTGATAACCGGGGTCCAGCCACGATGTCCCATGCCATGCGTTGCCCATGATCATGATCCACGCGTTTGTCGATCGGACCAGATGCATCATGATCTATCTGGTTTGGTGTGGGTCGAGGTGGCAAAAATCTTGGTTGGGATTCTTGTTCAGTGTTGGCAGATTATAGGAACTCGACGAACCTTCTCGTGATGCGGAGAAGCTGGCTGTGACTTCGTATGGTACTTGTGGCCGGGCAATGCCGATAGCTTGATCCCGTCGAAGGGGTGGAATGGTAGTTTCCACTCTCACTGGGACTAAGCAGCACCCGCCTAACCGCAACAGACAGCCCGGTGTCCCCGCGGATTGCCTGGCGAGCTAGCCATCCAATCGAAACAGCAAGGGAACCGCGCTTGCCGCCGGCTGTGTAGCTGTGGTCGCTGTCCTGTAAGTGCCTGACCCATTTGTGCATCTCTACGGGCGTACCCAAGTCGGGACAACTCTTCAACCACCCACCACTTCCAGCCGAGCTGCCGTCTTTATAAGCATTGCGGAGCATAGCACCTATTTTGAGGATCTCTTTGCCCTCACAGAGCATAAGGTGTGACACAGCAGCAACCGGTGTGGTGCCAACGTAAGCCCAACGTCAACAACAACCTAGGGAAGTCGATGCAACCATGATGAATGCATGCCTGTGTTATATCCTGGATACCGCTATGACAGCTCAACAGAATGAACGGCAGGTCCAGCGAGTCTTTCAGTTCTGCTCGTATTTGAATGCCAAGTGGACAAGAAGGGCCGACAAGACAGTCCATGCGTCGTAGAGCACTCGACTCCCAGCGACAATTGTTGCAAAATAAATAGATAAATAGATAACGTTAAATAGATAAATAAACAATTGAACAAACAAACAAATAAATAAATAACTAAATAGATAACGTTAACGTATATTATCAGCGAGCGGATCACTCTAGCAACTTTCGGTGGAGCATACACCATGAGACAATAAGAAATTGTTAGATCGCACTAACAATTTTTTAACGTCTTATTGCATGCACCTCTACCAAAATTTGCTAGATATGATCCGCTCGCTGATAATGTACGGTAACGATAGATGAATAAATAAAATAAGATAAGAAAAGGCGATGAGGGCATCTGATCCTCGGTTCTCCTGGATCAATGACGGACTCTGGACAAGAAGCTCTTGGTAATAAGGAAGGGACTGCAGTGAGATGGAGAGAGGGAAGATAGGGTCAAGACCTGCCTTAAACCGGCATTGAGCTGGAGCCTAGCTCATTGAACAATTTGAGAATGTCAAAGTCTGGGCATGCACGTGCGTGCACACATAACGCAATGGTGGAAGAAATGACCGCGATCGTTGTTAACTATTGTTGACATTGATCCAGAACTCATGCTTGAACCAGGCTGAAATTCTAAGTTCGGTGATGTGGGTCGCCTATTGTTAACCCCTGCTCAACCTGTGGCTGCGGCGGTGGTGCTGGCTGAAACGCAGCAAGTGATGATTGCTGCTGAATGGCTCTCCCAAATTTCAATTCCCATTCAGCCTCGTCCTGCTATTGTTCAGCCTCGCGTGGCATTCCGCTGTTCTCCTGATTGCCAAACCAACTCATCAAGCTTCGCGTCTTGCTCCTCACCCGAAGCTCCTTCATCGTGGGTTCAAGATATTCAAACTTGCTCCTCCGCCTTGATTCCATTCTGCACATTCTTCACAAGCAAGCACGCGAGACTGAGAGATCAGTCCAATCCCTCCCTGTCACCTCGACATACCCAAGTGTGCCACACCCCAACGCTTGTCAGCGGCTCAACCACCACCATCGCGACAAGATGACGAGCCAAAACCCATCTACTCCTGTCAAGCTACCTTCATCAGCGGCCAACTACACCTCCGCCACTCTCGACCCCGACCTCAGGTCTCAGATCAACTCGATACTACTAAAAGAAGGCTATGTAACGAAGTGAGTTGGTCCATGCTCCTAACTGCTCGCTGCAATGGCAAAACAACCAAAGCTGACGCGCCTTTCCTCAACAGGATCCAAGACCGACTCCTGCACGCGCTTCACGCCCACCAGTCCAACTGGCCCACCGTCATCCAGAACCACGCCCTCTCCCTCCTCCGTTCCGGCGAAGTAACCAGCTTCCCCGCACTCTTGCGCCGCGTTCTCGAAGACGTCCGACAAGACACGGCCCTCGCGCCCAGCAGTGCCAGCGCCAACGGCACCGCCTCTAAGTCTATGAACGGCAAAACCTCGGAAGAAAACGGCGCCGTCACGGTCAACGGCAAAAAGAGCGACGCGACAAACGGGGCAAACAGCGCTAGCGCCAGGCCAAGCCTGGCCGTCCCCCAGACGGTGGTCGACGAAGCACTCAAGATTACGCGCGAGTGTCTCGACTCGGTTTGCGAGATCGACGAGAGCGGTGCGACCTGATTAGGCATATTCATTGTTTTGACCTGGCCCAGGCGATCCGCGGGAAAACAGCACAGCACAAACAAGTTCAACCGCATCACATGTGTGTGGCCGACGAAGGAAGCAAGACAGCAGAGCTAGAGCAGCAGGACGTGATCGGCGTGCAGATGGTTTGATTCTGTTTTGTCTGGTTTGGTTCGAACTTGTGCCACTCTCTCGCAACAAACACACGGAAAACCCACCGACACCGATAACGAAACACTACCATGCCATACCATATTAGTTCAAGACGATCAAAACGACATTCGGGATCACCTTGACTAATCACTGCAACAACATACAAGTGATCAAATCATTGCTAGAGGAACCATGGGGGAGGAAGGACTTGACAAGAAAAGCACAGAGGAAGAGAAAAAATGGACGGAGAAGTCCGTTTCCTAGGTGTCGCCCAGGTTGTCATGGGGATGCAGCAGCGGAAGGAACTCCGGGTCAAAGGCTTGGGAAGGGGGGGGGAGGGGGGAGGGGAGAGGGGGGTTTGTACCATCAGGGCACCCAGCTCGGTAGCAACACTCTTCCGTTGCGCGAGCCTGGGGCCGGTGACCAGGTTGGCGCCGATGCTTGGTGCTTGGTGCTTGGCTATGTGGTGGACGGGGATGCCATCAAGGACCATTATGGCTGGATCTTAGAACCTATTCCTGTTCTCTTTGGGATCGTTGTACATTTAGCATACGGAGTATATCCGGGGTTTTGGGCGTCAAAAACCATCATCGTTTTGCCATCTTCTCCGTCATCCTTCTGATTCGCATTTTCCCAAGTCGTGTTTCTTGGATGTCTTGATTCGCCCACCATTGAAGCCTTACCGAACACAAGTCTCCACCACCGCCATAATTAAGACAGCGTAACAGCTTGCAGAACACAAGATGAAGGAGACCGAAGTCTATACTCTGTCCCGAGTGCGCCGCGATAAACACCCGTGGTGCTGCTAGTCGGCAATTACCCCGACCTGTCTGCCTAGATGACTGTGAACTGTCTCCCATGATTATGAGGTCCCAATCTACCCGACTCCGCCTCCCAAAGCCCAGCAAGAGCATCCATCCAGTTTGCCAACCGTGCTCACCAAGCAGGTAAGAGCTAGCAACTTTGTTGGGTTTCCTTCGCCAGGCGCGCATGCAGATCATGAGATCGTGACGATTAAAGGAAAAACTAAAATACACATGATCCCGGAGACCCCGATGGTTCTTTGTATCCACGGTTAGTCGTAAAGACCGTCGTCGTTGCCGGCATCGCCAAACGAGTTACCTGCACCACCACTGTTGGCACCCTCGACGCCGCCCTCGGGGAACTTGAAATAAGCACCGGGGCCAGCGTTCTTCATCTGTTGGGCGAATGCCTCGTAGCGGCGGATTTCGACATCCGTGACGGAGCGACGCGCTTGCTGCATGGCCTCCTCGAAGTGACGCTTGGTGAGCTCGGGGACGGGGTCCTCGTCGTCCTCCATCTCGACATCCTCGCCGGCAGCCTCGCGCTCCTTGGAGCGCTGAATATCAGCATTGATGGATTCCTTGATGGCCAGCTTGACAGCACGCTGCGTAATGAAGCCCAGATCGGCACCAGAGAAGCCGTGCGTCTTGGAGGCAATGTAATTGAGATCCACATCAGCGGCAACGGGGGTCTTGCGCAGCTGGGCCTTCAAAATGCTCAGACGGCCGGCCTCATCCGGCAGAGGCACGTAGATGAGTGAGTCGAGACGGCCGGGACGGCAAAGGGCGGGGTCAAGTTGCTCGGGCCGGTTGGTAGCGCCAATGACAAAGACGTTCTTCTTGGACGTCATGCCATCCATTTCTGCAATCAAATCAGTACATGCTTTACGGCAAGGCAAGGCATCATCAGGACAGCTTACCCGTCAGAAGCTGATTGACAACACGGTCAGAAGCACCGCCAGCATCGCCGACAGACCCACCGCGAGCTTTGGCGATCGAATCCAGCTCGTCGAGGAAGACGACGCAGGGGGCAGCGGCACGGGCCTTGTCGAAGATGTCGCGAATGTTGCTCTCAGACTCACCGAACCACATGGAAAGCAGCTCCGGACCCTTGACGGAGATGAAGTTGGCGGCGCACTCGTTGGCGACGGCCTTGGCCAACATTGTCTTACCCGTACCCGGTGGGCCATAGAACAGAACACCTCGAGACGGCGAAAGACCGAACTTGAGGAACTTTTCGGGGTGATCGACGGGGTACTGGACGCTCTCCTTGAGCTCTTGCTTGACGGTCTCGAGACCACCAATGTCTTCCCAACGGACGTTGGGAACCTCGACAACGGCAACCTCGCGGAGAGCCGAGGGGTTCGACACACCGAGGGCAAAGCGAAAGTTTTCCATTGTAACACCAAGCGAGTCAAGGACTTCGGCATCAATGGTATCCTCGTCGAGATCGATGAGATCCATCTTCTCACGAATCTGCTGCATGGCGGCCTCGGAGCAAAGGGCAGCAATATCAGAGCCCACGTAGCCGTGGGTCTCAGCAGCGATCTGCTCAAGATCAACGTCGTCCCCAAGCTTCATGTTCTTGGTGTGGATCTGCAGAATCTCCAGACGGCCAGTAGGGTCGGGGATGCCGATGTCAACCTCGCGATCAAAACGGCCGAACCGACGCAGAGCGGGATCAATGGAGTTGGGCCGGTTGGTCGCTGCCATGACTACAACGTTGGACCGCGCCTTCATACCGTCCATCAGAGTGAGGAGCTGAGACACGACACGGCGCTCGACCTCGCCGTTCGTCTTCTCACGCTTGGGAGCGATCGAATCGATTTCATCGATGAAGATGATGGCCGGCGAGTTCTTCTCGGCCTCCTCGAACGCCTTTCTCAGGTTTGACTCGGATTCACCAGCCATCTTGGACATGATTTCGGGACCGTTGATGAGGAAGAAGAACGCGCCCGTCTCGTTGGCGACGGCACGAGCCATCAGCGTTTTACCGGTACCGGGGGGTCCGTAAAGCAGCACACCGCGAGGAGGCTTGATACCGATGGACTTGAATAGCTGAGGGTGGCGAAGCGGCAGCTCAACCATTTCACGGATCTGAGCCATCTGCTTCCGACAGCCACCAATATCATCATAGCCGACTTCGTTCAGGTTGTTCTCCTCTTCCTCACGCTGGATGGGCTCGCCTTCGCAGTGGATGACGGTGTCTTGGGCGACGATGCCGTACTCAGGCGGGTCGACCTCGACGACCTTGAACTCAACCTGCCTCATACCGCCGCGCACGATGAAGAGATCGCCTTGCCTGACGGGCCTGTAGGCTTCCCGGAAGTATGGAGCGAGGAAGACGTCGAACAGGGAACCTGTTAGGCCCTCAACGGTATCAGCGATTGGGAGCACGGCAATACGCTTGGCCTGTTTCGTTTGTTAGCCATGTGGCAACACCCAAAAGAAATCGACTGATACTCACATATTTGATGTCCGGGCACGGGTGGATGGTAATGATGTCGCCATGCTTGACGCGCAGATTGTGGCGGACGACACGATTGATGCGAGCGCTGCCATCGTCCAGGTCATCGTCGGCGAGAACGATCAGCACGGTATCCTTCCTCTTCTTGCCGCGAACCAGCACTGTATCACCCCGGAAGAGCTGAAGCGCCTCCATGGTGTTGTTTGAGAGGGCGATAATCGAATTGTCATCGTTGACGGCATCCGTCACCCTATCCTCGTTAGCCAGAGGTTCAGAGATCCCCAGATACCGATGGGACATACATCAACTGGTTGGGCTTCTTCTTCTTCTTGAGAATGGCGGTCGCTGTCTCATCCTCATCTTTGCGCTCGGCGCCGGAGACATCGCTGTGTCACCAGTTAGCTAATCATGGCCCCCCCAGCGAAATGTTCAAAGAGTCGCCCACGTACGTCAAGTTGACCTTCTTCTTGTGCTCATGGTGCTCAGTTTTCGGATCGGGAGCCATGTTGGCGGTCTGACACGATCGGAGTGAACCGGCGGGGTTGGATCGGGCAAGCGGACACTGCGGGCGTTGCGGGGAAAAGATACCTTGGCACAGCGCAGAGAGGGAGAATTTGATGGAGAAAGGAAGTTTAAGTAGGGAAAGGGAAAGAGTTTTGATGAATTTGTTTTGGCAGCTGAGGTTGAGGTGGAACTTCGAAGAGTGTCAGTTGTAGGCAAGTTGGCCTTCCAGGCGGCCATACATGACGACTGCGCTTTTGGGCGGCGAAGTCCGTGCACAGGCACGCTAACTGAGAGCTGGCCCAACTTGAACCCCACATTTGTTCGAAACGCTTCGAATGACAGCTTTCTGGCGTTGTTGAGGCTGCTGAATAAACAACCATTTGCTCACTACGAATAACCGAACCCCCAACTCTTAACCTAGAGCGCTCATCCTTTTGAAAGAGAAGTGATATGTTGTCTTCTACCAAGCTAGATTTTAATTACAAATACCATAACCGCATGCTCAGTCAACGGAGTGGCGCCGAACAAATGTTAATCAATCCAGCAGGACACTGTCGCCACCGCCATCAAGCACACAAATTTTACACTGGTCGTTGACTGCTCACCGTATTGAGCAAGAAATGCAATGCCGGCGCCTTCAATGGACGAACCAGTCAAAGCCAGTCTCTAATTCTGTGATCTCCCAGCATCACGGTGCTGTTCATCGGTAACTACAGCTGCGGCCATTTGCGATCTCGGCGAGAACGACAGAGGATGGACAGACACATTCAGGCATCATCGACGATTCGTGTACTACATGTGCCTTCATTATGAATTCATGACCGGTCTCATTGACAGTTGCTCGCTTGCCCTGGTGAAAGAACGCTGGTGGCAACCAGACTTTAGGTCTTGCACACGCTCTTTCGTGAGGTCAAGCCGTCCAAAAGAACACGAGAATGGAGAGATTGTCCTAGGGAAGTTTATAAGATTCTCGCTTTAGGGTAAGATGGAGATTTGACTTTCGCATGCCGAAGCTGTGATTCCACTGACTTTCCTTCCACCTCACTGCCAGCCTTGTGTTGTGCTACGCATGGACGTCTATGAGAGAGTTGGAGTAGAGGCAGGTTGTGGCTTGGTTGAGACCCTTTGGCTCCGCAGGGCGAGGCGCCTGTCATGGAAGAGCTCCACGTTCGGCAGACACGTACTGTTCATTGAACGTAGGGCTGCATGTGTCAGGGCTTTGTCGGTTGGTCTGGCTACAGGGGCATGTTTCTATACAGAAACCTACACCTCACCGTGCCGCTGTGTCCCCGGAACTGGGTAGCTAACCGTACTGACACGGCGAGTTGAAAGCCCACGAGCACACTCAGGTAGCCGATAGTATGTGGAATTGCTAGGTAAGTTGGCCGTTGTCCATCGTGTATGGGCTTTTCTGGCCTCGTTGCGTTTGTTGACACTTGGTTCTTCGCGTTTCTTCCTCGACCCGGAACCGCTTTCCCATTCGAGAGGTAGCGCTGCGTCATGAGGCTCTAGAACAGCCCCATGGGTTTCGCGAGAGCAAGTCACAACAAGAGCGCGGATATATCCATAGGAATGGGCTTTTCACACCACAGTCTCTCTAATTTACCTGCGAGGACGACTTTATCAAACTCCCGCCGATCCGCGGCGGCGCATCAGCAGCATTTCCTCATGAACCATCCTCAACATGTTCATTCTCAAAAGGCAACAGCGCAATGTGAGAGAAAACTGGCTATGTTCGTGTTCCGCAGTTTCGAGTCGGATGCTTCAAAGATCTAGGCATCTACCTCGGCAGGAAGGCGCAACATCAGGCTCCCTCAAACGGCTGGCCTGGACGCCTTGAGTGGCACAGGTGGCTTAACTTACCATAGGTACTGGAGGTCACAGAAGTCGGAACGAACTTGGGAAGCAAGGTCGTTTGTTAGTTTGCTGACAGAGCATGAATCATTCCTGATGCTGCTTAAACCCGGCAGATTGTAGGTGGCTGCTTGTCTCGGTGCTGAGAACCTTGCAGGTGGCTGAGGCGTGGTGCTCGAGGTGGTTGGTGGTATCAGGCGTCCAGGAGGATTCTGACTGCGTTGGAAGCAATTACCGACCCGCGGTGGAACCGAGGGGGACCGCGGTACCCATCAGTTGAACAAAGGAAATACTCCCTGGGGCCTGGTATACACTCAATTCGAGATCGAGGGTGATTTCGATACTCTGTGACGACGGAAATACGTTGGTCGTCTCGATTGTTCTGATGATTCCCCAGATCTTGGGTACCTATCAGCTACAGCATTGATCGAAGGTGGGCCGGTTTGTTTTCACCAGGGCTTTTGGCCTTCCGAACTTGGTCAGTGTCGTAGTTGTACTATAGCAAGGTGATTGCAACTTGGGGCTGGCTGTTGAAGTCTCCCGTCCATATACGGATTGATATCACATATGTACAAGTACACGGGCGATCGGTATGGTTCCTGAAAAACGTTAGGCCACTCGGAGCCCGACGCGGGGCCATTCTCCACCTTTTCGGCTGAGAATGTGACCCACCCTTTCTGTGATCCTTCTGCTATGGGCCGCAGGGCTGAAAAGTCCGGCAACGAACACAACGTGGACGACGAGCAATGCACCTGCTGGTTTAGGATGGGCGTTGCACCAAAAAACAGCGTTGAACGCGCTATTATTGGCGCTTACATCACATGGCCCGTTTCGTTCCATATCACTTGCCCGCCCTTTCCAGGTTCCAGGCTGCCTTACAAATCATCTACGGAATAGCACGTTCCCTACCCTACAACCAAGTCATTTCCTCTCTTTGCTTCTTTCCCCGTCAACGGTTCCCGCTGGACAAGGAGTCGAAGGAGTTGATGTGACATCGGCAATCTCTCACGCAGCAGAGTGTTGACTGAGGGGGTTCCAGCGGGGGCAGAAGTCAAAGTGACATCGGCAAACTCTCGCGCAGCAGCGTGTCTGCATCAACAAGCGATGGATGTCGCTCCATCTACCGCATCCGCTTTGTATTGGTTGATTCGCGCTCAGGGCGTCACATCGCTGCATGTCAGCTTGGGGATGTGCGCCTGTACTATATCACCTGTCTTCTTTACTCGAGCGGTTTCGAGGAATTTATTGGGCGGGGAAGCAAGCAGCATCCGGGTCCAACGTGATCTCGATGCTTGAGCGTTACTCCAGAGCGGATTCGGCGATAAGCTGCATTAAATGCGCCTCCCGCACCCTTGCCCAAGAGCTTCCATTTTTCTGGAGAGATGGCAGGGTCCCTCTGCTCCTTAGTGGCGCATAACCGCCATCTGTCTGCCCCGAGAAGTCGGAGCCTGCTGGCACCCCTGCGTTTGGGGGGAGGACAATGGGAATTTCCCGGCCTAAGGTCTGCTGCCCACGACTCGCGAAGCGATACAATCGGAAGGCCTGGTCAGATCCTTGGTGGTCTCTCCACCTAAAATGAGGCGTGCCCGAATGGCCCGTCTCCATACTCACTGTGAAGCGCTCTCTAACAACAGGAGCTTGGGGTTACGCTTTCTTACCTATATGACAAGAGTGACCGCACCTCAGGGGGCCCGTGAAACTTCTCCCGCGGACCCAGGTCGCTATAACAAATTTCTCATCTCGAAGTCACCAAGCCTAGACAGACCGGAAAGAAAGAAGCAAAAGAGCGAACGAGAGCGAGACAGGTGAACCCCGTTCCGAGCCAGCGGGTGGGATGAAGAAACAAGGAGCGACAGAACTCTCCAATATGGGGCTGGACTCGGACTCACCCCCATCCCCATCGGCCTCTCGACCCCCACAATCTGGGCGGAAAGGTTCGAAGAAAGTCAGGACGGGCTGCATCACATGCAAGTAAGTTAACGTTACTGACATCTCGATCGGGTCATCAACTCCTCCCATTCCTCTGTCCCATCGACACACCATCGCTCTGCTGGTCCGCGCTCGCATCCGCTAGACGAGGCTCGCTAACTTCAGACAATGCTTCGGTATGAGACAGGATCCGCAAGGTTAAATGCGACGAAGCAAAACCCTTCTGCATGCGCTGCACCCGGACGGGCCGCAGGTGCGATGGCTATTTGGACGCTAAAACCATGGCACAACGACGACGCCGGTCCGGCGCACATGTGGCCGGCATCATTGGGGAGCCCCAAGCGTTGCCAGCGCTTCTTTATAACTGGGCGTCCTCAGATGAAAGACGGGCTTTCCACTTCTTCCAGCACATCACGGCGCCCTGTCTCTCTGGTGAGCTCGATGGTGCCTTTTGGCGCGTGCTGGTGCTCCAGGTCTGCCAGTCCGAGCCCGCCGTCCGCCATGCCATCCTTGCCGTGAGCATCTTACACGAAGGCATGGTCCAGGCGGGCATGACGCCCTACGCCAACGTCAAGGACCGGAACTCGTTTGCGCTGCACCAGTACAATCGCGCCATCGCTTGTCTGCTGGACCAGATGCGGACGGTCGACGCGAGGCCACTGGTCCCGCTTCTGACTTGCCTACTCTTTGTCTGCATTGAGCTCATGCAGAGCAAGGACAGAGAATCCCTCCTTCATCTCGAACAGGGCCGCCAGATATTGAACCAGCTGGGGCGCAAGTCCTCGGCACGAAATCCCGAGATCGATCTCATCAAACAGCACCTCGTGCCCATCTACACTCGCCTAAGCTTGACGTCGCTGATGCTTGGCGGTACACCCGTCGAGATACCAACTCCACTCAAGACATTGACCGAGTTGCCCATGGTGTTCGAGTCGATCGATGAGGTCCGGTACGCGCTCTATGACTTTATGGACGAATGCCTCCGGTTCGCAAAGAAGAGTCACGTGGCCAAGCTCAGAGAGATTCCCCCAGATCAGATGCGGGCGTTTGAGAAGGATCAAGACTACCTGCTGAGGAAACTTGCAAGATTCAACGTCGCCTTCTCGCTGTACCGTGCAACCAAATCCCATGACGCGCCGGCCGGTTCCATTTGCCTCATACAGATACACATCCACAGCACCTCAATCTGGGTATCAACAGCGCTCAGTCAGCATGAGACAGCTTTTGACGACCACATCGACGCCTTCTCGGCCATGATTCCACTCGCCACCGAATTCCTCAACACGTCTAGCATGCCTCCACCGAGCCAGGAGCAGCAGCAGGCATCGGGCCGGGCATTCGACACGCGCCGCTTCTCCGCCATGTTTACGTTTGAAATGCACATTATTGCACCGCTTTACTTTGTGGCGGCCAAATGCAGGCATCCACTCATCCGGCGTGCTGCACTCGACCTCCTCCAGCGCAACCCAGCGCGCCGCGAGAATCTGTGGCGAGCCAACGTGATGGCAGCTATCGCAGAGCGGACGATGCGACTTGAGGAGAAGCATTTGGCCCCAGACAATCAACCTCACTCTCAGCACCCGTCGCCGCCCGAGCTGATCGTGCCTTGGCCCGGCATGTCAAGTTTACACGAGGATCCCTGGTCAGGCAACCGCTCGGATGCCCCGTTTTATACGTTTGGCTCGATTAACCTGGGGGCGCCATTGGCAGCTGATGGCGGGCCATCCTTGGACAGCTTCGACACTTACCAGGGGCCGGTAACGTCGTCTTGCTCGTCCTCCTCGGCAACGGGAAGCGCGGATGCGGGAAGCCTGGGCGACGTTGCGGGACAAATGCCGATCGATCCGGAGCTTTTCTTCGACCCTACCGAGGTATCGACTGCTCATTCCTTCAGCGCCGCGCCTTCCATCGCATCCTCGCTCGACGACCTCGCCGTCCCGCCGGTGTCGACCCCTTATCTCGGGACGTCTACCGAGTCGCCGTCGGAGCTATGGAGCGGTACGACGGCACAAGCGGCCCCGGGCAGCGCGCTTGAGCCGGCGACGCCGTTGGATAGCGGCGAGACTTTTATCCTGCCCTTGTCGTCGTATGCACACTCGCGGGGGCGCTCACGCTCGCACTCGCGGCCGCCGTCCCGATCCCGCGGGCCGTCGTCGTTGGCGTCTGATGGGTCCCCGGCTTTGCAACCGACAGGGATGGAGACGGGAACGGCGTCGGGGCCGAACATGTCCGGATTTCAGGCGTACCCGAACCTGGGCTTCGGTCAGCTGAGTCCGACCACGGGGTTGCGGAGTTCGGATGCGCCGTACGATGTCCCTGAGCGGTTCCGGGTGCATGAGTCGATCATTGGCCCGGATAAGGAGGATGGAACCAGCTGGGTCATGATGTTTCGGAAGCTTGGGGGGCTGAATGCGGAGTGGGATGTGATGACTGAGTATGTTGCTGTTTAATAGATGGGCGGGTGGTGAACTATTTATGGGCAAGACTTTTTTTGGTTGGATACATTGGATACACTGGGGATACACGAGGATAGATACCCCGGCAAACAGAGCAATCTTGGAGTACATGTTGCTTCGGCAGAGAGGAGGTAAAGGCTGGCCTCCCGAGAACCGCTCTGTGGGTTCGTTACTGTTTATATGATTTTATGGTTGAGTTAATAAATCCTGTGTCGGTGACGACTGTGGGAATTCCTCCTGAGTGACATCCTGGCGTCGGAGGTGGCTCAACTTCCATAAGGTACAGTACAACTCACTTACACGCTTATCAGATCACCCCACCTCATTTCGGCAGGCACGGGGAGAGAAGAGAACTCAAAAGAATCAATTACTCGTTACGTCCAGCGCCACCGTGCAACGCACCTGACCCATTTCTTTACCGTATTTGTCAATCCGAATTGCACTCATCTCCAACCTGGAAGTTACTGGAAATGATCAGCATTCGACTTCACCGAACCCAACTTGGTAATTGTATCGACGGACCGATACCACTCTCTGACCTTGAGTCCACAACAAAAACATGTTCCAGTCACGACCGACGTCACAGCACTCACAGCCCAGCAGCAACGAAGTGGTGCATCCTCCCCAGATAGGAGACAGAGCGCCGTCTCTGGGAGAGACCATCCGCTTCCCGCACGACAAGCCCGTGCTGGTCGTCTTCCTGCGGCACTGCGGCTGTCCCTTTGCCGAAAAGACATTCAAGCTGCTTACGAACATTTCGAATCACCATCCCAAAATCCACTGCGTTGCTGTCTCGCAGTCGACGCAGGAGGATACAGATACGTGGTACGTTTTGTTCTTCAGAAAGACGAAAAGAAATCGTTGATAAGCGGCTAATTCAATTGTGTCGGATAGGATCGTCCAGGTAGGAGGCGAGTGGGAGGTCCAGGTTATTGTCGACCCCCAGCGCGAGCTGTACCATGCCTGGGGCCTGGGCCTGAGCTCAACCTGGTATGCCGTCAATCCGCTGGCCTTGTGGCATGCCTGGAAGCTGGGCACCGAGGAGGGGATATGGTGAGATCCTTTTTCTGCTTCTTCCGGGCTGCTCCTTGGCGGTCAGATATTGCTGACTCGAGATGCTTGACAGGAACCGCAATGCTGAGAGCGGCAGCAGGTGGCAGATTGGCGGAGCTTTCGGCATTGATGCCCAGGGATTTGTGCGATGGGGTGGTCCTGCTGCCAGCGCGGACGATGTGCCGGACTTTAAGGAAGCGCTGAGGGTTTTGGGTGTCAATTGGGTGAGCCCAAGGGGCAGTATGAGTTGAGAGGACTTTTCATGTGTGTCGTTAGGGTGTTCTTGGGGGTTTATTCAAGAAGGACGCATTGGCTTGGTCGGGGGACTTCTGGGTGTCCAGGTTCTGCTTCTCTTCCCCTACTCTGCGGTTTGGTCTTGGAATTGGACGACTAAGGAAACTATTTCTTGAAAGGCTTGGGCTACATACCTCTACGCTGCCAGTAGCGGCCATTTAAAGCAAATTATTCCGTCATAGTTCCCGGAAGATCTCCTCTATTGCACGCGCCACCCTCTCCACGATCTTGGCGACCAGCTTGCGCGAAACGTTGTACGCCGGCATAATCATGATGTGGTCGCCCCGTCCACCTCCAGCACACCCCTGACCATGGTACACCAGCACCCTAAACACCCTTACCGCTCTGATATACACCCGCTCAGCAACCTTCAAGTCCGGCTCAAACGGCTCCTTGGTCGCCTTGTCCTTGACAAACTCAATACCCCAAAACAGCCCCTTCCCCCTCACATCCCCTACATTCGGGTGCTGCCCGAGCCTCTCCTTCAACAGCCTGCCCAACAAATATCCCCGTAGTTTCACATTCCAGATCAGCCCTTCCTCCTTCACCGCCCTCTGCACCTGCAACGCCGCCGCCGCAACCACAGGATGGTTCTGGTACGTATGGCCGTGCGTAAACACCCTCCCTTCCCGACCCATAACCCGCGCCACTTTGCCCCCAACCAGCAAAGCCGAAGCCGGCTGATATCCCCCCGCAAACCCCTTGGCAACAGTCTGCAAGTCTGGCGCCACATCATCCCCGTCTTCATCTCCCAATCTCTGCCAGGCATGCAACCTGCCCCCGATCCTCCCCATCCCACACATAACCTCGTCATAGATTAGCAGCGCCCCGTGGCGCTGACACACAGCCTTCATGGCCGCGAGGTATCCCGGCACGGGCGGGACGCAGCCCAGGGCGGCGCCAACGACGGGCTCAAGGACGACGGCTGCGACGGTGGACGGGCCGAGGCGGGCAAATACGTCCTCGAGCTCGGCTTTCTGGCGGGCGACCAAGGCGGTGTCTGTTTCGGAGGGCGAAAGACGCTGGCGGTAGGGGTTGCAGGCAGGAATGTGGTGGAAGTTGGACGGGGACAGGAGCGAGTGGAAGGGCACGCGTCGGGTGTGGTCTAGACGAAAGGGGAGAGGGTGTGTGTGTTAGGTTTTGTTGTTGACTGGGTTCAGGGGTAAGGTTGGGGGGAGGCTTACGGCCAGAGACGGAGAGGGCGCCAATAGTAGTGCCATGATATGACTCGTGCCGAGCGATGAAGTTTGTGCGCTGTGGCTCGCCCACCCAGCGGAAGTATTCGATGGTGAGTTTCAGGGCTGCTTCCATTGCTTCCGAGCCTGGCGGTTTGGGGATTAGCATACCTTCGAACTAAAACCAGATGAGATATAGGAACGGGCCGCACCGGAGCACATGATATAGGCCTTCTCCATCTTGCCGTCGGTGCTCTGGATCAGCCAGTCGGAGAGCTCTTGGACAGGCTTCGATTTGAAGTGGGCGTACGAGGCATAAGTGAACGATTCCATCTGGGCGTTGACAGCCCTGATGACGTCCCGGCGGCCATGTCCGAGGCAGGCCACACCGGCGCCGCCGCAGGCGTCAAGGATTCGGGGCCCGTCAGCCGGGTACCAGTAGTGGCCCTTTGCCTTCTTCAAGACAGGAAGACCGTCAGGGTGCAAATGGGACTGGAACAATTCTGAACCCGAGTCGATGATGTCTCCCTCGGCCTTACTAGGTAGCATCTGGCGAACCGACATCGAGGAGCTGGAGATTGATTGTCCCATCTTGAGGCACGGGCAAGTCTAAGCAGAAAGGAAGAGAGTGTTATGGACGAGAAGCCGGCCGAACAAAGCTCAGAAGCTGAGAGCTGGTCATCTGAGCGTCCATTTTGTACCCGACACCTCACCTCGTGGAAGCCCGGTTTGACTCCCGACAGTGATTGTCCCGCTATCGATGCCGCAAGATCTGCCCCTGGAAAGTCGTCACTTCTACGATATCTCGTGCCAAAGAAACATGGCAGCCTCAAGCAACGGCAAGGCGCATTGGCCCGGTCAAACCTGTCTGCCACGTTGAAGCACTCCCTAGAACCGGTAAGCGCTTGCCAGCTTCAATTGGCAGGACGCACCGAGTTCATCCAACCCACTTCCTCCATCCCCTAGCCATCCCCCACTTTCGGTGGTCAGCCGTTGTCGTCACTGCCGCCTCGGTGTGAAAGCTACAGTAAGGGTAACAGCATGATGGGACTCGAGTCACACCCTCGGTCCTATGCAGCCATGGAGAGGAAAGGGGAGACCGTTGGAATCGTGGATGCATCGAAGCGGGGGGTAGGACATCTTCCCTGTACCATATTGCCAGGGCGTGTCCTTGGCGTCGCGAGACGCAGCGCAGTCCGGAAACAAATGCGGAACAGAGTCGGGCGAATCGCCTACTTGCCTGGCTTGACGGAACCCTTCGAACGAACCTGGCACGCACAGGCTCGAGTGCATCAGGTACCCCACGCGGGCTCGGTAGAGTCCAGCCAAGAGAGAAACCAAGGAACTTGACGTTCTCTGGTCGGTGCAGTGACAATGGCCTCCATCTGCCCGGCCGTCCCACGCCAACAAGAGGTAAAATCAGGTATAGGATCGGGGAACAGGCGACGGGACACCGTCAGTCACGCGTTACAGCGTGCAGGGCAAGCCGGCTGATGCCGAGCCCCGTGGAGACCGAAATCATGCCACTCTCGCGCCTCTCACTCAGAAATTAGACGAGGCATGCCGATAGTGAGCCAACAGCCCGCTCCGGTCCCCTCCCCGTCCGCATCTGTGACTCGCGGACCAGACAACGACCGGTAAAGGCCATCCGGAATCGGGACGGATACGGCATCCAATAGGGACGCCACGTTGGCCGAAAACCCGCTTCACCAATGATCCCGAGCTTCCTGTCGGGAACGTGTCAGACGTGGCGGCCCTGGGTGAGATCTCCTGATGCTGACGGCTGACGGCATGCCTAGACTGGTATGCCGGGTGCTCTCCCACACCCGGGCTCTGTTAGGGTACCGCCCATCATCAACCGGCACCATCGCAGGAACAGCACCAGCAAGAACTGGGAAGAAGTCGAGGAACTGGGAAACGGGAAAGCGAGGGGGCTACGTTATAGGATTTCATACCTTATTTTCTTACATCGTATAGACGAATGTTCCTTCCCGTCCGTCGTATTCTGACATTACTGGCACAGTACAGGAAGTCGCGAGTCAGACCGACCTTCCGCAAATTTAACGCTGGGGGCATCAGTGATGTGGTCTCCCAGCCGATTCTTAATACTTCGAAACTCGAGTCTACCACGTGCTCACAACGGAACTCACACCCACCATCAATCTACTAACAATGGAATTGCCGTGATTACAAGCCAGGGCAACTAAGCGAACCATGAGACAACAAACCGAGGCGAGCACTAGCATTGGATGATGGCAAGGAGCAGCTACCTACTCATACAGAGCGCCGGGTCCCCTCGACGCGGCCTGACCCGTCGGCAAAATAGGGGAACGAGGGAAGCAAAGGTGGGGCCCAAGGAGGGAAAACGGGAGACATCTTCAGCATGGTAGCAGCCGGCCGAGCATTGGTTGACCAAACAGCAGTCGTACGATACCTGTGTGAACGCTCCAGGTTGGTCAGTGGCCGGTCTAACCTGGTCAAACCATCAACGCTGTCAACGATGCCGAGATGGACCGATGCCGAGCTGAACCGATGCCGTCACCCAACCGCAAGAGAGCTCTCCCATTACCAGCAACGAATGGGAACTAGATGGCTCTGTTGACAAGCCGGCGCCCGATCCTTCTTCTGAGGCCAGACGGGACCGGTGAAGGCGGTAAGGCTAAAGCCGGCTGATGAACAAAGTGCATAGTTCGGGGACCGAGCGCCTCACTGACTTTGCCATCGGGCCGAACCTGGGCCAGGCGGAGCGGGAAGCTCAGCCGAAGCCTTGCAAATAGGGGCCAAACACAAGAGCGACCCAGGCCACACACAGATTAACCGAAACCAGGAACGGCAAACCAAGAATGACACAACGACGACAACATAAAGGAATAGCAGCTAATATCTTAAGGTAATACCTTCCATACGTGCTGTCAAGAACCTTGCAAAGCCCTCGTCAATGAACTCGATTGTCAACTCCGCCACGTCCCCGACAAACAAGCCAGCCCATGACGGCTTAACAAACGAAGCAACAAAATACCTGAATAGATGGCTGAAACGTATACTCGTAACCCTTCATACATACAGAGATTCGTACCGGACCAACAACCCAGATGCCAACCCCGAGCGCGCCCATAAGCCAAGCACAAGCGATGTAAACTACGAGAGAGCAACAGGACCGATCGACTACATGAGCATCAACATGTCTTCATGCTGCCCACACCGGGAGAAAAAGAGCCCAAACAACCCACTGCCGAACGAGTGCAATAATACATGAACCCTGTCCCCGTCAAGTGGACATGTCCAACATGTCCAGCGCCATGAGAAACGAGGGGTGAGTGGACCGGCGCAACGCCATATACCCGAGTAAACAGAGAGGGAGAAGGTATTTCAAGTCTGTAGCACGATGGACATGATATCGCCACAAGATCAACGTAACTCCTAGCCGACAGTCGACAGGCCCCTCGATGGCAGTCTTACCCACCAGGCAGGGTCTGTTAAGTACTGCCGCTGGCAGACAGGTCTCCATTCGATGCGGGCTGTACCTGCTTTCCGTGTCCGACAGGCGCGTGATAGCTGCCAATGCTTTGAAAGCCCCTGGTCCCAGCGTCAGCCATTCTAATCGAGTTTTTGCTTTTTTGAGTATCGCATTGGAGGAGCATACTTGGTCAAGTCAAAGCCACCCTCTTCCTCGCCACCAACCGGACTCGGCGGCTCGTCCACGTTGAGTCGGCTAGTCGGCCTCGTGGGGCTCGGCGCCGGCGACTTGCTCCGCAGCGGACTGCTACTGGGGGGGGGATGGCCGCCCGACACCTTGGAAGGGCTGAGGTCGAACGGCGCCTGAACGGGCTTCAAAGGCGTGCTCCCAATGTCGGCGTACTTCCAAAACGGCGCCGGCGAACTTGTTGGCATGTGTTGGCTGGGGCGTTGCGCCGTGCTCGGAGGCGCGAGCTTAGGGTGCACACGGTGCGGTGCTGGCGTGACAAACGACGCACCGTCGTCTTGCAGGTACGACGACGTCAGCGTCGGCGACGCCGGCGCGTTCTCCACCAGCCCCAGCGTGCTTGACGTGTTTGGCTTCCGTATGCGGGGGAGGGGGCTATCATCCGTACCCGCGCCGGCTTCGTCAGGTAACGGTTTCCGCATCGGGCGCACAGGGGTTGAGTGCGACTCCCGCAGAGACGACCGTGGCTGGGGCGAACCAGATGGCGACACTTTTCGCTTGCGAACCGACATGGGATCCTTCGCCGCCATGTCCCTGGGCCCGGAGGTGATGTAGCTTAGCTGACTAGGCGATGACGGATTCGAGGAACCACGGTGGCCGCCGCGGCCCCCTCGCCAGGCGGTGCGCAGCATCTCTTCACGGGACTCGGGAACGAGTTGCCACTTCATGCCCTTGCCGGGTTCATCCGTCGAGCGGGCAATCTTCTCGAATGCCTTGTTCAGAGACAAGTTATGCCGGATCGAGTTCTGCAAGGACTTAGTTCGGTGCGACAAGAGAACCATTTTGCCAAGTTATGCCTACCTGCCAACCACTGGCGGGCTGATGCCTGTAGTAGGCATACCGCGTCTGGATATAGTTGTATATGCCGGCCAGGTTGAGCTTCTGGTCGGGCGTGTTCATAATCGCTTGTGTGATCATCTGTGCATAGCTGAACTGGGGCTTGATGTGCCGGTTCTCGTCCAGGCTCAGATCCAGATCGTTGTTTCCCATCAGCAAGGGGCCGGCTCCGTGCTCGAAAAGAGGTGTCTTGGCCGTCGCGGCAGTGCGTGCTCGGACAGACGGCGGAGTACCTGGACGCTTGTAATCGGGCGGCGCCGGAGCTAACGGTTTCTGCGAGCCGTGGCCGCGCGACAGCTTGCTCGGGGAGCTCGAGTGCGCGCCGTCCCCTGACGGGAGGGGATGGCGGGTCTGTCGGGCAGGAGCTGCTGAGGACTCGGGTTTGACGATTCCGGCTCGTTCAAGATACTGCTGAGCAATCTGAAGCGGGCTCAGATCGATGGGAAGGACAAACATCATTTCAACGCCGCCAATTTCAATCACTTCGCCACTCCGCAGTGGCCCAGCTTGACCGGCCTTCCACAAAGTGCCATCCACCTTGAGCGAGTTGCGCCCCTTGACGAGCAGCCACCAGGTTTCCTGATCGCGGTTGAAATAGACGACGGCGTGGAGGCGCGAAATGAGCTTGCTTGGGCCCAAGTCAATGTGCACCGCATCAGGGTCTTCCGGGCTCTGTTCGGCTCGAGCCTGGGCGGGGTCAGACAAGCGACCGATGTTCACAGTGAGCCTCGTGATGTAGAAGGTCCAATCGAGGGCAGCAATCTTCGCATAGGCCTTAACGCCCTCCCTATTAGACTCGTGGATGCTGTTCGAGTGGTCCATGCTGGCCTGTACTGGCACCGCGGGCGCCATAAGATGCTGGGTCACACGGGTGACAAGTTGATCGTCGTCTTCTATGGTGGACTGGTCGGCGAGGTGTGACGAGTCGCCTTCGTCAGCAAGCTCGGAGGTCTCGGTAGCTTCGGCGGCTTCATCATTCTATTCACGCGCAACATTGTTAGTCGCAGGAGAGACGGCGCATTGATGGTGGGTGCAGTAATGAAGCAAAGGGCACCCTGCTCCGTCGATGTTGGGGTTGCAACAGCACCGGGGTGCATGGGCGACGTACCTTTCTGCGTCGCTTGGAGGGGCGCGACGGGGAAGACGATTCGGCAACGGCATCACTGCGCAGCTCACGACGAGCGCGCTGGCCACGCTTCCCAGGAGATGGCATTATTTGGTATCGCGAGCGTGTGCTAGGACATGGAGCGACAGAGGGAGAAGAGGGAGGGACTGATTAAAATTCGAGCCTATCTCGCGGTGAAGGGAGGCTGGCTACTCGTTGTCGCCGCCGCTCGTGGACAAACCTGGCACCGAATGCGACGCCGGTTATGCGGGGGCGCAGTGTTGATTGACAGAAGGTGAGGATTGGTCGTATAGAAATAGCTGGCCCGAGAAAGATGCCGCGATTACAATGGTGTCTTGTAAAGGACGCAGAATGAATGTATGCGATTGCCAGGACTTGGTGTCGAGAGTGGTTTCTGATCAAAGTTCCAAGTTGTTTAATTGAACCACTTTTCGCGTTGACAAAGGCGCGCGAGGCATGCACGAGGGGACCTGTGGCCAATCAGGCGGGCGACTTCCTTCCTTCTGGCGGGGCAAAGTGGAGATTCACATGCATCGCGTCGAGGTCATCAAAGACGCACTCGAGTCGGGGTTTTTGAATGTCGACAATCTTTACGATAACATTCCGATACATTCGACGGATCCGAAAACAGCGAGTATACGTATGGAAGGGGGCGAACGTGCGCTTGCATTCGTACTCCGTACATCACCCTGGTTTTCATTATTTTCAACTAGCTTTCTATTCTTGACTACTCCGTAAGTTTATCTTATTGTTTAACACGTGCAACCCAGACAAACCTGGAGCCACACTCATAATTCCCCAGCCCCCGATTTCTGCCATCCAAAGTCAACAAACGAACAGGGTAGGCCCCACACAGGTCAAGATCATCCCAAGCCTCGGCCAAAGTGATAAGAGCACGAGTCTTCGTTCACACTCCATACGGATACCAATAACGCAACTTGGGGCGTCTATATGTACTCGTGCAGGGACATACTGAAGCCAGCCAAAACGGATCTACACCAACTTGCACAAGCTTACGCATTCCTCGGATTCAAATCCCAGACATGCACGCCAACTGCGTCACCCATCATTGTCATTGAAGCACCGAAAATATGGGCGGTGCCGCAAATGATACAAGCAGTGTCCGTAACTACCTCTCCAAGGGCTAGATGGATGTCTGGGGTGCGACTTGAGACCTCATCACAACTGAAGAAGGTGCTCTGGCAGCATTCTCGAGACGACCAGGGAGAGCAAGGCCGGAAAGTCACTTAGGTAATATGCACTTACTGTTCGGACGTCTTGGAGCTTCTGACAATCCAGTCTCCAGCGATCCTATTTCAACACCCAGTCAACACTTTGTCAACCCTTGGTGGTGATGCGCTGCTGTAGTCCTCGGGCGTCATGGCTTGCGCGCAGTGAGTCAAGGGGAGCGCCGTAGACCTTTGCTTTCTTCTTTTCCAAGACTTCATTCGGCAGTATTTCTGCTCTGCGGCCGAAAGACCGAGCCAGCCGTTGAGAATGTCACATTGACCCGAGCCTACCACTATGCCATGGGACATAGACAGGTCCCGGCACGGAACTTCAAGTCTCGAACCCGTTTCGTTGCCCATGATTACTTACATGGCGAGATCTGCACTGCATTAGCGCCCGTTCATATGGTCAATTTGCGAGCAATCTAACATAGATGAAGGTTGTAAGCATGTCAGCGAACGGCATCCAGGAGGGGTTGAGCAACACCACCCGGCACTTAGAAGTGGTGATAGGATTGTGGTATTTAGCGGCCACAGTTCCGGGTAAGGTCTACTACTACAATATTTGCACCGGCAAGCTCCCTTCCCTCTGGCCAAACACACCAGACCTCTTGTCCAAGATGCAGTGGAAGGCTCTCGCTCCCACTCTCGCTCTCCTAGTCGAGCATGGCTCCGGCCAGGGGTTCCCCGTGCCGTCAGGCATCCCGGCCATGCTGCGTTTCCAATGCTCACAGCTCGTCGTTGAACGTCTAGACCCTCTGGTCAGTCCCGGCTTGATACCCTCGCCACATCTTCACCAGATCGTTGGAGGGAACTCGTTCAACGCGACCTTGTCGCACGACCTGGTCAAGGAATCGACATGCACCAGCTGCACCTTCACCGAAGATTTCTCCAACTACTGGACCGCCGTCTTGTACTTTCGAGCCCGCAACGGAACCTACAAGCGCGTGCCCCAGCTCCCAAACCTCGGCCTCGGCGGAAACGGCGGCATCACCGTCTATTACATCCCGCCCCACGACGGAAAGACCAACGTGACGGCCTTCAAGCCCGGCTTCCGCATGCTGGTCGGAGACGCGGCCCTGCACGAGCCCGGTCAAGACCCTAAGGTCTGCCATCGCTGCATGCCCAAGGAGGGCGACCACAGCCACCTCAACTGCGCCGCTCCCGACACACAGACGCTGCCCAAGGAGCCCTGTGTGGGCGGCATCCGCTCCGTCATCACGTTTCCCACCTGCTGGGACGGCGTGAACCTCAATCCGCCGGACCACAAGAGCCACGTCGCCTACCCGATCAATGGAAGCTTCGACCACAACCGTGACGGCGGTGTCTGCCCGGATACACATCCGGTCAAAATCCCCCAGGTCATGCTGGAAGTTATCTGGGATGTAAGTGAACCGGTGTTCTCTCTCACTACTGCCCACACAGAGATAAATATAGTTATAGTTATATAAAAAAAATTTTTTTTTTTTGAGCGGGCGATCTCTGCTCTGACGCGACCGCAGACAACACCCTTCAATGACCCGGAGCTATGGCCCGAAGACGGCTCGCAGCCGTTCGTTTGGAGCACTAACGACAAGTGAGTTCTCTCACTCTGCCTCATGCACAGTTGAGTTCAGGGTATTTTGTGAGACCGGCCAGGGCTACACACTATCTAACCAGCACTGTTTCTGCAGAGACGGCTACACGCAACATGGGGACTATGTCTTTGGCTGGAAGGACGATTCCCTCCAGCGCGCCATGGATGCCCGCTGCACGGGAGATACATGCTCCGTGTTGGAGCACCAGACGTTTGAGGAGTCGATGAAGTGCACATTGCCACAGACCGTTCAAGAGCACGTCGACGGATGTGAGTGGACATACCCAGATAACTCAAGAGAGCCCCCCGTCATTGTTACTCGACTGACTGTAGTTCAGGGGTCACTAGCATCCCGGGCCAGGAACGGCTTGCTTAGCTACCGGCATGAGCATGGAAACTCTAGGTTGTGTTTGATATGATCACTAGACGGGATGGAACTAGATGCGGCCGCTTAGTCGTTCGTTAGTGTCAAGTTCGAGATAATGTTAGTTGATCAACCCGGTCCTGTTGTCTCAGGAAAGGGCAGGATTGCTAGGCAGGCCATCCTTCGAAGGGAGATGTTCAAGTATGTTCTAAAGCATACATCATGTGTTGGCGATGGCGGTTATAAGGTACATTATCTCATACGCTTGTCTACGAAGTATACTAGGCTGAATGCTTCTTGTAGGTAAACTTGAAGAGTGAAGATGTGTTTCCATTATAAGCATATCACCTCAACCCTCGCTTGACCAGGCTCTATCAGCATATCTCTTTCCCTTTGCAACCACGGGACGCCGGTGCTTCTGTCCCACATCCGTGCCCACTCAAATGTCACCCGCCCGAGCGCTTTTCCACCGCCGCTGTGCAACACATAGCAATGATGTGATAATAACAACGAAAATGATCGAGTAGAAGGAGCTGCCTGTTTTACTTTGCCCTGCCCCAGCTGCCCGCCAACAAAAACAGCAAGATGATGTTCCTCCATCCTCACTATCTCCCACAGCCACCCATCGGCCCCATTTTGCATCCCATATTTACAAATACAAAACCAGAGGATAGACATAAACTAGTGATACATGATACAGCAAGGTCGTTGAATCGAATTGGGCAACCCCATTCAGGCCTCCCACTCACACAGCAGAATAGATCTCGCCTAACATCAGCAGGGCAAAACGACCTCCAAGGAAGTGGCCCTCTAAGCACTAGCCCCGGCAGCGCCGCCCCTCCTCTTAGGATTGCCCCGTCCAGCGCGTTTCTTCCCACCAGCGCCTCCAGCGCCGCCGCTCGACTTCTTATCCGTGCCCTCGATATACCGCACAAGCTCGTCAATGGTGCGGCTGTCCATCGACGGCGGCGGCGTCGGCTTGCCCGCGAGCTGGGTCGCGGCGGCGGCGCCGGAGCCGGCACCAGTAGCCGAGGTGCCGACGCTGGCGCCCCGCGAAGTGAAGCGGTAGCCGGCGCGGGCGCGGCGCGCTGCGAGGTCCTTGGCCTGCTTGGCGATGGAGACGGCGTTGTGAGTGAGCTGCTCGAGCCAGTGCTCGGCCTCCTTGGTGTTCTTGTCTTCCGGGCCGAGGGCGTTGCGGAATATATTGTAGCTCTCGCGCATGCGGTCAACGGCGGCCTTGGCGTCCTGGTCGAGAGCCAGGGCCTGGGCAAGTTGGAAGAGGAGGGTCGCCGAGTTGACGGACTGGCGGCCAAAGACCTTCTCGCAGACGCGAAGGGACTCTTCGAACCATCGGCGCGACTCGTGGTATGCCTTGAGACTCTGCAGCATCACGGCGTAGTTGTTGATGGTGGTGATGGTGTCGGGGTGGTCCGGGCCGTAGATAATCTTCCAAATGTTGAGTGCGTGCTTGGCGTAGCCCAGCGCAAGCTTGCTGTCGCCCCGTTGGTGGAGGAACAGACTGAGGTTGAGGTAGTTCAGCACAGTCTCGGCCGAGTCAAGGCCAACTGTCCGCTCGGAGACGATGGCAGCTTTCTTGGCCAGCTCCACCGCGGAATCCTTCTGATCCAGCTGGAAGAACAGCTGAGAAAGCGTGTGGTACATCTGTGCCACTTCGGGATGGACGAGGCCGTAGATTTGCTCATGCAAGGACAAGGACTCGAGGAGGAGGTCCTCACCAAGTCTCCTCTGGCTTTGGTAGATCGAGAGCCTACCAGCCTCAAGAGCCTCCTCGGCCAGAGCGCTGCGAGGACAAGAATCCTTGACGATGGGCACAACGTTGACAAAGTCCTCGGGGCTGAATGTGTGCGGCGCCACAACGGGTGACGGAGCGGCAGCCGGCGACCCATCGCGAGACTTCTTCTTGTTCTTCTTCTTGCTAGCGGGCTCAGCCTGGGGTTGGCCGTTCGTTTGCGGCGCGGGCTGAGGCTCGGCCGGCTGGGCGAACTGGAAGTTCTTGATCTGAATCTGGAGACCCAACTTCAGGGAGATTTCGCGGAGCAGCTGGAGATGCCTGACATGGCTCCACCAGCCATCCTGCAGGACAAACCGGAACCTGCGGGTCGCCTCGTTCTGAATTTCTTCCCTCAGGCTTTCTGGCGTGACTTTCTCGAACGCGAGATCCGCTTCGCTGAAGAGAGCACGGTAAGACTCGTCGATCTCAGCCACCGGCTTAGGATTCAACTCGGTGCCCAGAAGGCAGTTAAGGAGATGAGAGAAGCAGGCCGAAGTAAGCGGCAGGGGCAGGGTCTTGAGGTACTTGGCAGCGACGTGCTTAAATGACCTCGCAATCATTTCGCGAATGCAGACCTCACGGAAGCACTCCAGGCGGGTGTTGTCGCTAAGCGACGCCAGCTTGCCGAGGTACCGCAAGTTGATGCCGCGGCGATGCAGTAGGGAGGTGAGTGACCGGCCGTCCATGGGGAAGCTGATGTCCGACTCGTTGAGATCCCGAATGAGCGAGGGGATAACGGTGTTTCGGAGGTAAGTGCACGCATCCCGGACCTCCTGCTCGTCCTTAGCCATTTCCTCCTTCTCCTCGTCTGTTTGCGGGTCCTGGCCGCTGAAGACGTCAGGGTTCAAGGCGAACTTGAAGTTGGACATGTCGATCCGGTCGTTATCCGCTTTCTCTTGTTCCTTTTTCTCGACCGCGTCAGCATCTTTGCCCTCCACCTCGCCCTCCTCGCCCTCCGCCTTGGCCTCCTCGGTCTTTTCAGCATCATCCGCCTTCTCCTCCTTCGCCTCCTCAGCAGAATCGCCCTGCTTCTTCAAGGCACCACGCTTTTGCAGCTCGGCGCTGACAAAGTCGCGGGCCTTCTGCTTACCCAGCGCCTCCACCAGCTCCGGGCGCAGCACCGTCATCCGGTGAGGATACTCGGCGCCCTCAGGGCCGTTCTCCTCCATCCAGGCGACATCCAGCGGTGTGACGCGGTACAGGTCCAGCACGTACTTGCGCCCGTCGGTGCCAAGAAGGCCCTTCATTTCCACGCTAGCCTCGAGGTCAAACCGCTTGTTCTCCCTGTCCCAAACAGCGTGCTTCTTGATGCGCAGAGACTGCGCCAGCTTCTCGAAGGAGGGCGCAAAGCTCTGATCAGCAGCTACCACGTCCTTGCCATCAACAGCGCCGTAGTGAATCTGGTTCTCACCGGGCTCGGGCTGTTTGAAGATGCCCGGGACGATGCTCTGCCCGACAATGCGCTTGCCGAGATAGTCAACAACAACAGTGCCGGGAGTGTACAGGCCGTCAATGTCGAGCTGGTTCACGAGCTTGACGCCAAGAACATCCTTGCCTGTGGCAACACGCGCAGCCTCGTCCCCACCCTCGCTTGTGAAGGTGCCAACACCGTCAGCGCCAAAGGAGAAAAAGACGTTGTTGTAGACGAAGATTTGAGCATCTTTGCCTTCAGTGGGGTTGAGAGGCGCAACCTCGCCACGGGCAACCAGCACGGCACCGCGAGCAGCAGCATCGTTGTAGTCAGCGTGAAGTTTGGCCAGCAGACGTTCCCTGAAGACGCGGTCTTGGATGGTGTCCTTGGGAAGCTCCTTTGCAGACTGGAATTCTTCGTTCCAATCTCTCAAGGAATCCGTGTTCTCGGCACCTCCCAACAGGAATGTCTCTTGGGAACGAGTCGGATCGGCGACATGGGCGGACAGGGACGACGAAGCAGATGGAACGATCCAAGGAGCCGAGGGGACGGTATTCCCGATCTGGAAGGTTGCCAGAGGCTCCTTGGTGCTGGTGAATTGTTGAAGTTCGGCAAAGGACTTTTTGAAGGACGCTGAGATCTTCTCGAGGAGGGAAAGCAGCGAATGAGCTGAGGCGCCCTTGGCGTCGGTCCGAGGTGTCGGGTTGAACTTGTCCTTGTTGGAGTTGTTGACGAAGAAGCCTCCAACGTGGCCAGTGACATGGTATTGCTCGCCCTCGTTCGTGGTCACTGCGAGGTAGAGCAAGTGGCCTTTCTGCCTCCACTGCGCAGGGGGTGGGTTCCATGCTGAGAGGGTGATGAGCTTGACCGTCTTGGGTGCTGGCGCGGTCTCCTTGGGGAGGAGAGCAGAGAGGTCCGGCGTCGTGTTAAAGTCATAAGGCTGAATGTCCCTCTCGGCCTGCTCGGCCGCGGCTGCTACAACATCGTCGTGAATGGACGCGCCGGCGAGGATGCCGTGCGCAGTGTCGGTGCGATCTCCGGCGGCGCCGATCAGCTCCCTGATCCGGATGAAATGGATCCTGGCCTCTTTCTCTGTGTATGGGTCCTCCACGACGCGCAGCTCGGAGCCGGCGGCGAGCCCCTCGACGTCCGAGACCTGAACGAAGTCGTTGATGCGCTGCCCGTTGTGTTCGAGGTGGAAGCACGAGTACTGCACGGCAACCGGGTGCTCGATGACGGACTGGCGAATCTCGTGGATCTGCTCCAGGGGCGAGACCTAATTTGTGTCAGATGAGTTCCGGGTTCCTCTCAACCGATACCCAACATACCGGGAGCTCCAACGGGTTGGTGTCGTGTGGAAGGATAATCTTCACGACGAAGGGAGCATCTAGGCAGCAGTTAGAGGGCAATGACCAGTAAGGTCGAAAGTGTCGAGATGTTGTCCTGACACACCTTCGGGCTGCTCTGTGCCGTCTTCTGTCGGCTGCTCTACCGGGTTTTCGGTGGGCGTGTCCTGCGCGGCAGGAGTCTCGTGCGCCGGGTCGTCTGAGCAACAGTGAGAAGGCTGGTCAGTCCGCGGGCTCGGCCGCACAGTGTCTGGCAACAAAGGGGGTCTGTAGGTCGTGCAGGCTCAAGCACACATACTGATCTGGGCGGCGGCGTTGTTGGACGGTGCATCGGCCATGATAAATTATGTTTTGGTGTGTAATATCGTAGTATTCCGAGCAGTGGCGGAGCGATTATACAAGTATTACAGGATCGAAGGCCAGCCGACGTTGCAGACCTGCTCTTGAAGCAAAAGACGCAAGATGCGGAAGATGCAAAGGATGTCAAGTGTTGCAGCAAAGGGCGAAGAGAGTCCCAAATAGAGAGGGAAAAATGGCAGACACGGCCCAATTGGGAATCCAAAGGCCTAGAAGAAACTGCCGGACACCTGATTGAAGAAAACGACAGTGGACGGGACAGGAGAAGGATTGTTGTCTCGGTCGTCTGGGTGGTGAATTTTCTGCGATTCGGCCGAACTTATTTTTTTTTTGTCGGCCTATGATGAGGACTTGGACGCCGGCCTGTCGGGCGGGCGGGAAGACCCGGCTCCTGAGCAGGGAGGTACCCCACTTCGAGTTACCCAAGGCCGAAAGGGGCAATGGAGTAAACATCGTGGAACCTAAAGAATGAAACAGCGATTTTGGCACATTTTTGGACACATTGTGTCACGTCCATCAACAAACCATTCACTTACTGAACAATTTTCTTTTCATCAAGAAATTGCTTATTGCGTCACATTGCGCTCCGCAGTGAGTGCCTAGGGAGCTCATGGAGGATCACCCACGGCCATGCTCAGGCTCACAGGCATCGCCGAGGCATCGCAACCACTCAAAGCAGAATACGAGGACAGCAAGCTTGGAGTCATCACAGCCTTGGACAGCCACACGATGTCACCGGCTACTCCGTCCGCTCCTCACCCATATCGCTGCCCTGCGAAAGGACAAGGAGCGGAGTGCCTCGACTTGGTTGTTAACAGCTGCTAACCAGAGCACCAAGCCTCGACAAACTGTGCTCGGCAAGAGGAGCTATCCCTACGACGACGCAGATTATAGCGACAAGAAACCATGTCGGAAGTATTCTCGAAAAGCATCACGCAGTCTATCATCAGACACTCAGTCATGCACACCGCAGCGGAATGTGCGCATGCGGCGGCGCCAAACTGGCAACAGAGCGCCTGAAGATGTCGTGATGCCCACGCCCTTCCTTCGCCGCATCAGAAACCACGAGCCCTCTTCCCCAGCCCAGACCCCAGATGAGCCATGCCAAGAGGACCCAGGACCGGCAAGCCGGTGTTGTCACTCACGCAGCGGCTGTAGCACCAAGTGCATCTTCGAGATGGAATTGACTGGTATCCGCCCCATCATTGATCCGAAAGGACATGGACTCTTTGAATCTGTCTTCCGGGCTCTCGATTACTTGCTACGGTCGACCTCCCCGCAGAAGAACCGAGCGGCCAGCGCCAAGTCGCTGCTGGCCATGTGTCTCCGGAAGGTGCCAGCCTACATCGCAGGGCTCGAGGAGTGGGAGAGGGTGGAGGCCGATGCAAACGGCACCAAGTCAGCGATACAGGGCGCTGGCGTGTCCTTCGAAATCTACTCGGAGCTTGAGTCGCTGGGTGCTGTTGGGGGATGGAGACATCTATGCTTAGTGGTTCGAGCTCACGCTGTCCACATTCTCCAGGATGCCGTATTAGAGGGACTATTCGACCGCTCGGTAGCAGACCTACTAATTCGGGTGTGCCTCGAATATATGCCGCCTACCGAGTTCAAGGGCCTCCTTGATGCTGTTTTGGTCCGACAGTATCCGAAGCCTCACTCTACCGATTATTACGAGCTCACCCACCCCTTCAACCACCCGGGGCTTTGGCCACTCGAGGTACTAAATGCCTGTGACCCATCAGGGACCTCAATCATGCCGAGGATGTTGGCCGACCTGCTGGCCGACGGGCTGCTACCAGCCGACTGGATCCTGCATCAGGGTTTCACCCGGGTATGGCCGTCGACCGTCCGCAAGATCACACAGATGAAGCCTTGCCAGGATACCGTGGACTTTGTTATCATCATCCTCGGGCTGCTCTGTGAGCTCGCCACACCCACAAAGCCACGCGGCGTTCCCCAGACGCGGCTGCGAGGAGATTCACAGACAACACTCGTCAGCGCCGTTGCGGCACTCGGTTCCGTTGTCCTCCTCAGCGAGGAGAGATTGAGCGAAAGCAACGAGACCTGTTCAGCAACCCGGGCAACCGCCCTTCGCCGAAGGATGAGTTACATTGTAAGCACCTGCTCTTTCAACCTTAAACGCCGCAAAGTTGGTGGCAGGAAGCTCGGCACCTATCTCCTCGCGCTGTGCTCCTTCCTCTCCATCGAAGGGCCTTCCAGCTCAGTTATATCCCCAGCATCCACGCTCGAAGCCTCTTGGAGAGGTGTGAAACACTGCCGTGGCAACGCCAGCCTCATGCTCCAATACGACGCCACGATTGCCCTAATGAGCGCCATGGCGTACTCGTGCAGCCGTGGCGCTGGTCTCGCTCCGCACGTCTACCTCTCACGGTTCTGCGACAAGCTGGAGTCCCTGGAGCTACCAGGCGGCGCGTTGAGCAACATGCGCGTGGACGGGGCGTTTCGGCTGGCAGAGCACACGGGAGATCTTAGAGATCTCGCTTACGCCGAGGCTCTGAGGGAGAAACAAGCTCGCATGGCGGATGGCTGCGTCACCCCCGAGCAAAAGGCCCGCGGTAGCGGTATCCAGGGGAAGAAGAAAGCTGCCTCGTTCTCCGGGATACGGTGGGATGATGGCATCAGTGAGTGGGTTGCTGCTACGCCGGGGACTGAGCTCCGCCAGGTCGGACGCAGACCGGGCCTGAGAGCACGAGAGGCGGAGTGCAGCGGAGGGGAGGCGGACGAGAACGGGGATGTATCAGAAACGGAATCAGAAACAGAACACAGCGGTGCCAATCCAGGATTGCCACCAGCGGATGACGAAAGCGATGGCTCTGCGTCTGAAACAGACAATGAAACTGAGACCACTGATACACTATCGCCCAACACCGAGGCATTGCCGATCCCTTCGGATCCAGACCCGAACCCGGCGTCAGAAGGACGCCCACATTCCGACGACGACGAAGATGTCGACCGCGCAGATCAAACCGACCCCATCTCCCCCAGCGCCAAACTGGAAAATGCCCCGCCAACACCTGCGGGAGGCTTCCTCGCCGCCCGTCCACGCAGGTTGTCGAGGCCCATCACCAGCGATGGAGACGGAGACGAGCTGGCTTTTGACGTTGACAACATCAACACCAACGACGACATCATCCACAACAATGGGAAAGACAAGTGCTCGGAAAGGAGGAACTGGCAGAAACCGGCTCGGTTTCGCACTGATGCTATCAAAGCGAGGAAGAGGGTGACTAAGGCGTCGCTGGTGTATCTACAGCCTGTTGAGAGATGCAGGCCAATCTGGGGGAACGGGGGGTATGATGGGGACGGGGGAGGGGAGAGCGATGATGAGTTGAGCATTCTGTAGGGTTCTCCTTCCAGCAGAGATTGCGGGTAGGCGTTGTTGTGTTTGGGGTAGCGTTGGTATGTGATTGGAGTATTGCGGCGGATTGTTTGGGCGTATGATACCATATATCGGTTGAATGGGTATGGTGTACGGTGTACTCTGTACTGTGTAATTGTTTGGCTCCGGCTGGAGGTTTTGATGAGTAGTGTCGTTCGGCATTTCCGCTATGACAGGACGAAGAGGTGTGCGGTTTAGCTGAGTGTCTTGGTTATGGTGTAGGATATAGGATAACAACAGAAGTACGACTCAGGAAGCTGAGGTATGAGACGGTTACTGTTCCACGAAACATCTTGCAAAATCAGTGGATGACGCCATCAAGATGCGGGCGGGATAGTATATCGAAATTTGGGTCTCGTGTAACGGAATCTGAGACCCATGGGTCTTATGTCGCGGTCGTCTAGAATTGCCCATCAACATCTGTAGTCATGGCAAACATGGCATGAGGCTCAGCCTTGACCCTACGGTACAGTGAGTTAGATACCGGTCTGCTTCTATTGTTGGCTTGGCCCGCGAAGCGAGTCCCCATGGACCTGGTTGCAAATTTGATACATGGGTTCATGACGGTAGGTTGAAAGGTTGGCAAATCTCGGTTCTGTTTGAGCTGGCCTTGGATATAGTGTATCTCGCGGCAGGTAGCCATTTTACATGAACCCGTTCTCTAAGAATATGAGGTGTCCTCTTTATTCTTGACTGATACGACAAAGGTGACAAGCAGTGAGAGCAAACTGAGACTTTGAGTCAAGCCTTCCGGTCGGTGGTTACGCCAATTAGTGCCGAGTGTCTTGTCAAGCTTGTTCACGCCGGTGACGGCGCCCGTTGGCCATAATGCTTCATCAGCAATGACTGTTCGCTGTAGGGGGTGGTGCAACGTGAGTGGATGCCAGCTGTCGGCGACGCTGCGGACAGCGGGGCTGTTTCAGGTTGGGACTCCGGGGAGAGCAGAGGATATGCTTTCCCTCTTTTTCTCTTCTTTTGTTCCCTGTTTCCTCTGGTTTGAAACCCTCCGAGAACTGGATTCGTCAGCTGCACTTATCAGATCACAGAGAAAGAAACTGTATTCGACGGGAGATCTGCTCTCGAGTCTCGGCGTCGATCGCCACTCGAGATCGTCTGCCGAGGCCGTGAATCTGGATGCCGAAGAGGATTCCCTCATTGTTTACACGGACGACGAACTCGTTTCAGTGGCAAATCCCGCAGACTCTGCGTTTCCAAAGATATAGTTATCGATGGTGTGTTTGCATCCCAGGATGGCCTCGCCGTGGCACCAGATTGTCCTGTCGGCATGCGACTCTGGCTGCTGTACAGTTTTGATTTCTCTTGTGGAGAAAGGGGGCGACATCGCGGCTGGTTGCCGGCCGCATGGAAGGCCTGGGCCCTCCCCGCGCAGACTTGCTCGTGATAGGTTGGCAGCGCTGCGATAAGCTGTCAAACGAGTGTCCGTTTACGGCATGTCACTTGGGCTACTCACCACAAAATATGCTTTGTGTACAGATTTCAGGCGGTTCATGATATCTACCTGCATGTCTGAATTAACATCTCGGGAAGAGGCTTGTCCACTGTTTGAAAGTGCCACAGGCAGAGGGCGTCAACGGAACCTTCCGCCGGGTAGTGGCTGGCTGCGGCGGCGTCGACTGCCTTGATTGGGAAGCTCCGAGAAGGACCACGTAAACACGCATGGCCTTCGGAGTTATGAGTGGCTGGGAGAGAATGTTGTTCATGCAAGGAGGTGCTCAATGCCGAGTGATCCCTGCCCGCGGGTTGTTTCAGGGGCTGCCAGTGTCGGGAGGGTGGGGCCTTGGCATCCAAATCGCCGCAGCCGACGTGGGGACTGCCAGCTTTTCAGATGCAGGAACAACACCGGGCGTCACGTCCGATTGGGCACCAAATGTCGGCCACGGGCATTGCTACAGGTTTGGGTAACCGGCGATGTGCGCATACCCGCCTCACAATGATCGTGTTAACTGCAAGTTTGCCTGTACCGTACATAACAGACTTACCTGAAAATTCTGCATTCTAGGACGCTCAGGTCTGGGCGGTTGTCCATACGCTGTCTCTTCCAGGTTTATCTGAGTTGTTTGCCGGCACCTTCATATTCCGGACTCCTGGGAATCTATCTCGGCGTATGTGTACTCTTGAAACTCAACCCAGAGGATATAACTGCCGAGTTTGAAGACGAAACATGCAGTGGGTTGGTTGGATAGATACGCTCCGGTTAACACGAGTGATGCCTGAGGGCGACATCTACATCATATTCAACGTGTAAGTCGAGATTCATCGTGCCAAGCTCGACGGTTTTAATACTGCGTAGATTGTAAATGGCACGGGCGGAATCCCACTTGATGTGGATGTGACGTGTACTGTAATACTGCCCTCCGATGTGCGTTGTGGTTTTCAGGCGCAAGTTGGAGGAAAGAGGGCCCGGCCAATCGACCTGCCTCTTCTTTATGTGCATCCGAGCCCTGATCCTGGGTCCCCTTCCTCCTCCCTTCTCCCTTCAGTGGCCACGGAATCATTCATTTTGGGCTGTGTCCCAGCCCGGCCAACCGATTTACCATTCATTTTCCTGCCGCTCTCCTTCTTTTCTCGGTGCAGAGTGTCGCTCGTCATTTCGAGCGGTCACTGCCGTCATCGCATCACCTCGACCTCTCTTCACCGCTGGCCACTCTACCGCTGGACGACTTCACCATCTTCACTTCTTCCGGGCTCTCCAGGGATTATCGACGCCGTACATTCGCTTCGACAGACAGAAATAGTGATTTGCTCAGCTGAATCGAAATCACAAAGACGACTCGCGTCTGTTTAGCAAACATCTCGTGACGGACACCCCGTGACACTAGCAGACTCAGTCCCCAGCCCCCGTTGCAGGTCTCGGCGAGCTTTGGGAACCGCTACGATCTCTTGTTTAGATTCTTCATATCGCCATTTTCGACGCTTTGATAGCGCTTTGACACACCATCTTGAGGATATCGACTCGACATCGACCCGTTATCAGAACGGGCTAGCGAATCGGTTGCTGCAAAGGAGAGGAATTTCAAGAGGAACGAAGCCAGCAATTCTCGAAAGACTTTGACAGGCGTCATGGCTGCGCCATCAAACACCGCAGCGGCGGCAGCAAGCTCTGCGGGAGCTACGCAAGGAGGAGGAGGGACAGGAGGGAGCATTGGGCAGACCGCCGCCACATCCAGCGTCGATCCGGATGTTGTGAATGAGATGCTCTCGCACTATTTGCTTCTCGTTCTGGGCGCCATCTCGGCCGCTTTACTTGCTTGGAGGTTCACCACGCTGTTGGTGAGGTATGTCCGGACTGTAACATGCCTCCACAACGACACTCAGCGCTACTTCGCCCAGCCTTCAGAGAAGTACTCGTGGTTCAAGAAGAACGTGCAATACGCACCCATCCTCAGCAAGCGCCACAACCGCGAGTTTCACCTTAGCTCTGCCGTCAACGTCGGCACGTTGCCTACTCGGATGCAGCTCGTCTTCTTGCTCGGCTATCTCGCAACCAACGTGGCATTCTGCGTCATGACCATCGAGTTTTCTGGGTCGCTGAAGCAAGTTGCGGCCCTGGTTAGGAACCGGACGGGCTATCTTGCCGTCGTCAACATGATTCCTCTCTTCCTGATGGCTGGCAGAAATAACCCGCTTATCAACCTCCTCGGTATCTCATTCGACACATTCAACCTTCTGCACCGGTGGCTGGGCCGCATCGTGATGCTCGAGGCCGTTGCCCACACTCTGGCATGGCTTGTGAGCAAAGCCTCAACCGACCGCTGGGACGGCGCTTTCAACGCCATCTTCAAGGCCCCTTTCTTGATGTGGGGTTTCATTGTCTGTCCTCCCTATTCCCGTGTTAACCGCAGAACTCGAACTAACCACGACTTCCAGTCAACCTGCGCCATGGTCGTCATTTCCATCCAAGCAGCAAGTATATTCCGCCATGCCTATTACGAGACCTTTAAACTTGCTCACATCGTCCTTGCCATCCTCTCTGTCCTCGGCCTTTGGTACCACCTGGACCTGAAGAAGTTGCCGCAGCTTAAATACCTCTACGCTGTCGTCTCCCTGTGGGTCTTCGACCGCGCCGCCCGCCTGCTCCGCGTCGGCTACCGCAACATCGGCGCGGGCGGCACCAAGACCCTAGTAGAAGCCCTTCCCGATGGCGCGTGCCGCGTGACGGTGACGATGGCGCGTCCATGGAACTTCAAGCCCGGCCAGCACGCCTACCTGTACATGCCGACCATCGGCTTCTGGCAGTCTCACCCGTTCACCGTCGCCTGGAGCGACGAAGCCGACCAACCGGACGGCGAGAAACTCCCCATCCGCCGCCAGGACGTGCTAGCCGCGAAGAAGACCACCCTGTCCTTCATCATCCGCGGCCGCACCGGGTTCACCAGCACGCTGTACAACCGCGCCGCGGCACACCCTGACGGCAAAATGGTCACGCGCTGCTTCGTCGAGGGCCCCTACCGCGGATCTAGCCGGTTACACTCGTACGGTACCGTCATGCTCTTTGCGGGAGGCGTCGGCATCACTCAGGCTGTCCCGCATGTCCGGGACCTTGTTGGGGGCTACAGCAACGGCACAGTGGCGACGCGCAAGGTGATCCTGGTCTGGGCGATCCAGTCGCCCGAGCACCTTGAGTGGATCCGCCCGTGGATGACGGAGGTCCTGGCCATGGAGAAGCGGCGCGAGGTACTGCGCATCATGCTGTTTGTCAGCCGGCCGAGGTCGACTAAGGAGATCCACTCGCCCAGCTCGACGGTGCAAATGTTCCCCGGCAGGCCCAACATCGACACGCTGCTGGGCATGGAGGTGGAGAACCAGATCGGCACCATGGCGGTCTCGGTGTGTGGGCCGGGTGGGTTGAGTGATGAGGTGCGGCGGGCTGTGAGGAACAGGCAGTATCAGGGGAATATCGATTTTGTCGAGGAGGCGTTTTCGTGGTAGATGAGCAAGGAGTGGGACTTGGGTGTAATTATTGGATGATGGATCTTGTGTCATCTTCTGTCTACGTGGCTGTCTGACTTCCTCCGTCGCGGCAGCAGGGTTCCGGATTTGGCATTGCCGGAGGATGTTGTTCTTGTACATGTTTATTCTGTAGCTTTCCGCGCGCGTCATGAGCGTGGATTGGTATATACTTCCATATGAGCTTACCGTAGCCTCCTATGCCATGTGATTTGACCGGTGTTTGCTGAGGTACAGATATGCTGTGGACAACACACATACGAATTTCAAGGAGTGAACGAATTGTTGGTCATTGACCAAAGTGAGGTGGATAGTAATTGGTTTCAACGCTGGCTATGATGGAGATACCGTATGCTTACCAGCGCACAGAGTGATACGCTGGTTGGCTACCCTATTCTAAGCGTTTGTTGTTCCAAAGAGGCATCTTGATGACTTAGGACGACCACTGCTGCAACACACTACAGAGTACTAATTAACAGGGGTCCCTGTACGGGCTAGGTGATCACTGTCACCAGGCCGGCGGCAGGTGCCAGCTGTCGTCGCCAGCAGAACCTCAGGGCGTTTTCCGGCGATCGATAACAGCTGTCTTGGGGCCATCATCTTTCCATCCCCGACACAGTTTCGGAGAGATGACAGACGTCCTGAATCTGAGAACTTCAAATCTCTCTTTATTCCTGCCCTTTGCGTAGCAAGAACAAAGCGCCAATAAGTATTCACTAACCCAAACATACCCTACAGCTTCCGCTGCCACTTGGCGGTGCTTCCGCCCCTTGCCTCACCTTATCTCCTTCGAACTGCTTAACCCAGGGCAGCTCGCCGAGCTCCGAGCCCTCCTCCACTCATTGTCCTCGTCTTCCTCGAGCCGATTTGCCACTTTGGCGTTCCAAACTGGTTGTCTGAGCTCGTCTCTGTTCGTGCCAATCCAACCTGCACGGTCAGGTACAAGTACCTACGTCTATGCTGATATCGGCTCCTGCGCCTCGGAGCTTCCGCTTTGACGACGCCCGCTGCCCCGCACCGTCGCCAGCCTCCGTCACCATCCACCCGACTGCGTGCTGTTGGCGTATTCCAGCCGATACTCGTCCAGACACATATATCACTGAGAAACCGATTATCAGTCAAACACAAGAGCAGCTTCCCTGTTCCGGGAAGAACGATAACTCATTGAGGAGCTAACACCATGGGTCTTGCCTACAACACCTACCTCAATAGCAGCCGCATCTACGGCTGCAAAGCCTGCAAGTCCCACCTCGCCAACCATGAAGACATCATCAGCCGTGTAAGTCTTGCCCTCTCTTCCAACCCCTCCTCTCAGTCGTTCCATCTCAAGCGCCCAACGAACTAACCCACTCCCAGAACTTTCGCGGCCAGCACGGCAAAGCCTACCTCTTTAACAACGTGGTCAACGTCGAGGCGGGCGAGCCGATGGAGCGCAACATGACGACGGGAAGGCACGTAGTGCGCGACATCACCTGCCGCGTGTGCAACGAGGTGGTTGGGTGGAAGTACGACAAGGCCTACGAGTCGACTGAGAAGTACAAGGAAGGCAAGTTCATTCTCGAGGCCGAGCTTCTCTGCACGGTTAGTTAAGCGGGTGGCGACGCGGATCGGTCGGAGAGGAGAGAGGAACGAATGTATGCATTGATGGTGTTAGGAGTAGCTGGTGGATTTTAGCAAGACCGACAGCACACGAGAGGGGATATCTGCCGGTCGGTTCTTTTTCTTTATATACACGGATCGGGAGCATGGAACAGATCGGGGATAGGACCACTTCGCGGGTCTTGGCGTTTTGGTTTCCCACGACGACCTGGCTTCGCATTGGGTTATGGACAGGCATGACATTTTGTAGAGGCAGAGGAGATGACATGATCTCAAGACAGCCCCAGCAGGGCACAACTTGACTAGGCCTTCTTGTTTCCGTACATCAAGCTCTTCCAATGCGAGATGATGCTCTTGAAGCCAATGATATAGATCAATGACGCCAAGGTATATACGCCGAAAGCCAACAACCCCATGCTCCTCTTGCACGGTTTCCCAGACAAACGCCGCAGTCCGATATGTCCCCACACATGATGAATCCCGAACTCAATCACTTCACCCAAGCGTATGCACACGGATATGCCTCCTCACCACTATGTACATGGACATCCGCAAACCCGACTCAACACGTCTAGTTATGCTCGATGGGCTCTTCAGGAAGCAGCTCCTCAACCTCGCGCACACGGAGGAATTTGAACGGCGGCTGGACGATGCCGTTGAAGAGGAACGTGAAGTAAACCAGCAGGACAAAGCCAGCAACCTGTAGCCACTTGAACGTCTCCCAGCCGAGGCCGAGGGAGACGATCCAGATGAAGAGGGTCCGGCACGTGTCGATGGTCGAGCGCGACGTGGCGCTGACGCTGCGCGTGACCGATAGGCCGAAGAAGTTGAAGCCACTAGAAACCGTGTTAGCAGACCATCAGTCAGGAGGGGGCATGAAGGAGAGGAACTCACCCAATGCTGATCATGATCATGATACTCGAGACAAACACCGCACGATGCTGCCAGAACTGGCGCCACCCCTCAACCATATCAAACGGCCCGTACCTGCCGGCCTCGGTCCTCCCAATGGCCGCATGCAGCACCACCATCCCCAGCAATGTCACGGTAAACCCAAACACGCCCTCCCAACCAACCACTCGAATCGGCTCAATAGCCGACCTCTCAAGGATCCACTCCTCCAACACAAACTGCGTCGCCGTAAACACCTGCGCCCCGGCAATCATCAACACGCCCACCACCACCCGCAGCGCATCCTCCCCAATCGCCACTCCACCCTCATGCTCACCACCAGCAATCCCATTCCCGCCAACAGCAGCGTGCTTCTTATCAGGCTGAATCGCGCCCGCCAGCCCGACAAGCCCGACCCCGACCACGACGCCAACCAACGACAGCCACTGGAAGGCGTGCAGGTGCCGCTTGAGAAACACGACGCTGAACAGGCCGACAAAGAGCACCAGCGCGCCGCGCGTCATCTGATAGATGGACGCCGCCACGAGCAGCAGACCCGCATTCATAAGCGTCGTGCCTAGAATGTCGCAAATGGCGGGCAGCGCGAGGAGGGTCACGCGCCAGCCGCGGAGGACCGAGCGGCGTTGCGCGGGCTTGTTGGGGTTCAGGGCGGTGGTGGAGTGGATGCTTGCGTTGTCCGCGGCGGCGCGCGGGTTGGTGTTGACGGTATCTTCGTCGTCGTCGGCGGCGGAGGTGGTGGGGATGGGCTGGTATGAGGTGGTGGAGGTAGAGGTGTAGCGGCGGTAGAGGGACAGCAGGCCGACGACTAGCCAGCAGCCCATCTCGCCAACGAACATCTGCAGGGTTTGAATGACTGGCTGTTCAAAGTGGCGGCGCTTGTTGGGGTTTGGGTTGTCGCAGTCGCGGACGCACAGGTTGTCCTGGTGGGAGAGTTAGCTTGCAGGCCGTGTATTGGGTAGGGGCGCGAGAGACAGCGCACTTGGTACTTGGTCAAAAGCGTGTTGCAGACGCCCGTGAACAGCATCATGGCCACCAGGAACGGGATGACAGCCCGCGCGGGAATGATTGGAGTCGCCATTGTCGCGCTGGGGAAGGTCGGCAGTTTGTTGTTGTTGTTGGAAGGGAGGGAGTGGGTTGGGCGAGGTGCCTTGGATAGAGGCGCCGGTTCGGCGGGAGTAATACCAGACTTGCCGGCTGGGGGACAATAGTGTCAAGGCCTGTTTCCACCGCGTATCTCAATTTGGTGGTGAATAGAGAGCTTCGCTATCCCTTTGAAGCGCGATGAGGCAGGGGGACCCAGCTGCTGCCTCTGGCTTGTTGTCTGCGGCTTTGTGGGATGGCTGCAGGTGCCGGGCCCTGGGTGTCGCATGACGGGGGGGGCACACCCGACGATAAGTTAAGCCCCACAGTTGGCGCCTTGCTGACTGATAGGCTGGCGCCGGCCGGGGCCGTGCTCCGCTGGCCCCGGCAGGTGACACACCGTGACAGGCAAGTCCAGCCCCCAGCCCCCGCACTGGCGTTCATCACACAGCTGGGTCTGGACTCGGGGCAACTCCAAACTGCAAGAACCTCAACGGCTGGTAGTGGTATCCGTATCTTGCTCCATCATCATGATGATATCAAAGTAGGCTCTGGCGGCGAAAGGCTACCGTAGTGCAACGATCAAACGATCAAACGCCGCAGAAGCCTCCTGTGTGTTGAGCTTATCGGAACCCCGCCATAATACGGTACCGTATATCCGGACATGTTACGAAGCTTTGGCGCATGCGCCATGACACTTACACGTTCGATGACGAGGTCGCGAATTTGACAGGGGATCAGAACGCGTCCAGACTCTATAAGCTCAGTTCTATCCGTATCTTTCTTCCAGCATATGCTCGCTGCCCAAGTCATTAAACGGGTATCGTATGTAACAAACCAACACCAGAAGGCGGGCTCCAAATCATTGCTTGCACTCCTTGTAACCATGCCCTTGCATCCCCTACTTTCCAGCCTCAATATCCGGTGACTTCTCCTTCGGCTTCTTGTCCCTGATGTTGTTGTAGTGCGGGATGCCGAGCTCTTTGTCGCGCGCCAGCCTCTCGCGGTCCCGATCCGTCAGCTGCACGCCCTCGACGCTCTTGACTTTCTTGCCCTCCGCAAACATGACCCATCCGCCCACCATGGCAATGATCATGGCAATTGCAATCAGGAACCCCGTCGCCCAGCTCGGTCGGTCATATCGGTTCATCCCCCACATGATTCCGCAGAGAGCGGCCTGGGCCAGCGTGTTCAGGACCATGGACCAGATCACAAAGTCCAGCTTCCACAGCTTGGTTGGCGGTGCCCGAATGCCCGTCAATGGCGGGTTGGGCATGTTCTTCTCCGGGATAGGCACGCAGTTGACGGGGACGCCGGCCGTGATGTTGTCGGGGCCGATGTTTGGGGGCAATTCCTGTGAGCCCGGTAACCGGAACCAGCCGTTGTGAATCCCCGCGAGGCGGCGGAGGCCTTCCTGCTGTTTCGAAATTCGGTATTTGAAGAGGTAATAGAGATCGCGGAACCTCCAGGGGGCGGGTAGAAGCGAGGTGACGCAGAAGAGCGCCGTGAGGATCTGGGCGTCCCACTCGATCCACTTCCGCCGCGGGGAATCGATGTCGTCGCAGGTAGGGTAGCACATAGCGGGCGAGGCGTTGCAAAGGAGCAGAAAGATCATACCACCCCAGGCTACGACGTTCAGGCCGTAGATGGTCCAGAAGAAACCCATCGGCGTGAGGAAGAACTTCCAGAAGGCCGCCAGCGCTTGCCGGGTCGACTCTTGCCACGAGTACTTGGGCGGAAAGTGGTAGCCATTGCCAAACGGCTCGGTGCCTTCCAATGCCGGGCGACCGGGTGAGGTGAGGGCTGCTTCTTCTGAAGTCGAGAGGGGGGGGGGGCCCAGGTCTGATGGCCGGGGCTCTCCGCCGCTATCTGGTCGCTTTTCGGCGTTTCCTGATGTGTGCTTCCCGTGACTTGTTCGTGTATCGGGTCCCAATGTCTCTGCGTCTGGGTGTGCATGCACCGAAAGCACCGAGGACGCGACATCACCAGTCACGGCCATGAAGCCTTCCGGTGGCCGCGAGTCCACAAAGTCCTGTGATAGCCTCCGAATGACGGAGGACGCGTTTGATAGCGCTCGATTCTGCCCCTGTTGGGTTCGATTGGCGGGTTTTGACATGGCGTCGAGGTGAGAGGTGGGGTGAAGTTCAATTCCAATAGAGAGCGGGTTGAAGCGATAAAACCACGAGGACGAGATGATGGAAGCAGCTGAGAAATTAACTCGAGTTTATTGTAGAGTTGACTATAAATGAAAGAATCAAAACAGGATAATCTGAGACCAACTGTTTGTGTGCCTCGACCACAAAGCGATGGGTGGCAGGGCGCAGCAGAGAGATCTGACGACATGTCGCAGACACGCCAAGCTCCTGGATTGTTGCTGGAGCAAAGCGCTTGCGTGGCAAGGGCAAGGGCGGCAGCTAGTCATTTAACTTCGCCTAACTAGGAATAGCGCCCCGAATGGTAGCATGCGGATTGCGCTTGGCAGGTGATCTCCAGCCCCAAAACCTCGTTTATTATTGAGTACGATGACGAGTCTAGGAATACGAGCGTACGACGTCGTCGTAACGAGACTTGCGCCCGGCCGACAGCAAGCACTCGAGGTCCGATTCCCAATACGCGGATTCGGAGATTGACTTGATTCCAAGTTCAGACTCTTACTTTCAATGGTCGTTTACATTCAAATCCCTGAACTCTCCGCGGATGCTCTCCATCCCCTCGCTCTTGACCACGCTCACAAACCCACTGATACGCTCTGCGATGAGTTCCTCGTCATATCCAAAATACTTGTACGCCGCAGCACCAGGCAGTGAGTGCCCGAACGAACTCATCGAGTACCCCGCGTCGACATACCGCTCCCACCCGTTGACCGCGTATGCCTCGATCACCACACGCGGGATCCTTGTGCGGTACCCCAGGACCGCGGCCTTGTACTCGCGCGGCTGCTTTTCAAAGAGCCGCTGGCAGGGGAAGCTAACGACGCGAGCCCTAAGGCCATACTTATCGCGCAGGACGTCGCGCGCGCGCACGGCGAAGCCCATCTCCGAGCCGACGCCGATCAGCGTCACGTCCGCGTCTGCTTGCTCGATAAACACGTAGGCGCCCTTAGTTACGCCGTCTCGTCGCGAGTATTCCGGGTACTGCGTGAGGTTCTGTCTCGAGAGGGAGATGATGCTTGGCGTGTCGGGCGCGGAGAGGGCAGCGATGAAGGCGCCCGCCGTCTCCTCGCTGTCGGCGGGCCGGATGTAGAGCAGGTTGGGCATGGCGCGGTAGAGGGCCGCTAGTTCAATTGGCTGGTGCGTAGGCCCGTCCTCGCCTGTCCCAATGCTGTCGTGGGTCGCGATGTGGATGGTGCGTAGCTGCTGCAAGGCTCCCATGCGGACTGCGGGTGCTGCGTACTAGAGAAGAGAAAGTCAGGGTCAGATGCTGGCGTCGGAGGGACTTTGTCCGATTGGACTTACCAGGTAAAACATGAAGAACGACGACGTGACGGGCAGAATTGTGCCCTTGTTAAAGGCAGCGAGACCGTTGGATATCGCCGCCATGGCGTGTTCCCTGATACCCCAGTGGATATAGCGACCAGTGTAATCACCAGTGATACCACACGCTGGGCGGAGGTCAGGCTAAGCACCGCAGATCAGCAATGTTCAACAAGATCCTCATCCAGAAAACAACTTACATGCTGGAAATCAGTCTTGTCCTTCCAGATCATGTTGACCGACGGCGACAGGTCCGCAGTACCGACCATGAAGGTCTTCAACTTGGCTGCCAATCGATTGCATACCAAGCCAGCCGACTTTCTCGACGGTGTAGGCACCGTGGGGAAGTCTCCCTTCGCCGGGATGATACTAGCCCAGTCTTCTGTAAACTCTCCCTTTACGCGCAGCGCAAACTCGGACGCCAAGTCCGGATACTCTTCGCCGTAATCCGCCACTAGTTCCTCCCACTCCCTCTCGAGCTCGCGGCCGCGGGCTTTGACCTCTCGAAAGAAGTCGTAGATGGTTTCCGAGACGACGAAAGACTTCTCCGGGTCGAAGTCCGCGGCCCTCTTGATGTTGGCAACCTCCTCAGCGCCAAAGGCAGCGCCATGTGCCTTTGCGTCACCGGCAACCTTGCTGCCCACACCAATGGTAGTCTTGATGTTGACGAAGACGGGCTTGCCACTGGTGCTCGAACGAGCCGCGACCAGGGCTGCGACAATGGCCTCGACATCGTTGTTCCCGTCGGCTACCTCGAGCACCTCCCAGCCCGAGGCAGCCATCTTGGCGTTGACGTCCTCTGTGTTGGCCAGGTCGACGGAGCCGTCGCAGGTAATTTGGTTGTTGTCGTAGATGACGATGAGGTTGTCGAGCCTCCAGTGACCCGCAAGCGAGATGGCTTCGAGCGCAACACCTTCCTGCAGACATGCGTCGCCAACCATACACCAGGTCGTGTTGCTGACGACATCAAACCCCGGCTTATTGTAGGTGGCCGCCAAGTGCTTGGTTGCCATGGCGAGACCAACCGCGTTGGCGATACCCTGGCCCAGCGGTCCGGTGGTCACCTCGATGCCCTCGTGCTCGATCTCGGGGTGGCCGGGGCATATGGAGTCCGTCCGCGTCGAGTGATATGACTTTAGCTGGTCGAATGTCATGTTCCTGTAGCCGACCAGGTGCATGAACGTGTACTGCCATAGGCACGTGTGGCCTGTTTGAGGCTCCTTGTCAGGACATGTCCAATGTGAGCTGGAAAGGATAAGGAGTTCATACCGTTTGAAAGCACGAACCGGTCCCGGTTGAAGAAGTTTGGGTTCTCTGGCGAGTAGCGCATTACATACTTCCACAGCGCCACGCCAATGGCCGCCATCCCCATTGCACTACCTGGATGGCCTCCCTTGAACTGTTCGCACAGGTCCGCGATGAGGCACCTGAAGGTCCGGAGAACCAGACTTGTCGTTTCAACATTCTTAAGCTGATGTTCATTTATCTTGCCGTTCTGGCCATTGGTCTCGTTGGACACATTTACCGGGAGGTGATCAAGAGCCGTGGTGGTCTCTGGAGGTATTGCTGAGGGAGCCATTGCTGCGATTTGGTATGGAATGATTACTTGGTGAGACGTCCATCTTGCAGCTGTCTCGAGCTGGTTGCCCTTTAACAACCGTTTCCACGCCTCGCCATCGGCGCACGACGCAGTCTAAGGCGACTGCTTGTACTAGGCTGTTTGTGTCAAAGGAGAACGGCGCTTCGAACTTCCATTTCAGGATTTTGGGGAGTCAGAAGCGCCATCGTGCAGCTCCACCACGTTCAGATCCACACCCATGCCTGTCTCCCGTCCAGGTTCGAGCGCCCTCACAGCGTCCTTGTTGGAGAGGGGTAACCGTGTTGGGAGAAGTTGCCGACCCCGTGGGGTTCACGATCGCGCTTGAGCTTACTCCAGAATATCCATGGATTGGACCTGAAGACCAGGCGCCTCGCAGCACCGATTCCGAAATCGTCATGCCTGTTCCAAGGCTGCGCTTCCAGCTGCCGCGCTTCAGCCCAGCCCGGAGACCACTGCGAGTCCCACTAACACGCAGGACTGCCTATTTCGGAAGTGGTCCAGATACTTCCTACAACAAAACCCGAACCTCTCCTAGCACAATTCTCGTCGACTCACTCTATCGAACCCGTCTGTTGCCATTCCTGTTTCCGAGCTCCTTCGTTTCCGTTGACACATCCAACTCACCAGGAATGTCTCCCTCAGCCACACAATCAGAGGCCGACCTGGCCATGCACGCCGGCGTCCCCGAATCCCAACAGACTCCTGCAAATACCTCCCACACCGCCCTGTTCTCGCTCACCAAGAAGACAGTAGCCATCACGGGCGGCGGCCGGGGTCTCGGCATCACGCTCGCCGGCGCCGTGCTCGAAGCCGGCGGCCACGTCGCATGTCTCGATATCCTTCCCGAGCCAGCGGCAGCCGAGTGGGCGGCGCTCCAAAAGACCGCCAAGGCGTCCGGGTTAGGGCTTTCGTACCACCGGGCGGACGTGACGGACGAGGCGGCGCTGGCGGGCGTGTTCGACGAGATCGACGCCGAGTCGGCCGCGCTCGGCGCGCCCTTCTACGGCTGCATCGCCTGCGCCGGCATCCAGCAAAAGGTCACCGCGCTCGAGTACCCGCAGGCCGACTTTGAGCGCATCCAGCGCGTCAACGTCACCGGCGCGTTCCTCACGGCCAAGCACGCCGCCCGGGTCTTGGTCAAGAATGGCGTGCGCGGGAGCATAGTGCTGATCGCGTCCATGTCGGGGCAGGTTGCCAACCGGGTATGCCGTTCCTCTGATTTCTTCTCGCGTTTGCGTCGCTTGGAACTCCCTTCTTCTAACAAGCCGAACCGTACAGGGCTTAACCTGCACTGCATACAACACCAGCAAGGCGGCAGTCCAGCAGATGTGCCGGTCTCTGGCACAAGAATGGGGCCATCCATACGGGATCCGAGTCAACACTTTAAGTCCCGGCTACATCCGTACGGCCATGACGGACGACCTGCTGGCAACGGCGCCCGAGCTGGAGAAGATCTGGATGGCTGGCGCGCTGCTGAACCGGCTGGGGGCGCCCGAGGATTTCAAGGCTCCCGCCATCTTCTTGCTGAGTCCCGGGAGTTCGTTCATGACGGGCGCCGACTTGAGGGTAGATGGAGGACACTGCGCGTCGGCATAGTTAAGCAGATAGACAATCTTGAGCGGTTTTCTCCTGACAAACCTGCTGCCCAGATACCAATTGTCTTAGAAAGGGTTCTTAGACTCAGCAAGTGTGTTTCCTGAAATGCCAGCAAGAACACCTGCTTTTCATCCGAACCCAACAGTCACCGCCTGCCTTGCCAGTGCTACTTATGCACATTCTCCCTCGCACACCGTCACCGCCTCCTCCCAATGTGTGGCACTGGGAGGAGTGTTGGGTGGACTTTCAGCAACCGAAATGGTGTGGGTTCGACTCCCCTCCAGAGAAGTAAAAACTCCCTTTGGGGTTTTTCGTAGCCAACCATCTCTACTCGACTGGCGCGGGAGTAGGGCTGGTTGGTGAGCTTTTCAGGTTGTCCTGCAGACATAGTCTGTCTGTAAATGCCATGCATCTAACCTTCGTCCAGTTGTGCCCAGTGTGATCGTAGGTCCTTTGCCCTCCAATTGGCTCCCCAGCCTGTTTCCTTTTCAATCCTCTGGTAGACGTCCAGTATCGCTCGGTGTTCGGCATGGTGCGACATGACCTGGCCGGCAATCCATAACGGCTGTATAGAATTCGTCCAACAGCCATGGTGCGTGTTGCATATCGATATGGCGCATATCCTTCGCGCGTGCCACAGGATCGGACGCGTTTTGGGAGGCGGCACCGCGCGGCGGGGCTTTCTCTGCAGCATCAGTATTGCTGCTGTGTGGTAGAGCTGATTTCCGGAGATGGCAGGAGGGTTGGAGAATAGTAGGGTCGGAAATGGGGATACGGAAGCGTCCTCGTCGGTGGCCGCCGGCCGGCTCAGGATGGACCGCATCTCGGGTGGTCGTTGGATGTACCATTCCTCAATGAAGACAAACAGATCGTTCCAGCGGCGAGTAAATTCTGCTTCCGAGTCATCGCACGCAAACAGTTCCAAAGCCTGGGCGCAGAGGAAGACGACGAGGTTGGCGTACATATCACAGCCGGGTGTCCGGCGGAAAAGCTCAGCGGCATCCGCCAGCGACATCCTCGGCGTCCAGCCTGCGCAGGGGATAAGGGTTGATTCGCATGAGATGAGACCGCCGCAAACGTCTGCCAGCTCTGTTCAGCATTATCGTCGATAGTAGCATGAAATTTGATGGCATGACCCACCGATCCGAGCAAAGCACCAAAACAAAGCTTGCTCCAATCCTCCAGAGAATCCGTTGATTCCGAGGGACTGGATCAGACAGGCACAACCGTCCAAATGGCGACGCCACATCTGAGGCGAACCTATTTCACCGTTAGCAGGACTTCCTTCCGATTGAGTACCTTCTCCTTGGGATCCCCTGGGCTCGTGCTCACAACTCATCATTTCCAGGACACACAAAACAACGCACGATGCGGCCACGGCGGTCGACCTTGTCTGCAGCTGTGGTACCAGCTGATGTACGGCCTCTTGGTAAAGCGCCAAGCTGGCCGATGACGAACGCTCCGGGTATTTCCTCTCGAGCTGGCGCGCAGAGAGGGCGAGCATGGAGAATCGTACATGGGAGTGGAGCTTTGCCAGGGCCGGCAATTTTTTTTGGAAGTGACATTCTTTGTCAAATTTGTCGAGCTGCAAAACAGACGTTAGATGGCGAGATCGAGGTGCAGGGGGCAGCCTAAACAACGGGAGAGGCAACGTGCCCACGGAGAGATCTCGTCAACCCAGTTCTTCCACAGCACGAACTCCTCCTGCTTCGTCAATTCGATGTAATTTGGTGTTGTACTGGACGAATGCGAAGTTTGCTCTGTCTGACCCGTAGTCAGCGCCGGTGCGTGGCTGGTCTGCTGTGTGTGCTCTTCGGGCGCCTCGTCAACGCCGCATGGCGGGCTCGGTGTGGGCCACCTGCTAGGATATGTGGAGCGGGCAGTGTCGAATATATGATTGCGCAGGACGGAATGAAGTTCGAGATAGGCAGATCCTGGCAGAAAGATACCATCGTCGACAAACAGATGTCCTGGGGCGATGCCGGCTGCTTCCGGGATACCTTCTATTTGAGAAAGGGGCGGTAGAAGCTGGCTCCCAACCTGGGTTTGCGGAGGCCGAGAATCGATCATCGGGGTCATTACGGCAGGTAGTCCCGCGCCCAAATCCAGGAGCTGCACAGCTGCCAACTGGACCAGGTCGTGAGAGTGCGGCGTGTCTACACTTGCAGGGCTGTCATTGCTGACGACCCCAAAGCCAGAATCCATCGCGCCTCCCGATGTATCAAATGATGGGCCGTCTCCAAAAGTTCCGAGACTCGAGCGGTGCAGCGTGGGTGAAGGGCGGGATGTCGGTCGCTGAGGGCTTGGAGCTGAGTCGATCGCCGTCGTGTCCCTGCTGGCAGCATCGACGTCACCATGGCTGTGGTGATGGGAGCTGTATTTATTGCAAGCGCCGCTGTGGTAGGTTTCATTCCTGCTAGCGGTGCTGTTTTCGTTGGGACTCTCGGCCGCCTGGACATCATTCCAATAGTCTCGGATCACTTCGTTGGTCACGTCGATGACCTGCTGCATTCGATCAGCTGAGAACCAGAAGCTACCGTTTATAAGTTTAGGAACTGCACCTCGATATCGCCATCCCGTCTCGGACGGGTGCTTCGTCGCATCGACGGGTGGCTCTGCGGTACCGTCCGGATGTTCTCGTCGCGAAAGGACAACCTGACACCCCACTCGCAAGCGGCACCTTTCCGTAAACAGTTGCCACAAACCGGTCGAAGTTCATTACCTGTTGATCGCCGGAAGCGTGTGAATGAGAGCACCTCGTGTAGCAATCAAGTCGAAGTACTGACACTTCTTCCGCCTGCGCCTGCAAGTCCAACAGCCCGTTCGCGTCCGCGCCTTGTTCCTCGCAGGCGCATCAAGGCCTTCCCCACGAGGGGAGTTCGACATCCCTAATGCACGCCCTCACACAGGCCACAGGACATCCCTGGAGCAGTCAGGATCACAGAGAAACTGTCAATTGGACACATGGAAGTGGAAAGGGGATAATGAAAGATGGACACGCTGATTCGTGCGGCAATGATAACCCAATCCGGCCTCTGGGAGAGCGCAGGAATCATCTCTATGCATCAAAGCGCAAATCTATTCTCTTATCGAGACTTGAACCAGAGAGGACAAGTTCTTCAATTGGGTTTTTCCGACGGTGCAAGTAAATTCTACGACAAGCCTGCCACAACACCCTCTAGAATGCTCACGACGCCCAACGCACCGGGGTCCGGCACGCCCTCCTTCTCCGAGTTAAGCTGCTCCTTGGTCACATAGCTCGCCCTCCCCAGCTTGGCGTCCATATGTCCCGTCTTTTCTGCGCCAGTGCGAGCAACGGCAACGGCCTCAGGGAGCTTCTCGGGATTTTCGTAGAACGCCTCCACAAACGGGATCAAGGCGTCCATGATAGTTCGGGAGCCCGCTCTCGCGCTCGTGTACCTGCACAGCTCGGCAAGGCCCTGGTGCAATGCCTCGGCAAGCATCTTCGAATACGCCAATCCGCCGGCGCCACCAGCGAGCCTGTCCAGCGAGGTCGAGACAGCGTTGAAGAAGATGGCGTAAATCGCTCCTGAGGTACCGCCCATGGTTCCCTGTATGACTGAGGCCATCTGCCGGAATGCGACCGTGAGGTCGACAGTCTCGGGCGATAGGTTTTCGGCATAAGCCATTAACGCTGCTGGAAAGTCAGCATTGCATCGACTCGCGCAGTTTCCCATTAAGAGGGCTGTACCGTTGGCTCCGGTCAGGAGAGTCGTTCCGCAATCTCCATCCCCGGCAATCGTGTCGTACTTTGTGATCATGGGCTCATCTTGCCGTACCTTTTCAGTCACACCCGAGATGACATTTTGCAGCACCTGTCGAGGCACTACGCCCAACATGCTGTCAGCATTGTACCCCTTCAACAGCAACTGCGTTGGCTGAGAGTTCACTTACGTGGTAGCTTGAGAGCAGCATGACCCTCGGCCGCATGGCCCGCGGACGCTGGCACCGAGTCAAGCCGCCTATCTACTTCTTCCTGCGAGTACCCAAAAGCAGCTTTTGGCCAAGCTTGTATACAAGTGGGCGCGTCAAGCAGGGCTTCTAGTTCGGAATCTAAGCCGAGGATCGTGACAGAAAAGCCAGGTCCGTTCAGTGCAGTGACGAAGGCGCCGACGAAAACGCGACGGATTTTGTGTATCTTGGTAGCGAGTTGGCGAAGCACCTCATCGGCTACGATGTGCAACTCCAGGACACTCAGACCACCCAAGTTGTTAACCATTACGGCAACCTCGGGGAATCGAGAGGCAACAGACTCGTTGCGTGTTGGTAACAGCATGCTAAGCAACTTGGTCACGGTTTCGTTCAGCGAAGTGAGTTTTCCACGCTCCGCCCCAGGTTCATTATGAATGCCTATATCCGGACCGGCGCATCAGTAACTGACGCGGATAGGATCCGAAGTGCTTTGTATTCATGAGGACTTAGCCATGCCGTATTCAACAGTATCAGGATCGAGCCCGAGCTGGTCTGCCCGTTGAGGTACACTGCATCGGTCGAGGCTCACAGCCACGGTTGAGAGCGAATCTGCAGTCTTCTGAGCGACGCGTGTGACCTCATCAAGGCTCAGGCTAGCGGACAGAAGTGTCAGCGGCTACCCCTTGTTCAAAAACACCTACCCAGCATTCGTACCCTTTAGCTGCAGCTGCGCCTGCAATCTTGTGCACGAACACGGTCCCAGCCAGTCCTCGCCGGCCCACCAATTCGTTACCGTTGATGGACACATCGTCCTGGACGAACACGATGCGGACGTCTCGCCCCTCTGCCTTGGTTTGTTCTGCTGCAAGACCGAAGTTGAGCTTATCACCCGTGTAATTCTTGGTTATGAAGAGGACTCTGCCCAAGTGAGAGCGGGTAAGCGGGACGTTCTCCTGGCTCAAGGAGGCCGAGCAAACACGTACCCAAGCGGCGCATCGATAGCCCGGATGCCAGCCAAGATTTGCGGTGCAGAAGGCGACGCAAATATGTTGCCAGCAATGGCGACGTCGAGCATGCCCTCTCCGACAAAGCCCGCATGCGCTGGCTCGTGGCCGGAGCCTCCTCCTGAAACCACGATGACTTTCCGCTCGCCAGTGCGCAGTTGCCGATACAGAACTAGCCACGGTTAGAATCAGTATGTTCTTCTATGGGGATAAGGATCCGCCTACCTTTCTTTTCTGGTATCAAACGCAGAGACTTGTCGTGTACAAGCAGGCTTCGCAGCAGCCGCACGACAAGGTTGTCGGTGTCGTTGATGAAGTGCTTTCCTGACGGAGCACTGCCATGTCAGCCATCCAGTTCGACAAGTCCAGTTGGATTTCCATAAAACCTGTAACGCACCAATTGTCATGTTTGATGTCGAGCTGGATTGAATTCAGATGGAAGACGCGAACGTTGATTTGCGCCGAGCCACTCTCAGCTTATGACTTTTTGTGCATCTGCAGGAGACCACTCTGTGAACCGCCTAAGGATGCCATTCTCCGTCCCCATCCGTCTGGGTCACGACGGGATTCTAGACTCATGAGCACTGTGCCAGGCTTTCAATTCGCCGTCGTGAACTCGACGCTGTCGGAGGCATTTTTCCGTTTTCAGCAATTCACGACTTAGACCTCCGAGGGACCGACCGTTCACAGATGCCTTATCCCCACGGCTCCCTCTTGAACCAAAAAGGCAAGTGGAAGCGCCGCGCCACTGACCCCAAGACAGCGGACCAAATGCGGGGACCCCACAGTGGGGACTGCGTTCCATGGGAGAAGCATCCGGGGTCTTAAGATGTCTGTAGCACGGAGTTTTGCGATGTGCCATGGCTGTTGCGCTGCCGCATCATCACCGAGCCTCCTGCATATAAACTGCGAATGGAGACCCAAACTTTCCATGTCGGGACAGGGAAGCACGACCTCCCAAGTCAACCATCCTCGCATCTTGCTTCATCCGCCTCAATTCCTCCAAGATGACCATGCTCACCGGTAAACCGTTACACTGGGCCATAACCACCACGGCAGGAGCTGGTTTCCTGCTGTAAGTCATACTCACTTGTGTCACAACAAGACAATAAGAGCTAACATTTCCTACAGTTTTGGTTATGACCAAGGTGTCATGTCCGGTCTCCTGACCGGAAGGGCCTTCACGGCGCAGTTTCCAGAGATCGATACCACGGCTGGTGCGGGCGGTAGTGCATCGCTGCAGGGAACCGTGGTTGCTATTTACGAAATCGGATGCTTTTTCGGCGCCATCCTCGCCCTGTTGATCGGGGAGAAGATCGGCCGGCGCAAGACCATCATGCTGGGATGCATCATCCTCTTCATAGGAGGTGCCCTCCGGGCGTGTGCCTATGGAATTCCCCACATGATTGTTGGACGCATTGTTGCGGGCCTCGGCAATGGCTTGAATACGAGTACTATCCGTACGTTTGCCGGCAACTTAGAACAGGCCCTCAGGACTTGCTGACAATGGAACAGCTGTGTGGCACTCTGAACTCATGCAGGCTGATGTTCGTGGCAAGGGTGTAAGTCGAGACCATCATGGCGTCACAGGTGGAGGAATCAAGAGGTTAACTCTTTGGTGGCTTAGTTGTCAATCGAGCTTGCTATTAACATCTTTGGAGTCATGACGGCTTATTGGGTGGATTACGGCATGTCGTTTGTCCACGACTCCTCTGTCCAGTTCCGGTTTCCTCTGGCCCTGCAATGCTTGTTTGCCGTGGTCACGTTTGTGGGCATCATGCTCCTCCCTGAATCTCCACGCTGGGTACGCTGCTATTCTACCTTCTCTCATTCCCGCTTCTTGTCGTCGATTCTCATTTCTAAACTCATTCTAGCTCATCGCCCACGACGATCTTGACCGAGCCCGTCACGTACTATGGGCTTTGCTTCCAAACGCAAAAGAAACTGACACCAACGACGAGGTTGTCAGGGAGGAAATCTCTGACATCCAGCACGCCATCGAGGAGGAAAGACTGGCGGCTCAGGGCGGAAGTTTCAAGACCCTGTTCAAGAACGGCCCCCAAAAGTTCTTTTACCGGACGATGCTCGGTATCGGCGGCCAGTTCATGCAACAACTCTCCGGCATTAACCTCATCACGTACGTTACTCTCTGTCTGTCTATCGATTGCTCTTTTCTAGCGTTTGCTGAGATGCCTCTTAGCTATTACGCCCCGGTCATCTTTGAGCAATCCGTGGGCATGTCCCATGAACTTTCACTACTCCTTGCTGGCTTCAACGGCGTTGCCTACTTCTTCTCCTCATTGATCCCAATATGGATCATTGACCGGCTCGGACGCCGCAAGCTCATGCTCTTCGCTGTTGTCGGACAGGGAGCCTGCATGGCCGTGCTCGCGGGGACTGTTTCAGACGGAGGCCACGCTGCTGGCATTGTTGCTGTCGTCATGCTATTCCTGTTCAACTTCTTTTTTGCCGTCGGCTTGCTTGCCATCCCCTGGTTGTGTAAGTCAAACCATTGCTCCGAGGCGAACGAGTTGTTCTGGGCTAGAAGGTGGTTCTTGCTAACAATCGTCCGTTACAGTACCCGCCGAGTACGCTCCTCTAGCCATCCGGACCAAGGCTGCTGCCCTTTCCACCGCGTCGAACTGGATCTTCACCTTCCTAGTCGTCGAGATCACTCCCGTCAGCATCGCCAACATTCAGTGGCGGACGTACATTTACTTTAGTGTTTTCAACTTCTGCTTTATACCGCTGGTCTACTTCTTCTACCCAGAGACGCGAAATCTTTCTCTGGAGCAGATCGACAGGTTATTTACGGGCGAGAAGGTTAGGCTTCACTGGTCGCCGTCGATGGGTTCAATAGGTGATGCTGCCAACCGCTCTGGGTTTCACGCGAGACACTCAAACGTAGCAGATGAGGCGTCTGAGAAAGCCAAGGCTGAGAATGAGAATGTCTTGGTGTAATGTGGGATCCGAAGAAGGCATGAATGGTGCTTGCCTCATATGGCTGGGAACTGTTGAATACAGCAGAAGGCAGTGCTGCCATCTTCCTGAATATGCATCATGCGAACCCGATACTGGGTTTTCTGTCACCCCAGTTCCCTAGGCAGCAGAGTTCCCATTAATTCGGGAGACCTTGATCGGCATCGTTGTCGAATCTTTGTCGTCATGTGGTAGAGCATCGTTGGCATGTCGCAGAGCTTCGTCTCACGTCACGGAGCTTCGTCGGCGTAATGTAGACTTCGTCGCCATGCCATGGAGTTTCGTTGGCATGGTATGAAAGCTTCGCCGGCATGTTGTGGAGTCTCGTCCGCACGTTTTGTTGTAACTCTACGATCCTCCCTCCTTCTCAAACAGACGCCAGCGCGATATGGCGGAGGAGGGAACGCATTTAAAGCCAGCATCAGTATCCATGATCCCGTCGTCAACTGCAGTGACCCCTTCTCAGTCCGCTCAACGGGCTGTGACAAAACGTCTCGTTTTGGTTTGGGTACACTTGACTTCTCGAGCTTTTCTTCGGCTGAACCCGAGCATATCAGATTTGTAGCCTGCCGGGAACTTCCAGTCCAAAACAATGAATCGGATGGGCTCCTCCATTTTGTGCCGCCTTGGCTATCATGCTTGTCCCCTTGAGCTCGGCCAATCCGGGGGTTTCGCCAGCCATGGTTCAGCAAGAGCTGGCGCCCAACTCGTCTTTTAATCTCGACAAACACATCTGCACCCCGAAACTTGTACCGGAGCTGCATGTCGTGCTCCTGGTCGACGCCACTGGGAGTATGGGACGCAGCATCAATCATATCAAAGCGAATCTGTGCACGTCGATCAACGCCGTCGACGAGGTGCACCCGAACACGCAGTTTGCTATGGCTCCTTTCCAGGATCTCAAGTCCCATCTGGAACCTTTCACTGTGGTCCAGGATCTGACAAGCGATGTCAAGGCCCTGCAGGAAGCGGTCGACTCCTGAATGCCTCGGGCGGTGGCGACACGCCAGAGGACTGGACAAACGCGCTCAACAAAATCTCCACAGGTGCCACCACGTTGCGCGAGGGCAACAGCCGGATCATCGTTCTTGTAGGCGACGCGCCGAGCCACGATCCCCAGCGGTGGACACTCGCAAGCCGATGTTACCGATGTCTTGAAGAAGGCGAGCATCCGCGTCCTCGGCGTCAAGGTCGGAAGCCTTGATAGCAAGGGGCAGGCCACGCACATAACCGAGGCCACCGGTGGCACCATGCTCGGCTCCGAACCCGACGCTGTCACCAAGCGATTGTTGACGGGCTCACGAACCTCGACGTCGTCATCAAGCCCGAGGTGGTCTCATACAATGCGGGTTGGCCGTTCCATTCGCCCCGACGGAAATCCAAGTGAGCAGCGGCGCCAGCGCCACGCTCATCGAGACTTTCGAGCTAGCCAGCAACGTTACCGATGATCACGCCACCCTCAGCTGTTCCATATGCTTCTTGCTGAACGGTGCGTCTGGCGGCGATGCCTTCGTCCAGAAAATCGAGGTGGCCGGCAAGCAACCCGTTGCCAGTTGCTTCACTTGTTCGCCTTTCCCCGGTCAAAACAAGTGCCACAAGTCCACCGTTTGCAACCCGCCGCCGTTTGGGAACATGTGTCTGGCGGCGCCCAGGAAAAAGGCGGATAACGCAGCGGACGATGATGTCGGAACGCAAAGGCAGGTTAACTGGCTTGGCCCTAACCAACACCGCGTCGCCCTCAAGCCGAGTGTATCGGCAAAAACCGACTGCGGTGAGACGACGGGGCCAAAGGTCTGCGACGAGATTCCCATTGCGAAGTGCGAACCCAAGGTTTCGGATGTTGTGGTCGAGAATTAGCATGGGTCATGTCGTGATGGGCGCGAAGGAGAGCTGTAGAACCGGCAAACCACTGCCTCCACGCATGCGCTGCGTGGCATATGCGCAGCTCTGCGCCCTTGCAGAATGATTTCCCAAATTCCCATGTGTTTCTAGGGTACCGGGCAAGTCCTAAGCGTGGGAATAGGAAGGCTGATTTGGAGAATGTGGCCCAACCAAGGTAATCAAGGACAACTTTGGCACTTTAGGAATGACCCAGGAGCATGCCGGGAACTACCGTCAAGCAACCATGTCAGGGAGTTGGAGGAGGAACTTGAAGCCATGATGGCGAGAACCCAACGTACTTCTTATTCTTGAGTTCCACCGTGCTACACCCGGGCGTGCCGAGCAGTCCAAGTTAACGGAAGTCGGCGACAAAAGTCTACGTGTTGAGTCCTCTCAGTGTTAGCCTGCTTTGCTTGCTATGCTGCAGCCGAGTCCATCACGAGACACACCGAACGAAATGAGGGTAATGGATAGCGGCTTTCCATGGGTCCAGTTATGAGAAGCGGATCCCAAGCCAAACACTATGGTATAAGAATCAGTCACTAACTCGTAGCGATGGTTCAGAGATGCTGGCGCACTTATCCTGCCGAATCACATTTTGGATCCAACCTCCGCCATCAACCGGCCCGTCGTTACCCATCCTCACTGACATGAGCAACCCGGGTCCCGACTCTGTTACTGAATCTCGCCATGACTTTTGTCTGGCATTCCACCCCCATGGACAGGGCACCACGATGCTCCTCACCGCTGCGGTATGTATCCGCCGGTTGAGCTGCCAAAGTTGTCCCCATCCTTGGAACACCTAGGATCCCGGTCTCAAAACCATAATCCCCCAATATTATCTCCACGGACTGCCGCCACTTCAGTACTTATGTCTCGTGCTGTAGTCCTTGGGACTGACGACTAGACCGCGGCCTTTCTTGGCGCCTCGGTAGACCGTCTCGACGATGTCGATGAGCTCCTGCTTGTCCTCGAGCACCCAGTTAAGCTTGTTGTTGTTACCGGTACCGAAGTCGCACATGATGTGCTTGTTGCGGAAGAAGAACATGATGGAGCACGGGTCGTAGAGCTCGTACATGGCGTTGAAGTCGGGGACCTGCGGGGTGTTAGTCTCACAACGGCACATCTCATGTTTGACAAGGGTGGATGGTGGAGGCGGACCTGGTCAATATCGCAGAGGTAAATGACGGCAAAGTTCTTCACGCGCTCGGCTATCTTGAAAAGAGCCTCATCCTGGCGCATGCAGTCCTGCTGATCATCAGCTTTGATTTGGTTGAGAGTGAGAGAATGTTCCACTTACGGGATCATGATCGCGGCCGAAGCGGATAACGACGACGCGTTCTTCCTCTGCGGCAGAGAATTAGTGTCTAGGCGGGCGAGTCTTGATGGAGGCTGATGAGCGAGGCGCAAGAGACGATGGTTTGGAGCGAGTGACACTCACCTGAGAGGATCGCTTGGTCGACATGCCAGCCCGAGGGCAGGTGGGGGAGCAGCACGGAGCCCATGTCTACCGTGTACTCTTATCCTTGAAAATGATATGTCTGTGAAAAGTGCGGTATGAGATGGGCGTCTGAAATGGGTTGAAGATGTTTTGACGTCCAACAAAATGTGGTGCTTTGAGGCTCGGAGTGATGTGTCCGAGAGATGGTTCCAGATAGCTTGGCGCTTGCAAACGGCCTGGCCCAATGACGACTGTGTGGAGCCGGCCCTCAGTAGCGTACGGTTACCTTACCGTAACAAATGCTGTGATTAAGGTACCTACTAGTTCTGATTTCATCGTGAAAATTGGATCTCATCAACAACCGCATTTGACCGGCAGAACCGAAAGACCATAATGGCCTCACAAGATCACCTCGCATCGCTCTGCAAAGTGGTGCTGAACAACCTGGAATACCAGCACGACTGGACACAACTACAACAGCACACTCGGGCCGGCCTGTCCAGGCCACTTCTCTACGGCCTCCCGCCAAAGCGACTCTACGTGCACCCGGACGAGCAGATCGACATCATCAAGGCGGAAAAGGACCGCGGAGAGCGTATACCCCAGGAGCCCGAGGTGGAGTGGGTCCTCCCGGTGCATCTCTCTGAGAAGTGGTCGCCTGCACAATTCGCTGCTGTCTTTGATGGCATCGAGGCTATTCCGCCTGGTGGTGCAGAGCAGGAAGCGTCTGAGGGGGAGGAGAGAGAGGAGCAGTGGAGGCTCTGGAGAGGGCCGAAGCGTGGGAAGCGGATTCTGCTCGCGACAGTCCAGGACGACTCGACTGTTACCTACTACTGGATTTTTGACGGGCTGGTGAAGCCTAGGCAGAACTGAGCTGCTCTGGTCTCAGCCCTAACGCCTTCAGGGCCCTCTGTTTCACTAAGCACTAAGCTACTCCGGTATGCCGGGGAAGCAGCAGGGAGCACAGCATTCTGCCTCTTCCACAAACCTGCGGCGCCCTCATTTCCATATCAAGGCTGGAAGACGACCTTCTGCACCTTCATCTGGTCAAACAGATCGTAGCCCTCAACCGCTTCAGTGAGCCGCATGATCTTGTCGAACATGAAGCTGATATAGTCAGCGCTGTGGCTTTCTCGATGGTCCGGTCGGCTGCCTACCTGAACTTTTCTTGGTTCTTCGCCAACACGGGCAGCGCCTCGGGGAAGATGGACCGAACAGGACAACGGCCCATCTGAATTCTGAGGTTTTTCCTGTGACTGGGTCAGCCAATGCACAGGGCAAGAAGACAGAGAATGGAAAACCTACCCGTACGCCTCGTTGCCACTCCAGGGAATCTACCAGCTATTAGCAGCACCTTCTTACAACCGGCCCAGGAGAATTCACCTCTGCGTTGTGCACGCCAATACTGCTGATAACCCCAAACGGCCTCAGCAGATCAAACGCCGTCCTCAGCGCCGGGCTCAACCCCACCACCTCAATCACCGCATCCGCGCCCCTCCCTTCGGTCACGTCCTTCACCCTCTGCGTCATTTTCTCCTTCCCCTCGGCAAAATTCAACGGCTCCGCCCCCAACTGCCTCGCCAGTTCCAGTCGCGATGGCACACTGTCGACCGCAAACAGATGCCTCGGCCGGTACTCCAACGCTGACACAATAGCACACAGCCCAACGGGGCCGCACCCGATCACCACGACCGTCGCCTCGCTCGCCTCCTGTTGCGGCTGCAGCATGCCAAACGCGTTCTTGGCGCCAAAGTAGCCCGTAGGGAAGATGTCGGCCATAAGTACCAGCGCGCGGTCGTTGATCTCGGCGGGCGCTTTCAGGACGGTGCCGTCGGCGTAGGGGATGCGCACGTACTCGGCCTGCCCGCCGTCGAGGGCCGCGCTGCCGAAGAGGAGGCACTTGCTGCAGCGCGCTGAGGAGCCGTGGGTGCAGTAGAAGCATTCCATGCTGCGGTGGTGGGAGTAAGTGAGTGGCTTCAAGGCGATGAGGAAGGGGGACCACAAAGCAATCAGGAGGAAACGTTACAGGGGACTCACCAGGAGACGGTGAAGGGTGTTACGACTTTGTCGCCTGGGGACACCGACTTGACTTCGCTGCCGGCTTGGACGACGGTGCCGACGAACTCGTGGCCCATGATGAAGTCGGTTGGGGACGGCTGGTGGCCACGGAAGACGTGCAATTCTCTGCAGACAAATTTGTTAGATACCCTGGTCCAATGTAGGGCCAAACCCCTGAGATCGGACATACGAGCCGCATAGGGCCGTGGCCTGGACTTTGACGATGATGTCCTTAGGGTCTTGCACTGCATATCCTAAGTTAGCTTCAAGTTATAGGATATTACGATCCGGCTGTATCTGGGCAACTTGCGCTTTGGAACGGGTCGTTCCTCAACTGCGACCTTCTTGGGTCCGTGGAAGACCACGGCCTTCATGGTTTTCGGGAGTTCGGACATGCTTGGCTGATGTGTTTGATATCGACAGCGGGACAGCCCAGGTTCAGCAACGGTGTCTCGGAGAATAAATATCTTTGATGAAAGCAGGAAAACAGATGTAATCAGCCCGGCGGTTAGTTATGGAGCCAGATGGTTGTTGACGGTTTCACAGTTTGTAAGCTACTGTTGATTATATCGCTTCTGCTCCAAGGTGTTGATAATCGGGGTCATTTATTAGTGATGCCATCACCCCGCTGCGCATCTCGGTCCCAGTGCGGGGACTGCACCCGACACGCGGATAGACCGAGGCAGAGGCAGGAGTAGACCGACTAGCGACGAAGGCCGTGAATGTGCCGAGGTGGACCCCCGGAGCTAGCTCCGGCAGTCAACTTACTGCTACTCTGTAGACTTCAAGAGGATTTGAATGGCGGGGGCCAGATTGTCCCAACACCTTTCAGTTTGTTGAGCATAGCTCCTAACTATTGCGTGGAGCGGCATGCTTGGCCTTACCACACAAGATATCCATCCATGTGCATCCTTCTCAGCGGTTCAGCCCCATTACAGTAAGTGAATGTTCTAGGCCCGACTGTTTTAGACGCTCTACGGCCGTCTTGAGACCGGCACACAAAAGGTTTACAGAGAGACGACCAGATTTCAGCTTTAGTGAACACAGTTGACGGGGCACCTTATGAGCGGCTCGAGCAGTCCCATGAACCATTCCATGGTAAAGCTGCTCAAAACCTGGATGGTGAGGGGATGGTGAAACTCTGCCAAGAAGAGGAACAGGACAAGATTAGGGCTACCAACCGACCAACTACCTCAATTTGGTCTTGAAGAATGTGGCCCTTGACGATGAGACCTAACCACACCTGCCAATCCCCACAAGCCATAGAGTCAATGGCCTAACGGCCTTCAAGAGACAGCTCGTCGAACTCGAGTTTTCCGGTTACTACCGCGGCAGTCGGGCTGCATTACAGAGTGGTCTCACTGAACTGGTAATTCGTGCCACGACCTCGGAGCTGGACTTCCCAAGCGGTATTTGAAAATGCTTTTTGGGCGGCTTCTTGAGCGTTCTTTCGCCAAGTAATACTCGTCTGTGCGATATCGTTAAGGCGGAGGGGACGCGGCTACTTGGCGAGAAGCGCGTGGTGAAGGCGGATTGGGCGTTGTGACATTTTCGCTGATTTGGGGCCATGGTCATCTCACGTCTCTTTTCCGGGTGATTAGAGAACAAGCTATTCCGTATAGAGATTTGTGACCCGTCATCCGTCGCAGCTATGCCATCCCGTGCTTCCCCATCTTAGTTGCACTGGATTCGAGAGGGGCATTGTGAGGCTCACCCGGGGTCGCACACACTAACTCTTGTCTGGGGGAAACGGTTAAACCTGAAATCGATCATCGCATGGCGTCTGCCCAAGGTACACGTGCTGATATGTTGCCCAACCAGGACGGTCGTCCCACGATGGGGAGCGATAACAAGTGACGCACCACATTTCGCGGGGTTTGGGTAGGAATCGTGGTGCAAGCAGAGCCCACGGGCGAATCTCACCGCCGCGCGGTGCGGTGTAACCATTTTGATGCCCTGGAAGCCGAGAGCCAATCCCCCATTCGCCTCATTCTCGGACTTTTCGCCCAAAGTCTGTCGATGCTATTGCCCCCTCAGTCTGCGGCAGAAAAGCACCTGCATCGATTCCGGCGCCGAGGGCATTCTGCATGTTACAGCGGACGAAGATGACAAAAATCGGTGAGCTGAGGAAAGCTGACCCAACGAAGGGCGTGAGCCCTCTTCACCGAACAGGAGAATACACAAGACGGCTTGGCCTGGTTCGCCGCTGAAGCCCACACTACTGCAGCGGGCAGTGAGATTGATCTCGGCAGAACGCGACGTGCCGTCCCTGCAAGCGGGAGGGTCAAAGAGACTTCTGCAATGGGAAGAAGTTGATGCCCACCGCGTCCTAGTGTTCCTGGCAGTCCCTGGCACTGAAACAGGTTCAAAAGCTCGGGCGGTTCGTGTTCTTGCTGGTGGGAGAGGAAACTTCTCTGGGCACGGAAGCGATCTGAGGTTGCAATGCGAGGGTGTCAATGTCCCCCGCTGGCACTTGGCTCAGAGAGGGAAGGTTGATGCAAGGATTGCGGACTGACCCGTACCAGCATGAGGCTGAGTCACTCTTGGCCCCAATGGGAGCTTAGCTACCACCCACAGCCCATCCATGATGCATCCCACCAGTTGCCGGCTGGGGCAATTCGGCTACCTGGCTGCAGTTCAGGTCCGGGACGAAAGGCTCGCACCAACAAAGGGGCTCGATGCAAGTTCGGCTGCTTTTGTGTTTGTATCTCTATATATCGGTTTTGGCGCAAACTGCATCGACAACTTCATGAAGCTGGCTGTTGTTCTCGGTCAACTTCCAGCGTCCCGTTCCTGGATCGACCCAGTCGCATGTCACCTCCGCAATCAAAGTTCCATGCGGGGGCTCCAACCATGTCGGCACCCCAGACGGAACGGACTCGTCAAAAGATTTCTCCATATCGACATGGTGATACGAGGTGAGATATTGAGCGGGATTTTGGTCGCCTCCTTGATTTCCGGTAATAAAGGGGCCAAACGCCCCTTTTTACCTAGGCCAAGCACGAGAAAGATCGGATGAGATGAGACGAAGCTGCACACGCAAGCCTGCAGCGGAGTCGGATTGACTGGGACGATGTGGCAAGGAGTCGTATAGTAGTGCAAGCCATGACTCTGAGGCACGCTCTACAAAGAAAGGGGAGAGATCTCGACCAGAAAGTGCCCAAGGCCCCAGCATCAGCTCGGCTGTCGACGGACTTGAAGGAAATCTGGGGGAGTCGGTACACTCATGCGCACGGGTCGGGTGTTGACGTTAGTGGAATTTTTCAAGATACGGTACTCTACCTGCCTCACCTTAGTAGACTCACCGTACACGTAGATACACTACCTACCACAAGCGCACCAACGTGTTCGTGGAATGGTTACCATGAACTTCAGGCTGCCGAACCGCAAAATTCAGCGACCGAGATGTTGCCAATGCAGTCGAGGAGCGGCGCATTTGAGTTTCCCGATGACGGGACACTAACAATGGCACCCCACCCCTTCCTCAGCCATGCTCTTTCGTAGTTCGTGCCTTCCAGCTGCTCGACACTTCTCGGTTTCCCACATCGATCTCATCTGCTACCGACTTGCTTCCATTCCAGGTTCTTATCAAAATACTGATGCTTGGACCTGGCACGGTACCTCTCGAGGACGGCATCCAACTTTCCTTCATTCCCCTTAAAAATCCGTACCTTACAGATCACATTACTCCAACCTTCCTCTGTACTTCTGGATTGCTGCGGACCAAAGAGCCTCATCCGCTCCCTTGGGCAGCAGCAGCACCACCACCACTTCAGCAGCAGAACAAGCAGCTTTGTTCGGAATTTTACTGTCGCACCTGGACGCCTCATTCCTAGCTCCGGCTCATATCTCGGCTCACCTCCTTCAAACGTGAGAATTTACCGCGAGTGGTGAGCACCTCGTCGGCAAGCAGCATTTCTGTCACACGCGGGCAACCAGCGGCGGTCTTGGACGGTCTTGGACTTGACACCAGAGCCCCGGCACCCCTGTCCATAGCTGGTGGTTGTTTCGCCCAGACACCAAGGCAGTGTGGTCCCCCGGCCAGCCAGTGAGTCTTGAGATCCCGCCTCCCGCAACTGCAGCTGTCTTCCCCGGCCCATCGCTGGCCTCGGCCAAGGTCAGGGCAGGCAGGGCCTTGTGCCGGCTGTTGGTGGCTGCGTGTCGTCGAGCCTCCGACCCTGACAACCCACCGGCTGCAGCAAAACTTCCATGAGCCGCAGCTTTTCTCGACGGTAGAAAACAGTTGTTCGACCTTCCGTCCAATCGAGGAACGTCCATGTTTATGTTTGCCGTGCCGGCCCGGAGTCAGCTTACACTGAGGATTCCACGCGACTCTCTCTACCCTGCTTCATAGGTGGCCCGCACTCCCTGTTCTAACCCCTTCCACCCTTCGGTGCCGACCAACCCCAACCGTTACGATCTTGAGCCGCATTCTTGTCAACGGGACCCCAGCCCCGCTCACTATCCCGACGCATTTGCAATTTACGGTCCCCGGATCAATCAACCTGTCACGAGATTGTGCTCCGTTCCTCTTTCTCCCAGCGCCACACTCAGGCACCTCCCTCCCTTTGGGCCCGTTTCACCCTTCCTTGGCTGGCTCTTACATGCCCGCTCCCCGCCTTTCCCGCTCTTTTGCTTGACTGCACTGCTGTGCCCAGTCACCTTCCATCCCGACCCCTTGGTAACCCAAGGACAAGCGCCTGCACCGGGCTTCCTGGGGAAAGCACAAGCAACCGTGGAAGTCGGAGGCCGCTGTTTAAACCGACGACGACGAAGGGCAGCAGGCCGAGTGGGGTTCCGGGGCCTTGTTCCCTCGACCTTCCGCCGGAGACTCGGCTACCGATGGCGAGCTGACTGCACGACTGCTCCACGAGTCAAAGTGAACAGGTAGCCCTCGAAGCTATGAGTACGGCGGCCGCCCCGAAACTTACACAAGCCCCGGTGAGCGACGTGTACGATCCTGATGACGTATTCCCCAGGGACAGCCCGCCTCTGGAGCCGCTCCGCCTTACGCTGCGACCATCGCCAAGTCCGGCTCCCACGCTCTCCTCGTCTCCCGTCAGCCCCCCCCCCAGTCCCGGTAACAAGAAGGCTGGCCGTCGGAAAAGACCGAGGCCAAGCCAAGGCTATGCCGTCCTGATCGGCCATCTTGACGGACACAGGCGCGAGACTGCGGCCTACGCCGATATTGAGCCCTTGACATCCGAGACCGAGGACACAGAGGACGCTGCCCCGGATCCTGTCTCGCCCACTGGCGCATCTCCCAGCGGCCGCCCGGTTGGCGGGAACGGGGACCGTGATCGGCTAGGCGGAACAAGCGGAGGACAGACGACGGCTCATAGGATGAAATCAGGCTCACCTCCCGACGAGGACATGGGTGCCTTCGATCTGAAATCTTTGGCGGCTGGCGCCCTCGCTGCGGTTACCGCGCCGCAGCCAGAGCCCAATGCAGGACCAACACCACCCGTGACCGAGAATGACGTTGTAAGCGGGAAACCGCAAGCAGCACCGACGCCTTCGATGGCGATACACACGAGGCGAGAAGAACACCCGAAGGGCGAGCGGGATGCTCCGCCCGCGTTGCTTTCTCCTTACAGTCCCAACAGCATCTACTCGCCCCGGGAACAAGGCGCTACGCCCCTATCCGTGAAGACCGATATGAAGTCGCCGACTGCCAGCATCCATTCGAGCACCCATAGTGATGGTCTACCGCCGATACAACTCAACTCGCCGAAATATGAAACCAACGGACAGACGCTGCCGTCCATCAGATCTCAGCTCGGAGATATCCCGCAACTCGGTAGCAGTCATGCCGCAGGAAACGGGTTGAGGGGCCCACATCACCCATTTCCTGGTTCTCCCCCTGCTGCTCTGCCGCGTCTCCCGTCGCTGCACCCTCAGATCGTGTCGCCGCCCATGCCACCAGTCGATCCATATCGGGATCCGCTTTCTCCTGCTTATCCGCTAGCTGCCCCAGCCCTGAGCCCCAGGTATTACTACCCCTCAGCAAATGGCCTGCGCCGGTCACACGACTATACCAGCACCTCGCCGGAAGCCACGAGCTCGCACCAAGCCGGTTCTCCGCCTGTAGCAGGTCTAGACAGGGTGGGCATCGATGGTATGACTATCCAGACAATTGGGGTTTACGTCTGCAAAGTCCCTGGTTGTACCGCGCCGCCATTCCAGACGCAGTATTTGCTCAACTCACACGCAAATGTTCACTCGTCGGCGAGACCACATTATTGCCCAGTCCCAGGATGTCCCCGTGGCGAGGGCGGCAAAGGTTTCAAGCGCAAGAACGAGATGATTCGGCACGGCCTTGTTCACGAATCCCCAGGCTATGTATGCCCATTCTGCCCTGACAGAGACCACAGGTATCCCAGACCGGACAATCTTCAAAGGTAAACCACACAAAGCACCTCTTGGCGTTGCTTCGTGACCTTGGACTAACGGAAGCAAGGCATGTCCGAGTGCATCACGAGGATAAAGACAAGGACGATCCTCAATTACGCGAAGTCCTCGCACAACGACCCGACGGGCCGACCCGCGGACGCAGGCGAAGAGGCATCACGGGTTGATGCCATCGCTTTTATCTTGCTCTCAATGTCCCTTCGTTTGTTATTTCGCACATACTTGCCGCTTCTTCTGTTGTCGTGACCCTCGTACGGATCACGATACTCATTTTTCTCTTTGTGCGCAACGGATGCGTGTGTGTGTACAGAACGTCGCACAGCGAGCGTGGGGCCCGGTCGTTACCATTGTATCCTTCTCAGGCTTGTTATGATGCTTGGATTGCTCTTTTCGCCCGCTTCTTTGCGAACCACATTCCGTTTCTTTAAGCGGTCTGACGGCGTTTCATGGAGAGCTGGAACTCTGGGGTCTTGGTCGGGATCGGAAAGGAAGAATCGGATTATTTTTTTTTTTGGCGGGGAGACGGCTGCCTCTCCCGGCGGCTTTTGCGTGTTATCCTGCTGTTTGTAGCGTGGGTGGTATGATACCGTGGGCTGGTTGGCGTTTCGCGGCGTGGCTTTTCTGACATTGCGCCATATGCCAATTCCTCTGCCTGACTTGCAGATATGGTGAACAAATGGAAAAAGGAAAGGGAAGGAGGAAGTATGGAAAGAGAATCTCGACTGAATCATCATATTTCCCCGTGAGAAGTTTGGAAGGCGTTTTTGAACAAGGGTGTACCGACAGGGCAACAAGCAACATTGTCTCGTTCCCCCAACGAACGGTGATAGCTAAGAGGGTCAGGACCAAGGCAACAGACAGGCCTTGAACAGAGGTATCTCTGTGTGTTGTGTGGGACCGATCCTATCCAGCGAGACCAACCGTGGGGGGAGAGCGTCTTCTGTACTGTCTGAGAGACGTGGTTGAGACACAGCCATTGCATAGTAGGTTCGGCCTTGGTTGGTTATGCGATGGAAAACACTGCTTCTTGCTGTCCAGATGACTCTATCACGATTAACCTCACTCACTTGACAACAGCCACTTGATCAGTTCTCGACCATGTATACCTCATGTATTTATCCCCTATCCTCAACTTGGAGGCTTTCTTGAGGACGTCATATGACTGCCAGACCGAGTAACATCGCCTTAGAAGACATCACCGTCCTCTCGTGTGAACTCAATCCTCATCCCCATTCTCCCACCCGCCCGCCTGCACTTCCCCATCACTCAGCACCTCGACCTGCACCCCGCCTGCAACACCACCACCGCCGCTTGTATACCCAACCCCACCACCCCCAATCCTCTCCAAAACAATCCAAAGCCCGCCCCTGGCCCTCACAACCTCAGGCTCGACATCCACCTCGCCCGTCCGCAACCCCATCGCCGCGTCAGCAAATTCCCCGTCCCGCGACATGGCGAGCACGGTCCGGTGCGCTCCCGTGCCGAGCTCGAGGCTCACGCGCATCGCTGCCGCGCCCGAGGGCGCCCGGCTGGTTGTGGTGGTGGCGTCTGCGGCGGTGCGCGTGACGGCGTTCAAGCGGGTGAGTCTCGCCACGCTCAGCTGCGCGCGCAGGCGGGATGTACCACCGGGGAAGTTGACGGGCGTGGCTGGATTGGTTGGGGGTACGGGCGTGCGCAGGCGGCCTGCGCCGTCGGAGGGGAGCGGAGTTATGGAGTGCGAGGTGGAGGTCGAGAGGGTCAGAGTGTAGCGGGCTAGGTGGCCCGGTTCGAAGGTTGAGAGGATTAGGGTGTAGGAGCCCGCGCCGAGGAGGGGGTGCGAGGCGGAGGTGCAGCCGCGGTGGTATTCGCTGCTTGCGCAGAGGATGTCGCGGCCGGAGAGGGAGGTTATGCGCTGGTTGGTGATGTTGGCGGTGCTGGTGGTGGTACTGGCGGTGAGAGATGGGGAGAACAGTACGGCGACGTGGAGGGGGAGGTCTCGGGCGTCGGTGCTCAGGACGAGGGATAGGGGCGAGGGAGCTGAGAGGGCGAGGAGATATTGCGGGTTGGTGAAGTAGCTTGGGTGGGAGGCGCTGCCGCCTGCTGTGCGGCGGGTCCAGGCGCCGGTGAGGGAGGTGTTGTGGGAAAGAGGATGAGCGGCTGGGGCAATGGTGAGGGGTTGGTAGGAGAAGAAGGAGAGAGTGAAAGAGTAGGTTGGGAACGGGAGCTCGGTTTGCGTGATGACGAGGGTTTGGGGGGTGCCGGCTGTCGAATTGTAGCGTAGCAGGGTGTTGGGGCTGTCGACAAAGGGGGTTTGGTGGAGACGGCGGCTGGTATCGGGGAGGGGCACGCGGGTGCCTGGGGGTGAGCTGGCATATATGGCGAGTGCCATGAACCCGAGCTGCTTGGAAACCGTGGCCAGCGAGGCTTGACCGCCTTCTCTCTCGGCTTTGCGCTGGCGCAAGATGTCGAGCTCGCCATCCTGCCAGTGGCGGCTGAGGAGGACCCAGACAGGGTTTCCGGAGGGTGACAGCACGCTGTATTGTGGGTTACGCGTGAAGACGAGCTCCTCCGTCTTGTCAGGCATGTCCCATTTGAAGTGGTGGTCTTGGCGGTATGGGAATAGCGCGGGATTCCAGTTGACGTAGAGCGACTCGAAGTGTTGGAGGACGTCTTCAAACGCCATCCAGAACTGATTGGATGCACCCTCGGAACCCGAACCAACTGTGTGCGCCTTGAGCGTGGCCGAAGACCCGACGCCGGTCCATACCAGGCTGTCCACCCAGGGATTTTTGATGAGGAGTAAACGAGAGCCGTCCTCCTTTTTCAGGCTGATGACGGCATAGTCGTGCTCCCTCACCAAGCCTGACGCCTTTTCTTCCTCCGGTAAGATATTCCCAGTTCCCAGGGTCAGCATAGCATTGCCTTCGTCGTAGGCTTTCTTGATCCTGTTCCATGTCTCATCCAGTTCGATTTCGTCACTAAGCGGATTAGGACATGTGTTCGCCCCTCTATCTTCCGGAACTACTCACCTCTGGAGGAAGATTTGCTCAGGAATCCAGCCTGTCAGAGCAAGCAAGTCGGTCCCTGAGTTGCTGCCAGGGAAGTCGTAGCCACCCCGGATCTTCAGATAGGCTTTCTCAACCAGAGCCGGCCAGATCAGCCTGGGGTTGCGCCGGTCGACGACGTATAGAGTGCGGTCGGTGTGGGAAGCAGGCAGGCGGTCATCAATGACGACATGGCGCCAGCTTCCGTTGAAGTACATACGAAATATGTATTTTCCATTCTTGGAAACCTCGGGTCTGTTGGTGGTGCGGTCAAAGGGGTACATGAGTGACCCCAGCAGCTATTTCGGGCGCGTGTTAGCCAGCAGTCAAGAATCTGGGTCCGAAACAGAATGCTCACCGAGTCCTTTGTAGGTCCAAGATGGCGAGCCGCTGCACATAAGCTCGCTACAACGGAGCAGTCCGTGGCCAGGTCCTGTGCCAGATCCATGTCTGCTTGGGCGGTCATGAGCTGGTCCATAGTCCCGGGCCCACCATCTTTGACCCCCGTAAGTTCAGAGGGACGCCGCCAGCCGGCAAAGATGGATTGCTGTTCCTCCGAGAGGGAGAAGGGTGATGAGTCGCTTGGAAAGGAACAGGTCAGCAGAGGACGCTGGCGATGGTTCAAAAAGCAGTTTGCACCCACACGTATTGCTCTCCGGGACCGCCGGCAGTCGAGAAGCTCTCTGAACCAGGGGCTGACTCCCACGGGGGAAACACGTGGCCATGCAGACGTGAGGCTTTCAGCAGGATTGTCTTCTCGGCGGTTGTCAGCGGCCGAGTGGACTTGGGGGCGGGCGGCCGCGAGGCGGCATCGGTGCCCTTGGCAGTCGCTTTGAGCCTCTCTCCGAGACCGATGAGCTCGACGCACTTCTTCCTGAGGCGTTTGCGGTCTTCGGCTGTCTTTGCCTTGCCGGCTGCCTGCATATACAGCTCGGCAGCGGCAATAGCGTGCCTCAGGGCGTCCTCGCCCTGTGTTTGCGCCAGGCGGCGCTCATGTTCCTGGTGCAGGAGTAAGAAAAGTTGTCTTAAGAGATACACGGTAAATATCGATGTCTGCTACCGAGCGTCCTCACCAGGGCTTGAGCCTCCATGGATAGTTAGGGCCGAGAACGTCAGGTCGTCATCGGACAGGTACTTTTTCTGAGTGTTTGAGACTTTCGATCACACATGGATCCGCGAGTGCCTCATGAATTCGCGCGCCGTTTTCCGTTCAAAGGGTTTCAGGGTCGATAACGCGGAACACGATCCGTGTGTAGCATGTAATGAACGCCGGCGCCGTTCAGCTGAACCTGATCTATTGGCGATGTTTACAGTGTACTTTGTACAATACAAGATCTCATCTCGATGATGATACTAACGAGTGACACTTGAGCCTGCGATTGGTGGGGAACCCGGGCAGTGCTGGAGGATGCAAGATAACGTTAAGTAAGCGGTACGATATGCCTGATGGACTTGGACCTGAGTTCAGGTTCGAGACATTGGAACCCATACGAGAGACTTCGGAAATGCACAGAACGCCATCACCAACTAAACCGGTGACAGGTCAAATAAGGTTTCTCAGGTTCCAATCTTGGTGCTTTTCTCCTCGAGAGCGGAATGTCCACCCGCTTGTGTGGATGGATCCAACTCAACTGGGTGCGGGGCAACGAAGGCTCGCAAAATCAGCAAAGGAGCGTTATCGGTATCGTGCCGGAGTTCTCGACCACTGTGGGAGCCGAGGCTATCCTTCGGCTGTCACGAGCGCGCTGTCGACGTGCCGCAAATCTGCCAGACCCGTCCTCGGCTGCAAAGGCCGTGAGCACTAGTTATGGCGTTGCTATCTCTCTCGTACATTGTTGCTCTGTCTCTTAAGCCTGAGCTTGTCTGTCTGTGCTCTGATCCTGCAATTTGGTAGATTCATTCGTTCCCGGAGTCGCGGTCTCGCACAGTTAATCTAGCACTCACGTCACCGACGCAACTGCCGTCATTAGTGGGGGTTACAGCCGGCATCTCGGTTCACGGATACCGTACTCCCAAACTCCAGCTTCAACACATATTGCTCCCGTCGCTTGACGTTAGGAATTTTCGCCAGAGCGCCCGGAGGTCCTTGCACGGGGACCAGAGGATATCACAATGGCCGCACAGTCGAAGCCCGCCCCAATTGGGCCCTGGGGCAAAGCGACGGCCGGTGCAGCAGGCGCAGTCCTCGCCAATGCGCTTGTCTACCCTCTAGACCTGTATGTGAAGCGTCTGTCCTTGGGCCCTCTGCCCTCCCAGGTGCTGACCGTCACGGAAATCTAGCGTCAAGACGAAGCTCCAGGTTCAAGTGAAGCCCAGCGGCGCCGCGAATACCGATGCGAAATCCAATGAGCCGCTGTACAACGGGACATGGGACGCCTTGTCCAAGATTGCTTCTGCCGAAGGTATCGCCGGCTTGTACGCCGGTATGAGCGGTTCTCTGATTGGTGTTGCCTCGACCAACTTCGCCTACTTCTACTGGTACTCGGTTGTGCGCACGCTGTACCTCAAGTCCGCCAAGGCCGCAGGCCCGCCGTCTACTGTCGTCGAGTTGTCGCTGGGCGCTGTCGCGGGGGCGCTTGCCCAGCTTTTCACGATCCCTGTCGCCGTCATCACGACCCGGCAGCAAACACAAAGTAAAGAGGACAGGAAGGGCATCATTGACACGGCTCGTGAAGTCATAGAGGGAGAGGACGGCATCACTGGGCTCTGGAGAGGATTGAAGGCCAGTTTGGTGCTGGTAATCAATCCGTCCATCACATATGGCGCGTATGAGCGCTTGAAGGAGGTTCTCCTTCCGGGAAAGAAAAATCTTTCGCCCTGGGAGGCATTCGGTAAGCCGGATTTCGACCAGGATCACCCACCGCGAGGAGAATTAACCTAGCCACTAGCTCTCGGTGCCATGTCCAAAGCGCTTGCGACCATCGTCACCCAGCCCCTGATTGTGGCCAAGGTCGGGCTGCAATCGAAGCCGCCCCCATCGAGACAAGGGAAGCCGTTCAAGAGTTTCGTCGAGGTTATGCGGTTCATCATCGAGAATGAGGGCCCTCTGAGCCTATTCAAGGGAATGGGCCCACAAATCCTCAAAGGCTTGCTAGTCCAGGGCATCCTGATGATGACCAAGGAGCGGTACGTCTTGAAAAGTTCAGGTATCGGCTGATGGAAACTGACTGACTGTATTGCCGCAGTGTCGAGCTCATGTTTGTCCTCTTCGTTCGCTATCTTCAAGGCCTGCGGTCACGGAGACTCGGAAGGGCTGGTGACCTGGCGGCTGCCGCCAAACTCGTAGCGCCTGTGACTGTCAAGTAACATTCAGCAACTCGACCCTTCAATCACGTTATTTTGTTCAGAAGGGCAAGAAAGTCCTGTCCTGTATAAACCACGGCGTCGGCAAGACCAACATTTGGACACAGCCACTCAGCGAGGACGGCGTTTGTACATGAATAGCGCATATAGATTCTGTTATGAACATAAGAGCACGCAGCAAGTTGTAGGAACTGGGCTCTAATTTTAGTGGTCGAATGTGCTGTTTAGCTGGCAATGTAACAGACGCGAACGTCTTGTGTAAATACGCATCTTCTCGCCTGAGCTAGCCACACTTCAGCCGCACAAGCCACAGTCACCGATTTAGGGCAGCCAATTTTCCTCCCACTTTTGTGCGCAAGCGACATTCCTGTTATTGAACCTTGCACCCAGCTTCTCAGACAGTCAACGTCGTCACTCGGAGCCGACAACCTGCACAATGGCCAGTATGTCGCCCTCCATATTTCCCAATAGATGGCTTGCTCTCATTCAATACTGACGTTTTGCAGAGTCTAAGAACTCGTCTCAGCACAACCAGTCGCGCAAGGCGCACCGGAACGGGTACGGATAGCCGACGACCATTCGTGACGACGACCGCATTTAGGGCGCTAACATGGAAATCGCAACAGCATCAAGAAGCCTAAGACCCAGAGGTACCCATCGCTCAAGGGTACCGACCCCAAGTTCCGGAGAAACCACAGGCATGCGCTCCACGGGACTGCCAAGGCTCTGGTACGAACCGATCGCCTGTTCTCAACACACTACCACAAGACTGAGCTTCCGCTAACGCACTCTCTACAGAAGGAGTTCCGGGAAGGCAAGAGGGAGACTGCTTAAATCGTTTTCTCTACGTTTGCTGGCGGCGCGCACGACTGGGGGTCAAGGGACACATATCTTCAAGCATGACCTTTACGAAGAAGGGATTCGAGGCGGTGCCGATTGTTGCACCACCGCTCACTGGGCCGGCTTTTCGAGGTGTTATTTAGGGCGTCATTTCGGATCAAACCCAGACCCAAACCGATGCATTGGTCTCTGCGCAAAGAGGCGGATCTGCCTGGGTATGATATTCACTCCTCAAGCGCGGTACAGCTCCATCCTAGGCCCAGACCGAGACAGACAAGGTGTGTGATACCGACTGTGTGGCCAGTAAGGGACTGGAGATATGGGCTCGACTCTTCTCCCCGTCGGGTCGACATTTCGTTCTGACTTTTGACGGCTTCTGGGGGACTGTCATGGCGACAAACGGCATCAGTGTGTACAGCTCTGAGCTTCTCTCTCCGTGCTCATTTTGCTGAAGGATTATTTCGTGCCGAGAAGGACCTTGCCCTGCTATTACCAAACACCCCTGGTCTTTGACCGAAGGACTCGGGTGCATGAAAGCTGGGCGACATTCCAACGACGAAGCATCGGTTCAGCGTCTGCTCGGTTGCCCATCTTGGATGTTCGGCTGCTACCTCATACAGTACGGCTTTTCGCGATGTCAGAAATCGCCGTGGCCATGGATATTTCCCCTATCAAGTGCAATAAATGTCCTAGCTATAGTATAGCGTCCCAAACGGCGCTGTTTGTCGACGACAATGCATTGTGCATGCCCTGATTGATGACATCATTCTGAGTTATGCCATGTTAAGCTGCAGTTAGAAAGATGGTAAATGCACTACCCGTCCAGAGCCGTCCAAGCCGCTGGGCTACGCTCTGAGTAAGCCCATGTGACCAATGAGCACTAGCTACGGCGTGCTTGGGATTTACCTGAAGGAGGTGACTTGCTAGCGATCGATTACTCGGTGGTTTCGTTCTTTGCGGCGCCATTCGTCTGATGTTGAGCCCTCTGCTGAATCCACAAGTGGGGAGCTGAGCCTCTGTGAAGCCCCGCCGTAGTTCGCGACAGGCTCTGACGGGCGTGACCCGACTCTTAGCGTCTGCCCTGTTGGGCGGCTCTGACGGCCAGTGCTGATGATCTTGCCACTTGGACCTGTATATAGTTTGGGGAATAGCATGATAATGTGCAGTCGAGTCGGTAAGGAGGAGGGTTGTGTATAACGGTGCCCTTTCTTGATCGGAGAAGCTGCATTCCAACATCCAATCTTGGCTTGATTACTTGATACCGTGGACGCTACGGAATGTTTTGCCGCCTGTTCTGGACTCGGAAGGGACTGACGAAACAGCCCAGTGGAGCAACTCCTGAGCGCCGGCCCAGGCACCCAGCCCTCAGCTGCGACCGGCCCGCTTTTTGCTGAGGTCGATGAACCCCGTCGTCTCTCCGTCCCTCCCACTCACAGAACCCTCAACAAGTTTTGTTGTCTCCCGTCCTCACCGACTGCAAAACTGTAGTTCAGGTTGGAGCCAGCATCTCGCTTCGCCCTTTCTTCGTTTCGGCACGGATTTCTGAATAGTTTGGAGCTTTCTTAATGGGTATGTCGAATTCTTGCACTCCCCCGCCGGATCGCCTGGTCTCGCGCTGCCTCGTCCGGTCTTCCGTGCTGCTGTGAGAAGGCGTGGCTGCCATTATTCATGGGATCAGGAACGAGACCTCCTTGTGTGTCTTTGATTTCTCTTTCCATCTCGCCCTCGAGTCCCGATCTCTTGTGGCACCTGGCATCCTTACCTCCAGCTTCCTTCCTTTCCGAATCTGCGCCGCACTTTTACAGCTTCAATTTGATGCGGTCCCGAGTCCCATTCTCAGTTGCTTCGTTTGCTAACTCGATCCTTCGCTTTTCAACAGATCCTCGTGCCCTCTCGTGATCTTCTTTCTCGCGGAACTTCGATGCTCCTTTGAGGCCAGCGGGTTACTGCAGGAGTTATCGAAAGTCTTCGCACCTTTCCGTACCTAGTCTGCAGCGACTTCGAAAGTCTCTCGACAGCGAATCTAATATCCTCGAGTACTACCCCATCTCTGCGCGCATGCGATATTCTCCCCCGGTGCGTCAGACAGCGTATTTCACTCCATGGCATGAAGATCGTCCCCGACAATGACGAAACCTCCTGCCAGTCCCAGCTTTAGCTAACACTGAATAGCCGCGAGCCTTGTTTCAGCTTTGCCTGGCACCTGGTACCAGCCAATCTTCAAAAAAAAGACGCTTTGATCTTTTTCCACCTTCGTTAATAGGTTTCTTGCCCTGATCCACTCGATCATTCGACGGTCCGGCTCCCAACCCGTCACAGTTATGCTTAACATGTCCAACATCATGAGCAACCGCAACAGCACGCCCGAGGCCACCAGCGTCTCGTCATTGCGACCGCCTTCGTCGCGTGTCGTTGGCGCCAACAATCACACGCTTCGTGCGTCTGCCGACATGGCCACCCTGACTGGGCAGGCTGCCGCTGGCCGGATTCGACCCTCTTCCGACTTCTACGGCCAGGTGCAAGCGGGCCAAGGTCAGGGCAGCGCCGACATGGATGCTCAGGACAAGCTCGCCCAGCAGTGGATCGCCGATATTGACCAGTACGAGACAACGCTCGAAGAGATGGCGGCTGCTACACTTGACCAGGACTTCAAGGATGAATTGAGCGCTATTGAGCAGTGGTTCCGCGTCCTCAGCGAGGCAGAGCGGACCGCTGCGCTGTATGCGCTCCTGCAGCAGACAACTCAGGTCCAGATTCGCTTCTTCATCCAGGTTTTGCAGCAAATGGGCAAGAACCACCCCATGTCTGGCGTACTGTCACCTGCAAATTTCGACAAGGGTTGGTCTTCCGCACATCGTCCGAAAATGCTGGTTCTAACACTGTCGCGATACAGACCCCATGTCGAACCGCTTGAGCGATGCTATGAGCAAGCTGGCTGTCGACTCGGCTCGGAACTCGCTCGCTCGCCCAAGCCCCGGCGCGAACATGAAGCGTCAGTCTGGCTTGGATTCGTCGACTATCAATGCCATGTTTCCCGACGCTGCGGCAGCTATTGCCACAGAGAAGGCTAAGTTCACCCAGCAGACGGGCAATCCCCCCATCTCGGCTAGAAATAGTCTGGTGGACAACCGCAATTCTTTGGCGCCGACGATTTCGGCTCCCAAGGATGACTCCAACGGACAGAACCCGGCGTCTCCCTGGGGCCCCAATGACGCTTCTCGCCCGAAGTCTTCTTCCGGTCAGGCGCCTATGGGACAGTTTGTGCAGCCCCCGCCGTCGACCGGCGCCTTGCGGTCCCCTCGGCCGCAGCTCACGGGCAACACCAACATCCAATCGACCACTTTGACGACTGGGGAGCAGCCGCTTGCCGACCTGCCACTTCTGTCGCCGTATGGTGCGAGCGGCAACTGGGCTTCGATGGTCAACACACCGATGGTGGCCACTTTCAACCAGCCGCAGCCGGGGAACAATGCCGACATGGTGGCCAATGCTACGGCGATGAAGCTGGCGGCCCTCTCCACCGTCAACAACCGATTCGCGCTGGACGATGTGCGCAAGTACCGTCGTGCTCGCTCGAATGACGCGCCCGGCCAGGCCCAGAACCCCTTGTCGCCAGGTGCACCACCTATTCCTGGAGCCATCATGGTCAGCGAGCACGGAGTGCCGCTGAGCCGGGAGCAACTGATGACTCTGCAGCAGCAGCAGCAGCAGAACTTGAGCTTCGCAGCCCATCGGTCGCGGCCCAATTCTCCTGGTATCGCGGTACAGAACTACGGGCCGGCCCTTGCCTTTACTTCGCCTCAAAATAACGGTTTTTTGAGCGCTTACGATGGGACGTCTTCGCTTATAAATAATGGACTGGCTCCAATGAATCTGGGTCCGTTCCCAGTTGGTCTGGGCGGCCATCACGAAGGGTACCACTCGGACCACTCGGACATGGTGCGTGGCCGGTCTCCGCGTGGTCGGAGGGGCACGTCCAAGCCGCCTGAGGATCCCACGGACCCCACTCTCCTGCAGGATATACCGAGCTGGCTACGGAGCCTGCGCCTGCACAAATACACGGACAATCTCAAGGACATGAAGTGGACCGACCTCATCGAGCTGGACGACAAGCAGCTCGAGGAGCGGGGCGTCAATGCGCTGGGTGCTAGACGTAAGATGCTCAAGGTCTTTGAGCAGGTCAAGGGTAAGCTTTTCCAATCAAACATTGGGAGGGATGAGAGGTAGATGCTGACACAAAACACAGAGGCCAGAAACGAGGGCAAGTTGGGTTAGGGACCCTCTCCCCAACTCGGGGCAAGGATGACAATATGGTGAACGAGAATGACCGGGGAACACTGGACGGGTATATGGATGAAGCGAGCGAAGCGATATCGCATTCCTACGGAGCATCATTGCTAAATATTCTTCCTGATGCGAGTCTGCAAGCCCTTGCTTGAGATTTGGAAAGACAAGATCTGGTGCTTGATGACGTCCGAGGAAGCGCCCCTGGTGTTCTTGGAGGCAGATCAAGGTGGTTGTGTATGTATGAGATGAGATCACGGTGGCCATGATTTCTGGGGTGGATGGATGAAGAGTTGTGATAACAGCTTTGCTGCTCCATAGTGATGGATGATTCAAGATGAGTTCCTTCTTGCGGCCATTAACAGTCCAGGTTTGGTCTCTGCATTCTCTTTGTCTCTTTGTCCAGTATGGTAAGGTACGGTTTTGAAGTGTGATTCGGACTCCGTGTGATTCGGACTCCGTGTGATCCGACAGTGCGACGAGAACCAACAGGCAAATCTATGCCGGAGGTCTCAGCTGCACGCTGTATGTCTGTTGCTTCATGGAAAAGGAGAGAAGAAAAGAATATCGGTTCAAACATACGTACTATGATAAGGTCAACCGCTCCAGAGGTAGGTATTTCGAATCCCAAAGTGAGTGGGGTGCGGCAAGTGACTTGCACAGTGCGTTTATCCGCTATTCAATGAGACTGGGAATCCACTTCATGGAGTTCATTCAACTTCGTATTTCTTCAATCATCCCGCTGATGACAAACGGTTTTGACGCAACTGTACCGAAGTTTCTCTCCCCCATTTCCACCGATTGGAATGGGCAGTACAGACGTGAAGGAATCATTCTATGCTCAACTGGACTGGACGACAGGTGTGAACAGGGGAGGGTTTAAATCCAATGTGCATCGGGCTCGTTCGAACGAGCCTTGTGTCTTGAGGCAGAGGGGGGTTCTTTGAGTCGCTTGGGGCTTGCGCTCTTACCGATACAATACTTGCCTGGAGTTACCAAGCACCGATTCACATTTCAAGGCAGCAACTGCCCCTTTTTCCAGCTTGACTCCGCAGTGCAGTCCCGAGAAATTCTCTCACTATGGATGGAATGGACGTTGACGAGCCGGCCGTGCCCCCTGCGTACACAGCAGCCAAGTTCGCCATGAACATGATCGACCCAAGCTTGTATCCCGACGGGGTCGCGCCGGAGCCAGATACTGTTATGGAGGCCGACGAAGATGAAGTGGCGAGCAACATTTCAGCCGACTCGGACGCCGTGGAGCTGCGCGCCGAGGTCGAACGGTTCGACCAGCAGCAGGAAGCCTTTGTCGCCCGCCAACGAGCTGAAGCCTCCGGCATCCCCTACCAGCCACCACCAGCTCGGAAAGCAGGCCGCAAACAGAAGCCCAAAAGGAGAACCGGCCCTCGAAAGGCAGTTGAGCTCCCGCCCGACATCCGGTTTCGCATGTCCCTCGCCAACGAAGCCTTCCAGCAGCAGGAATACGACAAGACGGTCGCCCACCTCTCCGAGATCATCCGCATCAACAGCGAGGTCTTCAACGCCTGGATGCTCCTGTCGACGGTCCACGAGACGCTGGGCAACCGGGAGCAGGCCATCTGGTGCCGCATCTCGGCCGCCCACCTGACGCCGCGCGACGTGCAACAGTGGATCTCGACGGCCGAATACGCGCTCGAGTGCCTCGAGGAGCTCGAGGACGGCACCCCGGAGAAGGACGAGGTGCTGCAGCGCGCCTACGCCTGCTACACCCAGGCGCTCGAGACGGACCGCTCCAACATTGTCGCGCGCACGGGGAGGGCTGACGTGATTATGATGCAGGGCAACGCGAGCAAGGCGTTGGCCGAGTACCAGAAGGCGCTGAACTACAAGCCGTGGAACATCCGGACGGTGCGGAACATCGCCGATGTCGCGCTGGATATCAGGGACCGCAGGAAGGGGGCAGATATCGCGAAGGGCGCGTACAGGCGGCTGATTGACCATTTGCAACAGAGCGGGACGTTCGAGGCCGAGGAGGGAATGTTTGAGTGGTCGGATTTGAGGATCTATCTCGAGTTCTTCACCACCCTCGAGCAGTGGCAGGAGGGCGTTCAGGAGCTCAAGGAGCTCTCGCGCTGGTTACTGGGTCGGAGGTCCGAGACGTACTGGGACCAGTGGTCGGATGACGACAGGGAGTGGGATATTTATGACGACAGGCGGGTTGTAGTGCCCGGGTTTGAGCCAGCCCGGTTTCCTCAAGAGTGCTACGGCCAGGGGCTCCCCATTGATCTGCGAGCGAAGCTGTACGTCTACCGGGGCAAGCTTGGCTTTGAGTACGAGGCAAATTTGCACTTGCAGTTGCTCGACCCGACGAGGGAGGAGGACTTTATCGACTTTCCGGACTGCCTCAAGGACATTGCCCTCACGCTCTTGGACCGGGACAGGCCGGACGATGCGATCCGCTACCTTGAACTTTACAGACATATCGCAACCACGACCGGAGAGATTTCGCTGGACGCTGATTTTTCCGTCTGCCAGGGCCGGTACCATATGGCGCGCGGAGAGAAAGTAGCTGCCGAAGAATGCTTCATTGCGGCCATCGAGGAGGACGAAGACAACATTGAGGCCCGTGTCCAGCTCGCGAATATGTATGAGGGCGAGGATATGCAAGAAGGCCGCGAGGAAGCGTTCTTACTGGTTCGAGAAGCAATGAAATTGGAAGCAAGACGTGGCGACGGGACTGGGAGGCGACGTGGCCCGTATGGGCCTCGGAAACCGAGGGAAGGCAAACCCCGGCCTCGGAGACCCCGGGACCCGAACAGGAAGTCCAACTATGTGCCGCGGCGACTGATAAACGCCGAGAAGAGGAGGCAGCAGGAGCTGGAAAGGACGGCCGAGGCGGCCAAGAACTTCCAGCGCCTACAAGAGGTGCAAGATCTAGCGTTGGCTGGGGACGAACAGGCCAAGTCAGAGTGGATGCAAGCGGCCAAGAAGCTCGTCGACGACTTCAGATCGTACAAGCAGTTCTACCCGTGGGAGAAGTATATCAAATTCCTTGGATATTCTGGCAACGTGGAAGGACAGGCAGCGGTTCCAGCTAGGAACATGAAGCTCGCTGCCATGGAAGAGCGGTTGCGACAGAACCTCGCACCTGTCGAGGGCCAGGAGCAGACCGTCAGGCTGCCAATCAGGATCCCGACGGAGCATCGCGGCATCTCCTTCGACACGTGGCTAGACATCTTCCTCAACTACGCATTCAGTCTCGTCCGCGCAGGCCAGCATCGCGAGGCGTACGTCGTGTGCCACGCCGCGCGGGACTCGGTTGTCTGGACATCGACCGACGCAACCTTTCTCATCCACGTCGCCTGGGCCTCGTGCGCCGTTTACGCAGGCGACGAGGAGACGTGCGTGGCCATCGCCCGCTACTTTATGCGCGACTACATGCCGGGAACCGACTCGTACCGCATGTTCTCTGCCATGTGCCGCGTGTGCCAGACGCCCGTATCCTGGTATACGTCGGGCCCGGCTCAGAAATTCATCCTCCGGCAGATCAAGACCATGGATAACATCGTCATGCGGCGGGACAACGCCGCCGCCACCACCACCACTACCAACGCTCCCAACAACGGCGACGACAACAACAGCAACGACCCCAACAACATCGCCCTCGACGTCGCCCTCCTCACCATCTACGGCCACATCCTCTTCACCACCACGTCCTACACGTACGCGCTCTCCTACTTTGCCCGCGCCGCCTCACTCGACCCGTCCAACGCGCTCATCAACCTCAGTACGGGGCTCGCGTACGTGCACTACGCGCTCAAGCGCCAGGCCACCAACCGGCAGTACCTGCTTACGCAGGGATTCGCCTTTTTGTTCCGGTACTACCGGGATCGGCTCGCGGACGCGGACGCGAAGGAAAAGGAGGAGGAGGATGGCGATAGCGGGGAGAGGAGGAGGAGGAGAAGGAGGTTCGTGGCGCAGCGGCAGGAGGCGCACTTCAATATCGCGCGGGCGTACTCGCTTCTTGGGTTGGGAAATCTGGCGGTGGAGTACTACAAGAAGGTCTTTGAGGAGGGTGCGGCGGATGAAGAGGGGGAGGGGGGGATGATGGGGAGTGAGGATCTCAGGGTGGAGGCGGCGTTCAATGTGAGGACGCTGTGTTATTTGCTGGGGGATTTTGAGGGGGCAAGGGGGGTCGCCGGGAAATGGTTGGTTTTGGAGTGAGGGTTTTCTTCCCCATCGGTTGCATGCTGATTGTTGTGGGTGGTGAAGGACCGGGTTTCCAGGGAGAACCGGATGGGAAAACGGTTGGTCATGTGAGCATGGTTTGGCGTTTGGCAGGCCACTTTGGTGGATCAAGAGCATTGCTAGATGTTTGATGGTGTAGAGAAGGTCATGTTGTGCCTCTCATTGGTGGCCGAGGGTAGAGAGTCAATGTTTCAAATACTATCAACCCTTTCTAGCGGCCTAACCTGGTTCTCAAGGGAGCGCCTGGGTACACAGGAATTGGGCCCCCCAAATCTACGTCAAGCTCATGGACGAATCCGTTGGTAGATCCGTTCGTGCCAACACCGGTCGACCGTCCCGCTTGAGACGATCACCAGTGTTTGATGGGGTTAGGGTTTCTACCCTTCTCCTGTTGCTCCCTCTCGCGGATAACATGTAGTCTCTAACAGGCAACCGCCTTTTAATCGGGAATGAATGGAGCGAACTCGGTAAGCATCTTCCTGTAAGGCTATCTTCAGGTAACTTGTCTGCGGCAAAGCTGGTCCATTTTGATTGTCTTCTACGAGACGGTGCAGGATCACTTGTCTTCGTACATGTCAAGTGTACCCACCTGGAGGAACTGGCGTAAATCGCGTTCGAGTACAGATGTAACCCGCAGAACTGCTTTGCTGCTTCACGACGACTCTTAGTGTTTTGATCCGAAAAGCCCAACAGCGCTGGTTGGGTCTCGAGGGGATTCCTGTGGTTGTGGTTGGTTGGCCTGGGCCATCGACGGCCCATGAGCTAGGGCCACGTCATTTATCGAGAGCACAGCATCGAGGACACTGCATGGAAGCAACGGGGATGATGGTCTGGCTCCAAGAAAAAGAGGAGCGTGATCTGTGTCTCCCTGAAGAGGATGCTGTTGGTGACACGAAGCATGGGCGAGCCGGATGCGGGGGAAACGCAGGATTGCTCGTCCCATCCACCGTCGAGCGGCGGAAGGCGTTCCAAGGGACGGAAAACGGCGATCATGTTAGTTGCGACGACATAGCCAATGTCTGGTGGCCAGGCTGTCACACAGGACGGCTCCAGTATGGGCCGGTGGTTTGACGGAACGGGTGTCGAATGTCAGCTGGTAAACTGGTAAGGATTGACGACCTAGGCCGACTTGATGGGCATTTCCGTTGCTTAGTTTTGTCTTTGGCCGCGCCGTAAAACGATGAGGGCAAGTTGACGGCCCAGTTGCTGGCGCCGAATGTGCGGGGCGCGTGTGTGCGGTGAGGTTTCCAGATCCAGAACGGTCAAATGACGATTTGAAAATGCAAGGGGAGCAAACAGGGGGAAATTGAGGAGAGTGAAACGAAACATACTTGTGTTTTTTTTTTTTTTTACTTTTTTTTCCTTTTTGTTTCCTTTTTTCCTTTTTTTTCCTTTTTTATCACTCTACCTTGGGAAAGGTCGCTGGGAATGTTGGCATTCGGTTTCTGACTTCTCCCGTCGGAAAGGCTTTGGCGGGCGGCTCATGGAACTTTGTGGCTTGACCCTGACCGAGAATCATCAAAATAGCGTGTTTCAAAGAACGGCCGGGCCAGACTTGGATCTGCCCCGCTCAAAGCTCTAGGTCGTCTTCGTAATCCGATTGGGCGAAGCTCAGATCTGCCCACCGGTGCCCGGATTCAGCTTGGAGCATGGAACCTTCTTTTCGACAGATGGGATGAACATAAACAGCCGCGCGCATACCTTGAACTACCCTACCAGGTGCTTTGTTATGTCTGAACCTGAATTACCTAGCAGAAAGGAGAGGGGATGAAGTGACGGTTCATAATTGATAACCCGCACCTCTACACGCATCAATCAGCACAAAGTTCAAAACCGGGCCGATACCTGGAGGGCCCTACCAGTGGGTTGAATTCGGCGTTTCTCTTTGCCTCCTGGCAGTTATGAAAGTCAAAGTTCCTCGAGTTCCAACGATGAGGCAAACGGACAGCCTCTGTCGGCCCGTTGAAGGTGTGCAACAGGGCACCCCGGCGGCCGGAAATGCTCCGAAAAGAGCACATATGCTTGTTGAGACGGAAAACGCATGCCAATATGGATGAACATGGAAATCCGTCCGCTTCCAGCGTTGGGAGTCTGCGACTCTGCAATTAGTGTAACAACGGTCTGCGCCTCCAATGCCGCAAATCTAAGTTGTGATGGATTGCAGGAGAGAGGCGTGGCCACGTCTTTTACGAACACGTCTCATTGGGCGCTCGACTCCTCATCTTGTGGCAACATGAGTTTTTTTTCTCTCTCCCTTGAAGCCCCTCTTTTCGTTTTCTCAGTTCCAAGGCACCTGCCGAGAACCTGCAGGCTCTGGTTCCGAAAAAGCGATTGCCATCCAATAAGGCGGTTCCGGCATCTGCAACATGCAGGTACAGCGCAAGGACCACGTTTCCCCTGGCGGGGCGAAGCGGCTCCCCCACTTTTTGTTCTCTCCCAACCCAGTCGTTTGGCAGCCGCTGAGAGAAACGGACAGCGACACGCCTGGCGCTTTGTCGCTCCGCGGCCCCTGCGTCGGGTTTCATGGATCTGTTTTGACTCCGGCGGGTGCTGAGCTGGAGGGAGGTGTGCGGGGATAGCTGCGTTTCTGGCGCCAACTGGCAGCTGCCAGACATGTCGGCCATGGGTCTTGGTGACTGTGGGCTGGCAGGTTGGCCGTCAGGGCGGGGTCTTTGAGGAAGAGAAGTGATGATTCATGAGCGGCACTTTCAGGTTTCCAGGATGTGTCTTTGCCCTGGCAAGTCTGGGCCCCGATTACCACCCTTGTTAGTGGACCAGCTAAACACAATCGAGTCTGGCCTGGGCAGACTGGTATCCGTACCTGCCAAGCTTCCAGCTGTCAAAGCTGCCCATCCATGCAGGGTGACTGAGGACCAGACCCCCGGTTCTCTCAGGGAGGGGAGGTGTCCGGGCTATAAACCCGGCCCCCCCCTTCTCGGACCCTCCATTCCATGAACTCTGTCTCTCCTCAACCAACGCTGGGCTACCGTTCCTTTATCGGCTTCTTGCCAGTCCTTCCTTTTCCTGCTTTTCACACTCCCTTTCAACAATCAGCTGCTGAGCCTGCTCAGCGCGGCCTGCTCCTTTCAGTTCACTCGACCTGGTTTGTCTTTGCTCGTTCCCGTCCATATCCCGGACCAACAAGCAGCCAACAGTCCGTCAACAGACCACCATTACCTGCAATTTTTCGGTGACAACTGGTGTTGGCACCCTGGACACCACTTTTGCTGCACAGTCCTAGAGACTCAGCCCAACCTTCGCGCCCAAGCGTTCTCGAGAAGAAGATTCTGACTCGGAAATTCACAAACCACATCAGCTACAAATCCTCCAAGATGCTGTTCACCACGGTCCTGGCGACCTTGGTTGCCACTGTTGCCGCAGCCAAGGACAAGCGCACCTTCGCTGTCCTGCGTCACTACGGAAAGGGCCCGTTGACGACATGCCGTGCCGATCCCATTGTCTCGCCTGGGAGCCCTTCTTCCCACGTCCACACCATCATGGGAGCCAGCAACTTCGGCCTCAATGCGACTGGCGAGTCACTACGCCAGTCCAGCTGCACCACCGCCAAGGTCAAGGGCGATCTCAGCGCCTACTGGTTCCCGACTCTGTACTTCCAAGACCCCGAGACCGGCCTTCTGGAGCAGGTCAAGATGTTCTACATGAACGTCTACTACTTCTTCGACGCCACGAATGACGACATCAAGGCGTTCCCCACCGGTCTGCAAATCGTCAGCGGAAACGCCCAGCTGAGGACGGCTCCGTCCAAGTCGGGTGACGCCCAGTTGGACCCTTCCAAGGGACCTGTTCAGCCCGCACAGATTACCTGCCCCCGCAGCAATTACAACGCTCCCAGCTGGCCGGAAGGCTCCGACGGCTCCATGGCCGGCATCGGGTCGAACAACGACGGCGCTGGCATCGGCTTCCCCTTTCAGGACTGCGACGGCTACGCTTCGCCCATGCGTGTCGATGTCCACTTCCCTTCATGCTACAACCCCCAGGCCGGCTTGACCAACTACAGGAACAACATGCAGTTTCCCAGCGATGCCGGCAACGGCAAGCTCGACTGCCCCGAGGGCTGGATCCACGTGCCGCACATGTTCTTCGAGACGTACTGGGACACGCACGCCCTGCTGCCGCGCTTCCAGAACCTGCTTGGCAAGGCAAGCCCCTTTGTCTTCTCCAACGGCGACACCACCGGCTTCTCGGCCCACGGTGATTTCATCGCGGGCTGGGACGAGGAGGAGCTCCAGCACATCATCGACACTTGCGATGCCGGCCATGCTGGTATCCACTCCTGCCCCGGACTTAAGAACGGCGTCAATGACGACAGCGGTTCCTGCAACATCAAATGCCCCGTCGACGAGGTCATCGACGGCAAGCTGGAGAAGCTGCCGGGCAACAACCCGCTCGCAGGCTGGGGCAAGGGTGGCGGCGATGTCGCTGCTCCTCAGCCCAACCCCAACCCCGTCCCCGTCCCCGTCCCCGTCCCTTCTTCTGCTTCGCCCTCTGCTGCTCCGTCGTCGAGCTCCGGTTCCTCTTCAAGCTCATCGTCTGCTGAGGTGAAGCCGTCGTCGTCGTCTGCTATTCTGCCACCTGCCACCACTCTGATCCCCGTCCCGTCCCCGACTCAGGCGCCCGCAATCAAGGATGTCTCCACTTCGGCCCAGGTTTCTTCGTCGGCGGTGACCATCGTCCAGGATGGCAAGACGACCACTGTTTATGAGACGGTGACGGTGTGGCAGACCAAGACGGTCTACGAGGGCGGCGGCTCGCCGGCCCCGACCGAGCTCGCCCAGGACCAGTCAGGAAAGGCGGCAGCCGACATCGCCGGCTTCAAGTACGTGGGCTGCTACAAGGACTCGCACAACCGCGCGCTCAGCGGCGAGGTGCTCCCCAACCTCGGCGCCGTCAGTAACACCAACTGCGTCGAGTACTGCGCGTCCAAGGGCTTCTCAGTCGCGGGCACCGAGTACGGCGGCGAGTGCTACTGCGGCAACAGCTTGTCGCCGCTCGAAAAGATCGACGAGAGCAAGTGCGCCATGGCCTGCAAGGGCGATGGCGACCAGACCTGCGGCGGCGACTGGGCCCTGACGCTGTACGCCGAGGGCGGCGAGTTGCCCGGGGCCAGTGGTGCTGCCAGGCGCCATGTACATGCCGGCCACAACCACTACTTGCACCATGTGCGCCAGCCTTCGAGGCGCTATCGGAGGTAGATGCTCCTTTGGAAGTAGGGGCCAGCCATTTTTCTGTTCGTGGTTCATACCTTTGCGTTGATCCTTTTCGCGTCCCCGCTGCTTGAGACTGTAGGCGGAATTTCGCTGTATTGCTTGCAGCTTCTGTTATTTTTGGAGGTCACCCTGGGGAGCTTGGTCATAGAGGGTTCTGGGGGTGTGAACACCCAATCTTTCGCTGCATTTGTGGCAGGAACACGGTACAAAAAGAGAGGCGCTGGATACCATCTGGTTGGTTTGGGGGCTTTTACGACGACATGACACTCGCTGAACATTCTGGATTTCGAAACTTTCGAGGCCCGTCGATCTTCACTTCGATATCTGTGTATCTATGATTACTTCGATTCGATTTGGGGAGTGGGTGGACGCCCGCTGCCCTTATTTTGAGCTTCGCTGGCTGGTTGCGGCCGGCGGAGTGGTTTGGGAAAGTTCACTTCTGCCTTCAGCAATATAGGGCGGCTGGATAGCATTTGGTTATCCAGGATATATAGATACCAATAGAGTGAACAGCACGAAGTGGTTCTTGTTGCTGAACTAAATCAGCATGGTATTTCCCCAGAGTGTGTTCTATGCAGACCCTAACCCTACAGCACAACCAAAATTTCGACTTGGACTCTCTCATCTCCTCGTTCAATGTTCATCAACCCAGTTCAACAGGTCACATATCACATGCACCCGAGCACATCGTTCCCCTGACCTAAGACTCATTTAAGGTAGACATCGGATATAGAGAGTCTGCAAGTCTCATGTGAAGACCATAAAGCACTCCGACGACCTGGGCCCGACTGTGGACTTGGAACTTCTCTAGAGTCGCAACTTTCAAGAGTCTGCTGCCTAGACGGGGCGGCAGCATGTCACTCTACCATGAAACGGCGGCGATATTGACTAGTCCGTCCAGCCACGGCGGCAGCCTTAAATCCAAGATATACGGCAATAAGGATCTCAAGTCCCCGCCCGCACAAGTCTATGCTCTAGCCTTGGAGTCCAGCAAATGGAGTGCTATCCTGAAAGAGGTGGTCGAGAACTCCCAATTTCTGCAGGAGGAGCGGAAGCTGACGCCCGCCCTTTCCATCCTGCTCGTCCACGACCTTTTGCTCGCCAAGAAGGGCATCGCCCTTCCGGCTTCTCACGGACTGCGAGTGGCTGTGGAAAAGCACAAGGCGAGGCTCCAGTCCGAGTTCGTCAGGGCCAGGATACGGAGGAAATGTCCCACGGTGGAGGCCCTCAAGGCGGCGGTCGACGCCGAACTGGGGCCCGCTCATCCGCGATGGATACGGGTAAACACCCTCAAAAGCACCGTCGACGAGCAGCTGGACACCACATTCAAGGGGTTTGAGATGGTGCCAACCGTCCAGGAGGTGATGGCGTTGGCCTCAATTGGCAAGAAAGTCATCTGTCTCGACGGATACGTTCCGCACCTAATTGCCGCTTCACCAGGGGTGGATTTCACCAAAACCGAAGCCTACAAGACCGGCGCCATCATCCTCCAGGACAAAGCGTCCTGCTTCCCCGCTTACCTGCTGGACCCGCGGCCCGAAGACGGCGACATCATCGACGCGTGCAGTGCCCCGGGGAACAAGACCACCCACCTCGCCGGCATCCTGCACGAGCGGGGGTTCGCCCCGGGTCAACGCATCCTCGCCTTCGAAAAGGACAAACAGCGGGCCAAGACGCTCGAAAAGATGGTCAAGACGGCCGGGTCAGACAAGGTCACCGTGATCCACCCAGGCGCCGACTTCCTCCAAACCGACCCCTCCGCCCCAGGATTCCAGCACGTCGGCGCCCTCCTGCTCGACCCGTCCTGCTCGGGAAGCGGCATCGTCGGACGCGACGACACCCCCGAGTTCCACCTCCCGTCTCCGGCCCCTTTAACATTATCCAAACAACCCAACCGCAAGAATGCTAAAGACAAAACCCGCAACAACCTCAAACGCAAACGCGCCCCTTCCCCCGCACCGGTACTCCTCGACGACGCAGGCAACGAGACAGTCCTCGCCTCGCCACAAGCCCTGCACGCCCGCCTTGCCGCGCTCGCCTCCTTCCAGCTGTCCATTCTCCTGCACGCGTTTGCGTTTCCTGCCGCGAGGAAAGTGACATACTCGACCTGCTCGGTCCATGCAGTTGAAAATGAAGGGGTGGTGATGTTGGCGCTGAAATCAGATGTTTCACGGGAAAGGGGGTGGCGCGTGCTGAGGCGCGAGGAGCAGGTTAGGGGGATGCGGGAGTGGCCTGTCCGTGGGGAAGTGGAGGCGTGCGAGGGGAATGGGGAGGTTGCGGGGGCGTGTGTGAGGGCGAGCAGAGGGGATGGGAGGGGTGTGATGGGATTTTTCGTGGTTTGCTTTGTGAGGGATGCGGTTTTCAACGATGCGGGTGCGGGAGATGAGGACGACGGGCCGTTTGTGAGGGATGGGCAGGGGAGGATTGTGAGGGATGAGAATGGGATTCCGACGCTGAAGAGTACGGGGAGGGAAGTTGTCGATTTGGAGGGCTTGGTGGAGGAGTATGGAGTTGTAGAGGTGAAATTTGGTGAAGGAGAGGGGACCGATGGGGATGGCCCGTTTGAGAGGGACGCCGAGGGACGGATTGTGAGAGGGCCGGATGGGATGCCGAGGCTGAAGGCGGCGGTGGCGAGGCAACGGCGTATGGAAATGGGGGAAGAGGAGGAGCAGGAGGAGGCAAGTGGCGAGGATGAGGAGGATGAAGACACAGATAATGAGGAATGGGGTGGATTTGATGATTAGCAGAGGAACAAGACGTTTTTATTCATGCTCTAATCAGTCTCCCAGCACAGTGTGTCCGAGTCTTTGGCAGGGTACCTGCATGCCGTCACGCGTTCTCCCAATTTCCAGCTCTTCTGAAACCAACGCCCGGTGCGTGCCACAGTGGCTGGCGCCAGTGCGGTTGAGCGCTTTGGATCCCCATCATCAAGGTCGAGAACGGGGACAGTACCCGGGGCAGGGGCAGGGGTTCAAGGGTTTCCAAATCAGGCACGAGATGCCGATCCTCGCCCTCTCAACCAGCTGCTCCAGTACGTATTATTTGGACGACTCAAACTCCCCATTTGGGCCACTCATCGGCCAGACATACCATGGCTGTTGACGATGGCCATCCCTACTTTCCGCGGGATACCGCGATCTCGGGTTACGCGGCGAATACTGCACCTCTCCTGTCCATACTGGCCTCATTTGGGGGAATTACCGGCGCTTTTGTGCTCGGTTGTGTCATTCTCGCCAAATGGCATAGCCCGGCATTGAAGAGGGGAGAGCAGTTGACTATTGCCTGGTTTTCTCTGTGTGGGTTACAATTCTGATCACACCTTCCCCTTCATCGAGGCGCCCGCTGATTCATCTTCAGGCGGCTTCCTGCACCTTTTCTTCGAAGGTACTCCCCTCCTCCCCCCCCCCAACCCGGGGGCCGATAAACCTCGCATGATCCCTCCTGACCATCCGTCTGTAAAGGCTACTTCGTCCTCAAACACGCCACCATCCCCTCCTCCCAGTCCCTCTTCGCCCAACTCTGGAAGGAATACGCCCTCTCCGACTCCCGCTATCTGACCTCGGACCCCTTTATGCTCTGCATAGAGACTCTGACCGTCGTATGTTAATCGTCAAAACCCACATCCTCTCAGTGATGAGCACTAGGAGCTAACCATAACCCTCGACTGGGCCCCGAACAAAAGTTGACATGGGCGCCCCTCTCCTTCGCCACGGCCCTGCTCACGGCGCGCAACAGGCCCCGAGAACAAGGCACCCGCCACCTGCTGGAGGCCGTCGTCTGCGTGGGCCACCTGTACGGTGTGGCACTGTACTACGGGACGTGCGGCTTCGCCGAGCACATGCGCGGCCTCTCGTACAGCCGGCCCGAGGCAGTGTATTACTGGGGGTATTATGTGGGCATGAACGCGCCTTGGGTCGTTGTTCCTTCTGGTAAGTCTATCGCCCTCCCAAGCTCGGCTTGGTGGTTGGGAGAAGGGAGGCTGACGAGGTTGCAGTTCTGCTTTGGCAAAGTGGGAAGGATATTCAGGCGGCGTTTCGGCGGGTCGCGGAGGAGATGGAGGGGAGAAAAGGGAGATGAGGGAGAGCAGAAAGGTCGGTGTGCTAGGAAGGATATGAACAGTGCAACAGGTTGACAAGGGCCTTGGTTTGCTTGAGGAGCTAGAAGGTAGAGGCAGGTGGACCATGGGTGCGATGATTCATCAATTGCCAGATATATATTAGTATTTCCTACACCGATATGCCCATAGTCGCGCCGGTCCTTCTACTACTATATACAAAGGAAGCCGTACCATGTAGGTCGGATGAAAACCTCAGTCAATCCTCTGTGCCTACTATACAAGAATGTCACGGCCCCCACCATGAGCCCTACACTTGGGCAATTGGCGGGCGAGACACTGTGGATTTCATGGCGCAGCGACATGACTCGCAGCAGAGAGAGGATATCTGGAGAGCAGGAGACTCAGATTAGAACTTGGAACTTCCCTCTCTCAAGGATCAGTCAGTTGGTTAGTGGTGCACGCACAATACAGTCGTCTTGCCTGCTGCCTGTTGAGGATTCGGTGCATCTTCCTTGGTGAGCTTGTGTGTGTCACCTTACAAAGAATCCGTCCTATTCCAGAAGAAAGGAGGCCCTTTGCCGGCCTCTAGACCCTCTAGCCCTCCTCTCTTAAATCTAGCTCTAGCCTCCTGGCTAAGCTATACTCTAGTAGCCGGCCCGAGTCCATCAGCCAGCCAAGAACCCTCCGAACAAACCTACAGTAGGGAGTACGGACGTCTGGGACCTTGACCTTGAACAGATAGTCCCGGAGGCCTATATTCCCTATACGGGCTTGGGAAAAGAGGGTGCTCTGGGTTTTCGTAACGCCCTCGTGCCTCTTCAGGGCTCTATCGGGAAAAGGGAAAGCTGGGGTTCTTCGTCGGCCATCCTCTGTTGAACTGAGTGGGTTCCTTGGCACCAAGATTCACGGACTGAGCACTGATGTTCAATGCGAGACTCTCAGTCAGCACAGATCCATCACAATGACACAGTCCCTGACATAGCGTCATACCATGGCACAATGTCTCTATATAAGGGGGTAATTCCCCTGGGAGGATTAGAGAGGACAATTTTCTGTTCCAACAAGAAAGGGACATTCTGAGGCACCCTAACCCACTATCTTGATCCTTCATTTGTGTGGTCACTCTGGAATCGTGACTCCAATTCAAGCTTCGTTTCATACCTCAATCTGTTCAATACCATTCGGTTGATCTAAGCTTACTTGAGCATGTAACTGTTGGCTGCCCAACATCCTCCCACTACTTGTCCCCTGTTGGCCAACCTTCTGTTGCCCCTACCGGGCCTGCCAGGCCAGTTCCACAACCTTGTCAGTGCTCAGCTTTGTGTTCTTCTTCTCTCCAGTCTTCCACCTCCGGTTAGCCCACTGGTTCACCGTCACCAGATAAATATAATGTTGGAAAAAACATAATGAAGAAAGGAACGGATCTCTCAGTAGAAGAGACCAAAACATCAAAGCTCACCGACCAACTCCCCTCGCCAGTCGAAACCGGCGAAGGAAGTCATCAGGTACGAAAACCATCACGGTAGTTTTACACGGGTCGAACCCGGTGCCTCCCCAAGAGCAAGCACCATCGACCTGCAGCCGCACTCATTGAGCGAATGGTTCTTTGGCAGGCCGGTGGAAGATGAGATGTGGGAAACTGTTGATACCAGTGCTGCAAGGTGGTCACTAGTGTGGTGAGGAGCACGGGGTTCAGACGGAAGGTAACTGTAACCACCGTGGTGACTTGGAGTCAACATCTCCCGAATAAACGCCCTGGCTCTATGCTCAGGGTCGCATGACGGTGCCCGATACATTATCCCAGTAATCCTGTTTGTTCCTAGGGTATCCCCCCCTGGCTCTTCACCGAACATACTTGTTCATGAACCTCTTGTGGAAATCTGAGCGCAGCAGGTCCTGGTTATCATTAGCAGTGGGCCCAACAGCATCCCCAAATGAGGGCCGAAAAGGGAACAGAAACTCACATTGATAAATTCCTTCCTCTTCCCCTTATCCTCAGTCCCCCTGGCCTGGTTCTTGAAGACCACGTCGTCGTCCCACCGCCGCTTAATATTAAAATCCGGCTTATTCAGCAGCGGATTCCCCAGCGCGATCTCCCGCTCGCGCGCCTCCTGCTCGGCCGCCTGCCGCGCGCGCTCCTCACGCTCCCGCCTCTCCATCCGCTCGCGGCGCACCCGCTCCAGCTCACGCATCAATTCGGCATTCTCGTCCTCGGATTCGTCCTCCGAATCGTCGCTGTCGTCTGATCCCGAGCCTGATTCGTCTTCGGAACCCGACCCGGACTTGGGATCTTCGCCGTGGTCGTCGTCATCGGCGTCGATGTCCCGTGTCTCGGCCAGAATGCGTCGGCGTTTGGCGTCGGCGTCTTCTTCTTCGTTGCCGTTGGCGATACGTAGGGGCCGCTTGTTCGTAGGGGACCGCTCCGAGGGTTCGTCTGAGGTAGTGCCGGGGATCGGGGCGCCTTTGAGCTTGGCGTAGTGCTCTGCCTCGGCGGCTTCGAGCTCGGCGCGCAGGTCGCGGGTGGCGCGGTCGGCGTCGCCGCCTTGGCCGGGTTGTCTGCGACAATCAATATCTGGGCGCTCGATACTTTTACACTGATGGTGCGTACCGGAACTTGAGTTTTGTGTATGCCGGAAGAAGGCGCTGATGGTAGGCTGGCCCACGGAGGGCTTCCTTGCCGCGCGCCTGGGTCCTTGTTAGCTGAGGATTCCATAGTTGAATCTAGTCGCGCGCCCCTACCGGATCGAACGTCGGCCTATGCGCTGTAGTCATCTTGTTCTGTGTTTAGTTCACTGCGGTATGTTGGTCTAATCGATATCAACCAACTCGAAAGGTGCTGGGGGCAGGTTGTTTGGAGATGGGCAAGGTTCCGGGTCGGGGCAGAGCTGCCCGCAAGGGTGCATCAATGCGCCTCCCGTCACCGCCCACGTCAGCGGCAGAACACTAAAATTTAGCGGTCTTCGGCGGCAGAAAGCTGCCCCTCCAGTAAAACAAACCGCCGTTCAGTCCAGGCCAGTCGGCTTCGCAAAAAACATACCACCCTACCATATCGATTCAAGATGCCGCGAGAAGCAGAGCCTTCACTCAACGAGAAGCAGTTTGTGATACAAGCGTTACAAGAAAACCTTCGGCTCGACGGGCGCGAGCTTGACCAATACCGGCCTCTAGAGCTTAGCTTTGGCGACCAGTATGGCCTCGCCGATGTAAAACTCGGCAAAACAAGGTACACCGCCATTGGAAACCCATGCTCTCCATTGATGTGCTGATCCTAATAATCTCATCGCCCCCAGAGTCCTCGCCAAAGCAACAGCCGAAGTGACGGTCCCCTACACCGACCGCCCGCTCGACGGCATCTTCACCATCGCGACCGAGCTCGGCCCCATGACGTCGCCGGCGTTCGAAGTCAACCGCCCGACCGAGACCGAAGTCCTGCTCTCGCGTCTGCTCGAAAAGACAGTCCGCCGCTCGGGCGCCCTCGACACGGAATCCCTCTGCCTCGTGGCGGGGCAAAAGTGCTGGTCCGTCCGCGTCGACGTGCACGTGCTCTCGCACGACGGCAACCTGATCGACGCCTCGTGCCTGGCCGTCGTCGCTGCCCTGCGCCACTTCCGCAAGCCCGACACCAGCATGGAGGCCGGCGTGCTGACCGTCTACACCCCCGCCGAGCGGGAGCCCGTCCCGCTCAGCTGGCTGCACTCGCCGTTCTGCGTAACGTGGAGCTTCTTTGGCGAGGAGGGGGAGATTGCTGTGTTGGACGCTACTTGGATCGAAGAGCAGGTGCGGGTCGGGAGCTGTACGGTCAGCTTGAATAAGCATGGGGAGATATGTCAGATTGCGAAGCTCGGCGGGACGCCGGTCGAGGCGGTTGCGTTGTTGCAGTGCGTGAGTGTTTCGCTGACTAAGGTAAAGGAGTTTTCAGACTTGTTGGACAGGAAGCTGGCGGAGGACCTGAAGAGGAGGGATAAAGGCGGGTTTATGGCCGAGTTGAGAGCTGAGAATGATAGGTGATATCAGTGTCTGCATGGGTGGGATGGTGGAATGAAAGCAGGACTCAAAAAGGAGATACCCACGGCCGCTTTAGCCGTTCATGAATGTCTAGCTCGGAATCACTACGGGAATTCAGGGTGCTCAAGATTCAGCCGGCGGCGACTCGACCTGGATAGTGCAGGTTTGTTGGATGGCCTCCCAGCGGATCAAATGGAAGCCTCGGGGGCCTTCCCCTTGTACGGCGTTACGGGCGATTACAATCCGATTCCATGCTGTGGAGGCGGCTATCGGAGAGGCGACAAGCTAGATCTCAGCCTTCAATCAGGGTGTGTTTGATTGATAGCTACTCCGTACCCGGCTTATGAGGGGAACGTTACAGGGATGAAACAGTGTGCTCTGTTCGACTCACTTGACTGCGGGAGCAGCCCGGGGCTTGACCATGATTCCAGCCACCAAAATACATTATCTCCCGGGGTATCTGAATGATTACAGGCGCGCCTGCCCCTGACCTTTAATCCCTTTGATGTGCGCAATGTCCCACCCCGTTGGCTCGTCCAATGCCCCCGCGGCGGTTTGACCCAGAATCGGCATCAGGGGCGCCGCGATCTCCGGGCTCCTGGAGGTAGCCTAACACGCGCCCACGGCCCGCCTCGTCCGTTGCTCTCCCGTTTTGACACTAGGCTCCACCTTATCCAAGTCGGCCAGGGTATTTGGGACATCGGCCGCAGGTGCGGCTAGAGAGTCGGGCTGCGCTAGCGATAGCCTTGTGCAGGCATCTTCGGGCCGAGAATGGGATGGTAAACCGAGACCATCATGTTGGCTGCCGTCTCGCTGGCGAAGTCATTGGTGTTCCGCGCTCCCCCCGCATCAGCCAAGACGTAAAGCTGTCCACCCTGACCCTCATCTCATAACGGGCGGCCGGCTTTCCTTATTCCACTTGACCCTCGACCGCACCCAGTCGACCGCCTCCTTCACTCCCGTCCCCGTCAGCGCCGAGACGGGGAGCACCCTCGAGTCGCGTATCCCGCCGGCCTTCTCACCCTCAAACACGCGCTTGACCAGCCCCTCCTTGATGCGCACCACCTCGACGCAGTCCTCGCGGTCCTGCTTGTTCGCCAATATCAGCAGCGGCACGCCTTCCGCCTCGCTGTTCTGCAGCACGTCTTCCAGCACCAGCCGGCACTCCTCGAGGCGGCCGGAGCTGTCGTGCTCCAGGCTGCCGTCGCCAATGTCGGTGCTGTCGATGATGAAGACGATGGCGTGGCAGCTCGCGTAGTAGCTCTGCCACAGCTTACGCAGGCTCAGCTGCCCGCCCACGTCCCACAACTTGAGGTACATGTCCGGGAGGACGATGGTGGACACGTTTTGGCCGACAGTCGGGACGGTTTTGAGTTTGGGCGACGGGTTGTCTGGGTGGAAGAGGGACTTGACTTGCTCGTGGAAGGTCGTCTTGCCGGCGTTGTCGAGGCCGAGGAGGAGGACCGAGTATTCTATTGGGAAGGGGTGGTGTTAGTGGTAACGAAGGGACTGTTGCAATGGGGAGGGAAGGGAGCTCACCCTCCTTGCTTGTCGCCAGCCGATACAGGCCTTTGGCGAGGTGGTACATGCTGGCAATTCTAGACAACCTTTGGTCAAGTGTCGAGTTGACCGTATGAGAAAGGTGTCCGTCTGTGGCAGGCCTGCCGGGCGCCAATGCGGAGGGTTCTTCGAATTTGAAGCTGTTGCCGATGGGCCAGCCTGGCATCGGGGTCTCTCAGATCCATCCGGCACCCACGAGGATTCGACTCCACATTCCCCCAATTTAGCGCGGTGTGGGACCCGCGCTTTCCTGAGCTGACGCTAGCATCCGGAGACCGTTACATGTATCTTTCCGTCTTGGCAGCGGAACCCGGGTTGGGTCATCGATTGTCAGCTCGCGGCAAGAGCAAATGACTGCTAGTTTGCAGCAATGGAACTTGTCTTGTGTCAGTCCTGACCTATCGCTATCAGTCACACTGTTTCCAGTCACGGCTTTCCGTTGACCTTTTGATGATACCAAGTTATCCGAAAACTCAAAAGAATGGCTCTGAACGGCGGGCGACAGGAACGGGCTCCTGGTGCTCAGGATGGCGGCGATGGTAACGCAGTCGTCGAGACAGCCGAAGATGGCGCCATAGACCATCAGCTTGCCGCAGCGCAGGTCGGCCGGGATCATGGCCAGCTGCTGGCCGACGACGTGGCGCTGGAGTTCATCCAGGTCCTGTGAGGCGAGCTCGACGCTGCCTATGTCTTCGAATGCCGATTCAAGCAGGATGCTGCCGTTGCCAACCTCAACCAGCTCGCAAACAGGCGTCTTCGGGCTATTTGCCTGGATGACTCCTTGGAGGAACTGCTGGATATCAGGGAATAACCAAGCCAGGGCCCGCCAATTTGCTTCTTGGTGTTTGGCGCCGTGTACTCGGATCCGTTTGACGTTGTGGTCGTGTTCACAAAGATGTCGGCGTCGCCGCAGTCTATATCCTGAAGCTTGTCCGCCGCTTCAACGACAACCTCGACCAACTGGGTTTGATGAATGGAGTCAAGAGGATCCCAGACGTCCTCAAGGGTAGTTTTGTTGGTGTAGAAGGCCGTCACAAAAGTACTCTAGCTGCCTTCCATTGGCGGCAGCCGTGGTGCCAACATCTAGCACGGACGGAATGAGGGCGGGGAGCTGTGCGTGTGCTAGTCATGAAGGGCTGCTACTGCGGCGAGCTGTTTGTCAGCTGTTTCGGGCCGAACGACGAGATCCTCTGGGTAGCCGGGAAGAGGGGCGTCTGCAAGATGAACGCTGAAGGCGCATATTTCAGATATGTTGGCGATAACTTTGCAATCCGCCTGCGTGATTTCATGGACGCCTGGAAAGATGATAGCAATCAGCGTCTCATCCGGGACAAGTTCCTGTTGTGCTGTCGAGGCCATCTCGCTGGAAAGTTTGCAGTACGTGTGGTAGCACAACAAGAAGCGGAACGTAGAAGGAGGTGGGGAGAAACCGATTGTTGGCTTTGGTAGCAAACAGGATGTCACGTTTCCAAAGCGGAGGTTGAACTGCTATGCGTCCTCGTGCTTCGGTTTCCTACCGTTCGATCTACCTCTTCCCCCCTTACCATGTTCTTTTCACCTTCCGTGCTTCTGCACGTCGTCACCTGTAGCTTATGCCGCACTAAAAGACAACCAGGGTTGGACGAGTGGTACTTCTATTGCCAGGCAGCAGAGCCCTTCAATTTATGGGCCTGCGGCTTCTTTATGTTTAGATACTCGCTCTCCAAGATCTCTCCAGTTGTAAACCTAGTATAAGAAAGGGGGTTCAGAACGTTGGCTAAGAACTGGATATCCTCACCCGAAACCCTCTTTTCCATCGCCGTCTCTGCCCATTTGTATGCTTTGTTTGGTTGGGCAGGCGGCAGCAAGGCTCGGGATTTAACGTCCTCGGCGCACCAGGGCACGGAATGTAGATCAGAATCTATGGCGATGGCATCCGGGACTGCTCTCGTCTTCTCCTCGAGGGAACCAGTCGCAATGGAATCGTACATGCCTGGCGACCTGAAGTCGACCTGAGCAAGGAGTAGCTGCGCGAGCTGCCCATGTACTAGTAGATGTAACAGAACGCCACGCAAACTCTGACACCTACGATGATGGCCCAGGACCATACATCGGTGCTTTGGTCCCAGGGCTCCACAAAATGACCTCTGGGTTGCGGAATGTGAGCGCTGAGATCTCTCGGGTATCTGGCTTGTTGACTATGTCAAGGGTTAGAGATGCGGTGAGTCATTGCATGCGAAGCGTCGAGGTGACACGTACTTGTACCAATATCAGCAAGCCTGACTATTACATCACTGGTGTTGTCGTTGATCTTCTCGTTGTCGAAGCCGCTCACGCCAACATTCTCCAGCTTGAGATCTTGAACAGATGGGCAAGTTAGACATGTTAATTAGGGGCACTGTCTTCTCCTACCAGTATACACCAGCCTTTTTGGTGGACAGTCATGATGCCCAACAGGACACCTTTCATAATTCATTTGATCTCCCGCGTACTGAGAGGCCTGGTCGCCCTTGCATCCCAGAGTGTCTTCTGGAATGGCTCCAAGACCATCATTGGCATATCTCCCGTCTCGGACTCCGGAATCAAGTCAAACAAGTGTCTAATCATCGGTTCCTCGGCAAGAAGGCGCTGCATTTTGACCTCGTGCTAGAAGTCGGGCCAGTTTGTCGATGCGTCGTCATGTTCAGAGGAGCCTTGGCGACACACTCGACTTGCCCATCGCTTGTGACCTTCCATACGTTGGGCCGTAAGCGAGGTCGATGACTTAGGGGTCCAATGAGCTTGTATTTTGTGCCGCATTTGTTTGTGACCGTCGCTTCTTGTGAGAACAGCCGCGGCGAGGAGTTTGATGCTGCCGGAGCTACTCGGGTCAGAGCTCTCGTTGATAACAGGGCTCTCGTCATCTGATGAGTTCAAAACCACATCGTTGAATCTCTGTGACCGCTGGTAGCTCCGGGCCGCCATAATACGGTAACATTAAGCGGCGTCGGTTTTTCATCAAAACTGTACGCAGCGGGTGTTGTTGATTGTTGACTGTTTTCCGTTACAGGAAGCGGGAGACCGATGCGGGTAGTGATGGCCGAGCCATCGTTTGTCCGTTCAGGTTGGCGTGGCGCATGGTAATGTATGCACCAAACGTTATCCGTAGACCTATGTAGCATTGAGGTGAGAATTAAAAGGAAAACATGGGGGATAAAGATAAAGATAAAAAGCAGATAAACAAGTAAGACAAAAGACAAGGATAAAGAGGAAGAGGAAAAGAAAGAGAAAAGCATGAAAGGTCAAGTAAAAAGAGGATAAAGTGTAAATAACTAAGTTCCACGCTACCTGTAACACACAATCAAGGCAAATTGTATCAGTCTCGTAACCATTAGCCCTGCATGGAGTGGGGCGGCTGATAAGATAAGAGCTTCGTGTGTCGTCATAGCACGCTGTGTTGTTCCAAGAGGGAGGAGGAACGAACGTTCCTTGAAACGCTGTTGTTGTGTTCGGGGATGATTTTAAAATACCATACAGTTCCTCCTCATAAAGATTTATGCATATTAAGTCCAGGTTTCCTTCTGCTGATCTGGATTCTAGGACGCTGATGAGTGAGCAAAATGGCGCCGGTCGAGGTTCACCGTGAACCAAGGTACAGTATACAAACCACCCTGAACCTCTTCAAATCGGCGGGAAATGCTAACTCAGCCTTTGAGCGTCTTACCCACGGTTCTGGCAGTGTCTCATGTTGCTGCGGCCGCCTATGCCTCCTACACTGTCGGCCGAAGCCTTTATCAGTCACATAAGGCTCTAAGGCCGGCTGAGCACACGAGGCATCGCCGGGCACAGCGAACCAAACTCGTAGCTGCGTTCGGAAGCTTAGCAGCCTTGGGTCTTATCTTCGCCATCACATCTAGCTTGGACTACTTGACTCTCTCATACAAAGTCTGGGCATCTGAGAGGGGAATTCAAGTACCAGACTCGTATGTCCAGATCTCCCCGATCGAGCGCAACCAACGATCACGCGCTAACCGTAGAGCACTGGCAGCCTCTTTGGAAACTGCACTATGAGCACGGGCGCGGCAAACAAACCCAGCTTGCACCTTAGGTACTGGCTAAGTGACACGCCAGTTTACCTCGATGCCGTGGAGATTATTGCGGAAAAGACTCGGAGATGGTGGTGGGGCCAGCAGCTCGACCTTGCAACTCTATCATGGACTGCTCTACTTGTTGTTGAGGGCCGTCGACGCAGAATTCCTCACCTATGGGCATATGCTCTTCTTCCTCACCTTGTCAACCTGTCGTTTGCCCAGAACCTGTTTTATGTGGCCTTGCTCCAGGCACCGTCACCGATCACAGTGCAGGAGACGAGGTATGTCCCGAAGAAGCCCCGAGTGACCCGACTTGTTGATAACATTGAGCAGGATTGCCCACTTCTTTCATCGTATGTTCCCAAAGAAGCCGAGTAACTGGTTCCCTAAGCCCGCCTTGCTCCCGGTACTCTTGGCTCTAAATTACCTGGTGATGCTTTGCATCCCCGTCACAGCAGGAACGCCGTCCTTTCCAACAGCCATTGTGCTGAGCAGGTTTCTCACTCTAGCACCACTGATACTGCCTGCTATTGCCCCGGTATCCTGGGGTACTGTTCATTCCGACCCGCGTGACGCCTATGCTGGCATCACCAAGCTCTTCAATTGGATATCCACGGCGAGCGCTCTACTTCACGCCAAGAACACAGTCTCCGCCCTGCTCTACAACCTCCCCGGCTCCTACAAGCACCGGCACAGCATCAAGATCCCCTTCGACACTGAGAAACGATCAAAGTGGGAGCGCACCGCAACGGCATCCGAGAAAGTTCTTGACGCCATGGCCGACCACCCGGTCGTCACCGCCGCCGGCAAGGACGCCCTGCTCTGCGCGCTAAGTCTAGGGCTGTGGGCAGCTGTCAGATCAACAGACATTCACCACATGCTGCGCTCGATGTACTCGTATACCGGACGCTCCACACGATCTGCGTCCGAGCTACGGCCAGGCAAGAGGGCGAAAGCCAAACCTGCTTCTTCTCGTGAAGAGGAGGAGTCAAGCACCCCGACAGTTCCCCCGCTCTCCATGACGCTGCGCCGTCGGGGCAGACCAAAGAAGACGAGCGTGTCTAGCATCGGCAGCTTCGACGGGCACGCCGAGGATACTCCTACTAGTGTTGTCCAGCAGACGCCGCCGAGGCGGAGGGGTCGGCCGAGGAAGGTCAAGCCTGAGCCTGAGCCGGAGCAGAACGGATTGGAGCCGGACGAGGATGCTGACGACAAGCCGTATGAGCCGACCCCGGCTGTAGAGGCCGACGTTGGCTTGGCGGATGTGCTGCCCGAGGACGACTTTGACTGGGAACCGGCCGCGCTGGCTTGGGGCTTGACAGCTATTGGGGGCCTGGGCTTTGGAAGTGCTGCTGTGTTTGGGGCTGAGTGTGTCTCTCGATGATGTGGGGGGAGCTGGAGGCCCTCCACGGCTCAGGGAAGATGGATGGGATGCGGTAGGGTAGTTAGGGACAATGGTGGATTGCGATTCTTTGGTTGGTTCGGTTGGTGTTACCATCCTTCTTCGAGTTCGATGCGACTAAGTTGAGTAACGTTTAGGTTTTGCTCGCCAGACACATCGATCAATGAATTTACATGCAGAAGTGCTGGGCGATCCCATAGTGAGTGTTACAAGACTTCGGACAGGTCCTCCGGTGTAATTACTGTATTTTCAGGTTTCACCCCGCTCATCAGTATCACCATGACGTTTGAATTGAGAACCAGTTTTAGCGATATAAACGGCCCAAGATGTGGGTTCGATACCTCAACCCACATCATTCCTTCAAGCTTGTCCACGGATTTACTGTTATTCGGACTAGGTCAAGAAAGAATATCAGCAACCGGGCATTGCGGTGGTCCTCAACTTTGCGTGATCGAGACACGATGGATTACTCTCAAGTTCCGACGCCGAAAAGGTGCTATGCCGACTTCTGCCTCATTCCTGTAAGCCTGTGAACATGTCGAGACCAATCTCCCCCCGCTGACTGTCCTATCCCGCAAGGTCGGCACCGGCAAAGTCTCGGTCGCACAGGAAGTCGCCGAGGTACAGAAGCTGCTCAAGGCGAGCGGGCTGTATTATACTTTGCACTCTGCAGGGACGACAGTTGGTAAGTTGTCAACGGACCTTGTCTCACTCAACGTTGCCATCCGAGTCCGCTAAGTTGCTCTTTGAACAGAAGGCAGCTGGGACGAGGTCATGAAAGTTATTGGCCAGGCCCACACGATCGTGCATAAGACTGGCGCGGTCAGGGTCCAGACTTCGATGCGCGTTGGCACACGGTGAGCAGTTCTTGCTGTCCCTCGTCAGTTCGTTGATTTGGATTTCTGATGTGTTTCAATTCATTACACCAGGACCGACAAGGCTCAGACTGCCGACGACAAAGTGAGACGGGTAGAGGAGATCCTGGCCCACGATGAACCGTCAGCTTGGTAGCTAGCTCATTTAGCTAGACTTGCTTATGAATACTTCTTGACTTCCAAATTCCATCTCTTCTTCTACTCAACTCTCTCAGTCACCAACCTGATGTGTAGTATTGACTTGTATCCGTACTAGGTTCCGAGCAAATGAGCAAGAGGGAAGATAATGCGGGGCTAGAGCCACGCCAATCCATGTCGTAATCCTCCGATCCACGTTGTTGTGGATCCCTCTCCATGCGAAGAGGGCACAGACCCCTGAATCCAATTGATTGGATTTCTGGAGGGCAGCTTCCCTCTTTTGACCTCGCCTGTCTCGCACCCCGAACGCCACGATACAGGAGACAAGCACCATGGCGAGCGTGCTCAACAACCTCTTTGGGGGCAAGTCCTCGGACACTCCCGACGCGGTTCAGGCTGGCGTCGACCCCGGTACGTGTAGCTAATGGGCAGCGCATGTCCTGTTTCAATTCGACCGCGTGCTCCCAATGCTGACACGTCCTACTGTTAGACTTCGCCGACTTCTCCCAGGCCGCCGACCCGTCCCCGGTGCCCATCTCGCCCGCACCAACGTCGTCGGACCCATCTGGCGCGGCGCAGACCGCCCGCCCCTACACAGCATGGTGGAGAGTTCACGAGCGCCACAGCATGTCCGAGTTCAAAGCCGAGGGCATGATTCTGTCGGCCATCGCCGTTTTCCTGCTACTCCATCTCTTCGGCGCCCGCTTGAACCGCAACAAGGCCAGGAAGTGGATCCGCGCCCACTCGGCACCATTGACCTCCGAGTTCGCCTCGGTTGGCTTCGCTGGCGTGCCCGCCGCCGCGGCTGGCAAGAAAGGCGATGAACTTCTGCAGGCCTTGGCCGACTCTCACGCGCAGCAGGCTGATAATCTGCTCAGGGAGAACAGTCTGTTTGAGTTTGCTACCTACGCAACCGGCCGCACGAACGTTGCTTTCGTCGACGTGAAGCTCACGCTTTTGAAGCGCTTCAATCCCCTCATCGTTCTTTTCGAGACTGTCATGGCCTTCTTCTTCGACAGCGCCGATCAAGCTCAGGATGTCGTCGAGGCGGTCCTTTACCCCTTTGACGGGAAGGAGGCGCTCACTGTCCCCGGCCTTCCCGGCGCCGCCGAGCTGCGCGGCAACAACGATGGCAAGAGCGCGTACGATGGCTTCGTCTGGGCCATTGTCCACAAGGAGCGCATGAAGCAGGTGCGCGAGGACCGCTACGACGTCTCGCTCACCGTCACCAAGGACAACCCCAAGCTGCCCAATTGGCTGACCGTCATGACCGAGAGCGCTGAAATCACTGACGCTCTACTTACTCCGGAGCTGATCAAGGCCGCCGAGCTCGCCGGAGACCACTTTGAGTACCTCATTGTCACAGATCAGCCCATTGAGAAGCCCAAAACGTGAGCGACCCCCTGTTTCGCTTTGCGATGTCTCTCCTGCACTGTCTTCGTCCTCGCGATTGCGCTTCTTTTCGATCTCGGGATTTTCACGTACTGATCAGATGCGCACAGTCTCAACGAGACCACTCCCCGCAAGCGTATCTTCCTCAAGTGTCGGCTGCCCTCCAACAACGACTACACCAATCTGGTACCCATCTTCAAGTACTTCCTGCGCCTGACGGACCGGCTGGTGCAAGTCGCCCATTGGCGACCGGAGGTTCTGCGAAAGGTGAAGGTGGCGCGTGACGCGACCATCAACCAGATCAAAAAGGCCGATGAGGAGAAGCAGGCCGAGGAACGCGCCCTAGAGCGCGAACGGGCCAAGAAGGCTAAGCGCGACCAGGAACTGAAGGCCCTCGACGCCAAGGCCCAGAAGAAGTACCTCGAGAGGGAGCGGGAGAAGGAGCTGAAGAAGAGTATGAAGAAGCAAACCATGAGGGCATAGACAGCTTCTTATGAAGGAGGAGAGAGTAAGGGGCTGCGCGATGTTGGGCAATGATGGGGCCAATGTGGGACGTAGGGGATGCTGCGATGTACTGATGCAGAGCGACAGTTCGCAACACATGGATCTTGCCAATGTACATGACATAATACTTACATTCGTGGGAGCGCTTGTTTCCTGCCATATGTTGACCGAACATCGCGTTTTGACACTTTGCATATGTGGCTTATCGAATTGCGCGTCTTCGTGTGGTTGGGTCAGGAGACTGTCTCTGGTTACCCTGGCAACGTCCCAGTTCGGGCATTGGCAAATAAGTGGCACGCCCCACCGTCTCCCACTTATACCACGCGACACGAGCCTCAGACAGGACCGCGCTTTGAAACTCAGGACACATCTGGATTCAAGACTGGATCTGTTGGGTAAAACGTCAACACAGGATAAATCAATACCATGTCGCGAACAACCACAGTACGGAAATACGGCAGGACGACACGAAAACCGAGGGCGGCCGAAGTACTCTTCGCGCAGCTCCCCAGGACTCCCGTCAAGTCTGAGCCCGAGAAAAACTTAGAAGGGGCCACCGATTCAAACGAGACGGAGATGAGGAAGAAAGTCCGAAGGCGACTTGAGGAGATTTGCAAGATCAAAGATGCCGAGGAAGAAGCCCTATCTTTGGCACTGGGCAGCATCAACCTCCGCGGCGGAGCGGGTGAACCAGCGTACCCAAAAATCGCGCTGGACGAAGCAGTCGACGCGATAGTGGATCGATTTGAGGCGAATCGTCTGGCCGGCACAAGTCCATTCAAGTTAATCAGCGCGCTGGTACCAGACCATCATTACCTTGACCCCGAACGGCCAGCAGACGGCAAAAACAAAAAGGCACAAGACGAGCCCTTAGAGGGGCCATATCAGCAGTGCGGCCTTGAGCAGGACGAACAGAATCTAGCCGCCGAAGGAGAGTCACTCTACGACGACTTCCGCGTCCTCACCTGGGACGACGTGTGCCCTGCCGGCGACAGGATAGAAAAGATCGCAGAGGCGTCCTACGCTGAAGTCTACCGCATCACCAACGCGCACGGGACGTCAATCATCAAAGTCATCCGCCTCGAATCGCCCATCAGGGCGCAGACAAAAGCCCAAGAACGCGCCGGTCTGGTGGATGAGGAGCCGCACTCAGAAGGGGACATGCAGGGCGAGCTGCGCATCTCGGAGTGGTTAGCCGACATACCCGGGTTTGTCGTCTACAAGGAACGGTATATAGTCAAGGGCAAGGCAACAAAGGCATTGCTGGAGACTCACCAGGCGTTCCACCGCCGCAAGAAGCGCCAGGACCCCGACATGCTGCAGTTCTATCCGTCTCCGAGCCGCTATCTGGACGACACCCGGTTCCTGGTCGTGGAGCTGGGCGATGCCGGCACGGCGCTCGAGGACTTTGAGTTGACCTCGATTAGACAAGTGTGGGATATCTTCCTGCACACCGCCCTCGCCCTGGCGCGGGCAGAGGATTTGATCGAGTTCGAGGTTAGTCCCCTGCTCCCCTTTGCACGTTCCCATGCGCACTTACCTGACCCCTCCTGCGCAGCACCGCGATCTCCACGAAGGAAACATTTGCATCCGACAAGTCCGTCCTTCTACGCCCAAGCCCACCGCCTCCCAGGAAACCACCCAATTCGGCTTGTCAGGCCTCGACGTCACCATCCTCGACTACGGCCTCTCGCGCGCCACAGACCCCAAGATAACAACAACAACAACAGCAGCAGCAGCAACAACAACAGTAGCAGCCGATCTCGAGAAAGACCTTACCCTCTTCCAATCCACGCACGCACCGCAATGCCGCGTCTACCGCCAGATGCGCTCCTACCTGATCCACGCGGACCGACTGCCCCTAATACCCGCCAGCCACCACACGACCCCCTACCCGATCTCCCCGGCCACGGGACAACCCATCTCCTGGACGGGCTACTATCCGTACACCAACGTGCTCTGGCTGGCGTACCTCTACGGGTATCTGGTGACCAACTTCAGGGGAGACAGAGCCGAGCTAAGGCGGTTCAAGGTAGAGACGAGGGAGCTGAGAGCGCACTTGGACCCGAGCGCGCACGAGGACGTGTTGAATTTTCCGAGCGCGGGGGAGGTGGTCAGGTTTGCGGTGGAGGCGGGGTGGATTGAGGAGGCGCAGGTTGTGGATGGGTTGGGGGAGGGAAGTAGTATGCTGTTGGGGGCTGGTGTGCGCGAGAATGGGGAGGGGGATTGTGGAGAGGGTGTCGAGAGTGACGGGGAGGGGAAGACGGGCGGTGAGGAATGTGCTGAAGCGCGGAGGGACGAAGGGGACGGGGTGCAGGAGGCGAGACCGGTGAGGAAGACTCGCCGAAGGAAGGGTGAGGCAGACGGAGGGGCAAAGTTCTCTGAGGGAATGTTGGATAGGGTGATGTGAGACTAAGGCCTCACAGATTGGAGATTGGATGGTTGGGAGAGGGTCAGCATCATTGTGGTTTTCTGTTTCGGTCGGTTTGGGTGCATGGTCTTCGGTTTGCAGGCACAGATACCCACATTGCGAATTATACATAGACCGGCATTTACAGGATAGGAAGGTTGTGTGAAATAAATAGGAGCTGCTTCTTGGGAGTATTGAGTTGCTGTGACGAGTGACGATCGGATCCGTTCCGAGCCAGTCGCGGTGAACAAACGAGTGACGCGAGCCGGTTACATTGCTTTCGCGCCCAAGATCAGATCACCATAGCGCATGTGCATGCTGCAGGCCGGGCGGGATGCGATGGTGCTTCAATTAGTGTAGGGCCCATGATGTTACCTGGCTGTAGTAGACTTGGGTCAATTCCGCCAACCAACATGCAGCGATATGTCACTGGTATCTCAGGTACACGTCGACTGCAATTGTACAGGTAACTAAGTTACAGGTACCTGCTAAGTTACGATTCACTGTTTTTATCGAAGATCGTTCGAAGCGGAGAAACATTGATGAGGGGCCGTACCAACTCTTACTCCATCTCGACCGTCGGAGATCCGTCGGACAGCGGAATCGAGTCACCAAGAAGCTTTCATCGGAACGACTTTGGAAAGAACAAGAAGACTTCTCTTGAGAGGTGGGCTCGAAAGTGGCGTCGGGAGTTGGTGCAGGTACTGTGGAATGCCAAGCCGGAGTCTTAGCGAAAAGTGGTCTAGCGCCTCAGAGTGCCGCGGCGACAACGTCCTTGCTTCATCCACTCCAACTGCTTCCCTCGATGCAAATATCGCAGCCTTGGCGGGAGTTCTCTGATTCAATGGCAGCATGCAGATTCGTCAGCTCGTTGAACGGCCGCGCGCACGCTCCAGTGTTAAGGATCTTGGAGAAGTACTTTGTCTCTCACCTCGGCCACTTTCCAACCGGTGCGCGCTGTACGCTGATATTGGACTGCGAACCATTGGACACCCTTTATGGGAAGGATGAGTTTGTCAGATGGATGACTTCGGTGAGTTCTTAGTCACCCATGAGTGGCAACACTCTCGATGTTGAGGGCCTTAGTTTGAAATCATGCTTTCTTTTCGGGGCGCAAGCACTGGCTGAGAGACACGACCAGAACCTCCACTGAGTGATCCTCACCTCTCTTCGAAGGCCATGCGGCACCTGCATCTTCCGCGCAGATCCAACCGCTTGAATTAAAGTCGTCTGATTGGATGAGCCCGGGCATGGGAGATCAGGAAGCTTGGCGAACCTCAACATCAACCGTGATGCCCGCAGAGCCAACAATTTCACATCGACTGGAGCTCGACATTGCGCAGGGATTATATGTCCATGGGCAAAACCTGAGTCACTTGACTGTCACCTGTTTCCATCTTTTATCTGGTTCCACGTCGGCTTTTCACCACAAATCGACGCCATGCATGCAACCCTGGTTGGCACAGCGGCAGTTGGCGCCCTGGCAGCTTGCAATATCCAGCACTGGCAGATTGAGAGGCGGAGATTGGAGAGACCGTTGCATCTGGATACATACGGAGCACTGTATAACATACCAACCATCTTCTCTGCCGCGCCAATACCGAGCAGCCAGGCCCGCCTCGACAACGTGGAAAGCTTTCTGAAGATGCAGCAAAGCAAGTAACGGACATACGTCCGATAAATTCGTTCAAACATCGAATGGGAGTCTCGGACCGGTTCTTGATGCAGTCATATGCATACGCCTTAACTCACTCTATCCTAATTTGTTCTCTTAAAAACGATACTCCAAGTCGCCGTCCCCGAAATCGGGATGGAGTCCTGTCGTACACACAGTCCGAGGCTCTCTATCTGATCTTGGTAATGGTCTCGGCCAAAACTGTCCAGGTACTCTCCGACTAGTATATGGTACAGACGTACATTGCTCTCTGTGTGGCGGGAACACCATGTCCTCTTTCTGACGCCAACCCGTTGAAATTGACGAGGGTACGGCCATGCGAGCCCTTCGCTTCTGCGCATAACGTTTACTGTTTGTCATGCTGCTGTGCATCCCAAGATACTGCTCCTCGGCTGGGTGGACCAGCCGCATCGCGCCATTTGGGATCATCACAGTGACCACACAGTCTGGCCCGGTATGTGTGCTGCAGGGGCGCCCTGCAACCACCCCATCCAGACGAGGAAGGGTTGTCTGATGTTCAGGACACCGACGATCCTGGCCACAGCGAGAATCACCCGTCCGGACGACCGGGACAGCCCATCCTGACCCACGCCTTGATTCCATTGGACTCCATCCGCAACCGTTGTCCACGTTCTTCAACGCTCGCCTGGCGCAGACCGGGCCGATGCATATGGGGTCAATTTTACTGTGGGTCAATGGGTTGTGACATTGACCCCCAGCACCGCTGACCACATGCTCCCCAAGGCTCCAGTCTGAGGTGGTACGGGCAAAGTTGTTTGTGGTGATAGCCCGACTGCGGATCCCGTTGCATGGCATACCCTGGGCTCGCCGGTATTTTTATTGTATATCTCATGAATCACTGTCACAGTTGCCGGCCTGGAAGCCGACTGCCTTGGCAAGAAACCATGTAGATCGCCACATGCTGAGCAGGGTCGTGACTGACGGATATAGCAACACTTCTTGGCCTTGTCGCTTTCCGGTACCCTCGGAAATACGATCCCCAGCCAACCTCAGCAAAGTATAAGAGTAGGCTCTGTCTCGTCACACATGCTCTCTGCATTGTCTTACATTCTGAACCATCCGCAGCGGTATTGGGTACACTCGTGACGATGCGCACCAGAACCACGGCCCTACTCGCATGGAGCAGTCTACTAGGGCTGGCCCAAGCTGCCTGCCCCTTTGCCGATCCGGGCGCGCTGGAGAAACGCGATGATAGCCAGTCATCGGGCTTTCTTGACCAGTACAAGGTGGACGACAGTGACGGCTACATGACGTCTGATGTCGGCGGACCTATTGAGGACCAGCACAGCTTGAAGGCTGGCATCAGGGGCTCGACGTTGCTGGAAGACTTCATCTTTCGCCAAAAGATTCAGCATTTCGACCATGAGCGGGTAAGTCCAGCCGCCGTGCCATGTCCCAGGAGTTCGGGAAAATCGCGAGTCAAGATGTTGACGTAGTTTTAATCCGTCGTCAAGGTTCCGGAACGGGCAGTACACGCTCGAGGTGCTGGGGCTCATGGTACTTTCACCAGCTATGGCGACTGGAGCAACCTCACGGCGGCGTCGTTCCTGAGCGCCGCTGGGAAGCAGACGCCCGTGTTTATCCGATTCTCGACCGTTGCCGGGTCCAGAGGCAGCGCGGACACTGCCAGAGATGTTCACGGCTTCGCCACCCGGTTGTACGTGTGCCCTTTATATCTCGTTTCGTTAGACCGTGCTGACAAGGCTAGCTACACGGATGAGGGCAACTTCGGTATGCACGGTGCCATCAATAATCTCACGCTTCCACTCCGCTGACTCGCCTAGATATCGTTGGGAACAACATTCCTGTCTTCTTCATTCAGGATGCCATCCGGTTTCCCGACCTCATCCACGCGGTCAAGCCGAGGCCGGACAATGAGATCCCGCAAGGAGCTACTGCCCACGACTCGGCATGGGATTTCTTTAGCTCTCAGCCAAGCACCATGCATACCCTTATGTGGGCTATGTCGGGTTATGGTATTCCCCGTAGCTACCGCCACATGGTGAGGTCTCCTTTCCCATCATTCTTGAGTGGCAGTTAGCTGACCAAAGTCAAGGATGGCTTTGGTGTGCACACCTTCCGCTTTGTGAAGGAAGACGGCTCCTCCAAACTCATCAAATGGCACTTCAAGACCCTCCAGGGCAAGGCCAGCTTGGTGTGGGAGGAGGCACAAGTGCTTGCCGGCAAGAACGCCGATTTTCATCGCCAGGATCTCTGGGACGCCATCGAATCTGGGAACGGGCCGTCCTGGGAGCTTGCCGTCCAAGTGGTGGACGAAGAGAAGGCGCTGGCCTTTGGCTTCGATCTGCTAGATCCCACAAAGATCATCCCGGAGGAGGTTGCTCCGCTGACCAAGCTGGGTTTGCTGAAGCTGGACCGCAACCCAACCAACTACTTTGCCGAAACGGAGCAGATCATGTTCCAGCCCGGCCATATCGTGCGCGGTATCGACTTCACCGAGGACCCGCTGCTTCAGGGACGTCTCTTCTCATACCTGGACACCCAGCTGAACCGACATGGCGGACCCAACTTTGAGCAGCTCCCCATCAACATGCCCCGGATCCCCATCCACAATAATAACCGTGACGGAGCTGGCCAGAACTTGATTCACACCAACATTCGTCATTGTGAGTACTATCCTTCCCGCCGCCATATGCGTTAAACCCGCTAACATCACCATCAGACACGCCCAACACACTCAACAATGGGTTCCCCCTGCAAGCCAACCAGACCCACGGCCGGGGTTTCTTCACGGCCCCGGGCCGCGTGGCCAATGGCAACCTCGTCCGCCTGCTGTCCCCGACGTTCGACGACCACTGGTCGCAGCCGCGCCTCTTTTACAACTCGCTCACCCCAGTCGAGCAGCAGTTCCTCATTAACGCCATCCGCTTCGAGACAAGCCATCTCACGTCCGCGACTGTCAAGCAGAACGTGCTCGCCCAGCTCAACCGCATCAGCAACGACATCGCCGTGCGCGTCGCCGAGGCGCTCGGTCTGGAAGCCCCCGCCCCGGACCCGGCGTTTTACCACAGCAATGTCACGGCGGGCATCTCCATCTTCAACGCCACGCTGCCGACTATCAAGACGCTCCGCGTCGGTGTCCTGGCGAGCGCAAAGTCTGACGCGGCGCTGCAGCAGGCTGCGCAGCTGAAGGAGCGGCTTGTCAAGGAAGGGGTGGTGGTGACCGTGGTGGGCGAAACGCTGGCCCTGGGGGTGGACCAGACGTACTCAGCGGCGGACGCGACGGCGTTTGATGGCGTGGTGGTGGTTGACGGGGCCGAAGGGCTGTTTGGCGACGGCAAGGAGGCCCGCTCGGCGCTGTTCCCAGCCGGACGGCCCGGGCAGGTGCTGCTGGATGCGTACCGGTGGGCGAAGCCGGTCGCGGCGCTGGGTCAGGGGGAGAAGGCGCTCAAGAGCGTCGGGGTGCCGATCAAGGGGGAGGGTGTGTTTGTTGAGAAGGCGGTGGAGGAGTTGGTGACGGGGTTGGAGAGCGGGTTGGCGAGGTTTAGGGTGAGTCTCCTTGCTTTCTTTTTTTCTTTCTTTCTCTGTGTCCGTCTCAAGTGCGGGTGATGAGTGATGTTGCTGACTTGCTTGGCAGTTTACCGACCGGTTTCCTATCGACAGTTAGGTACGTCAGGGATGTGGTCGGTATAACCGATGCTGAAGGGTAATGGTAATGTGGAAGTATTAGATAGACAAGCGAACCAAGCGTCTTGTATATCCATTGGCTTTGCGGCTAGAAGGAAATAGACACCGGATTCTTACTACCGGACATGGGTCTCCTCGTCTGCAAACTATGCACGACATCTTGCATCGCAGGAGGTGAACATCACGTGGGTGGCCGCATTATGGGCCGCATCGGCCTACCGTGGTAAGTTACATGGTTTAGTTAGCTTCCGGATTGTACAGGAATAGGCAGAAGCGGATCCCATTCGGACAATAGTTTTTCTATGGGATGGCCTTGAAAGATGCCCCTCGGAGCACAAAGCGAACAGTGGAAGGATTATGATAAGGCGTATATTTGAAATTTTGATATGACATCAAGCGTAATATCCATGATCTAGTATCGAACCTGTTCAGCAAAGCTTCACGACCAAGGCAACTAATTGCATAGCAGTTTCTGAGTGAGGTTGTAGTTCAACTTTCAATATGGAGCCCCAGTTCTCTAACTTGCCAGGACAGTGCGGTCAGCAGAGTTGCCTCTGGTCTGTGCTCACCTCAAGAGCCAAGACTTTCCCGGCCCCGCCTGATCGACAACAGGGGTGTAGTAACTCCATCGGATACTTCTGTAGACTTGTGACTCTGTGCTCTGAGACAACCGTCCTACTGCATTCCCATGACAGTGACGACCGCCGGCAGTATCGCATCCGACTCAGCCCACTACCGATGACAGCCGGTAGTTGAGTTTCTCGGGGCCATATTTTGCTCTGTGAGGGCGCGCGAAGAACGGGGGAGGGAAGCAGTCGCGACACTTTCTCCTCGCAACCTACCCAAGCTACACGATGGACCGCATCAGGGCCTTCTTCGCTCCCGCGAAGGCCACCGTCGACGAGTACGAGCCTCTGCCAGAGGACGACTCGGGGACGCTTGCGGGGTCGACGTACGAAGAGGCGACGCCCTTCTCATGGCTCGAATACTCCATCTTTGCCTTGATTGGCATGGCCATGCTGTGGGCCTGGTAAAGTCTCATCTACACCCCAGCTTGCTGCTTAGTCGCTGACTTGTTCTGCCCAGGAACATGTTTCTTGCCGCGGCTCCCTACTTTCAGACTCGCTTCCAATCTGATCCCTGGATCGCGGCCGACTCCCAATCCGCCATCCTCACCATTTTTACCGTCACCAGCTTACTCACCTTGTTGATCCTCTCCAACATGCAGTCCACGGCGAACTACCCTCTCCGGATCAACGCCGCTCTCTTGATCAACGCAGTCGTGTTCGGACTGCTCACCATTTCTACTTCTTCCTTCCTCGGCGTCTCACCCAAGACATACCTCGCCTTCGTTCTGCTCATGGTCGCCTTGACGGCCTGGGCAGCCGGGCTGATGCAGAACGGAGCCTTCGCCTTTGCAGCCAGCTTCGGCCGTCCCGAGTACACACAAGCCATCATGGCGGGGCAGGGTATCGCGGGCATCCTGCCGCCGCTGACACAAATGCTCTCCTTCCTCGCCTTCTCCGACACCTCCCCGGGGATCCCACCATCACCGGACCAACCCAGCGACTCCGCCGCTAGCAGCCAAAACAACGGCAGCACCGCCGCATTCATCTACTTCCTCACTGCTGTCCTTCTGTCCGCAGCCACCCTAACAGCCTTCATCCCCCTCGTCCGGCGCCACACCCACCTCCTCCATCGCCGCCGCCTACCGTCCGCCGCACCCTCCCTCTCAGAATCCCCGCGCCGCCACGTCCCGCTCCCAACTCTCTTCCTCAAACTCCGCTGGATCGCCGCCTCCGTGTTTACCTGCTTCGCAGTGACCATGTTCTTCCCCGTCTTCACCGCCAAGATCCTCTCGGTGCACGACCCGTCCGGCGCCGGCAAGCTGTTCTCGCCCGGCGCGTTCATCCCCCTGGCCTTCTTCTTTTGGAACCTGGGCGATCTGGCAGGCCGCGTGTCGACCATGCTGCCGCGATTCTCGCTGCGCCATAGGCCGCAGGCGTTGTTCGTGATTAGTCTGGCCAGGGCCGCATTCTTGCCGCTGTATTTGATGTGTAACCTGCATGGGAAAGGGGCGGTGGTGGGGAGCGATTTGTTTTACCTGGTCGTGGTGCAGTTTCCGTTTGGGTTGACGAATGGGTGGTTGGGGTCGAGTGGCATGATGGCTGCTGGCGAGTGGGTTGCAGAGGACGAGAGGGAGGCGGCGGGCGGGTTCATGGGGACGTGTCTTATTGGCGGATTGGCGGCGGGGAGTGTGTTGAGTTTTACCGCGGCGGGAGTGTGAGAGCTTAGGCATGATGATATGTCCGCATGGGCTTGAATACTTGGGCATGTGTTTGACAAGTATGGCGTTCAGTGTAGGGTGCTTCTGCTTGGATATTCTGGCCAACCGATTTGAAGTCAACCAGTAGGAATCCACAGGCTACGAAGCATGGCGGTTGTTGGCCCTTTTGATCTGGTCCCAGATATCTCCTGTCCCGCCCAGGTATTAATCAGTGAGTAAGCACACTTAAACGCTAGTACGTCTTGTGAGTAGCAGCTAGGTGACTGGACAGCCAGGTACAAAAATAGGTCGGGGGAGTGAAGGGAGCTTTCGTAAAGGAGGCCAGTGGGACCACTTTCCAAGAACAGCATAAGCGCTCAGACGTGTCTATGGCGCAGTGAGAACCGTGAGCCAAGTTGATCAACTCCTGGGCTGCCAACCCGCGCCCGGCTTGGAGAGCCAGCACAATTCTCTTTTTTGATTCCCATTGTAGCGCTTTTTCTTCCAGTGCCTCTTCTAGAGTCAACTACTAACTCTGTCTTTGTGCATCGAATTGAGGTCGGAAGAATTGTGCTTCTTACAAACCTTCTGATACATCTATAAACCAGAATCGACACTCGCTTTAGCTTCCTTCCCTTTGATCGGTCGACTCATTAACAATTCCCCTCTCAAGCTGACAATCTGTCCTCACCTTCACAGCTTCCCTTCCCTCGTAGTAACCTCCCTCGATGAGCCGTCTCTCCATGGCCTGCCAGTAGCCCAGCTTGGCCGCCCAGTTCTTCTTGTCGAGGTCAGCCAGCTTCGCCTCGACGGGCAGAGCAGGGTCGTAGGGGACGCGGATGAAGCAGGTGCAGTCGCGCAGCGTCATGGCCAGCTGGAACTTGGGGTCATGGGCATCGGCCTGGAGCGGGCCTTGGCCGTCATTATCCAGCTGAGCAGCGCGGAGGCGGGGGAGGACGGTGTTGGTTTGCAGCCAGTAGAGGAGGCGGCTGTATTGGGCGGGGTGGGTTGTTTTGGGGGAAGGTATGAGCGGGTTGAGGGAACAGAGGTGGTCGGCAATTCTGGTGAACGCTGCTGGGGAGGTGGCGCAGGTTAGGAAGTCCAGGGGGCAGAGAATTGGTGGTGAGTCGCGATGATTGGTGTGTTTGGTGTGGTGTTTGAGGGCTTCGCGGGCGCAGTTCCGGCAGCGGGTCGCCGATGGGGGCGCATTAGGGGACTGGGCGAGCCACTTGGGTTTGAACTCGAGAGTCAAGTCGTTGGGTTGCCCTGTAACGAGGTGTGTCAGACTTGAAAATCAAACCACAGGTAGACAGGGTCACATACTCTGCCGCATGTCCTCCACAAGCATCCCATACTCGGCTGCCGCTACCCTGCTTCCCCTGAAATCGGGCCGGCGGATGTCCTCATTCTTTGCTAGGACGGCATTCAAGCGCAACACCAGCTGTTCGCCACCGAGATGGACGAGGCGATGCTGGACCAGGTCTTCTGGCTCAAATAGAGGCTTCACGACAGCCTCCCAGTACTCTTGGAGCTCCACATAGGTGTGTGCCTTGGTTCCCGCTTTTGGAACTCGTAAGAGATTCCCTGGAAAGTACATTAGACAACGGTGATAGGTGTACAAACCGAAGACACCATACCCTGAAAGATGCTGGAACTGCTCTCATCATTGGGTTGCACAACAACCTCAAAGACGACATTGGATGCTCCTTCACCCACGAGCTTGAACTCATAGTGGTCGGCTGCTGAACATGGTAATGCCGGGATACCGGATAGTGGAACCGAGGGCGACATTATGAATCGGCACTGATGAGGATGTGATGATAAGGACTGTCAATGTGTTGGGCATGAGACTCGACAGAATCCGGATTGGCCAAGGTCGCTGCAGTCAGTCTGTACCCTTCTGTCCTTGGCTGGCGTTCTTATGTGCACAAATGACGCCTGTCATTGCTGAAACCGGTTTCATGGTCAATAATGAAAAAATATCCATGAGCGAGTCCGTTGTTGTGCTCTTGGTGTCGAGTTGTCTTATGGCTTGTTTGCTTCTGTTTCTCTGATGGGCGATCTCTGGTTACGGCGACTTGGACCCAACTACTACTGTGAAACAATCAGTTACACAGAGGCCCTGAGCATTATCTGAGCGGAAGGATTCAAGACTTCTGGTCTTCGACCACAGGCTGAGTGAACTTCTCGCTTCGCCATCGGATGCTTAAATGCTTACCAAATGCTGGGTTTTGTTCCAGTTTGTCACCTACCAGATGATGGTCTCAGTCAGATGATGCAGCCGGGCCGCAGGCAGGGCGCCGGTTTTGTGTGGGTTTTGTTTGTGGACTTCCCAGAAACGGTCGCGTGTAGTTCAGATTCTGGGGTGTGGAGCCTGGGGAGCAGCCGGCTTTGTGAGGTGCACCAGTGACCTCGGAATAGATACCTACCTGGTAGCGGTGAACAGAATTCCCCGTTCATTCCTGGTTATGGAAGCATTGCAATAGGCTGCTAGACAGATGACTTTTTTTTTTTTTTTTTTTTTTTTTTTGCCGGATGCCTGTTTTGAAGCATCAAGCAGTGCATAACACAAATTTCAGGATATAGGTCCCTGAAATCAGCTGGAGCCGGGGTTTGTCTTGAGTGGGCTACGCGATCCCAGTCAGCCCACTGCCGGGACCAATCTCGAGCGTCATAAAGGTCTGCAAGACACACGCGCTCTTGGCACAAGGCCAAAATTTCGCTCAAGACCAACTGCTTCCCCGAGTGTCCATCGGATAGCGTCATCCCTCCGCACCTCCCTTTCGAAACGAAACACAACTGTCCGCCCGAATTCGCATTGCCAACCTGGCACCTCTGAAGACCTCGCCCTCAATACCCGCCGACGCGTTCTCGAGATTCTGCGACCACGGTACGCCGATTGCATTGACCATCGTCGTCGCATCCGATTCATCTTCCTTTCTGCGCCATTGGGCTTGTCAAGTCCAAAACACTTTGGTTGCGATGCATCTTTAGCACGGGAGCCAGTTCAACATGGCTTTCAACTTCAACTGGTCGCCTCTGACGGCAGACGCGGGCTTCTACAAGCGCGCACGCGATCTCCTGACGACGGCCCTGAACAAATCGCCGAAGCCACCCATTATCGTCGATGACATTATCGTGACCGAGTTCAACCTCGGCTCCGTGCCACCCGACCTGGAGATTCTCGAGATTGGCGACTTGGCCGAGGACCGTTTCAGAGGCATTTTCAAGATGTGCTACTCGGGGGATGCTTTCTTGACGCTCAAAACGAGAGTTCAGGTAGGCCGATATTTTCTAATGGGATCCAATCAACCGATCGACGCCCTGGAAGATACACTCGTCGCTTCTTGTCCACTCAAGAGCCCATCACTCCCGCGCAACGGTTTACGGGTTTCCGTTCCCTTTTATGTTTCCTAGGTGGGAGTAGGGCGAACTGACCGCGACAGTCGAATCCTGAAGCATGCAGAGTTGTTGTTAAGTCTCTACGCCGATGGGAACGGTGGCAAGTGCCTGACTACCTCTCAAGCTTCTTCGTCGCGAAACCTGTTCGGCCTGATTCCCTTTGGCCCTGGGGTTTCTGGAAGCAGGAAAAGCTTGGAAAAATCCACGAGATGCTTGGCGCATTGATTCGCAAATGATCACGAATCTCCGGGCAGGGGTTGCAGCCGCGGCTGGATCAAACGACGCTAGACTATAACATGGCTAATATATCAACATTGCAGGCAAACCCTCTCAATACCTACCTCTCAGCCAAGCCAAGCTTCACATCCCCACAGCCACTAGCGGCCGCATCAAGCCTCACAATACCGCTTCAGATCACCTTGTCCGAGATCAAGCTATCAGCATTCATCATCTTGGTCTTTTCCAAACAAAAGGGGTTGACAATAGTGTTTCGAAATGACCCCCTCGAGTCTCTCAAGGTTTCGTCGACGTTCGACTCGATCCAGTTCGTCCGCGACTACCTGCAACGAACCATTGAGGGCAAGTTGCGCGACTTGATGATGGACGAGTTACCTGCAATCATCCATCGACTGTCACTCCAGCTCTGGTGCCCGGATCAGATTGTCAAAGAGGACGAAGAGCCGAAAGAGGCGGATGAGCATGGCGTGAACCCGCTAGCTACACCGCCCCAGGATCCCGTGGATCTGCATGGACATGTTCTCGACCCTGCCGCGATATCAGAGCTCTCACTTGATGGAGGGCCAGAAGCGCAACTACTGTTCTCGCAGAAGACCCTGCTCCGATTGTCGGACATTACCAATGCTCAGGTGACATCGTCCTTAGACACCTCGGCGCCCAAGGACGTCTTGTTCAGGGCCTGGGCTGGACCGGACAAGGTTGACGCAACAAACACGCCACCGCTTTCGACGCCGAACCTTGTCAGATCGTCATCCTATGCTAGTGCTCATACCTACACCTTCTCAGACGGCGGCAGCCAGGACCACGGTTCCCTCCCGTCTAGACCTTCCATGGTTCACCTAAACTCCGCCACCGCGGGCTTGTCGCTCGGCGCAGGCCGACACAGCAAAGCCGGCCGAAAAAAGAAGACGCGCGTTGTTAATTTACGCCGCAAGGCTGAGACCGAGGTCAATAGCGAGCAGGGAGATGAGAGTTCCGAAATTGCCTCCACCGCTCCGCCCATGTCAGAACCGGTTATGCCCCATCCAATTCTGGAGGTACCCGAGGAGGAGCCTGTCTCAAGCAGGGTGCGCTTCAGCCGGTCGTCGGATCTCCAACAGCCTCGGAGATCCTCCATGCGGGAGCCCTCCAAGAACACTGATGTGCCTATCCCTTCTGTCCCGATCAATGGTATCGCTCCTGCGTCACAGCCAACCGTTCAGTCGTCCGAGAAGCAGGCGATCACCTCACCTGCGCCTATCGCGGACGCTATTCCTACCGATAGCAAAGCGGAATGGAGGCGGTCACGGCCCATGTCGGACACGTCGTCCGTCATCCTCGAGCAGGCCTGGATCATGAAGATGGCGGGCGAGATCGCGCGCAGGGTGTACGACGAGAAGAACCGCAATCCGTCATTCTGGGATGATCGGGACGACGCCCCTCCACCTGCGTATGAGGCGCGTTGATGTACCACCACTCTGCTCTAATAGCCCGTGTTACCTACCCTCCTCTCCTTTGTCAGTGTCCCTTCTTCGTTTTCTTTTGACGGATGGCATGGCGTTTAGCGCGACCTGGGCATAACGCCTAATGTCTTGAATCGGTTGCTGGGAGTCTGGAGTAGGCGGTCGAGAAAAATATACCGAGGGCACCTTTGAGAGAGATTGTTTTGGGAGTGGTTGTGGATATCAGGTTAGACGGAAGGAGGTCGTGTTCCACCTGCTTGGACAGCGGGCAAGGAGCGACTGGGAGGCACTTCTCAAGGTTAACTAACTGCTACTTCTTGTGTGTTCTTTCCTTTTGTTGTAGTGGTGGCTTTGGCCTGAAGGGTTGTTCCGGTTCTTGTTATGTATGCCATATGTGGGATAAGTGTGTGACGGAAAGTGCGTGGCTAGGAGGATGCCGGTTCGGCTCGGGGGAAGTCCCCGGCTGGGATAGCGGTTATACTATGGACGGGAACTTCTTGAACACTCCCATCTCTAGAATCAATTCAAGATGCACATCGTATGCATGATTGTCCGTGGTTTGTTTCCCATGCTCTGTTGCCGTCACCCGGTCGGTTGGACCCAGATTATCAGTAACTCACAAATGACCCGGGTACTCCTTTTCCACATCCTGACTTTGACCCGCCCGCCATAACACCAAACGCCTTTCCCTGCCATTCCGGATGGTATCGCCAAATGAAAAATACTACAGATCCGCTGCCAGATGTGCTGAACTCCTAAATCCCTCCCACATCTACACTTCAGTTCAGACTGATGCTACGCTTTCGCCGCCTCCGCCTTCAGGTCTTTTAACCTTTTCTCCTTCCTCGCCACCTCCTCCTTGGTCCTGTTCATTAGTTCCTCCACCTTGACCAGGGCCTCCTGCAGCTTCTTGATCTCAACCTGCTCCGTCTCCCTACTGAACGGCTGGCCGGGGCGATTTGTGAGGGGTATCATGGCGCTCCTCTCCAGCACTCCGCCCTCGGACCGGACCGGCTGCTTGCCATGGTCTTTGTCTTTGCCCTTCCCACCGCCGCCCGATTTGGAACCGGTTTTGTTGGAGAGGGATGACGACGCCGAGGAGGCGGGCAAGGCCCCCGAGGTGAGGATCTCGTAAAAGGGCTCGTATGGTTCGTTGAAGAGTTGCTCCTCGTACGCCCAGGAGATCACCTGGCCCCCGTTCAGGCGCATGGCTTCTTTCTCTTCTTCGGTGCGGCCGTACGGGTGCAGGCGCAGGTGGTGGTAGAGGGTTTGGGGCTTCTCGGCGGATTCGGGCACGTAGTAGAGTTTGATGGCGATCTCGAACTCGCCCCAGCCTGTCTCGTGGAGGAGGAAGGGCTTGCCCTTTTCGCCTTCGATCACTGCAGCGCGGGGGAGGTGGTTAGCGTCGTTGAGTTTGGGTGAAATGGAGAGTAGGAAGGATAGGACGGGAAGCGCACTTCGTACGTGGTTGGGAATGGACTCGTGGAGTTTGAACTGCACCCTACGCAGCCAGTAGGTAATGTCCACATCGTCAATGCCCTTCACGAAGACGGTCCAGGAGTGGGTGTGGTCGTCCGGGACGCCGGGCGGTTTGGGGTTGGTGTTCTCGTCGAATGGCTTGGCCGTGGTGCCGTAGACAAAGGGCCGGAAAATTTGCACGCCTTTTACGCGCTTGCCTGTCGGTGGTGCCATGGTGAAGACTCTGCAGACGCCTACTAGTACTCGCTAGTGTTGGTCGGTCAGAATTCGGTTTCTGGGAGAGTCAATGCAAGATGCAGGATCAACGGGATCAGCCTTGTGGGGTAGATTTCAGTTCCTGGTTCACCCCGCCATCCTTGCAGACCCGCCACATCTTCCAAAGGACAAAGAGATCCCCTTTCTGGGTTGACTTCTCAATGGCACCCAATCTCGGCACCCTACCAGTCGAGACGCTCTCGCTCATTCTGGGCCACTTCTGCCTGCACTGCAGCAAGGAACACGGCTATGACTCGTCCAACGGACATTTCAGCTGCCGCAAGAGCGCTGAACAGCAGCAGCCGGATCAACCATCTTGGTATTCGCGCGACTACCGCCAGACTCTCTACTCGGTGTTGTCGAGCAGCGCCAGTGCCGGAGCGGTGCTCGCAAAACTGAAGACACTCGACCTCTGCCCCAGCTCTGACAGATGGGTGTTTTTCTTGAAACACCACGCCGAGCGCATCTTGGAAGCGGTGGCGGCCAGCAGGAGCAAGGGCAGCAGCTTGTCAACCCTCAACCTCCACATGTGTGGGAGGATTGACCAGATCAAATTACAGGGCTTACACTCAGTATTAGCGCTCCGACTCACCCACGGCCGGCTTTATGACGAGGACTTGTCGGTATTGCTGGATTCACGCGGGGCAGCCCAGGATTGAAGACGTTCACTACGAGGCCAGGTCTCCGCGCCGGTGGTGGCCCTGTACAATGGATTTTGCAGGTTTACTGGCAATGCCCACCCCCCATCTCTCCATTGAACTGACCACTCCATCAATAACCGCCTTTGTATATCTACGCTAATTCGCAAACACTCCCTGTCCTATCTTTGTACATGCAGTCGACTACGACATGCACTTTCAGCCCGTCGACGCTTTCACACGCCTCTCCGCACTCTGCCACCCTCTCATCGCTGCACCTCGACTTTCGTGCCCTGGATGCTGCCGGCTTCATGTCGCATCACTCGCAGGACGTCTCTTCCGAAGCCACCCACACCACTCTGGCTCGCTTCCCGGCCCTAAATCACGTCTTCCCCAATGTCAGTACCGTGTGCAAAGAAACAGGTCTTCCGTCACAGATGGCGACGACGGCAAAGATGACCAGCTCCTAACGTCTCGCTGCCGCCGAATATCGAGTTGCTGTGCCTGGCGGGACCCGACATGCAGGCGGGGGAAATTGCGGGGGAAATTGTGAGGGAGAGGCTTACCAAGGCGTTGGTGGCACTGGCGAAGGCAAAGACGGCGAGGGACGACGGGAGGGTTCGGTTCGCTGCGCTGACGAGGTTCAGGTGCGATGCCAAGATGGATGGTAGGGGCGAGGTTTTACAGCGATATGGCGTGCCAGAGGCGTTTGCGTTCGTGGGGTCGGATTTTGCGTATGACAGTTGCGAGGATTTGCCTTCCGAGCCGACGATAGGATTCAAGGGCAAGGCGACGCCGGAGATGTGCGTCATGAATAGCGACGATGAACAGGAGGACTATGCTGGAATTCCTGGTGAGGACGACGGCCTTTAAGCACGACTCAGGCTTGTATTTGAGGTATCTACCAGGTACAATATAAGCGATTTAGCCAGCCCAGTGATTTTATGGTCAAGGCACATAGTTGAGGTTGTTGCCATCAATGATGCCTGCGAGCAACTACCGAAGCGGTATTACTAGGTAGCGAGCGGTTCATGTTCGAAACTGAATCAAATTGCTGCCGCCCCAACCGGTAGGAAGTTTGGAGCCCGCTGATACTAGACTACGGGACCTATTTTTAAGACACCTACGAATGAGTTCGGTTGCCGCGAGATGCAAGAGGCGAAATGGAAGCTCACCAGGTCATCAGCCTTCTGGGGCAGATTTTGGTTCCAGATCCCCGGCGGTTATGACGAGTGGAACCACCTCGTGAACGACGGTTGAACCCTTGTAACCAGAACCCCTGCAACTCCCGTTGAGATGACATGATTGAAGCTCACTCTAGCTCTCCCATGGCCCTCTCCTGGGCTTCCGAAGATAGGAACATTAAGCTCCAGCAAAACCATCTGCTTTGACATCTGAGGCATTGTACGGGTTCTTAACACTGTCTGGGCCCTGAGAACACGACCCTCTTCCTGTTCACAAGCTTATTCGGGCTTGGGATTCTCGTCGACCCGAGAAGTTCTTGCACTTACTCAAAGCATCGAGTCTACCTACCTCATGCGTCACTAAGCTCATGGGCTCACACCACACACAATGTCCGCAACGAAAAGAATAGTCGTTTTCGGAGGCAACGGCTTCCTAGGCTCGCGAATATGCCGCGCAGCCGTAGCCCGCGACTGGGACGTCACGTCAGTCAGGTACGTCTCCTCATCCGCCCATAGTTCTTACGACTGGAAAACCCAATTCGATATCTAAACCGCTTCCCCAGCCGTTCGGGCGCTCCCCGCTGGGAAACGGTCACCTCCTCCCCCACCCCTCCCTCCTGGTCTCACAAAGTCGCGTGGGAGCGCGGCGACATCTTCCGCCCCGCGCAATGGACGTCGCTACTGCACGGCGCCGACTATGTCGTGCACACTCTCGGCATCCTGCTGGAAGCCGACTACAAGGGCGTCATCTCGGGCCGCGAGTCACCCTTCTCGGGGCTGGCCAAGGCCTTCAGCCCGGCCAAGGGCGCGCACTCGCGCAACCCGCTCGAGCGGGTCCGCGACGAGGGCGCCGCCGAGCCCGGTGTCGAGCCGCCCACCTCGCCCGCGCAGCTGACGTACGAGATGATGAACCGGGACAGTGCAATCCTCCTGGCCAAGGAGGCTGCCAAGGAAGGGGTCAAGGCTTTCGGGTTCGTTTCCGCGGCGGCCGGGGCGCCGGTGCTGCCTTCGAGGTATATTACTACGAAAAGGGAGGCCGAGGCGGTGGTGGCGAGGGAGTTTCCCGAGATGAGGGGGGTGTTTTTCAGGCCGCCGTTCATGTACGACCAGTCGAGGGCCGCTACGATGGCGCTCGCGGCTTTGGCGACGGCGGGGTCGGCGGTTAATGGGTTAACAAGGGGTGTCCTGGGTGGGTTTTTTGGGGCGGTGGCGACGAAGCCGCTGAAGGCGGATCTGGTTGCCGATGCTGTGGTAGAGGCGCTGGCTGACGAGACTGTGAAGGGACCGGTGGAAATGCCGCAGTTGAAGGAGCTGGCACACAGGGCGTGGAGAAAGACGATGCTCTAGGGGTGGGTGAACCCCAAACTCAATGTATCATCACTGTGTCACCTCCGTGTATAGGTAGTTTAGACGGTGCATGTACAATATCTAACTCAATACCCAACCCAACTCCGTTCGCTATCATGACCGAAACAAATCACCCTGAAGCCGTCCCCACTAAACCATGGTACCACGCTCAAAGCTTTCCCTAATCTCGGCGGTATATTTGTTGTAGAAGCGTGCCAGCTTCTGGTTGAACTGCTTGTTCTTCTCGTTTATATATGTGACGTCGCCTCCGTCGTCCCCGTTCTTCGCCATCCGTTCCTTCCTCCTCTTGAGCGACGCCTCCTCAGCCTTGCGCAGATCTGCCACGAGTCGGTCGACGGCAGCCTTGTCGGGCTTGTGCTGCGCGAAGGCGGTCGAGTCGGCCGTGCTAAAAAAGGTCCCGTCCTTGTCGACGGCAATCATCTCACCGTCCTCCGTCTCGACAATGTCCAGGGTCCCCGCGGCGGCGGCCTTCTCGATGGCGGCCATCTTCTCGCGCGTGTAGCGCTCCAGGTCGGGGCCGCCCATGTTGCGCAGCTGGCGCTTGTAGGCCTTCTCGCTCTCGCGCGCGTAGTCGGTGAAGGCAGTATTGTCGCGGTGCGCCTCCTTCTTGCGCATGCGCTTGTCCCAGCGCTCCGTCTCCTCGATGGTCCAGTCCCAGGCCCGCTTGCGCTCAAAATCCCCGCCGGCCTCCTCAATGTCGGCTTTGAGCAGCTTGTGTGAGGCGATGGCGTGCTTGCGGTTGAGTGCCGTGAGTTGGGTTGGGTCGGTGGCTAGCCGTTGCGACTCCTTGGTTGCCTCCTTCAGGTTCTGGTCAGAGGACGCCTTGGCGCGGGCTTGCAGCGCGCGGAATCGGGCGAGACGTTCCTGGGCGGCAGTGGCTGCTGGGATGACGGAGGAGGAAGACAGTTCAGCGGTTGTTGTTGCTGGCAGTGATGATGGATCCTTGTCGGCTGTCTGTTCAGCGGCTGGTCCATCGGCTGAGGGCTCATCGCTTGTCTCGTGCTTTGCCGCCTTCTCGGGCACCGCTTGCTCCTCGCTGGAGGGTGCTATCTTTCTCTTTTTGGCGGGAGGCATCTTACTAGGTTGCGATGGAGGGAATTTTGACTGTGTGAGTCAATTTCCGGCAGGATCGACAGACTGAGAGAAGTTGAAGATGAGGTTGCGAGGGGTTGGCTGGTTTTGGAACTTGTTCGAGCGATGGAGGCTCGGCCTTGGCGTCTGGTCTGGTAGGTCAGGACCGTGTGTAGTTTACAATAGGACATTACCTAGGAACGTACTATTGCACACGAGGAAACATAGCATGATGAACCAGGAGCAGCATCCAAGCACAGGTAAAAATTCAGTAGGGCGGCATGCCTTGGTTGCTCTCCTTGTTTATCATGAGGATTGAGTATCGGAAGCATCTTTTCTTTACACATGCATAACTGACCCATTACGAAGATATTGCAAGTGGCGTAAAACATGACACAGACTAACCTGAGAGCGATTTCAATCTGCGTAGAGAATTACTGGGTTTACATAGAACATAACGTCATCACTGTTCATAACTTACACCCTTACGGATCCGTACACATTAAGCACCCGACAATAGCCTCCTTGTTTGAGGCAAACGTGCTGTGACCAGGACATAAACAATAAGATCTTGGTTACTTACCCCCTGCATACTCCACCAAGTTCTAGACACCATGTGCTTTCTCTCGCACCATGGCGTCCGTGAGTCCTTTGGCACAGCGCACCAACTTCTTTCAGCAGGTGAGCGGTCGCTTTGACTTCACAGGGGTTTGCCCAACCCTTTCTCATCCAGCTGATACTGACCAGAGAGCATCGAGCGTGTAGCTGAAACGAGTATGTGTCCCTCTTAGCCAACTGGCCCTCCGCCCCAAGGACAAGGCTGTCGACTCGAAGGAGGTTTTGAGGCTGCTTGAGGCTCTCATCGACCTCTGGGCTGCCCAAGCAGCCAAGGATGTTGCCATTCTGGACGAAAAGCTGGCCGACTATGTCTTCTTCCCATTGTCTTACCTCCTCCGGGACCGGGGCCACTATTCCATGCGTGTCATCGAAGCCATCATTCGCCTGCTGAGAGAGCTCATACAGCATGGCTGGAAAGCTAAAGCATCACCCCAGCTCTTCCAGCAGCTGCTGGTATTCCTCTCGTTCGTTATCGGCGGAGTGCCGGACCAGCCGAAGCCAGACATGCCAGAGGAAACTATCATCGAGGGCTTCCGCACTCTTGCCGCTCTGGTCAGCATTGCCCAGCCGTCTCATCTTGCTGCATCGCCGGATTCGTCGCCTGAAAGGAGATTAATACCAGCTCTCGGCCACAGTGTCACGGTTATGTTGGACGGCATGACCGAAGGGGTAGCCTCATCAGTTCAGCTGGAGGCGGTTGAATGTCTACGGGCGGTCTTCACCACGATCAAGGATAACACCACTCTCGCCCAGTTTCTGCCAGGGACGGTATCGGCTCTCGCAAAGGTCCTCTCCCCACCCCGGGCAAACCATACTCAAAGGACGGTGATCTTGAGCTGTCTGGATCTTCTTCAACTGGTTCTGGTCAATGTCCTCAGTGACATCAAAGTTCGAGGAACACTCAAGGAGCTGGAGACACTGAATCAAGCCAACACCAACGCTGAGGCTACCAGCGTAGCTCCAAACCCGAATCCCCCGGGCAAACTCACCGCCTCTTGGTTAAGGGCGACCGCCGCCCAGGTAAAGATCGCCTTGGCCGCAATTCTCAGGCTAAGGTCGCATAAGTCGGACATTGTGCAGGCAGCCCTTCACAGACTCTGCATTGCCCTTCTGGATCAATGTCATTCCTCACTCGTCGACTGCCAGTCGATGTTGGTGGAGAGTGCCATGGTGCTGGAAGAAGACGACGACACTAGGTCACGTCATCAAACCAGCCTCCAGGACCTTGCCGGCGTCTACCCGGAGCTTGTGGACAGCATGAAATCTGCCCTATATCACTGGATAACCGGCTTGCCTCGGGTTATGCAGTCCAGTGACGAAAGGGTCAAGCACCTGGCCATCAGGAGTATCCTCCGAGGCAGCAAGCTGTCCGCGGCGATGCAGATGGATTCATCGACGCTCGATGATGCCTTGGGAGACTCACTCCGGGACAGCATCATATCACTAATAAGAAGCTCGAAGCAGCCCAGAATTGTGGATGATACTGGAGCAGACGTCGCGACGAACACAGATCTGGTGAGGTCGGGGTTAGAAACTGCAACTTACTCGCCCGTCTTGCTGGGCTCAGAGAGCCAGAAGGCGACGAGGAAAGAGATTAGCGCCTTGATATCCAGCATTGGTTCACCGGCCCAGCAGATCAAACTAGCAGCCTCCATGTTAGGTCATGTCCGGGACTCTCAAGGGGTGAACCAGGTCGCCTCTTTCTGGCTTGCCTTTGAACTCCTGAAATCAACCTACGCGCAGTCTTCTGAGATAGACGACCTGTTGGATCTTTCCTCCCTTGGGCAATCCAGACATCAGGAGGAGACATTCCGGGAGCTCTATGACTTCTCAGCATCTGTCCTCTCCGCGCATTCGGACGCAGTGGAAGAGGACTGGCGAATAGAGGCTATCGCTCTAGAGGTAGCAGCATTCGCCGCTTCCCGCCTCCAGCTAGACTTCCGTCCAGAGCTCATTGATGTGCTCTACCCCGTCACCACATTTCTTGGTTCACAGTCGCGGCAACTCCGGGCGCACGCCATCACAACCCTAAACATTATCGCCGCCTCCTGTGGATATGACAGCGTCTCCGACCTGATTGTCGACAATGCAGACTACATGGTCAACTCGATAGCCCTGCGGCTGAACACATTCGATATCTCCCCAGCTTCCACCAAGGTCCTCACCATGGTGATCCGTCTGACGGGACCGAGGCTGATACCTTTCCTTGACGACGTCGTTGCGGCGATTTTCGCAGCCCTCGACAACTACCACGGCTACCCCGTTTTTGTCGAGAGTCTCTTCTCCGTCTTGTCCGAGGTGGTAACTCAAGGCGTCAAGTCCGACATGCTCCTCCTCGCAGACGCCAACCATAAAGCCATAAACCACCGCAAAAAGAAGGCCGAATCCGCCGGCATCCCCAGCATCCTCGAAACCCTCACCAAGCGTCTCGAGCGAGCCACACGCTCCAAACAAGAAGAAGAGGAAGAAGAACCCATCCTGCCCCTTCCCCAACAACACTGGGGCCCCGCAAAAGACGAAGCCACCTCCCTCCTCGAGAAGCTAACCAACCCGGATTCGGACCAAGACGCTGACTCGGACGAAACCGAACCCCCCCCACCCGCCGACCAATCCCTCGAGAAACCCAAAACCCCAACTTACACCCTCCTTACCCGCGTTCTCTCCCTGACCCAGCACCATCTGACTTCGCCGAGCCCAACCCTCCGCAAATCGCTCCTCGAACTTGTCGCCACCGTGAGCCCCGCCCTGGCACCAGACGAGAACGCCTTCCTGCCGCTCATCCACGCCGTCTGGCCGGTTGTGCTGGCGAGGCTGTATGACCCGGAGCCGTACGTCGCTGTAGCGGCGTGTGGCGCGCTGGCGGGGCTTTGTCGGGCGGCGGGGGACTTTTTGGGTTCGAGGTTCAAGACGGAGTGGTGGGGGGCTTTGGGGCGGTGGGTGAGGAAGGTTAGGGCGGATGTTTATGGTTTGAGGATGGAAAGGATGGGGAAGGGGAAGGGGACGGTCGGGAGGTGGGATGGTGGAGGAGGGAGGGTGGGGGAGGGGATATTGGTTCCGTTGGGGGGTGGTGGTGGTGGTGAAGGGGTGGGTGTTGTGAAAAGTTCCTCCCCGGCGGCGGCGCTGGGCCGGTTCTCGCAGGCGTCGCAGGTCTGGGAGGCGGCGTTGGGGTTGTTGACGGCGATTGTGGGATATGTCAGGTTGGAGGATGACATGTTTGATGATATTCTGGGGCTGGTATTGGATGTGTTGCCGCGCCACGGGGAGCTGAGGGAGGCGTTGGAGACGGTCAATGCGGATGCCGTGTGGTTGGCTCTGTATGAGAGGGGACTGGTTCAGGAGAGGGACGCTCCGGTTGTGGAGGGATTTGAGTTTCGGTTTGCGAGGATGGAAGGGAGGGGAGCCGTGGAGGCTGAGGTATAGCTTGTTTACTGTCAGGTGAGAGAATCCTGGTTTTAGACGGAGTACGTTGCATATCGCGACCATGACGTTGGCTTCATTTGGTGTTGAAGAAACGTGTGCTTTTTCTGGTGGCTGTCCGCGACAGCCCTGAATGAGCTCCTGCCGGCGACCGCACGTTCCGAGTACTCGACTTCCGTCCAAGGAGCCGGTCAAACCCAGGCCGTCGGTGTCCTGTTTTGGTCATTGTGTTTGGGTTGCGAACACAAGCACGTAACGCCCAGTTGTTGTCTGTGACACGATCAGGCGGTACCACCCCGCTCTATTTTCAGTTCTAAAATCTATGTGGTGCAGACCCACATCTATACCCTGTCGCTGCCCGGAACTGTATCTGGAGGTCTACAGCACTCAAGCATCGACAAGTCTTTTATTAGCAATTGGATGACCAAATTACCTACAAGTGACGCTCGAGTGGAATCAGGTTGGGTGAGAGACGCGGGGAGGCTGCAGAAAGCTGGCGTACTGAAGTCGGAAGAGCCCCACGGCACGCTAAGCAATAAAGCGTTTAGCGTCCAAGCTGAAGAAGCTCCTCCACTGGAAAGCCTCGGGAAGCTTGGCAGAAGCTTAAAGCATCCGCACCAGATTGCCCACCTCATCCAAATCGCAAACTTGTATCGTCAATAGGATGAATCTCAAATTATATGACAGCTGTTCATGATAAAAAGAGCGGCGGAACAAGTTGCTAGAGAGAGAACGAGGAGGCTTGGCCTGGCTATATGGTATTGTTGTCGGTAAGCGATGAAGGAACCTTGAACTGACCTGTGACAATCAACTCAAATCTAAGGATTTATAGTTGCGGGGGTCGGCGCCGCCGCTCACCTTCCCCATTTGGACCGCCTTATCAGCAACTCGGTGGTGGCGGCCCTTGAACGCTTTTGAGATAAATGCCCGAGAGGGATATTGACGGTTTGCTTGGCGGACTAAATCAGGGCCGAATCCAGGAACCAGCAGATCGAAGGGAGCGTGGGTGATGGAGAAACATCTGGCCAGAGTCTAGGCCCTACTGATGCACTGAGCCGTGGGCCCGGCACGTCGACCAATTGGGGATTATTCACATATCAAAACGATCGATCTTCAGGCCAACCATGCGCAACGCATCAGACCTTCTCCAAGCTCATGGGATGGGCTATCGACCTTAGTGTCACAGTCGCCACGCCTGTCGCGTCGAAGCCAGCAGGGGCCCTTGGGAAGCCAAGAGTGGACGCCTTTGGTCCTTCTAGAAACGGCATGAGCGATGAGCACATGTGGGAGGTCGAGGCGAGCAGGCGGCGGAAGGAAGACGGGCACCACACGCAGGCTTGATCCAATGGGCGAGGTGTCACAGACCCTATTTTGGCTCGTCAGCGGTGCATTCCCATGCACGTCGGCCTGCTACATGCAGGGAGGCAAGGCTCTCCCTGGGTTCTTGGGGAGATCTCGGATGCACGAGAATATCTCAACGTTGCGCCGTCTTACCGTTCGGGGAGCTGCACCGCTGGTTGGCAGTGCACCAAGCCAGTAACGGCCTCGGCCTCGACAACTTGGGAGCCAGCTATCTACGCCCCAGGTTCGAGATCCTACGAGATGGCACTTTGCCTTATCGCGGCCGTTCATCCTGAGTGGGGTTGTGTTTCCAAGCTCACGGTCTCGCCGTGTTACAGTTAGGACGGGAGTACCTTATATTCCCTCCCTTCGTCCCGACAATCCTCACGAGGCTCTCGGGCTTGTTCGACACATCGATTTGAGGCCTCTTGGTTCGTTTTACTGCTGGTGAAGCAATGATGGCCGCAGACCCCGAGAAGTTGCCGGTCAAGGAGGCCGTCGATATCGACAATGGCTCCCACGATGAGGAGGCCGGCATCAGCGGCGGAACGCTGAAGAAGGACCTCAAAAATCGCCATATGCAAATGATTGCCATTGGTACGTTCGACTTACCTTTCCAAGCAAGCTAGCCTCTGGTGACTCGGTAAGACTGACGAGTTTCGGCACACAGGCGGTGCCATTGGAGCTGGTCTCTTCGTCGGTTCCGGCGGCGCCCTGTCAAAGGGCGGGCCAGCATCTCTGGTAAGTTACGCGGGCTGCCGACGTTGAATGAAATGCGGCTGACCATTCTAGATCATCTGCTACACCATTGTGGGCATCATGTTGTTGTTCACCTGCCAGGCCATGGCCGAGCTCGCTGTCCTGTACCCTGTCAACGGCGCCTTTTACACTTACGTTGTCCGCTTCGTCGATCCCTCATGGTAGGTTATGCCAATTCTCCGTCTCTTTGATAGCCAGGCAAAGCTCACAGTTGCGGCACAGGGGTTTCGCCGTTGGCTGGGACTACGCCCTCTCTTGGTTGACCATCCTCCCCTTCGAGCTTATCGCGGCCTCTATCACAATCGAATACTGGCGGGAAGACATTAGCATGGGCGTCTGGGTGACCGTATTTCTGGTCGTCTTATGTGTAATCCAGATTTTTGGCGTGCGTGGATATGGCGAAGGTAAGCAAGAACCAATGGGCAAGCCCGAGATGCAGCATCAACCCGTCTGACCCCTTCTTAGTTGAGTTCGTCCTCAGCATGATCAAGATCGCGGCATGCCTTGGATTCATCATCCTGGGCATCGTCATCAACACTGGTGGCGTCGGCGACCGAGGCTATATTGGCGCCAGGTTCTGGCATGAACCCGGTGCCTTTAGGAACGGCTTCAACGGGTTTGCCAGCGTCTTCGTCATTGCCGCCTTTTCGTTTGGCGGTACCGAACTGGTCGGTCTCGCTGCGGCCGAGAGCGCGAACCCTCGCAAGGCCATCCCGACGGCATCGAAGCAGGTGTTTTGGCGCATCGCCTTCTTCTACATTGTCAACTTGTTCATTGTCGGCCTCATCCTCCCCTCCGACGACGACCGGCTGCTGAACTCATCGGGCGCCAATACGAAGGCATCTCCCTTCGTGCTGGCGATTCAGGATGCCGGCATCGCGGTGCTTCCGTCCATCATGAACGCCGTCGTCACCGTTGCTGTCATCAGCGTTGCCAATTCGTGCACCTTCGGCTCGACCCGCACCATGCAGGCCCTTGCGGAGCAAGGCATGGCTCCCAAGTTCCTGGCCTACATTGACAAGCATGGCCGCCCACTGTGGTGTGTGGTCATCCAGCTCGCGTTTGGCCTGCTCGGCTACCTTGGACTTGCCGCCGAGGGCAGAACCGTTTTCAACTGGCTCCTTGCTATCTCAGGTCTCTCCTATTTCTTCGTCTGGGGCTCCCTCTGCCTGACGCACATCCGGTTCCGCTACATCTGGAAGGCTCAGGGCTACACCCTCGACCAGATCCCGTACAAGCCCGGTCTGGGCGTTTGGGGCAGCTGGATCGGCCTCATTCTCAACCTCCTCTGTCTCATCGCCACTTTCTACAGCTCCCTCTACGTGAGTCTCGCCGTCAATCCTTGCTCCAATGGTTCACGCACTAACCCGTTCATGCAGCCGAGCCCCGATGCTACCCCTAACGCAGAGGATTTCTTCATGAGTTACCTTGCCGCGCCCATCGTCATCGCCCTCTACCTTGGCTGGAAGGCTTATTCTAGGGATTGGAGGCTGTGGATCCCTGCCGAGGAAGTCGACCTCGTGACTGGTCTGCGCATGCACATTCCGGGTGATGATGACGAGAAGCCGATGGAGAGGACGTGGAGGAACCTGCCCAAGCGTATCATCAAGGGGCTGGTTTAGGCACGGCATGTTCAGGTGGCAATAAACGACCTTGAGGTCTCGGATGCGTGAAGGGGAGGATATGGATTGCCCGTTTTGTCCGTCTCCGCGGCGACTAGCGGGCTCGAGTTGAAGCTCCAATATAGACAACCTACTGTTTGTGATGACTCAGGACCAGGTTGGCCTATCTTCGTTTGGAGGTGTGGCTTTAACGTCTCCGTGCCTCCGGTTGACCTATTTGACTTTCTGGGCCAGGCACTCTCTGGGAGAGCTTTTTAAAGGAGATTTGGCGCCAACCAGCCCCTGCAAGAAGCCGGGACGGCCACTTCTTCCGTCAGTAACCAAACGATACATGGTGCCCGAAAACACCAGACATAGCCAAGTCCGTGACGTGCTCGTTCGTTTAGATTTTGCAGCTGGCTTGGAAGGAGTTGATCGCGTGCGAGGACGATGGAGACTAAGCACGCATCCAGATCACCCTGGAATTAAATCTTACATTCGAGATGACAGCTGAGTTTTCGAGGGTCAACTTTGGTGCCTGAAGTTGACGTTGCTGAATGCTGTAGCTCCTCAGAAACGGCCCACAGACGCTGGAGTCCTAAGCCGTTGAAGGCTTGCCAAGCAGCGCTTCAGCGCGCGCCAGCTGGCCCCACCTGATCGGACGAAACGCAGGGTGTCAACTTCCTGTCGGTCTTTGGCCGGACATTCAAGTTTCAACCTCCCAAGTCGACCTCTGTGGTCGAAACCTGCTTGTCATCTCGGCGCATCCTCAAGATCAACTTGCTGTCATTCCCTCGGCCTACGACAATCGCGGCCATGAATCCTGTATTGTAGACGATTTTCCCACGACGACGCTCCCATGCCCTGAGGTCACCTTTCCGACTCCGCCCTGAGTACCTCTCATCTCCTCCCTTGCAACCCGCGACAACCGGCCCGAAACTCATTGCTGCCTCGATCCAATCCCCCGCTCATTCATTCTCCGAAACATAGCCACTTCTCTGAGTTTTAAAAACGAAGAATACACGCCAACTCATGGCTTCATATGGCCACGCGCCGCCTGCAGCGGTGCCTCGGCCCGCCAATTACGGGGTACCCTACGCCGCCCCCGCGCCTGTGGCTGTTTCTGGCGCGCCGGCCGGCACCTTCTCGCCCGGAACCAAAATCCAAGTCGGGAGTCATCGCGTCGTCATTCAGAAATACCTCTCAGAGGGCGGCTTCGCTCATGTCTACCTCGTGAAACTGTCGTCGCCGGTCAATGGGACGGACCAGGCCGTGTTGAAGCGAGTCGCTGTCCCGGACAAGGAGTCGCTGCGGGGGATGCGCACCGAGGTCGAGACCATGAAGAGACTCAAGGGCCACCGGGCCATTGTCACCTACATCGACTCGCACGCCTCGGAGCTGCGGGGCGGCGGCTACGAGGTCTTCCTGCTCATGGAGTTCTGCAACGGCGGCGGGCTTATTGACTTTATGAATACGCGCCTGCAGCACCGCCTGACCGAACCCGAAATTCTCAACATCTTTGCCGATGTCGCCGAGGGCGTCGCCTGCATGCACTACCTCCGTCCACCCCTCTTACACCGCGATCTCAAAGTCGAGAACGTCCTCATCACGGTTACCGGTTCCGCCAGGAAATTCAAGTTGTGCGACTTTGGCTCGGCAGCTCCCCCGCGCCCGGCGCCCACCACCACCGCCGAGTGCCGCGCGATGGATGAGGACGTGCAAAAACATACCACCATGCAGTACAGGAGTCCGGAGATGGTCGATGTGTACCGGAAGCAGCCCATTGACGAGAAGGCCGACATCTGGGCGCTCGGCGTCTTATTATACAAGCTGTGCTACTACACCACGCCTTTCGAGGACCAGGGACAGCTCGCCATCCTCAACGCAAGCTACAGATTTCCCAGTCATCCCGTCTTCTCCGACAGGCTGAAAGGGCTCATCGGTAAGCTCTTGAGGCAACTGTGTGTCACCGGGTGCTGATGAGGAGCAGCATGGATGTTGCGGGAGAACCCGCAGGTCAGACCCAATATTTATCAGGTGCTCCGGGAGGCTTGCTCCATGCAAGGCCGGGAGCCCCCCGTCAGAGACGTGAGTGGTGACAAACCTGTCTGTCCGCGACACATGACTTATGCTTGAGGTAGATTTACTCCGGAAATCCGCAGACGGACGCACAGCGGCGTGATCAGCCCTTGCCTGTACCTCAAGTCAAGTCTCCACCGATGGTTGGCGCTGTTTTCGCACCACAGGCGACCCAGCAACAGCCTGTGATTCCCGAGGTTGAGCGAATGCGGCGGGGGAGAGTGCCAATCCCTCACTCTTCACCCCAGCCGAATCGGCCTAGCCCGTCGCCGGGCAGGGTGACGAACGGTGACCCTTTTGCTGCGCTCGATGCCAGACCTGCCGTACAGGGCGGAGATGAACTGTCTTCCAGATTTCCCACCCTGGATCAGTTTTCGCTCCTCCACGACAAGGGCCAGAAGTTTGACTTTGACGACAGCCTGTCCAACTTCCAGCAACAACCCAAGGACCTGGCCCAGCGAGTTACTGAAATATTAGCGGACGAGGCCTTCCAGGTCAAGCCGTCTCCAGCTGCAGCCCCTGCTCAACCCAGTTCGAGACAGTCAATGGATGTCAGCCGAACCGCCCCAGCGGTTATGTCTCCTCCACTCCAAGCGACCACTGCCCCTCCGAAGCAGTCCGAAGTTAGCCGCGCATCCGTCATTATCTCGAGCACCCCTGAACTACAAGCTATCTCATCACAAGCATCACAACCGCCTCCAAAGCCTGTCATGGTGTCAACAGGGACGATGACATCTCCGGCTCTGGAGCAAGCTCCACCGCCCCAAATCCGTCGCTTTCCGTCCACTGAGCATCACCGGGCAGCAAGTGTTCCGCGGGTCCCCGTCACGGACCAAAATCACTCGCCGCCGGGCGACGGAACGCAGTCGTCGCGAGCAGAGTCTCGGACGCCCTCGTTCCCTAGCGGAGGTGTGCAACAAACGCATGTACGTTACCCCTCGTCATCAAGGCCGTCACTGGAAGGCGGGCGGCCGAGCCAGGAGCGGTTAGACCCAGGAAGGCCCAATTCGCGACTGGCTATGAGACCGAGGCCTGTCAGTACGCATTTGGAATCCAACCTCGACTTTTTGCGGGAACAGGAGTCGAGGTCCAAGTCTCCGGCGTTACCGTCTCCAAGGCACTCTATGGATAGGCTGGAGAGAAGTCTGCCCCCAAGCCCAGACGAAGACACCAACATCGAATCAAATGTTGACTTTCTCCGCTCGATGGAGGACTCGGACCCAAAAAGGAAGGATAAAGGTTCCAAGAGTCACATCAAACGAGGCAGCCTTTCATCTCTTGGTGCTGGCACCAAGAGCATCCTGGCCGGGAAGTTTGGCGACGCCTTCAAGCGCTTCGAAAGCAACTCGAGCGGCCAGTCCCAGCATCCACGCGCATCATCCCCCCTTAAAGACATGGATCGCCATGTTCTCACGCCCATTGCAGGCTCAGAAACCGTTGACGGCCGTAGCGACGACGGCCAAACCCGCGACTGGGAGGAAATGACGCCTGAAATGCGTCGCGAACAGGAGGCGCGAATGCTGGCGCAGGAAGAAGCCCGCGTGGCGGCGGCTCAGGCCGAGTATAAGCAGCGTGTGGGCCAGCGCGGCGGTGGCCCGCCCGTTCTCCCACCCAAGAGCATCGGAGGCGTCTCGCGGGTTGCATCGATTCAGAATAAGGTCCAGAGTCTTATTGACGAAAGCACGCGATCCTCGGCGAGCGTCTCGCGCACCGCGCAGGGGTATGGGCCTTACTCGGATGCGGCGAACGCGACGTCTGCTCTCAGGGCTACGGGTGCCGGCGGCGGTGACAGCAGGCCGTTTGTACCGAGGAAACCTGTCGGTACTAGCTCCAACCCGCAGACCACGGGCGCTCAGCAGCAACAGCAGCGACCGCCGACATCTTCGGGGTCATCAATGGAGCTCTTTGCCACGGGCCGAACCACCGCTTCTACTACCACTATTAGTACCACTACAGGAGGCGCCAGCCGCCCCATGGCCCCGCCGAAGCCGACACATCTCAACAAACCGCTCCCTGCCGCGGGCCAAGCGCCGTCCCCGACGAAGCAAAGCCCTCTCCTGCCGAACTCCGCTCATATTGCAAGAGGGGCTATCTCGTCGCCCAAGATCCGCGGCGATGCCGGCGGCTTACCGTCCACCTCTGTCTCTGCCGGGGCTAGTGGGATTGGGACTGAGGCGCTTCTGGCGGTGGACTTACCTAGGGAAGGGGGCGCGGCGCTGCTAAGCATGACGGCGGCGGATAAGGATGATTATATTAGTGATTTTCAGAAGCGGTTCCCTAGCTTGGGCGCTATTGAGATGGTCGAGAGGGATTTGAGCGCAGAGAATGGGGGTGAGGGTGGGAGGTCTGGCAGGTGAGCTTAGTTTGGCTAATGTGATGATGGCGCATGATGATGAGTGACGGAGGGGTGTCTAGAAAGGGTTTGCCTTGCCGAGGCGTACTGTACTGTTTTACTGCATGCGAGGCGACTTTGGATGCATTGTTATACAGTATACAAAGACATAGAAATGTGAGGCAATGTCCAGTTGGATTTACCTTCTGTCTCCCTCAAACGTGGATTTCTGATTAACGTGGGTGACTACTAATGGAGTTAAGGATGGCTGTAGGTTAGGGTTAGCGGTCCAGCAACGTAGGGAGCTGACTTCAGGTTGGAGTTTGGGTGGTTATGGAGTACAGATACAACATTCCATAGGTATTACCCCGCAGCTCCTGTATTGAGTTTCTTTCCGCTGCATTGTGTAGTCCTCCCACTCACGAAGGTCAGGTAGCTCTACATACCTCGACTATACACTGAGCTCCTTTCCCTCACTGTGTCCTCTTGGAACACACCAGGTCACATCACATACAATGTCGACCATATTGGCCCCCTACCCAGTTCGAGTCCACTCCTATCGCAGCAGCGGACAGCACCCGCGAACAGTGCAGTCTTACGAGCACCTCCCCCGCATCACCACCGCCACAGCCCAACCTAAAAATGCACTCGTCTTCATAGGCGGCCTGGGCGACGGGCCCCACACGATCCCCTATGTCCGGCACCTCGCTGAGCACCTTTACGCTAGGGAAACACCACCCGCCGCGGTTCGCTATGCCGTGTTTGAGACGCGCTTGTCGAGCGCGTTCACGGGGTTCGGCTACGCCTCGCTTGCGCAGGACGCGAGGGAGATTGCCGATATGGTGCGGTATTTGCGGATTGGGTTGGGGGTGCGGAGGGTCGTGCTCATGGGGCATAGCACGGGGTGTCAGGACTGTTTGGAGTATGGGAGTAAATTCTTGCGTAGTGTGAGGGATGCTAGTGGTGATGGCAGGGAAGAGACGGAGGGGACGGAGGGGGAGGAAGTGAGGGTGGATGGGTTTGTGCTGCAGGGCCCGGTGTCGGATCGCGAGGCTATAGGGATGGTGGAGGATAAGGGGGAGGTGGAGGGTGCGTTGCTGGTTGCCGAAGGGATGGTGAGGGAGGGAAGGGGAGAGGAGGTTATGCCGAGGGAGGTCATGCCCAAGGGATGGAGGGGGAGTCCTGTTACGGCGTATCGGTGGTGTTCGCTGGCGGCTGTTGGGTGAGTATGTCGTTCGAGGACGGGCAATTGACATGGGGGCGGGGCTTTGCTGATGATCTCGATGACAGCGGCGATGACGATTATTTCTCTTCGGATTTGCCCGACAAAAATTTGGTAGAAATCTGGGGCAGGTTAGAACAGCCAGTGCTGATTCTGCCGTCGGAGAAGGACGAGTGGGTGCCAGCCGGGGTGGACGTGATGGGGCTTGTCAACAAGTGGAAGAGCTTCTGCAAGCCGGGTATCGCCAGCGAGCTCAGTGGGCTTATTCCGGGCGCAAACCACGGAGTGGACAACGAGACCGGGCAGCAGTGGCTCGCAGATCGCGTTGCACAGTTCTTGGTTGAGATTGACAAGCAACTCTAAGGTATCCGTACCCTAGAGAGCCTAGCTAGGTATTGTACCTGCCAGGCCTCGGGCTTCGGGGAACCTACAACGTCTGAGCCGTAATATCATACGACTGATGAAAGGCCGTTAACTCACAATCAGAGCCGAGTGGGTCCCCGCGCCACATGCCCCTCGGCGATTGCGATGGTGGGGTTATCGGCGGGCTCAATGTTCGGCGACTGGACTCTTTTGCCGCATGACAAACAATGGAGACGGACTCTTTGGGGGACAACGTAAATATATTGCCTGGCGTCGTGCATCAAACTACTTGGATTCAGGCTCTTCAGATCTACCCGCCAGCTCCATCACAGACTACCAATTGTCCAGCCACCAACCAAGCTGCTTTCACCAGGCTCGACAAACTCCAAGCCGTCAGTCAGTCACCATGTGCATGAGTGCGACTTGCTCAACCTGCAGTAAGCTGCTCGTTCGCCACAATGAATCTGAGTCCCATCTACACTATTGACACTCGATAGATAAGCAGACCTGGCGCGGGTGTGGCAGCCACGTGGCCTCCGTCTTCGCCAACATACCCGAGGACAAGTGGTGCACTTGTGAGCCAAAGGTCGAGAAAGACGGCAAGCAGTACCCGCCGCAGGCTCAGTCGGGTTTCGGCGGCTCGTTTCTGAGAACCATGATGGGTGGAAAGTAGGAGTAGGCAGGGCGACAATGACAGCTGACCATGGCGCTTGTATATCTTATTCCAGACAGAGCTGAGGTAAATTCGCAATCAAACCATACCTACCAAGGTACCTTAGTTCAGTTGCCTAATTCCCCACTTATCGCAAAGAATCGCCGATCCCGGCTACGGCGGCAACCCTTTGCATGTCCGGGATCCGGCATTTGATACCGGAGGTTACGGGCCTGTGCACGCCGGCTACCCCTCTGAAATCGCCCCGATTAGAGTCATTCGAGAGTCACTAGACTGTCCTGTCCCAGAGATATTCAAGAATTCGTCGACATCACTCGGCCATGTCAAGGCGAGCAAGGTAGAGGAAACACCAATTACCAACATCATGCTCTCGCCACTGCTCATCATCCTCTCCATTGTCGCCTTCGTCGTCCACACGCTTCGGCATGCTCTAAGCTCGCCACTCAACAAGATTCCAGGCCCGTGGTACGCCAAGTTCACCTCGCTGGTCCTGAAGTGGAACGAGTTCAGGGCCAACAGAACCCAATACATTCATGACTTGCACCTGAATTATGGGCCTTCTGTCCGCATCGCCCCACGCGAGGTTGCCTTCGCCTCAGCCGCAGCCGTTAAGGAGATCTATTGCTCTGGCGGCAGTGGTTACGATAAAACCGAGTTTTATGACATGTTTAGGGTATACGGGAGGCGGTACGTACAAGTGCCTCATCTTGAACAAGGTTTCCGAAGGGAGCAGGTTATGCTGATGAGTCCTGACTAGGACCATGTTTACTACCTTAAACAAGGACGACGTGAGCCCCTACTCACTTGGAGTGTCCTACGTGATATCCATACCTGACACTGGCTTCCAGCACGCAAAAAGGAAGCGCATCATTGCGGACCGTTACGCCAACACCAACATTGTCCGGTCGCCGTCCCTCGACGGCATTGCTGAGGGGGCATCCAACTTTGTCAAAAGATGCTTTCAATCCATAGGCGGAAGTCTTGATCTTTATGTACGTGCTACCTCGTGGCATGGTTTGCTTGACGAGGCTGACAGACAGCGCTCAGATTTGTAAGTGGCCGAGTTCGACCAGCGAACATAGATATCTGCCTTCCTTCCATCCGAAGCCAGCATTCTACACATGTCCCCGCCAGTGCTTTACATATTTTGTTTTTCACATTCACACTAGCACCACCTCCTCCCAGTGAGCCAACACCGAGTTGGCTCAGCGGTATCGGGAGGAGCTCTGGTTGGAACTCAGCAACCGAGATGGTGTTGGTTCGACTCCCCTCTAGAGAAGTAATATTCCCATTGGGAGTATTCATAGCCGACTACCTCTATTCGACCGGCGCGGGAATAGGGCTAGTCGGTGAGCTTTTCTTTTCCTGGCCATTTGATGACCACTCATTTAGGTTGTTTACCAGTTGCTTCAGTGAAATCACTAGTTCAGTGTCTTAACCTTAACACAGGTCTTCACTCTTATGCGTTTGACTGCGTCACCCATCATCTATTCCATCCTCATGGCGCCGACTCGCTGCTGAGCAGCAAGGACGAGGAGATCATGCGCGAAGTGACGTTTGACGATAGCTTACAGAGTGAGTTGTCTTGGGACTCAGCCTAATTCTGTCACTAACAGGTGCCAGACCGGCTCTTCCAACACTACTGGCCCACCGCACACAAGATCTTAGGCAGGATTTTGTACATGTTCGCAAAGCCACGTGAAACACCGTTGGCAGACAAGTTCGTCTTGGACACATGTGCCCAGACCGACACTACGCCCTTCACGCTCCTCAACCGCCTTCAGAACCCCAGTTATAATCTCGATCATACTGACGTCGCCGCTGAATGCCTCGACCACATGGCTGCTGGCATTGACACAACCGGTGACGCTCTTTGCTTCCTGATGTGGGAGCTCTCCCAACCATCGTCACTCCACTACCAAAGGAAACTCCAGGAAGAGCTCCTCGCGAACCCAGGAGCCAGTTTCGACAAGCTGCCCTACCTCGATGCAGTAGTCATGGAAGGCTTGCGGTGTTTCCCAGCCATTCCCATGTCTCTCCCGCGCTACGTTCCTTGCGGGGGCCGCACCGTCGACGTTTTCTTCTTGCCCGCAGGGACCATCGTGAGCTGCCAGGCGTATTCGGTGCATCGAATCGACCGGAGCGTGTTCCCGAATCCGGACGCCTTCAATCCGGACCGGTGGCTGGAAGAGAAGGGTGATCCCGAGAGGAAAAGGCTGTTCTTTGCCTTTGCCAACGGGGGCAGGGGATGCGTTGGGAAACAGTACGTTGCCTACCTACCTTACATTGCCATGTGACAGAGGAGGTATGATTGCTGACATGGACGCGGCTAGCCTGGCTCTCGCCGAGATGAAGATGCTGCTCCAGGCTGTGTACTCCCGGTTTACCACCCTCCCCGATGCTGCCATGGCGCCCGAGGAACTGGGAATGTCGGACCAGCTGATCTCGTCGCGCCCGGCAGGGCAAAGGTGCTTGCTGCAATTCATTCCCCTGGACGCGGTCACCGGCGAGTAGGTTGAGCCGACAAATCCCAGCCATTCATCCGACGCCAGCAAACAGACAGGCGCGCCGCGAAGGACCCTGCCTGGTGTAACCAGGCCACGCCTGGGGACGGAAACCGGCAAACGTGGCACGCCCGAACAAACCCATCCCACCATATCCGTGATACAGAGGCTCAAGCATATGAGTGCTGTTGGTTGTATCCGTAGGGCGAAAAGGACGAATCACACAGGATACCTACCACTTTGGTTTTGGAAACAGCCAAACCTGGTTCAAACTACCTGTCGTGTACAGATATGGGGATATCAGCCGGGCGTTGGGATGTATGGTCAGGGGTGGGCAAGAGTGGGTGGCACATCGCGCAAGGTCTGGGCCACGAGCCGTAAAAGCTTTGCTGAAACAGATATTGTGAATGTCAAGCATTGTCTTCCCTACCGCGTTCCCACGTAACAACAAACCGCTCTCAGTCAAAACCGAAAGGAAACTGCCCACCACGGTGGCCAAACGGGGAAAAATTACACAGTGTGTATGAAGTACCTTAGGAGAGAAAGACCAGAAATTCACAATCACACTCGAGTCATACACGTGTAAAAATGGCGACCGCTGCGGGGCCAAATCCGTGTCAGACGTACCGTGTACATCCAGCGGGGCGTGCGGGGGCAACACGCACTGGAAACCTTAGCGCCGTTGCTTTAGCACCACCAATCCCGTGCTCTGGCTTGATCTCCACCAAATTTCCACCTCTGTTCTGGTTGAGGATTTCTCAGCTCATTCACTTCTGCAACGTGAAAACTCTTGACAAGCCATCTCCACACTCCATTTTAAAAGCAATCCATCCCCCGTCTCATCGTCTCTCGGCCCTTTCAAAGCAACCCTCCGAATCTCAACTACATTCGCATTCCTGCAATCCTCGCTGCATCGTCCATCACTGGACAAACAATCATCTACCGCCAGTTCCGCCCCTTGGGTTCCTCCACAGCACTCGAAATTCCGAGCATTCGAAGACGCCAATCATTTCGCGCATCTGACCGGCCGTCAACGCAGCAAGTTACTCTTCGTCTGCCATCGACCCGGCTCCGCCGCAAGTAGACCAGCTCCCAGGCTCAGTACGCAGCAAAGCGTTGTTTATGTATCAGCACGAAGAGGACACCGTCTTCCGACACACTCCCCCCCTCGAGCTGCGTCCGTTTCGCATAGCGCGGAAACCTTGTAGTCCCAACATCTCTGACGGTTGAAAAACTTCGAGTCGTCGTCTTTCAGCGTTAATGCATGCCAACGACTATCACCACGCCTACCCTATGTCAACTCCGCCCCCCGCATCCTACTGACGCCCAGCCTCGCTTCGCCCTTCCGACACTCGCCAACAGTCTGCTCTGCTAGAGTCCCACAGACGTCCGCCACGCCTCAGAACACCAGATTCCGAGATTTCGTCCACTCGATACAATCAGCTTCCACCAATCGTCAACAGTCAATACCGCAGCAATGGCTTCCCTCGTCAACGTCCGCCGCGATGTCAGCGACCCCTTCTATCGCTACAAGATGGAGCGCCTCCAGACCAAGATTGAAGGCAAGGGTAACGGCATCAAGACCGTTGTTACCAACTTGAGCAGCGTCGCTCAGTCCCTGGCTCGCCCGGGCAGCTATCTGATCAAGTACTTCGGCTTTGAGCTCGGCGCTCAGACCAACCTGGACCCCGCCGATGACCGCTGGATCATCAACGGCGCCCACGAGGCCCAAAAGCTCCAGGAGCTCCTTGACGGATTCATCTCCAAGTTTGTCCTCTGCAAAAAGTGCAAGAATCCCGAAACCGACGTCCAGATCAAGGACGGTCGCATCACGCTCGACTGCAAGGCTTGTGGCCAGCGCACTGAGGTCGACCTTCGCCTGAAGCTCAGCGGTTTCATGCTCAAGAACGTGCCCAAGAAGACCAAGAAGGACAAGGCCGAGCGTCGTGCTGAGCGTGCCCGCAAGGCCAAGCAGAACGGCAAGTCCGACGGCGACCAGGGCTCTGGGGGCGATGACAACTCCGACCAGGCCTCGCCCACCGCCGAGGACAAGGGCGCGGAGAGCGACGACGACGCTCTGACCCGTAAGATCAAGGCCGAAGCAGAGGTTCTCGCGAACAAGAAGGTCGAAGTCAAGGACGACGATTGGGCTGTGGACATGAGCGAGGAGGCCGTCAGAGCCCGCCAGCAGCAACTACCTGGCGAGTTCAAGGCGAAGCTCGTTCTGAATGGCGACGACGAGGATGAAGAGGGCGAGGGCGGTGGAAACACAGTTTACGACCAGCTGGGCACCTGGATCCAGGAGCAGGCAGAGGCGAAGGACGGCATCAACAATGTCGACAGCATTGACATTTATGTCAAGGCGAAGGAGCTGGGCATCGAATCCAAGCATCGCACTGTTCTGGTCTTGGTGCAGACCATTTTTGACCAGAACATCTGCGCCCAGATCCCCAAGCGTGCCTCTATGTTGAAGCAGGTATGTCCACCAAGCATCATTTCCTCGATAAACCCGCATGATATGCTAACTCTTGTCTAGATCATCACGAGTGAACGTCACGAGAAGGCCCTCCTGGGCGGCACTGAGCGACTCATTGGCCACCTGAGTGGTGGGCACCCGGACATGATCGACAAGGTTGTTAAGATCCTGCAGCTCTACTACCACCACGACCTCGTCTCCGAGGAGGTTGTGACCAAGTGGGGCTCCAAGGCTTCCAAGAAGTACGTCGACCTGTCCACTTCCAAGAAGGTCCGCAAGGCTGCCGAGCCCTTCATCAAGTGGCTCCAAGAGGCCGAGGAGGAGTCGGACGAGGACGACGAGTAGTGAGCTTTGGGTTGCACTTGCATGCCGTCTTGGTTGGGGTTGGATGGCAGCCTTTGCTTCCAGATTGCTATTTCATGCATTGTTGTCGCTTTGTCTCTTTCGGAGGAAAAGGCATGAACTACACGCTCCTGTCCGTGGCTTAATACTTGAGCCCGCTGTTTCCGGCAGTAGTTCAGGTCTTGTGCTCCGGCCCCTTGCATGGATGGTCTACAGAAAGTGTTTGTTGGTCTGCATGTTAGCTTGCTTTTCTTCGGCCGATTTTGTCTGAGCAACACCACTCATTCATTAGTCGGACATTCTGTCCCTCCACTGTTGCGTGATGAGGACATCTTTCAGGCATGTTTGCCCTTGCGTTTCAATGATGAGCAGTTGAACCGAAGTATTGATATGTGTTCATGTTTGTACAGCTTCCGACTTATGCATCAGATCATCCCCTCCAGCAGCCCCTGAAACCATTATACATTCCCTCCATTGCCGTCCCATCCATGACGATTTTGCCGCTTTAAAACCTTCCGCATAGTGTGAAAGCATGAACGAGCAAGAACATCTCAACAAACGGAGAATCGAGCGAGCTTGCCCCTGGGCGATGAAATAGCGAGCAACACCATGATAGCCATGAACTTCCAACCCGGGATAATTGTATCCCAACAATGCTAAATGTCCTCCAATGTGGCCTTCCTTCTCCTTGACAAAAAAACGGCGAGAACCAGGGGATCAGCCCCATCGAACTCCCGGAACGGCGGACATGTGGTGGCATCTCTCCACCACCTCCACACCAATAGAACGCCACGGAGATCCTGTTCGACACTTGCCCTCGCCCTCCTGAAAACCTTGAACACCATTCCACTTGAGGGAAGACCGTCTTAAGTAGACCACCCGACTCTGGCTCCCGGTAAAGTAGGTAGGGCAGATTTGGGGGGCTGAGCGGGTGAAAGTGGGAAAGGGAAATGGGAAAAGGGAAGAGGGAAAAGGGAAAACGGACGAGTGAGCAGAGTTCTCTCACCAACCCGAATCGCCGGACTGAGCCGCAGACGGATCGCCCCAGCTCGTGTCGCCCTCGCCCTTCCACTCAATGTTGGGCTTGCTGGCTGGCGAGGTCCAGCTGCCGGGCATGCTGCTTGTCGGGTCGGGCCGGGTGTTAGGGGAAGGGGTTTTGAGTTTGTTGGAGTTGTTATCGTTGTTGTTGTTGTTGTCCTCGTTGTTGTCGTTTCCCCAGGAGTTGTTGTTATCGTTGCCGTTGTCGTTGTTGCCCCAAGCGGAATTTTTGTTGTTATCAGCATTTCTGTTATTGTTATTGTTGTTGTTGTTGTTATCCCAAGAGGAGTTGTTATTGTTGTTGTTATCGCCGCCCCAATTGTTGTCGTTATTGGAGTTGTCGTTGCCGCTGGCGCCCCCAGCGTTGCCATTGTCGCTCTTGTTGTCGTTACCGCCATTGTTGTTCTGATTGCCAGAGGTAGAACCACCGTTCCTGCTCTTGCTCTTGTTGCTGGGAAGCTTGACCCAGCTGGTCGGGGGAGTCTTCCATTGCACGCCGGTCCCTATGGACCACTTGTGCTCGTCAGGCGGCCGTTTATTTCCGTCCCCAGACTTGGATTGGCGGCGCTCTTTGTCATTGTCCTTTGCATTGTTACTAAAGAGCGGGCTGAGGCGGAAGCCTTCGCGTCGGAGGGCTTCAGTGGTAGGGCTGCCGGGTATGCCCGAGACGCCAACCGGTCGGCTGCCATACGGGGGTGGCACCGGCGGCGGGAATGGTCCATAGGGCTGGGGCCAAGCCGGATACGGCGTGTGAAGATGAGGGGGCGGCGGGAAGCCCGGGGGGATCTGCGGCCCACTCACTCGACGACCCTGCGTGGTGTGCGGCTCTGGCACAGGCATCCAACCGGGGCCTGGATAGGGCGGCGCTCCCGTAGCGGGTGGGTAGGCATGACCATAAGGGTAGCCCCAGTACGGACCGTGGTAGACTCGGCAGGTGTTCTTGGCGTTGTCAAAATAGGCGTTAGGAGGCGCGTCCCGGGTTGGGTCCTCGACCACATGCTCCATCTTGAGGTTGCGCTCGCGGACAGGCATGATGAGGTTGGGATGGTCAGATGACTCGGCCTTCTTCTTGTCGAGAGTATCGCCCTTCTTGGACGCCGTCTCCTTGTTGCCCTTTGTCTTGCTTCCGTCGTCCAGCTTCTCGCCCTCATCTTTACTCTCCTCGGCCTTCTCTCCGTTCTTCGCCGTGCCATCCTTCTTTGGCTTTTCCTCGTTCTTTTCACTAACGCCGTTCTTTTTGTTGTCTTTCGCCCCTTTGGGCGGCTCGGCTTCGGACTCCGTGGCCGTTTCAACTTCCGAGAAAGCGTTGCTCTTCTTCTTGTTTTTCTTCTTGTTCTGCTTTGACGCCTCCGGCTCGGACTCAGTAGGCGTCTCGGCGGCAGAAACCGTGGCACCGGCAGTGGTGTCGGTTTCAGCTTCTGTCTCGGTCTCCTCTTTTTTGGCGCGCTTTTTGTTCTGAGCGGCCTTCACGTTGCCTTTATCCTCACATTTGTCCTCCTTTCCATTGCTCTTCTCCTCACCCTTCTTCTCCTTGCCATCTTTCTTGGGACTTGACTTCTCTTGCCCTTCTGGCGCAACCTCGCCGCTCTTGCCGTTCTTCGTAAGCTCCTCTATCTTCTGCAGCAGCACAAACCCGGCTACGCAGCATGCACAAGAGCAATTGTGATGCTTCTTCGTCTCGGGCTCGGAGTCGCCATTGCCGCTGCTTGCCGAGCTGCCCGTTGGCCCCGGCTTCTTCGCCCTCTCCTTGACCCTCTTGGGCTTGAGTTTTGGCCCGGGCTCTTCGCTACTCTCATCATCACTGACCTCAGCGCCGGAATCTTCAGCGCTGGAATCCTTCGGTGAAGACTCCGAGGATGCGTCCGAGGACGGGTCGGATGATTCCGGCTCGCGAGCCTTCTTCAAGGCAGACTTGAGAGGCTTGTCTTTGAAACTGACTCTTTTTTCCTGCGGTGGATCGGCTGGTTTGGGCTGGCTGTGCTTCTTGCTTTTCTTCGAGGACCTGTTGCGCGGGTACGTGATCGTGATGGAGTCGGTATCGGTCTCGTCGTCGGTGGACAATTCGATTCTGATGGATTCCCTTCGAGATGACTGTTTCTTCTTCCCTTTAGGCAGGTTCTGCCCGACAATCCACTCAAACACCGAGTGCGGAGGCATGGCGTTATTGCGCTTGGCTTGCTCAGGAGCCGTCGACTGGGCTCAACGAGAGTCAATTTCGATATCCGAGCCCTTCCTTCACAATTGAGGATACAAGCTGAGCCAAATCTGGAATGGGCGATGAGCGCTGGATGTATCGGCTGCCTGTAGAGTTTCGAAACGCTGAAGGTTTCCAAGAGCAGAACGATGCCGCAAAGAAGGCCTGGGATCTCCCGACACAGAAGCAGTGTAGATGGGAATCTCTGGCCTCAATTAAAATCAGCCGAAACCTAGGCGAGCAAGAAAAGGAAAGATGGCTGTCTCTCAATGAAGAAAGTGAAGTTATGTGCCAGGTGTGCACAAATGCGATCGCTTGATCGCTTGATCGCCGAGCGTGGGGAGGGCAGCTACCAGCTGGATAACAACTGACAAGAAAAGAATCGTCGCAGAAACACGCTCAGTAACCCCAACCCGGCCACTCACAACTTGGCCTTTCGCCTCAACTCCTGCTTCTCCCAAGTCCTATTGATCCTCATGTTCCTCCAAAACCCCCAGACTGCCAAAGCCAACGCGGCCGGCGGGCAAGCCCACAGCATCCAACTCCACCACCGCGGGCTATACCTCTCAATCTCCTCCATGGCCCTCTTTACTTCTTCGGCCAGCTCCTCTCTCCCCGCATCATTCCAGATCACCACACCTCTCCTGTCACCTCTCGCCTCGCAGCGCCTGGCCTTCTCCCTCACATCGCCCTGACTGCTGACGCGATTCTCAGCATCCTCCACACTCAGATGCGGATCCCTCCTCCTCAACCGCTCTATCTGCACCGCAAGGTCCCGGACGGCCACCACCATGACCGTCCCACAAAACCGATCCAGCCGACTCTCAAACAACAGCGGCACATCCAGAACGACCGCCCTCTCCCCGCGCACATAGTTGCGCACCACCGCCTTGAACATCTCGCGCCTCACGGCAGGGTGCACGATCCCGTTCAGCACCGCCCTGTCCCTCTTGCGATCGTCATCATCCCCAAACACGCGCCTCCCCAGCACGGGACGGTTCAAGGGGCGACCCTTTCCGTCGGGCCCGTCCTCGGGCATGTCCTCACCGGCGGGGACCAACAGGTCCGGGGTGGAAGGGCCAAAGTAACGGACGATGGCCTTGTAGCCGTGCGTTCCGGGCTCGACGACCTTGCGGGCGAGCAGATCAGCGTCGATGACGGGGAGGGAGTAAGGGGCCTGGGAGAGGAGGGAGGAGACGGTTGATTTGCCCGTGGCAATGGACCCGGTCAGGCCGATGAGCAGCATGTTTGGGCGGTGGGTAGGTGAGGCTTTTTTGGACGTTGTGATCTGACGCGCTCCAAATATGATAGGCTCCAAGTATAACGGTTATGTGTATTGCTCTTTGAGTCTCCGTGTGCACATTGTGTCTTCGTTCTGGGTCAGAGACAGTGGGTTGAGCTCAGTGGCAGTCCAAAGGTGGTGGGGTGATCACGATCGAATGTGCCAAGCTTGATTCCCCGATTCAGGAAGCTGCCGGTCTTGGCATGTCTTTTCTTCCGACGACAAACGCACGGACGCTGTGCAGCCGGATGCCAAGCAGGCTGCTCCAGGACAAGCGTTGTGGGGGCTTCAGAACATGTGAAAGCGTCGGCCTCACACCACAACATCCTTGCCAGCGTTGACCTCCATCGTTCCGAACTGTGGCTAAAGCACCTTTTGTTCCGGGAGAACAGTAACGACATGTCACAAAGAAACCGGGATTTACTACGTAAGCTGCAATGACCACATAGCGTAGAGCCGAAGATCAAGACCAGAATCTAGGCAAACCCAACTCCTAGTCTCCTACTGAATCGACCTTGATGGTATCATCGGTATCAGTATGTCCATACCCTCCACCCCAACCATTCTATTTCCCTATGCTGCCGGATCGCATCGTGGGGCTCTCGGCTAGTAGTCGGCGGTTGCCAGATGCTAAGCAGCCGAAATGTGACCGAGAAGTCGCAATGCCGAAGTCAAAAACATACCAGGAGAGCCGAATCACTAAGCAGAGACCGTCTGTTAATGTGGGATAGAGACGTATCAATGACCGATGGGCTTACCGAGAGTGATGGACCATGAGCTGCGGAATGTTCCTTCAGTTGTCTGGCAGACGGACGGCGTAAAAGACGCTGTCGTCGGTGCGGTACCAGCGCGCATTCAGCCGGTCGATCTGGCGGCGAGGGAAGACCGCCCAGTGGCCGTTCAGCTCGCGGAACCAGTACATGCGGTACGGGTCTGGGTCAGCGGGTTTGAAATCCTGCGGCTCATAGGCTTTGTTATTCTGTGCGATCCGGACGTTCTCGGCAATTGTCTCGTTGGGAGTCAAGCCGACACCCATGGCGGGCTCGACGTGGACTGGCGGCTGGGCAGGCAAACCGGCAATGAGAGGATGATTACCTGGCATCTGCATCGCCTGGGCAGCAGCGCCCGGGAGCATGAGCGCCGGACCACCTGTAACGGATTGGTTAGGAATCATCATCGGCTGGTTATATGGCTGCTGCACGACGATGGGGTTCATCGGAGCTGTAACAGCAGCAACGCCGATGGGCAGGGTCTGCATTGGCATGACCGCTCCGCTCGCCTGGAACAAGTCAGCTAATGTCTCCACGGCCGGATGGCAAGTATGCGTGATTGTGAGAGGGACTGATGAAAAGCCGATAAGACCACTTGGTCATAGCATTAAGAAGCCAAGGAACGTCGACGAACCACTGACCATATACCCAGCCATCTGCTGACCGGGGAACAGCATCCCAGGCGCACCGATAGGATCCTGACGAGGGACATAACGATGGACCATAGGGCCCGTCTCAGTGCCGGGGACTTGTGGTTGAAAGTGCACGCCGTAAGGATTGACAACAGGTGGGATGGCAGGAGGCGGAGGAGGGGGAGGTGGAGGCCCTAGTTCGTCCGGAGGATTGCCCGGGTTCGGCGCCGCAGTCTGCGGAGGTGCCATGGCGAACGGATTTATCACCGGTGCGAAAGATGTGCCGATGCCTATCTGAGGATTGACGATAAAGGGTCGGTAACCGTTGAAGGCCTGCGGGACCGTAGTCGGGAGAGCGCTGTAGCGATTGGCTGGGATGTACGATGCATGGGCCGGGGCAGGTGTCGCCGAAGATGTTGGTGCCGAAGGGACGGGTTGATTGCTGTCGGAGTTCGGACGCGGCTGAGATTGCGAAGCAGAGGAAACATGGGACGGCGCCGGGCTTTCCTGCGAAGCATTGTGACCGGAATTGCTGGGACCGGGTGTTGCGGGCCGTGATCTCGGACTGTAATCCTCGTCGGCGATAGAGACGCGCCGCGAGGCCTTGCCCTTTGGGTCCCTTTTACCGTTCATGTCGAACCAGTTGCAACCTCGGACCAGTCTCCGTCGGTGATGACGTCGGGTGGGGAAGAAAAGATGTGGATGAGGATCCAGAGTTGCGAGTAAAGAAATCGGGAAAGCAGTGTTTGTGAGAAACAGGCAAGATGGGGAAGGAAAAAACGGTGAGGAAATCCGTCAGACGATTTTGTCTCGGACCATGTTCTGGATGAACGAAGATTCGTGATTTGCGCTGACTTCAGTGCTTCTTCCTTCCAGCTTTTGGAGCTGCGATAGATAGCTTTGTGTTCTTGGCCCGGCCACCGGAGGAAAGATATATCGGGGCTGTGTGTGGAAGGGGAAAGGTGCGAGTGTACTCAAGATTTTCTGACGTGCAAATGCAGAGATGTCAGACCATGGAACTTACAGTATCTCGGAGGACCCAGGCCTGGCCGTTCCAGACGTATTGGTATTGCCGCACCGGCACTCGGTTGCCACGCTCGTACTGGGCGTTAGAGAAGGGGAAGCAGGGTAGACACATGTTGCTTCGCTTCGTCCTGTGTCGTGTCGTGTGCAGCGTCTCGGAAGAGGAGTGCTGTTGAGTGTTGAACCGCACCTTTCCCAAACGGCACCCTAGGCCTAGGTAGGTAAACTCGAGGATGAGGCCGGTGGCAAGAAAGGGAGTGCGCTGGCAGCCAGGAAGGTACGAGGAGTGGAATCTCAATAGCACATTCAGAAAGAAAGCCACCGCCTCCCAGACGCTACGCAAATTCCATACGGCACTTCTGTCGCATTCCAGGTTAGCTTAGGTATATTATCTCTTCCCAAGAGAAACCCGTTTGTCAACATCAGCCAGCGCAAGTGTTTTCCCTGTCTCAACCCAGTGACCTAGAACGCTGGCAAGTCCAAATCACTGCTTAGAGTACATATACTCCCAAGCTTTCTGCTCCTTAGCTACGCGTTCAATAGTCGCTGATTTAGTCCTAGGCTCTCGCACCCAAGACTCCGCGAGCCTCCGAACCGAAGCCTTCATCCCCGTTTCAGTCCGGCAATTCCCAACACTGCCAAAAGCATCTACTGATATTTCTCGGCGCCACACTCCCGTACTGCTAATCCGCAAGGAGAAGACGCCAGGTAAATACCAATGTCTAAAGAGCGGGGAGACGCTGCTGGGCCTCTGGTCTCTCGACACCACCAAGTAGCACCGGCCCATACTTCCACGCGAACTCCAGCGAAGACACCTAGCCTCCTTTGAGATACGGCTTCCCTGTCTGGTCGAGCGCCTTGAGGGCCGCGCCTTTCTCAACCTCCTCAGAGTACTTCAGCTGCCGCAGCTGGAGCTGGTGGACTCGGAAGCAGAGCCTGTAGTGGCGCAGCTGCCAGGGCTGTGGAAGTTTACAAACACGTCAGTCAGGGATTGGCTCGAGTTGACCAGAAAGGGAGACCGACACAAAACGCACCCGGATAATGATGGGCCATTTGCTTTGCTCCCTGCTCATGCGCTTCATCATCTTGAAGTCGTTGGGTCGCCGTCGAAGCGGTGTCCATGCGATGTCCTCCAAGGGGGTCGTAGCACCGTCGGGGCCGCAGAGGAAGTAGGACCATTCCGGCTCGTTCTTGAACTGTTTCGGCGACTTGAGCTCGTTGCTGAGATTCCCGGCTTCTTTAGAGGCGTCTTCGGGGTGGTGTATGGTGTCGAGGTCCTTCATAAGTCGGGCGAAGACGGTCTCGGGGCTGAACAACGAGCGCGAGTAGTTGTCCAAGCACCGCACCACTTCGCCTTCAGTACAGTTCCAGTTCAGGTAGCGCCAATTCATCTTGATATGGCCGAATTCGTTGACGTCTGAAACGGCGAGTTTGAACTGCGGGTTACGCGGATCATTCGGGGAAACGTCGATGCCTCTCTCCATGAGACGATATTTGGCGAGCATCTTGATCTGCTTGTCGGTTTCGGTTGGTCAGTATTTGTTTTGAGGACAAGTACAAGAGCATGAGAAACTTGCCTTTCCATGAAAATCGACGCGCGCGGCGCTGCCACCATCCAGGAACTCCCAGAAACACTTCTCGTAGACCTCCTTCTCCAGCATCTTGTCCATCTGGCGCGGATTCGGTGCATTTTTGGGATCTATAACCCAGCCATCGAGCATGTCTATGCGCTGTTGGAGATCTGCAGGAAGTCCCTCTCTGCTCTCATCATAGGGGACGTATACGTATCCCCCGTTGTGGTCAGGCAGCAGGCATCCGGGTCCCTGCCTCGGGAGGGAGTCATAGGCCCAGCTCATATCCGCGACTACTGCGGCAAGCTCCCGGTCAGTGACCCTTTCCTGCCTTGCCTTCCAGCGCTTGACGCGCTGCGAAATGAATTCCTCCATTAACTGCTGCAGTATTGGCCTACGGTCATCCAAGGCCCGAGATGAGGTATCCATGGCTTGTGCTGATGCGGTTGCAAAATAATGAAGAGAATGTAATGGCAATGTTGCAGGAGAACAGATGAGGGAAGGAGAGAGGAAATTGTTGGTTAAAATTGGGAAGAGAAACCACCTCTCTGAATCTTAGAAGCCTTTGGCGGAAGGCGCAGAGGATGAACGCCGGTTGGCAGCCAAGCCTCGCCGCACCTGGGGAGACGAGTAATTGTCGTTCCGGAATGCCCGGGTCGGCCGGGTTCCTTATGCAAGCCTTGGTGTTGAGGGTTTGGATTGGGTTGAGAAGGAAGCAAAAATACCAACGGGGGCCCAGGGCAATGAGACAGGACCGTGACAACACCACACAACATGTATCAACGGTTCCTGGCAGAATGTAACAAACGAAACACGGGAGTGAGTGTCTCTGAGACAGCGTGGTGAGAACAGCTTGTTGCCGCGTTGTTGCTTCGTAAGGAAGTAATCCACATTGTCCCCAGACAGCCCGACAAGGAGCCAGAGCCTCCTCAGCCGCTCTTTGGAAACTGCTCCTCTTTCCCACGAGCATCACAGCGAGCACAATGCAAAGCCGGTCAATGCATCCTGACAACCACGTCAGCATAATGATTGAAGCTCACCAAATGCCTATGGCTCAACCGGGTCGCTCTATGACCAGAAGCCGCTATCATACAAACTGGAATTTCCATGGGAGGAGAGATACACTGCGCTATGCATATCCGTCCCTGCGCTATGCATACCCGTCCCTGCACCCCCTTGTCCGAGTTGATTTTGTACACGTCAGTCCGCAGGGGACATATGTATGGACGCAGATCAGCTTTGTCTAAAGAGTGCTGCTCTCTGTAGATTAGAATAATGATGTGGTAGAACATCACGACCACAAATGGCATCGATATGCAAATAAAAGCATATACGGGATGTTTAAAGGGTTGCGTGAGCTTCAGCATGTGCCTCCTGGCTAGGGAACATGGTCCTCCTGAAGATCTGGACGAAGGTTAGCGGGTGTCATACAGTAACTCAGCGAGGAATAACCTACAGCCCAAGCCCCGGCCACAGACCCCACGATACCGCCCGAGATCATCATCGGGCGAAGCCCCCTTGTGCTCTTGAACAGCATGCCGCTGAGGACGCCTGCGACAATCGTGTTGGCGGCGTCGTTCTTCCCCCTCAGGTAGCCCAGGTACGAGTTGATGCAGTTGTAGCAGATGGCGACCACGCCGGCCGAGTTGCCCAGGAACGGCCCCCTCCGCGTGACCGAGTTGAGGACCGAGTTGAGCCGGAGCTTTGGCGACTCGCCAACCGACTTCCTGAGCCCTTCTTGCAAGCCCCACGCGCCTCCTATCGTCAAACCCGCCAGGTATGTTGTGCCGGTGCCGTAGCAGAGGTCGTCAGTGAAGCCGCGCGACGGCAGTGCTGATTGTGAGCCGGGCAGGTCCGAGAGCGCTGACTCTTCGAGGGTGAGGTAATCTAGCGTGTCCTTGTCTAGGCCGGCGAGAGGGTGTAGTTGTGAGGGGTCGGAAAAGGACGAGGTTCCGAGGAAGGATTCCACGCCCTGGGCGGAAGTGGGATCGAAGGGAGTCTGCTGGAAGGTGGTTGAGGTCTGGGGCGCCGAGGGCGCAGCGGGCGCGCTCGATGTTGAGGCTTGTGACGAGGACTTGCGTCCAGTAAGCGCATCCCAGATGGACATCTTGGCTGGAGGAGAAAAGCTCAATCAATCGAGATTATTAACGTAAGCAAAAACCAGCTTGAATGGCAATTGGTGCCGTGTGATGGGGTCGGCTATGGCTGGGTCGCGTGGTGGGCTGTTCGTCGTTGATGTCGGATCGCAAGGACATCCCAATGGCACGGCACCTGCACATCGATAAGACAAAAAAAATTTACCAGCTTCGAAGTGGTCTGTGCAGCGCCTGAAGTGACGCACGGATCAACTGCCCTTTCCTGGAATTTACAGCCTTGCACTGAACCTGCAAGACCGAGAACAATACATTCCCTGGTTGTATAAGTGGATTGAGATGCTGCAGCCTAATTAGTATCGTATTACTCATATCAGAGAGCTCTCGACTGTTGTGTCGGTCAATGATGCCAGGAGAACCGGTCTTAGTGGAAGGCGCTAACCGAATGCGTCCCAAGGTGAGAGCCAACTGAGGACCGGAAGAATTCAAAAGGTGAACTGAGCGGTACGTACCCCAACCTAAACATGCCCGAAAAATAACCCTTATTCTTGCTTGTCAGTCTGCATTGTCCGGCACATGCTAGACAGAATTGGCTGGGTCTGTTTCAGCAAGCCGGAGTGTTGAAGTTTACCATCCCGATGCTTCCCTTGGGTTTCCCGACGTCTCTTCCGCCTGTTTCGCCGAACTCCAACCCCTGATCTTTGCCATTCGACGCTCACGCTGCAACTCTTCCCGCACCTGACGGAGGAATCGCGAGCATGGACGTGCCTCGAAACGAACCGGCAGAAACACAGCTTTCCCTAGATCGGCTTGATCCAGCTATTTTCGAAAATGCAAGCACCATTACCGATTGGCTGTTGAGTCAAGCTGAAGATGCACTGCCTCGGTGAGCTTCCAGCTGACCTACTCCCCAACCTCGCAAGTGATTAACACATATCGCAGACTGGCCGAGGCCATTTTTCAGAAGCTGCTGCAGGAAGCCTCGCAGTCGAGGCGCTATCATGGCACGGGTCATGCCTGTGTCAAGCTTTGCAGCTTTGTCCAGCAATGCGCCAAATCGAGCGACGAGGCACTGAGGCAATGGGCGTTCACGGAGGCCTTGTCGAAAACCCTGTTTCACTTCTACCTTGAGTGGTACGAACATGATCCTCATAGAGCCCTGCGGCTGGTATTGGATGTTCTAGTGGCGTCCTCAACGTCCAACCCTTGCCCCAGCACCGGGAGGGTTGTGAAGGACTACATCCTAAAGACTTTGGTCTCCATCGTCACCCGGAAGTCTGCTCAACAGTTTACCAAATCTGGACTACAGTGCCTGGACCATTTCCTGGGGAAGAAGGTGGTGAATCTCACCGATGTTGCTCTTAGGTACGAGGAGCTCGACCCGTCGGTGGCCGACCTACCCCGTCTCTCGTTGTGGAGATCCTTCGCTTTCCATATCTTCTCCTGGATGAAGCTCACCTACGTCTGTCCTTTGGCGGGGAAAGTCCTTGTACATGTCTTTCGAGGGCTGAACACGGCAGCGCCTGACAACACAATTCCGGACGCCGAAGGATTCACCCTCGAGATTTGGCGGCGGTGGCTCCATGATGCCCTAATTCAAAACCCAGATATTCTTGAAGACATCAAGAACTATGTGCTTGCTCCCATGTTCAAGACCGACCGAAGTTCTTCATTGAGGCTTCTGGAGATGTCCAATCGGAGCCAGCCCGTACCCTCTGCCGACCAAGAATTGTCTAGTCAAGGTCTCTTGCTCCAGCTGGCCACTCTCGAGCTTGGCAAGAAGTATGGTCTGGTCGAGGAACCTAGTAAGTCGCGTGGCACTCCGAATTGGTATGGTGCTAATATGTGCCCTGGCAGGTAGTGATAATGTCGAATCTGAGCAGCTGACGGCGACGACCATTATGCTCCGAGGCACTCTTCTGGACAAGCTTCTTGCGCACCCTTCTGTGTCTGTGAGGTCTAGCGCTTTCTCGCTTCTAGTCTCATCTCAGGCGACTACCAAACCCTTTTCGGAGACTGCTTTTTGCCTTCTGAGGAAACATCTTGCTGCATTTCACGCAGACTACGATGCCAAGGTCCGTAACGAGGTCCTTGGTCATGCCAAAAACCTCATCAGGAGGGCAAAGAACGTTATCACTGTCGCTCAGAGGAGCCTCTCTTCCCACCAGTCGACTGGGAATGGAGTTCGTCCGCCTGCAAAGAAGAAATTTGGCCCCGAGGTTGCGCTGAAGGACGCTGTTGAAGCAAGAGTTGTCCTTGACCGACATGAGGAATTCCTCGGATGGTACATGGATTTCTTGAAGAACGAGCTTCTACCGACTGCATCCTATCAGCGACACATAGCCGCAGTCAAGGCTGCGCTCCTTCTCCTCAGGGTTGGGAAACATGCTGGCGTCACTGACGATAGCATCGATGAGGACATGGCGCGGCTTATATCCTCCAACTTCACCTGGGTTCGCCTTCTTCTTGACCTCTTGCTGGACCCCTTCGACGACGTACGGGACAGCGCAGCTACTCTCCTGAGCTTACTTCCACCGAAGGTCGAAGAGGACGACACGGCGATCTCTCTGGACCTTCCGCAGGTCCTCAAGGAATTCTGCTCCCGAGCAGGCAAACTCGCCGACAGAACCGGACGCGCTGACCATGGCGATGGAGCCGCTCGCTCCCAAGGGCTTTTGTGCAGCTGGCTGAGCAAACAGGAGTCCCAGCTCGCTCTCCTCTCGGACATACTCGAGAGGGTTGAGTCGAAGATTTCAAAAGCAGAGGGCGACTTAGGTCATGCAGCCATTGAAAGCCCATTACATGCTGATTTCGCGGCAATCAGGTTCGTTTCGAGTTGCAGCTGTCTCCATTGTCTGTCTCTATCAATAACTGACACAGCTCAGCTATGTTTGGCAGGTCCTGTCGAAGGGAATCTACTCTGACGAACAATTAGAAGTTCTCCACCATCTACAACGCCGGATCTTCTTCTGCGCGAGACAAATATGGCTCACAGTCAAGCATGTCCTTTGCGATGACTCTCCAGAAGGCCATCTGCCGGAAGAGCTGGAGGATATTGACGGCCTAGATACCAAAGACCTGTTGAGTTACAGTTTTCGGGCGGTCCATGAGTCGAGGTACGCTGCTTCTTCTAAGTCCCACCCATAGTGCTTCGCTAAATGGTCCAAGCAACCTCTTGCGGCTCCTGGTAGGAACTTTGCGGCTTAAGAACGTTGCTGGCGTGCCACACCCTCCTTTAGACGTCTTCAGAGAGACGGGGTACTTGACCTTCGAGCAACTCTCCAGTTTACGCCACCGCGGCGCCTTTTCAACAGTATCATACACATTTACAACATGTTGTCAACTTACCCAGATCTTGAAAGGCGTGTACACAGACATTGACGAGTCGGAGGACCTGCTTCGCGAGTGGTACAGCGTAAGTGATTGACAAATGTTTTTAAGACGCCATATTGATTCAGTCCAGGGAGCAATCAACTGCATTATGACACAAGCATCCACGACTCGCCGGTCTGCCGGAATCCCATCTTTGGTTGCGGCGGTTCTGTCGGCGAATGCGGCATCGCCATCATTCGATGAGGTTTATGGGACCCTCGAAAAGATTGGCAGCAGGAGCGTCAAGATGTCTGAAACTGATGGATCCAATTTGCCCCAAGTCCACGCCCTCAACTCGCTGAGGGAGATTTTCAGGAGTTCGCTTCTGAGCAAGAGGGCCGAGGGTTACCTTGCTCGAACTCTTCACCTCGCAGCAACGAGCTTGAAATCCGAAGTGTAAGCCAAGAAGGGCTTCTGTCTCTTTTGTGCCGTCCTCGCTAATAAGGGCTAGTTGGGCAATTCGGAACTGCGGCCTCCTTCTCCTGAGGAGCTTGATCGACTGTCTACTGGGAACTGGCGAAAGCAAAGCCTCCATCGAGTCCGGCTGGGATGGCCATTCAATCCGCATCTCTTACAACAAGTACCCGACACTGCCGAGTGTCATCCTCAATCTGCTGCGGTCTGTAGACGAAACAATTCACCAAGTGACACAATCCGGCGCAGCAGAGGCGGTGTTCCCTGCGCTGGACATCATCCGGCGCGCAGGTCCTCCGGAAGAACATCGTTCAGAGTTGCGAACGCATATCGAAGGATATCTTGGTAGCCGTCTTTGGCATGTGCGAGAGATAGCCGCCAGAACACTCTGCTCATTCTTGCTGCAGGAGGACTGGGCTCGAGAGATTGGAAGGCTTCTTGCTGAATCAGGCAATCGCACAAACCGGCTTCACGGAGCTCTGCTGACAACAAGATTCGTTCTTGAGCGCAAGGCGGATTTGGGGATCAAGTTCGAATCAGGTAGGTGACTCTCCCGCGTCGCAAGGAGGATACTCGCTAATGTGGGCAAACCAGAGTTGGCGGCTGTCGAGATCCTTCTTGAGCAGCTCGCTCAGAAACACGGGTCCTTCAAACAATGCGCCGAACTACAGGCAGCATACCTCGAGGTTCTGAACGTCCTCGCAAGCCTAGGCTTCCGCGAACATATTGCGAAAATCACCCTACCTGAGGCTCTGACCGCGCGGAGCGGTGCTTCTTCCGCCTTGCTTGATCTGCACGCATCGTTGAAACTGGTTTACGACACGGCTGGATGTGGCGACGTGGACACTCTCCGGCTGCGCTTTACGAAGACGCTCAGCAGGGACATTAACACGGCAACCAGGATGCTAGAGATGATACCGGAAGCATGGAAGCAAGTGGACAGTGAAAGTGCCAGACCAGGCCTATGCCAGTTGTACCTGGAAGCTTGCAATGTCCCGTCCGCACCCGAGGTTCGGACCCAGGCCCTCACGAATCTCGGCTCGCTGATGGATAGCATGCTCCGTCGTAGGGAGTATGCAGGGCTACCGAGGCCGGAACAACTGAACAGGCTCTGGGCTCAACTGTGCGGAGGAGAGATTAACCCTGCCTTGTCATGCGCCGTCATCGAGACAAGCGGGACAATCATCTCTGCGCTCTTATCTTGCGACCCCGACAACCTTCCTTATATGGAGCAGAGACTGAGGAGCTGGGGGAACATGCTCCGCGAGTGCCTGGGTGTGGATAACGTGAGTTGGCACCGACTGATAGCCTCCATTAATAAGTATGCTTGGCTAACGAAGGATGGACACAGCCCTTTGACACGCGTTACTCAGCCGCCGTGGCACTAAAGTCCTTCCTCACCAGAAAAGGCAGCCTCGACCACGATGACAGGTACCTCCCCGTTCTCGCAGCGCTGTACGACAGTCTCATCGACGACGATGACGAGATCAGACAGGCCGCGGCCAGCGCGGCCTCCAGCCTCATTGGCACGCCCGCAGTCGCCCCGACCGCAGCGGACAGGCTCGTCATATGGCTGCAGGAGCACTTTGGAGACTCGAACGAGTTCAGGTCACGCGTCGTCTGCAGGATGGTTGGGCAGCGCTATTCGCCGGATGGTCAGCTGGTCGCTGCCGAGGAGCAGCTCCGCCAGGCTATGGACTTTGATGACTCGCTGTTTGCGGCCGAGGATCAGAACCTCTTCATCGACGAGGTCAGGGAGACGACCCGGTGGCGAGGGCCGTTTGAACGCCTCCAGCTGTCGAGCAGCGAAGCGTCGGTTGGCTGCCTCAAGACATGGGTACAGGACGGGCTCCGGTGCCTCATTGGGCTTGCGGCGGAGCGGGACGGTCCACTGGGGTGGACATCGGATCAGCATGTGTTTGCCGTGTGCGCTCGAGTCCTTCTATGTGCGGTGGCGATCTGCAGAACTGGAGAGGACGCTGGGATCGCCGGGTTGTTGACGGAGTTTCGGGCAGTGGGAGAAAGGGCCTCGATTCATGGATCGCTGCTGGAGATGGCGAAGCTTGAGACAGTGGCTTAGAAGCTAAGGTACGCTGTTTCGCCGAAAATGAGTGGTTTGTTAGCTGGCCCCTTTTCCAAAGCAGCTGGACAGTCTTCCAGGTTCAGAGAGACTGGCTACTGATTGTACGGATGACTAACGGCGAAGGACTGCATGTTAGAAGTACGCACTGTCTCAAACACGAGAGGTACAAGTACATGTACATCTACCCGCATATGCAGTCCTTCCCGGTCGAATCGCAGCGACCTTTGCGCCCAAGTGCAGGAAACCTGATGAAGCGCAGAGCGACTTCTCAGAGTGGCGGATGCGGAGATCCAGCCCCAAGCCCAGTACACGTGTACATATCCACTGATGGGCTCCGATGTGAAAAATTACCTATCCAGCCCGTTGCGTCCCAAGGTAGAATTCTTTTGGGACGAAGATTTTGAACTGTGGCGGTGTCAACAAGCTGGCGACGTGGCAGCAGCCACATCCTTGTTCAACCGGCATTTCTCAGGCAGGCCGGGAATACTTGGGAATAAAACCTGGATTATCGGCTGCCTCCGAGTTTGCCCCAGTTCCACGCCGGCCACTCAGAACCCGGCCTCCACGTTCCAGCTTGAAGGACGTTGCCATCTACACTAGAGTTCGGCAATGCAAAGTTGGGAATATGAGGCGAAGGTTATGGAGCCTTGTCCTAGACTCATAACTCCTGATTCGGCTTCTTCTCCCTTTCTCCTTTTCTGCAGCTGCAGCTTTCAGCTTCACTTGTTAGCGTCCTCGGTAGGCATAGCCCTGGAGCTCTGCGGTCCTGGCATTCGTGTTGATGTCGACTTTGTCGGGGCCAGCAGGGCCAGGTCCGAACAACCAAACCGCCCTATTGGTAGCGCGAGGTGGTGGCCGATCATACAGAGTCATCCCTTGTTTCTCAATCCACTGGCAGCTTGACAGACGCGTTGCCTGTATGCATGGAGGCGAACTTGGGGTGGCCCACAGCGGTTGTCCTGAACGGATGCAGCCATGGCGGATGATGATTGCCGATCGAGGCCAGCATGGCCTCTTTCAAAGACCATTCTGATTCCCCTTGCAATCGACCTCCTCGTCCCGTGTTTCTGAACAAGACACCTCCTTGCGCGAATCGTCATGCGATGCGGTCGGGACTTTCCTTCGCACCGGGGATTATTCTGGTTGAGATTGGCCCAATCGCCATGAGAGCTCTGCTTGACTTGGGTCGCGGAGGCCTTGTCAAATATCGACATGATAAACGAGGTGCTCTCAGGGCATCACTTGACTGGCTGCATACCACCGATCAAAGTTTCATGTCCTATCAGCGAGTTTCGAACCGGAGATGATGGGACAAACGCGGGGCAACCGAGGGCTGGACGCGTCGAGCTTTTTTTCACGGATCAGCTCGAATTAGGAGCGGGCGCGGTCGAGAGATGTGGTCGCAGGTGCCTTGATTTTTGGAAAATCTCAGCTCTGCATTTGGGTTCAGCATCACGGGACTTCCCATACCACCCGAGGTCAAGTGATCCAGAAAAGCGTGGCTTGCCATGATGGGGCCGACGATTGTTTCCGAACCAAGCTGAGCGGCAAGCGGCGGGTGTCGCCTCACCTCGCCTGGCACCATGGCTGATCAGCGCCAGCTTGGCGGAGACACGGATCCGAAGATGGAAGGACACGCACAAGCCACGGAAGCCACAGTAAACTAACCCTGCCTGGACGCTCGATTCGTCTCTTTCACGAGACATCAGGGCGTGTCTGGGAGATACCTCGATATGGAAACTCAAATTTGAGTTACCAGGTACGGTAGGTAGCTCGCATGTGTGAAAAACCTTGGAATTGCAGTAGCCTGGACTTAAGAAAGTCAGATAATAAGTAAGGTACGGATACCCGTTCTTTATGAGGGTTAGGGCTGCTTAGCGGGCTTAGGTCAATCCCGAGCCGAGTTGACTTTCTGATGAGTTTTGAAGTCCGAAACTTCGAATAAAAAGTTTACCCTTCAACTGGTGATCAGCACCGCGCTGTTCCTTCAAACACCGCTCTCTTGTCTTTTGCCGAAAGTCCATAACCCAGATTGGCTCGATCCTGAAGCCGGTAATGTGCGACACCTTCAAAGGCAGCGCCAAGGCCACTCTTGATCCTTGGATGAACTCGACTCGAGGGCCGATATCCAAGAAGAACAGCGACGCTCTTTCACAATTCCAGGCCAGTCCATCGACGACCAAAACCAGCATTCCGCATTCCTGACGTTTCAAACCCTTCCATCCAATCAGCAGCGTGGCCTCGGCCCTTCTGAAGATGGAGGCCGAGAGGGCGTCAGCCACGCAGCCAATGAGGCTCAGAAGCAGGGATGTGAACTCGCACACCTTATGCTCACCTTCGGCACTAGCATGGACAATAAGACCACTCATCCATGACCCGACAATGGAATTGGCTGGAGACTCGTCTTCCCCTCCCATGCAACGTTTATTGCGCCGCTGGAAAACCCACCTACGTCCTTTCAGGGCCACAGACTGATCCAACCTTTGACTTCGAATCTCTTAACAAAACCTACCCCGGCTTGCCCCTTTGGGCTGTCCCTTGAGAACGCAAAGTGTGGTGGGCGATGGAAGCGACTCAAGCGAGTCTACCGCCAGCCAGGTGATCAAGCTCAAACGAGAAAACGGTAATGGGACACCCTCTCCGCGCGCTTGTTCTGTTTCAAGTTTGTTGTTCATGTCGGCGTCTCTTAGCCGCAGCCCACTGATGGGTCTGAAATCTGACGACGACGACATGCAATCGGACGTTTTCGGCAGTCGCTGCATACACACCGTCTTGTCATTATGGAACCATGATTGATGGGTGGAAGACACAATCTCTTGGGAACGAATGGAATGCTTCGCCGCATGTGTCATTTGCGCCATCGACACATCTCGAAGTTCTTCTCAAACGCTTCTGGCGGCATGCAGGAGCTCAAACAGGCCTTGGGATACCCATCATCGTATGGCTACAACCTCCCAGGGCCAAGGCAGGATAGATTGTCCGCTCGCGGCTCGAGGCGAACATCGTGCAGACGGTCGCGGCAGAGTCGCCCACTACAAGCCACTGAACTCGCCAGCTGACGCATGCTTCTTCATGTCTGGGTGAGGATGATATATTTTGGGGGTCACAGATGATATAGGTGGCCCCAATATCCAGCAGCGACACTTCGCAGCTCCGGTTTCGCCACTGTCCTTGATGGCACCGGCCGCTCCCGGAGACCATCCCCCGCTGGCATGATGACTTTATGAGCGGTGCGAGGCGGGACGTCAATATATTCACATCATAACTCGGAAATGTTGATGAAACGGGGAACTCGAGGCTGCATACGCGCCTAATCTCCTTCGCAGGGATGAATGGTATCACGTTTGAGAGAGACGGGTCTCTCCGTGAATTGGCTACAGTGAGCACGAAACCATTGTTTTTGCGGGTTCCAAGGAAAGGCAGTCGAACTGACGCTGGATGGTGGCGGTGTCTGCCATATTGAAAATGTGACTCAACTCCTCTTCGCTGCAGGCGGGAGGTCCTTCTCTCCAACGCGCTCTTCAGCCGTCGTGGCGCGTCATTTCCCATTGCCCATTGCCCATTTCGAAACGAGCACGAAAGGGCGTGCTCTCGTAATTTGTCGTACTTCCGTCCAGCAAGCCACTCCGGTTTGAGTACACTCTGGCCGTGGAAAACTGACCACAAACACGGAATTTGAAGTTGGTCGTCGGAAACTGCTGCTGATCGCAGAAGGACTCGGCGGGGCCGCGGCGAGTTCAGGGCGGGGTTGGCTGCCTTCTTGGCGATACTACAGAGGGTAAGTACCGCAACGTTCCAAGACAGGCTTCAATGGCGCGCCGCACAGACCATCTCCTGCAACTTTTTCAGCTCTGGTCGCCTGCGATCGAGGGCAGCCCGGCCCATTCGCCTGCTGCCCGTCGGATTTTTCGTCATTCAGCATGGTGCATATCTGCATGTCGCAGCACAGCCTGCCGGACGTCCCGTAACCGGTTCGATATTGAGCGACGAGAGCCAAAGCATGGTCAAGGGAGAGTCTATCGTTGTTTCCTCCGAGGTGATGCTGAGAACCTTGAATCACCTCAAAGCACGGTGATTTCCACTCTCGCAAATCCTTGCCCGGTGTACCCCTTACCCAGAGTTAAACACTTCCCCAGAAGCATGGGCAACAGAATGGATCGGGAAACGTAACCACGTCTCCATTGGCTATGATCCCGAGAGGACGATCCATGTTTCCATGTCCCTTGTCCTGCAAGATGGCTGCTGACTTTGGTAATCTTCCGAACTGAGGTGCCTGCGGGGCAGGCGGCGCACGCACGATGCAGAGCAGAGACGCCATGCCGCGGAAACCCGAGGCAGCCCCAGGCTCTCCAAGACGGGACTCGTCCAAAGGCCAGATGAAAGTAATTTCACAGTCGACGGGCATGCATGGAATACACCACTCGCTGATTGCAGCCTCACGCCTCTTCCAAGGGAGCGGCGTGCCCATCATGCAGGCCAAGAGCAACTGTTGAGGCGCTGCAAAGCGGGTCCTGCTTCCCGCCTCCCATCTGTGGCCATCTGCCCATCTCGCTGATGAGGGGAACTGCAATGAATTCCTGGAAGGCGGAAGAGAAAAAGGATATCATACCCTGGGTACCGAATTCGGGACTTCGAGCCGTGTCACTACGACTCTAGGATAACCCAACCCCCCCCCCTCCCCTCCTCCCCACCACACCACACCCTCGCACTTGCTCTAATAATACGAGCCTCTCACCCTCCCTCTCCTCCTCTTCCTTTCTCACGAGGCTCCTCGCCCAGTCGTTCCCTTCGTTCCCATTTGCGGTTGCTGGCGTCGACGCTAATTCCCCTGTCTGGGACGCGCCCGGCTCCGTCACCTGGCCTCACCTTGTTCACCTCGTTTCTTATTTACTATTCGTCTTCCGGCCCATTCCTCCTTCTTCCCCAGCCGCTCCGCCCACGCTTTGTTCCTTACCCGTCCAGGTTGTTGCTCCACAGATCGCCCGCCATGCCACCACAGCTATTACCAGCCTCGGCTGCCGCCTTTGCTCCCCGCGCATCCTCGGTCAACGTCGTGCTGGGTTCCAAGGTCGAGCCATGGCTGACGCAGACGCTCAAGCGCATAAACAAGATCAAGCGCCCGCTCAACAGCGTACCGCAACACCAGAGATGCCTGACCGAGACGCTGTCGTCACCAAACGCCATTTGGACCCTGGCGTCTTTGCTGCTGCCAAAGGCGCCCGAGTCGGAGCTGAGGAAGGACTCGGATCCGCTGGTGGAGGCCCTCTTCAACTACCAGATGATCCACCTCGAGGCCTACATCGTCCACGTCGACATGGTGCTGAGGAACGAAGTCGCCTACAAGCTCACGCCTGAGACCATCGAGACGCTCATCGAGTACCACAAGGACATCTACTGCGTCGATGCGAAAGCCAACACGTACGACTGGTCCGAGAAGGAGCAACAGTGCAAGAAGCTGCACGAGGATTTCGTCCAGGCCGTCAACAAGTTTGTCTTCAGGACCCATGTGTCAGCGCTTGAGGGGCTCGAGGAAGATGGTGCCGGGGAGTTGCTCGGAGGGAAAAGTGAGGAGGTCAAGAACGGCATCATGGGTCTGATCAAGCCCTTGCTACCGCCCCCGCCCAGGATTGTCGACGTCGTCCGCCAGCCGCCACTCCTGCCCAATTCACCCGCCGGCGCCGCTATCTGGTCTCAGGCCCCGCCACCGGTGACCATGCCCGGCCCAGTTGAGTCGTGGAAGATCCTCCCCTCAAGCCCGAGCGTAGCGTCGACCTCGGCCGACTCAAATGCGTCCATCTGGGCGACGATTGGAATGAGCGAGGTCCAGCTGCCTTCGCCGCCACCTGCCTTCAGCCAACCTTACTCGACTGCAGGGCTGTACTACAGCTCACCTGTGGTGACGGCGCCTATCCCGCAACTTCCGCTGCCGAGCATGCTTGCGCCGCAATGCGGTATCAGTGTGGGATATAACTCGTTTGGAGGTTGGGACACGCGGTTCCAGGAGTATGCGACCACCATGTGACAATCACTACCGTCGGTCTACGGAACAAGCTACCCGACCGTGACGACATCTTCATGAGCGCGCCAGCAACAGCGCGGCCGGTCATAGCAGATGCCCGTGGGCCGCCATGCTGGCAAAACAAGCGCGGTGGTGCTGATGCGTCGCATCCCTCATCCAGAGGCAGTTCGGCATTTCCACACTTTTTGCATGGGCTTGGAGCGATTCAAAGCATCCGCATCCCACTTTCGATGCATCTCTGGTCGGTTTCTTCTTTCCGGTCAAAGAATCAGCGAGCGAGCGTCGTTTTCTCATTTTCATGTTCTTCTGATATCATTTCTGGGATACCATCACCGCGAGCTCGGTCACATGTTTTTCGGTTTTTTTTTTCCACCTCATCATGGCCGGATCCTGGAGCGGATATCTGATTGCATTTACAGCATGGAGGGTCGATACACAGGCGGTTTTTTTTGGCTTAAGACGAGATGCAGCAATGCACCCCCAACCCGGCAGAGACCGGGGCAAGCGACATCACTTTCCTTTTTCTTCCTTTCCGTTTTTTCTTGGACGGATCCCTGAGGGAACAAGGCTCGGGCGGCTGGTTAGAACGATAGCCCCCTCTGCGTGTCTGAGAGACACGTCGCGTCCTGTCCTTCTGTTTCCCTTTTACCCCGTTCTTATCTCATGGATGATGTTTACGGCCGTTACGATGGATATACCCCGACCTAATTGCGACGGCATTTTCGACGGGACGGGCGGCCTCGCCCAGCTTGACGTTGGACGAAGACGACGCCGCCTGCCCAAGGGAACGGCCACGAACAATTTAAGGGGCTCGGGGATAATTCGCGACGAAGAGATGCGGCACGACTCACTGGGACTGGTTCTCAATGATGCGATGAAGGGAGGCTCTTCGACACAAGGCCGGTACAAAAACATACATCTAGCCTCGCAGGTGCATAGCTGGGATATCGCTGCCGAGGCGGACACTGGTTGTCGACAAGAACAAGGCTCTGCTTTCGGGCTTGGCCTGAAGTGTCATGATGGCGCGGAAGCAGGGGATTCTGAAGGGGGAATGGAGCGTTATCCGGAGACAGGCTCAGCCGCCGAGTTGACGCAGGCAACTGGGTTGCCTGTCTGCTCTTCCTTTCCGCCCGAACTTTTTCGACGACCTCCATCGCCACCACGATCAAGCCAGTCACGGCCCGGACTCGGAACGGGATTACTGCTACGACAAGTCACGATCCGGACATCACAACACTCGACTTTTACCTGCTAGTCAGGACTGGATTGGGGGATGAGTGGTGTTCGAAGCTTTCGTGGTCCTTGCCTTCGTAGGTCAGGTCAAGGTTTTCCGAGTATTTTGGGGCCGATTCGGGTTGGTATGTTGGAAGCTGGGGTGGGGGAGAGAGCCAAGTAAGTTCGGTTTGGGTCTGGACTGGGCAAAACCGCGGATCATCTCACCGCGTTGCCTTGTCTCCGCGCCCTTCGTTTTCCTACGGACTGGGTCGTCGAGCCCGGCCGTGAGATCATCTCGGGATGTGGAGACAAGGCGAAAACCGATTGGGCCTGCGGCTACGCGCTTGTTCCCTCGGAGTTTAAGGTGGACCACAATGAGCTGCGCTCTGTTGTCTCCTGCCACGGGTCAGGCCCGGCCCGTTTCGGCTCAACTGGTATGAGGATGCTGGAAGTATCTCCGCCCTGGGTGGCGGCTGGGATATACTTACTATCACTACTAGTAGTAGTGCAGGCAACATGCGCATGTGTTGTTAATGGTTTCAAGTACAAAGCTAGGCTAGTTTGGACTTGGGCTGCCTACTCGCGAGCATATATAGTATCTAATCACAAACAAACTAGCAAATTAGTAGCCCGTTTGGCTGTGAACACTTGTGTGTATGTGAATTACCGACTGTGAGCGGTACGAAAACGATCGGTTTGCTTGAGCGGTGAATTTTTTAAGCCAAGGTGGTTTGTGTGTGGACGTCGAAAAGGGCTGCAACGGCGCGGATTCTACCGCGATGTACAGTCCAACCCTGTTCTTTAGAGTGGTACATGGGGGGCAGTAGACAAAAAGTGGAAGAAGAAACCAAGGGACGTAAGAAAATAAGATAAAAAGAAAGAGAGAAGCAAAAATAGCATATTAAAGACAAAAATTATAAGGAGAGAAGAGAAAGATAAAGAGGAAGAGGAAGACAAAGAGGAAGAGGAAGACAAAGAGGAAGAGGAAAGTGATGAAAAGTAAGAGGAGGAAAAATAGGGAGATAGAGATAGAGAGGAGGTGTATTGCCTACTACCTAAGCTCCGCGCTAATTAACGAACCAAGGTTGAATTTCAACTTCATCCTGGCGGATGATTTGTGCGGTACCGTTCCACTCATACACTGTAAAGCAAGATAGCTCAAGCAAAGTTTCTTTTGGTTCTGTTCATGCTACGAGGGTCTCCGTACGGAGGTACTATGGATGGAGTTGAACCGAAGTGGAAAAAAGGGGCGAAAATCCCTTCCCTCACAGCTCAAGGTTACAGGGGAAACACTAGAGCCGCCCGGGGTAAGCCCGGAAGCACTTAAGTGGTGCGAAGTTTTGCTGACATTGACGGTAGGGCAAAGTTTCGGAGATCAAACTCCCCGATAGAGAAGGAGAGAAGTGGTTGATGCCCCGACTTGGCCATGTATTTGGACTCTGCTGGCCCTGCTCATAACTGAGACGGCAGAGGCTTTACAGCACCGGGCTGGTATGGCATGGGCATATCGTTATGCTTGGTCCCAAACTGTTGGTTAAGATGTGCCCGTAAGTAGTCATCACCTATGCCGGATGGTTTGGTCGAAGGTGTTCCAATACTAGCCACGGCCGAGGCCGTCTGGACTTGGGACAGCTCAGTCGGTTGAAGGTTTGGCTACCGTATCACACGGGATATGGATGCCTTGCTGGTACTATAGTCAACCTCTATGTTGAGGCAATGTACAACACCATGTTGCAAGCGATTCTAAAGCCTCTCTCGGTCGGTCTGAGTTCGCTTCGCTCTGCAGATGCGGTGGCAGTTGATATTGATGCAGTCGGCCTGCATTGGTGGACAAGGGCAATGATATTGGAAGAATTATAGGCTCCTGTGCGGCTTCGCCTTCAAAGTTTAGCAACCTCATTCATGGCACATACTGACGGAGTCCCCTGCCTATGATCTCCGCACTAGAAAACAAACCGCCTGTGCATATTTATCTAGCGATATATAACACCGCTTTGACGCCTCATCGCAGCCGCCACGCACCCGTTGTCTCCCTCCACACCTAAGTGAGTAACTCTTCCCCTCTTCAGCTCGCCTCAACTGCTCCTGGAGCAATGTTCTCTCGCGCCATGAATATATATCCACAACAAACCAGATCGCCTGACAAGAACACGCCAATCACCCCTGAACCAACCCAGGGCTCACCACCCCGCCCTGCGGCGTACCGACCACCTCCTTGGGTTTGGTGATCTCAAAGAACTCAATCAGCCCCTTGACCACCACATCAACATTCATGTTGATCTGCGGCATCTTGTCGTACGACCCCTCCTTCATTATGGCAACAAGTGCCAAGAAGCGATCGACCTCCCTGAGCATGATGGGCCGGCGTGCGTCGGCGAGCACCATACCGCTCTCAGCCCACTCACAGGCGACTTGGTCCTCGAGCGGCTGGGCCCAGGGCTCGGCCTCGAGGCGCTCGCGCCACTGGTCGGAGCGGGGCCACGAGCCGTAGACTTCTGTGAAGTCGATGATGACGTCAACGTAGTCGGAGCAGATCTCGTAGCTGGCCATGTCCTCAGGGGTGTTGTCGGTGGCGATGTAGATCTTTGTGTTGACGTCAAAGAGGTAGGCCTTTTCGAAGCGGCAGGTGCGACAGAGGTTGGTGAGCATGGCCTCGAGCTGGCCGAGGCGGGGAATCAGCTTCTGGATGACTTTACTAAAGGCCTCGAAGATGCTGTGGTTGTAGATGGAGGTGAGGTGGAAGTTGACAGGGGCGTTCTCAACGCCCTGGTCCGAGAGCTCGTCTTGGATGCGGATGGTGACGTCGCGCTGGATGTCGAGGCGGTAGTCGTCGCTAAGACCGTCAACTTTGTGGATAAAGACCTCGATGTTGATGTGCGGATAGCTGCGGTGGAGATGAAGGATGGTGGCGTTGAGCCGGGCGACGGCCTCAAGGTAGTCATCCTGAGCGTCAATGACCCATATCAAGGCGCCGATCTCTCCAAAGATGGCGTCCATGTCAAAGGTGAAATTGGGATTATCGAAGATATCGATTTGCCCAGGGAAGTCCCATACTTGGAACTCCATGAAGGAGCTAGGCATGTCAATACATGGCCACAACAGTTATGCGTGTCAGCGTGAGGGGGGTTACATGCTTGAGACTGTCTTTTTGAATCCGTGCCGTCGACTCGAGAAATAGCGTCTCGCTAGGAGGCAGCTTGTGGAAGACGACACTTGAGATGGATGACTTTCCGCTCCTACCACTCTCTTAGCATCATCGATCGGGAACTGTTGGACATTACCATCCTTACCTTCTCTGACCCATCAACAAGAGCCTCGGCCTTCCCTTTGTCTGGGGGGCTGTTGGGTCAGGGACCTTGGCCCCATCTTTCTTTTGTAGCCGTTGGCGGTTCTGTTCGTAGACACGGTGAAGGTTTAGCGCTGCTGGACTGATAAATCTGATGGGGCGAGGACGGAGAGGCCCGCTGGTCGTGTCAGCAGCGACATGGCCGTCCTGGACAGAAGCAGAAGACATGACGATAAAGACAAGATCAAAACACGGCGGCAATTGCCCCTTGGCTGGTCCCTGTAACGGCACTCCTCGAACGCCAAATACAACTGGAAATGGCCCGGCGTCGTCTGTTCTTGACCCCTTCTGTAGCCTCGGCGCCTGTTGCCCTTGGGTTTCGGGTAGTCTCGTTTGTAGCTCGAGAAGGTTGCCGGCGCATTGGTCGTCTCGGGAGACTTGAACGAAGTCTTGACCGACACGGGAAGCGGCCGCGCACGCTTGAGACGAAAACACGGTGAGAATGCTGACGGTTCGACGCAAAGGCGCTTGCTTTGTGCGAGGATCTGAGGCGCTCAGCACAGCTGATGGAGAGGTGCGGGAAGCACCGGGTCACCGCCGTGGAGACAACTCGTCGGCATCAGCAGCGGTAGCCATGTTCGTGTTTCTTCTCCCTTGGATCTTCCATCTCCTATCCTCGAGCCAGTCAGAGGCACAAAGTTTGGAACGGAGAGGGCGGAAACAGATGTGTGCTAAGGGGAACGGCTAGGTATATGGGAAACCCAGAAACCGACCCGGCGGGCTCCGTCTTATCGTGGTACAACGAATTGCAACGAGGAATCGGCAGTGGCTCGACACAACCAACCAAGCGCAGAATGAGTCAGTGGCGCAGAGAGCGACTCCGGTTTTCCTCGCCTGGCCGCGTTCCTGCGGTTCCGTGATCCCAGATCCGTGTGCCGCATCACGAGTGTCGCTGCCTGGGCGACCGGCGTGACACTTGCCCAACCAGACGATCCATGGCCAGAGCGCCCATGCGGCTTCTCAATCGACCGTTGGGGGAAAGATGGGAAAGAAAGAGAGCGAGACGGTCCCGTCATGAGGTCGGCACCGGCGGGTGGCATGGCATAACGGTAGGATTGCGCTTGCAGGGATAGACAGAGTAGATGAATGCTATGGCGGAAAACAAACGAGAGAGAACGCAGGAAAACCGGCCCAAGTCATCGACTCGCTGAGAAGCAAATAGCGACGCTTACCTCCATCTTGTGAAACAAAGGCGTCGCTTACTGCCCTCGGGAGCTCTCTCTCGTACCTAGACCATCCAAGCCAACAGGTTTGTTAACGGCCGGAAGCGATACGCCCCCAGACAAGCAGAGGCTGAGACTAGCGTCAAACAAGGCCTGAACTTGTCCAGGACCAGGTACCAAAGGGCGGCCGGGCCACGGCCTTGATTAGTTCACTCGGCGACGGGCCTGAAAACCTGACGAATGGGAACGGGACTTTAGCTTTTGCGCCCTCAACTCCTATAAGCGGGATTCCCAAGGCAGCAAGGCGCCGAGGTTGCGACATTGATTGACGTACGGATCGTATGTGGATGGTCGCGATACGCTTTCCAGGTCCGCCTGTCTCTGTCTGTAGTCCTCAGGCCAAGGATGGATGGCGAGATCGTTGGTTTCGTTGAAAATGGCGGTTGATGGACGCTGGATGGCCGGATAGTGATACAGACCAAACCGTTGCTGAGAGCAAGCCGTAATGAGGTACCGAGTGCCCCGTGAATGAATGAGCTCCCGGTGTTATGTTGAGCTTGTGGACCACAGTCGGGAATCCCTCGAGATGGTACCGAATTCGATGCTGCGTTTTGCAAATGTCCAATTAAATTTCTGCTAGTAATCGTTATCGATCGGAACGGCTTCTCACAGATCTTGCAGCTGCGGACGCAAGTATAATGCAGCGTACGGATATCGATGCGCTTGTTTTTTTAAGATTGGGACAGGATCGGTTCAAGGGGGCCGGTGACGGTGAGGTCTCAGGTGAGCTTCACCGAAGCGGGAATTCGATTACATAAGCAATGAGTGGAGATCAGTCTTGTGAAGTCTTGGCCGTTGCGCTTTCCCCTCGACAACTTGAACCCACCAACAGTGCTCGACTCCTCCTCAAAAGGGGCTCTACAAACCGCCGTCGCAATCAACTTCCGGCATTCTGACTGGTGACGACTAAACGAAGCCCAACGGGTTCAAATTCAGAGCGGCGCCGAAAGCCACTCATTATCATTTGCCCGTCTCACCCTACCGCTCATCCGCAATTGCCGGCAAAACCGACTTGCTCGAAGACTTGGTGGACCGACCGAAAATGGTAGCCACGAAGCTCGTCTTCCTCTGGGTCGACTTTGGTTGAGGAGAGTGAGTAGGCCCCGGTTCGATGGCCCCTCCGGTTGTGAACTGTGACGCCGCCGGCCAGCCTTCGTCCACGCTAGTGGGCGGTGTCATCTTAGCCGTGGGCATGTCTGCCGCTGGCGGGAGTCGAAACGCTGCAAGAGACTATCAAATTCCCGTCAGTCTCTTTTGACCGACTAGGGAATACTTGGGAAAGGCTTACCTTGACACTCATCTTCTTCCTCGCCCTCTGCTCCGCCTGAGGAGGGTCCACTCCCCTTCCATCACCTCCCTCGCATAACCTCCTCTCCAACTCGTCGATTTCCCCCGCCATCGTCTTGCCATTGCACGCAAGGTGCTCCTCCGGGACGGGCACGAACCGCAGGAACCCTCGAGCCGGGTCCACGCCCAGCGCCCCGTGCATGTGCTTCTGTATCAGCGCGGCGTTCCGCTTGTTGGTCGTCGGCAGTAGCTGCGACGGCAGCGCATACACCGACATGACATAGGCCGGGTCAAACGAACCGCCAAAGGACATGCAGGCGCCGTGCTGCAGCGTGACGACGATGGACGAGACGGGCCGCTGGTACCGCGTCGAGAGCTGGTACGAGAACTCAGTGATGAAGGTGTATTCGTCGCTAATCTGATGCGCCGTATCGTCTCGTCAGTGCGGGTGTGTGGCTGACAAAGGAAAAGGTGAGTTTTTACGTACGATCACGTTGGTCTTGACCTCGGCCAGGACCATGGCGTCGCCGTGCACCCATTCCCTTGCCGAGCTGCCTGTATACACCGAGAAGGCATCCTCGAAGAAGTTCTTTTTGCTGCTTTTTCTGGCTAGGTCGGCTCCTGACTGCGATTCGCTCGTCTTGCGGACGATGTCTCCTGGCGGAGCCCGGTCGATGTCGCGCAAGACGTGGTTCCCCTCGACAAGATGTGCAGCCGGCTGAGGGCTCCTGTTCTGGGCCCTGGGGTCTGAAAGGGCTAGTCTGGCCTTGGTCTTTTTGGAAGCTGCAGTCGCTGCTGAACGAGGTGCTCCGTTCATGGCGACGTGGCTGTCAGTGGTCTCGGCGAGCATGGGTCAGGTGGCTGTGGAATACGGAGTCGCCTCAGTGCCTAATACCTGTCGTTTCTTCACGGCCGTGTATTCGACAGTGGCATGGCTGGCCGTAGAGAATACCTTGCGACGATTGGCTAAACCGGCGGCTGTGCGATGCTCAGTCAAATCGTCGACCGGCGTCTTGGCCTCAACTGGTTGACGTCGTCTGGCTCTGCCTTCTGCTAGGGATGCGTGCCGGATTGGCCAGGTGTATGCTGCTTGAGAAGCCTGCAGTATGCGCTGAACGCTCGCGAGAGACGTGCAGTTGGGATAAATCAGTTCTGCGCAACAGTGCTGCAAACTTCAGCTCAGACCTTGTGCCCTGTCTTGCGCTTTTTCTCCACTTCCTTTGTCCTCCAAAGTGGGAGCAGATTGAGAAGATGCTCAAGGTAGATTGTGTCCGGCTTGGGCTAGACCAAGAAAACTTTCAAGACAGCTCTGGGTAAAAGAGGACAGAGAAACAAGCGTTCAAGACCTGGTGAGGCTAGTATCATGACCATGCGAAATACTCGCTCATGTATCTGGAGAAGCAAAGGGTCCTGGATTGCTCCTCTCCCCTCACCCACACACAGCCACATTCGACCGTGATAAGAGAATTGTCATGGAGTCTTTTGTTTGACGCGGGTATCGGCATGCTCACCCAGGTCTCAACTGCCGCAATCCCGTGTCGACCAGCATGTATCAGATGAGCTGTCAGAACAGCTTTACGCTCAACCGCGGGCCCCGGCAGCCCGTCAAATCCCCTGCTGTTGGACATTGCGACGTGGATACCGGTGCAAACATTGGCACTTACCAGGCAGGATTGCCACTACCACGCAGGTGCTCTCCTGAAAAGGAGGTCGCCCGTTCGACTCGCCGCCCCAACGCCGATTTTCGAACGCCAAAGCCCCCGCTGGCTGCCTGCCCCTGCCTCGAAGCACAATTCTGGGATTAGTTCTAGGATTTTCGTAGCCATCCACCTCCTCGGGAGCTGGATAATGAACTTTTGCATGTTTTTGTCCCTCGACCTTTAGGCAAGTAAGACCAGACTGCATGATGGACCTGGCATTTCAGCTCGCTCTGGAAAGACTCCTCTTACAAGTATGGATTTGGGAGGGACATTGGTCGCTTAGTGTACCAGGTTCGGCTCAACTGGATGACGATGGCGGGTGATAGGATGCTGGAAGCTTAGAAGGCGGGAAAGGGGCATCCATGCAGTTTGTCCGTTCTGTTTCACCCAAGTGACAGCATCCCCTGGGTCATTTTCATCGGCTCAAATTCAGACATGGGGCACAAGAGGGATAGGATCGTGTCGTATGTGAAACACCCAAGCCTTCATGGGCAACACAATGTCAGAGACTCGGGCCAGGCCAACACGACATGTGTTTCTGTGACAGGGCAATGCAGATACCGCCATCCTACGCCAATTCAGGGAAACCTACAAATATATGACAACACAACCGGCAATGTCTCATTTCCCAGAGCACCGTTAGTGAAAACTAGGAACCCAAACCCCGCCAACCGTCCATCAAAGGCGTCAGCTATGCACCCATATCGGGTATCGCAGGCTCTGCCTTCACCACACACGCACGGCAACTCCAGTCCTCACCAAGCCGAAGCTATTCATTAAGCCAGCACAGGCGTTTTCCTCGCCCCCAGGTACCGATCCGTGTACCTCTCAACCTTCATCTGGAACGCCGCCAGACCGAGCGCAGCCACCTCGACGGGGATCAACAGGATGGCCAGGTACAGGCCCGCGTGGCTCTGCTGGCACAGCGCGTCCCAGCGCGGGGACTGCGACATGGGCACGTCAGTCCAGCGGCAGGTCCACGAGAGGAAGGTGTCGGCCACGTCCGAGGCGTTGACGACGTAGTAAAAGATGACAGCAATGAGAGCGCCGACCAGGCCGACGAGCGGGGCGAGGAAGGTGATGGACGTGTGGGCTGTTGTTCGGGCGCGGAGCTGGATTGGGAGGAGGGCATGTTAGTTTGCATCGAAGAAGGGGGCCAAACGGGCCGGGAAGGACTTACGGAGCCGACGTGGCTGAAGCAAAGGGCGGTAATGTTGGAGACAAGCACAATGGCGCTGCCAATGACGAGCGAGAGGGTCGGGCGGACGTTGAACTCGTCCGGCCAGAGTGGCAGCATGTATTCGTGCGGGACATGCGTCTCCTGGTACACGCGGAGGGTGTTACCTGACACACCGAGGACCGTCAGGCCCATCAGGAGAGCCAGAAGCGTGGTGCCGGACCGGGCGCTGTCGACGATACGGATGACGCGCATCTTTGACTGGAGGTGGAGGTCCTGCGAGTCGGCCTCGAACGAGGACTGGGAACGGTCGCTCTTCTCCATCTTGATAATGTCCTCGTGGTGTTGACCGTGAGTTGACTGCAAGAGCACTGCTCAGGGGAATGGAGAAGTAGAAAGGGAGACGGGTATCAAGACTTGAGAACAAGTGGTGCAACACGAAACCGCCAGCAGAACACCAACAGAAACCAAACAGAAGGAGAGCTCAGAAGAAATGCAATGGAATGGCCGAGCCACTGACAGGAGCAGGAGACAGAGACGCTGGAGAGCAAGTCTCACGATACTAATACCCTCCCTCCTCCAGTACCCATCCTCCTTACCCTCATCAGCCTCAACCTACTGCATGCAGTCAATTAAGGGAAGGCCCAGGACCCGGCGGGCGGTTAGGCAATCTCAATGAAGGGCAACCTCCCTGCACCTCATCGCGCGCTGCCACCCACACCTTCAACCGCCGCCTTCTCAACCGTCCAGTGCCATGCCGTGCCGTGAAAGACCATAAATAGAGAGCCGGGCCGCAGATTGGCCCAGTCCATCCACAGTAAGAACGGGCGCCAAAACCCATAGCGGCGCCTTCTGGAAGATCATCCAGAAACGCCCATCGACCAGTGAAATTCCAGTTCCCTTGAGCGCGGGCCGCATGTCATGGTCCAACCCGCCGGGCGCTTAAACTGTGAGCAAGCCCGGAGGGCGGGCCAATGAGGGAACGGGACAAGCAAGATGGAGATTGGGGAATCTCGGCGAGCCTGTTTTGGCGCTTCGGGTTCCGGCACATATCTGCACGCTGCAGGTGCTTGACTGAAAAGGGGATGATGCGGGGTGGATGTGGTATTTGAGGTTCATCAACCGTCGACTGTGGTTGTTGAGTGGTGACCTACCTACCCACGCCTCGAGACGCCTCGATGCACGCTCAGACTGCATAGGGTTGCGTCCGCATCGCGGCGTGGAAAATGAATGGGATGGAGCTTTTTCGAGAAAATATCAACAAGGTGTTCTTGGGAAGAGATTCGCATTTTCTGCATTGGAGATTGAGTTCGTGTTTGGATTAAGTTGGATCGTCAATTGAGTTGGACTCCATCGAAATCAGTCAGCTAACCTAACCCAAAAGAATTTCCCAACTCGGCTGACACCAACAGGATGTAGAGACCCGCGGCCTATGGAAGCGGCCACTCTACTCTATTTCGAGATCTATCATGCCTCTATGAATTCTTTCTACTCTATGACGGGTATCACCAAGCAACCACCCAGGCCCCCTACGCCCAGCCACGAGAACTCCAATGCCCCCTTCCAGACACCACCTGATGCTCAACCGTCACCCAACCCAAGCTGACCCCCAACCTTTCCTTTCCTCACAACCCCTCAAAATCCTTTCCAAAACTCTCCCTTAAGAGCTCTTTCGTCCCAAACCAATCCCCTTCTCCCTCCCCCTCACAACCGCCCCCAACGCCCTCCCAACCGCCGCCAAATCCCCCAACATCGTGATATGCCCCCGGTCCGTACATACCCTACCCCCCCTAACAAGCTCATACCCCTCGGGAAGCATCGCCTCTCTTGCCAGGACGACCCCGTCGCCACTGGCAAACAGCAGATCGTCGTACGCATCCGCGCACGCGATTCCCTCGCGCCCGGCCACCGCCGCACCGCAAGTCGTAGGGATGTCCTTGGCGTAGATGACGGCCAGCGGTGGGTAGGCGTTGGCGGCCTGGTGGGATGAGCTGTGCGCCAGTTCGGACCGGAACCGTCTTGTCTCGGCCAGGACGCGGGTCAGGTAGGCGATGTTGCGGGCGCGGGCCGTAGAGGTGGGGCGGGTTTTGGACGTTGAGGCGATTGTTGTTGTGTCTGAGGAGGGGGAGGGAGGGGAAGGGGAGGAGGTGGAGCTGTTCAGTTGCGGCGCGAGGGTACGGTCTTTGGCGAGGGTGTTGTTGTTTGCTTCCGCGGCGTGGTTGTGCTTTTTGGTTTGGCTGCTGCTTCTGCTGCGGAGGGGAAAATTGGAGAGGGAGTCGGAGAGGCTGAGGAGGGAGCCGAAGGTGCTGCTTCGCGACAGAGCTGGCAAGGCGGGCTCCGAAACGCAGGGGCATAAACGGTATTTGATCCAGTCTTCCACGTTGTAAAAGTCGACACGGTATTCCTCCTTGGTGACTTTGTCGACAAAGCAGAAGCCGTCCTCCGGGAGGAACACGAAAGTGGTGCGCAACGAGAAATTCACCTGGGCCGTCAGGATCTTTTCATTGAGAAGGACAGCATCGCCGTTCCGCAGCGGCCCGAGGATGTTAATGCACCGCTGTGGAACGCCGACGTACAGGACCCCTGAGAAGAGCTCGGGCCGCTGGTTCACGGCGTGCCTGGTGATGAGACCTCCAAGGCTGTGCGCAATCACCAGAGCGCCCCGCTGTTCTTTGGGAACGTCGGGCTGGTTTGATGGCAGCTTTTCGAGGAACTCTACCAGTCTGCGCGATAACCGGTGCGGGCTGAGTCTCCAGTCGTAGCCATAGTCGTGGACCCTCAGCTTGCCGGTCTGGGCATTCTCGCACTCCTTCAACTTCTTGAAAAGCCGCTTTGATATGTCAACCGGGCCAATATTCTGGAGCATCCCGTCGGCAATAATGCTCTTCTCCATGTTCTCCTCGTCCTCAGGATCGAGTCCAACTTCCAGATTCACCTTTCGGACCCCCAGCTGAACTTTGACAGGAACCCACAACCGCCTGTGGGGTGGCTTGGCCGATCGGAGAATAGAACCCCTGTACCCGCCCATGATCACGACATCCCCAGTCAGCGTCTCCAGCACCGCGTCCAGGGGGTCTTGGTTCACGCGCTGGCCGTTCCTCGTGGCGCCTGACTGGTGCACACCAGGCAAAGGATCCGTCGCTGATTTCTTCAGCGGCGTGTGCAGCAGACCTAGACAGAGTAAGTCCTGTGGACCATGAGAATGAGCACAGCAAGGAAGACCTACTAGGCATTTGAGGCAGTCTGAACGACGGGCTATCGAAGCTGTCCATGATTGCCTTGATTCGCACATTAACCTGCTCACGAACGTGGGCAAAGCGTTCATCATCTCCCAGAGAAGAAACACGAGAGAGCGAGTGGTAGAGAAGGGAGTCATCGGAGGTCGTATGGCGGAGTGTTCGCGGCCGAGCTAAATCCGGCAAGATGGGAGCTGCGTGGGGAGATACGTAATCTCGAACCGGGGTAACGGATGGTAGAAGTGCAGCCGTCCGGGACTGCGATGTGCGCGCATCTTTATGCGGTGAGCTGGAGCTCGACGAGAAGAAAGTCGGCGTCGGGATGTTTGGGATCAACCCAGAGGGTATTGAGATGGACGGTAGGGCCTTTGACAGCCTTTTCAAGGCACCCTCCCCTGCCGAATGTGCGCGATGTTGCCTCGAGTGCGTTTGGAATGCTGCGGCCATAGATGACCTGAACCCGCCCGGTTCATTGAGGGTGGACTGCTTCGCCCCGGCCTGCCACAGCGTGGGAAGTCCCGAAGAAGACCGGCTTCCGGTCGAAGTCTCCAAGACGTTGGAAACACCTCCCACGATGGACACCGGCTGCGACCATCGAATTGGCTCTTCTTTGCCAGGCGTTCCCATGGGTCCACCTGCGTACTGGCGTTCAAAGGCGGCAGCTTTGTCGGCGGCCGGAATCCTCGGCGATGTGAGAAGGGTCGCCAGAGGGCCGATTGCTGGCTGCAGGAAAGATTGAGCGTCGTCTTGGTCAACGTCTAAGTCGTCTTCCTCGGCTCCATCTAAGAGTGCCGCATCATACTCTTTCACAGGGGGCTGTTCATCGGGCGGCATGAGGCCGACCCTGGGTGGTCTCCCCATTCCTTCCATTATATAAGAGGTGGTTGATGAAAACATTGTGATCAATACCGGGGTGGTGTGTGTATTTTCGCAACGTGAATGCGAAATCCAACTGGACGCCTGTGTTGACACCCAGGTTCCCCAGCACGATGCAGTTCTGACTTGGAACGAGCATTGGATTCCAGAACAAGATAAGGATTCCTGAGGACGGAAGCCAGCCTGGTTCCACAGAAGATTCTGAGGCGATGCAGCAAGCTGAGGCTCAAAAAAGGCTTATTCGGTAGCAAGTCCGGGTCGCTCGGAGCCTCGGGCGCCTTGCAAGGCCGGATCTCTGACCTTTGCTGGGGCCAGCTGGTAGGGATATGCGAGAAAAACGCCCCATCACGGCAGTGCAACCCGAAGAGGGATCGTCCCATCTCAATTGGAATCTTTTAAGGATGCACCCCGAATTCGTTGCGTAAAGCTAGGGCCTCATCCGCGTGTCACATATTCTCGGCCGAATGTACGTCTGCAGTTGGTGCGGTTTGTAAAGTGTCTGGCGTCATGGTGCAGCGTGGTTCAACATATTTCGTGACAATGCTATCGGAGAAATTTATCGGGATGGTTCCACTAGCCTCTCAAACGTCAGGTCAATCGCACATTTAGGGGCCTGCTACACCACATACCCCTAAAATGGCTGGTTGGCTACGGGGCCCAATTAGCATTCCATCTATCGTAGCCATGGAGAGGCACGCGCGCACACGGCAACTCTAGGAGGTAATAAAATCGTGACTCCAAATCCAAATCTGCGACGCGATTGATGATGCGGGCAATACGCGTTGAGTTGTTATGAGATCTATTCTTTCCTAGTATTCTCAAGGTGAGTATGTGGGGCTGTCCTGACATTTGAGGAAAGCCACAATCTTGGCGAACTGTACGGATCCGTACATATTTTTTGCCTTGTATTTTCGACAATGAAAGCTTGAAGAGAAATCATCGAGGAACTCTACGGCATATTGCCCTCATCATCAATCGCGTTGCAAATTTAGATTAGGAGCCTCGATTTTACCACCTCCTATAGTTACCGTGTGCGCGCGTGCCTCCCGATGGCTACAAGAAGTGGAATGTTATCTGGGCCTATGACCAACTCTATACCCTAGGGAGATAACCTGATATAGCCCAAAGAATGGGAACTGACAAAAATTGACTTGGCGTTTGAGAACGACAGCAGTTCCACATGTTTCCGGCCGACCCGTGCCTCCGTATCAGACCCAACCATCGGCCAAACATGCCACCTTCGGGGATCAGATGCAGTCGAAGTTAACTGGCCGCAGACCACGATGGCCGAGGCAGAGGCCCGACACGGAGCACACCATGCCCTTCAAATTCGTGCAGATGGCTGACCAGGAGTAGGGAGGATTGAAAAGGTGCCCTCGATCTCTTTGACTTTGTCCACAGACTTCTTCCAGCCAGGTTCTTCTGCCAGCCGCTCGATGTAGGCGTACAGTTTCGGGAATGTCTCCTTGAACGAGCCCTTTTGCCACCTTCCAATGCTGTCAAACGCATCCTCTTTTCCAGCGATAAGTGGATAAGCGAGCATCATGTCGGCGCCGGTGAGGTTGCAGCCGCACATGTAACTGCCATCGCCGGGCGACGTCCCTAAAAACTGCTCCATCATGGCGAAGTGCCGCTTCATGTTTGGGAATACAATCATGCCAATGAGCTGATTGGCAATGAGCGTCGTGATGGGCCGGACGAAGAAGGGCACGCTGTTCCCTTTCATTCCTGCCAGCAGCCTGTCAGCGCGTATATTAGGAGACTGGATTGCGGGCGACTTCCGTACCAGAGAGGATGAACTGAAGAACTACGGTAGACATGAAACTGCCCTCGATGTAGTACAGTAAGTACTGGTACCGCATCCATTCCTCCGTTTCACCTCCCACCTTGTGCTCCTGGCCATCTTTCCAGCGCCGAGGCACAAGCGATGCGCCCTTGGGGAAGTGATCGCACAAGTATTGCACAATAAACCCGCTCTCTGCGAGAACGATGGGCTCAGTAGCGCCAGGCGGTGTGACAGTGACCACAGGGGACTTCCCAAGGGGGTGGATCTTCTTGAGCTCGGGCGGCGCCATCATGCTCTTCTGACGATGGTAAATCTCCAGGTCGTATGGAACCTCGAGCTCCTCCAGCAGCCAGAGCATACTCTGAGCTCGAGATCCATTGAGCCTAAAGTGGTGTAAACAGCATGGCCGTCAGGAGGTGAGGGTGATGGAGCGCACCAATGCAGTTTGACCTTCGCCTCTTCCTCCATGGTCAAGACGGACAATTTACAACCTCTTTCAGGTCAATTTGAAGACAGAGGCCTGGTGGTGGCTCAGGTAACGTGGGATAGAAGACTGGGAGCTGTGATAACCTAGTTTGGCATGATCCTGCCAAGGCCCACCAGGTGATATGCCGAGGCACATCTCAAGCCGTTATGTACTTAGAAAAGCCCAGCTAAAAACTTCCTTCATTACCGCGAAAAGGCAATGCACAAGTAAAAAGAACCTAGAAAAGCAAGAGAAAAGAGACTGAAGCGACAAAATTGGTTTGCGGGTATCGCTATATTCTACTCCGTACGCACACTAAGGATTAAAAACTTGGGCGATTCCGTCGACTCGGATCTGTGTGACGATCGAGTCGGCCAGGTTCCAGAGAGCAACAGTGAGCGTTGCATAATCTGAACTCTTCTGAACACTCGTTCAATTCATCGTCAAAATGAACTCCTCTCTGTCGGAAGCCGAACGCTCTGAGACTCCGGTCCTTCATTTCCTGCCGACAATGATCTGGTCTGTGAGCTGGAGCACTTTTGAGCATTGCGTCACATGACTGCGCACGGCTCAGCTCCCCTTTTAGCACTCGACGCCAAGAATCAGCCGCTAGCCTGGACGGCACTTGTGGAACCTGGAAGCAACCGTTCACCTTGAACATCACCAGGCGAACCTCAAGCTGAAACCCGAGCAAACCCTCGATCGCGTCCCCTACCAGCCAATCCAAAATTGCCCGGGACATACGCTCACATATCAAGATGGCTGGCCTACCGCATAACAGTATGTCCCTCTTCAATTGGCCAGTGACTATGACCGAGCATCAGCTAACAGTGTCGCGCGCAATTAGAGGTGGCCATGGACCCGGCCCTTGTCAGGCTCGGAAGTACGTCGACTACCCCTTTCTCGTCTCCTTCCACCCTCTCGATGCATCAGCGACATGACGCCAGCCCGAAACTAACCTCCGGGCAGACATGATCCAAAACCGGTACAAGTACTTCAGGTGGACCAAGCGGACGGCGGGCATCACGTTCGTGTACGTCGCTGTCATTCCGACGATTATTGGGTACTTGGGTTATAAGACTGATGTGAGTCTTTCCGTCTATGACTTGGACGCCACGGGGTTGGGCGAACATCAATGGGATACTTGGGTCCTTTGGAATCGACGAGACGGATGCTGACTTGGTGGTGGTAGGGATTGTGGGATATGCGGGCAAAGCGGAGGGGCGATATCATGGCTGAGCGCTAAGAATAAGAGGTAAATATGGGAGGGATGTATATATGCTGTGCGGGATTAAGAACCGGGGATCAGGACTCTCAGTCGAATTATACCAATTCATCACGCCACGAGTTGGCGGGCCCGTGACCGGAGCATACTTCAAGCGTGGAGGTTCCACCCGCTATCTTCGGAGATGCGCGAGGTCAGCGAACCCGCATGCCTGGGGTCACGCTGAGGTTGTTTCGAGTTCAATACCGCCCGGCCGTTGCAGACATGGCCCAGGTTCGAAGCGGAACCCGGGGTCAGAATCACAAACACCAGGAAGCATTTTGCTGTGTGATTATTCGTGACGTATTCAGGTATCCGCTTGCCTGAATCCTCAGAGGGTATTAATGTTGTCCATCTCCTGAGTTATGCCCACGCTTTCCATCAACTCGGCCGGAGGCCCTTCTTTCCGAGTCCGTAGTTTCGTTTGGTTGTTCTCTCATACCAATACCACCCTCAACATTCAGCGCCTTGTTCTTCCCCCCCTAACCTTCACTCAAGCTTTACCAACTTAGGTGGACGGCCCGGGTTGCTGTAACCTGCTGGTTCACTATGACATATAGCGAAGCGGCGAATCTCACACGCGTTTCCTCTGTATGTGGTTGACTTTGTCCCTCGGACCTCTCCTGAGCGTCCGGCATCCTACCTCGACCACCGCCCACCCTTTGGGATACCTTCAGGCAGCATATCCCCTCTCCTCCATTCCCCCTCCGGCACCCCACCACCACCACCTCCCCTCCCAAACGGCTCGTCCCAAACCCGAAACCTCCCCTCGCCATAACCCCACGAACCACGCCGACCACCACCGCCACCCCGCAACCCCCTCCCACGTAATCCGCCCGGCGGCGCATCGCCACCCCGAGGGACCCTAGTCTCTCCCACTCCGGCCCCACGGCCCGTCCTAGCACTGCTCGCGGGCATCACGTCCCCCGTGACCTCGTCCGGCGGCAGGATGGCGCAGCTGAGCAAGTCGCCGGTGATGAACCTGGCATCGGCCAGCGTCACATCCTCGCTAGCAGCATCGGGCTCGTCGTCGGGCACGCCCTCGTCCGGTCCCGCGCCGGGCCCGCCCCTCCCCAGCACCACGGTGCCCAGGTCCTTGGCCACGTACCGCGGCCGCGGCCGCGGCATGTGGGGGCGGTCTATTCTGTTTGCGGAGGCCCGTGTGTCAACGTATATGAGGCGGAAGCAGATGCGGGTGCCTATTGCGGGGGAAGGGAGGATTGAAGGGGAGGCGTCGAGGAGGTGGTGGGATAGCTCTAGCAGCGTGCAGTCTGGCCAGGTGTGGAGGGAGAGGTGCGGTGGGAGGGATGTTTGGGAGGTGTTGAATTCATCTGGTCTGGCAGAGTAAGTGTGAGTTCAAGTGATGGTTGATGGAGGTTACCCATGGAAAGGAGTTACCTGTGGAAGGCGCCTGTGCGGTAGAAGAGCTTCAGGTGGAAGGGCGGCGTTTCGGCCCTGTTGAGCCCGCCTGTGCTCATAGCGATAGCCGTATGGATGGGTGACGAAAAAACGAGGGGGACTATTTTAGACTGAGTTTTGTGTGTAGACCGCAGTGCATCGAAAGACTTCAGGTTTAAGGAGAAAGATGGGAATGTGAGAGGTGTCGGTGGTTGAGGGCCGGGTTGAAGGGTCGGGAGCTTTCATTTGCCTGCCGAGAACCGCAGCTTAACGTTAAGTGGGCCCAGCCTCGAGCTACGCATGCATTTTAGCGAGGCGAGGCGGTCTTCCGCAGGCTTCCAGGACGTTTGGTCCAAACCGCAACTTTCAATTCTTTAGAACATTCATCTAAAACAACTGACTAGTCGCGCCATCCCCTCACTTCTTCTGGCTCTACCGACCAGCGAACACTCCCAAACCGAGGATGGACTTCGAGTCGCTAATGTCGAGCGAAATCGCAAAGGCCAAAGCTCCCTCTAAACCCGACGCCCAGGCGCCAGCAGACAGAAAGTACATCTCCCGGCGCGAGGCCGAAGAAGCGCGCAGAGCCGCCTATCTCGCCGAGCAAAAGCGCCTCGAGGAAGAGCGCGCCGCCAAAGCGGCTGCCAAGCGCAAGCGCGAGGAGGAAGCCGCCGAGGAGGCACGCAGGCGGGAGGAGAAGCGGCGCAAGTTGGCCGAGGAGATTCGACTGAGGAAGGAGGCAAAGGAGGCCGAGGAGGAAAGGGTGAGGCGGAAGCGGTTGGGGCTACCCGAGCTGCCTCCGACCAAGGAAAACAGCGAAGGGGGTAAGGAGGAGGCTGAGGAGGAGGAGGACCTGGGCGACGAGGAAGAAGGGGATGTTCCCGAGGAGGAGCTCCGCAAGAAGTTGAGGGAGTTGAATGAGCCCGCGATACTATTTGGCGAGAGCCATGCTGCGAGACTCAGGCGATACCGCAGGGCCGCCCGAGGTGGGGCGTTGACCGCTAACGGACCTATCGCGACGACCCTTGCGCCGGTCGAGGAGAAGGACATGAAGGTTCCTGACAAGATCCCACCCGCGTCCAACAAAAAGGCCCGGCGATACCTCTACAGACAGCTCGCGTCATACTTCAACATGGTCCTTCGCGAGTGGGAACTGGCGTTGGCGCGCGAGGACAATGCAGACACATTTGCCGGCCAAGCGGCGCGGAACGCCATGATATCCAGCAAGGAAACGATGCGGCCGCTCTTCCGCAAGTTTGAGCAGGCCGACCTGGACGAGGGCATCCTCGAGGCCATAGTCGAGATTGTCAAGGCTGCACAAGAGCGGCGCTATGTCGACGCCAACGACGGGTACTTGCGCCTGAGCATCGGTAAGGCAGCTTGGCCGATTGGCGTTACCATGGTGGGCATCCATGAACGCAGTGCGCGCGAGAAGCTCCATGGAGGTGAGAGGGGCCATATAATGGGCAGCGAGGTGACGCGCAAGTACCTGCAGAGTATCAAGCGGTGCTTGACGTTTGCCCAGGTTCGCTGGCCACCCGAGGATGTCAGGCAGTTGATGGGTTGATGAGGCCGGAAAGAAGCAGGATAATCCCGTGATACCTTACGAATAGACACACTTGTCTGATGCCATCCTAGGACTTCGGTGCCATGTTCTGCAGCTGAAAGTAGCGTCTTTTCCGATCCCTACGTTTCCCTCCTCTGTCAGGGAGTTAAGCATCCTGTTTTCCCGGCATTGGTATGTAACGCCCTCGCTCTTCCGTACGTGATCGTTTTCACATGCTGCATGTCACACAGGGTGTGAACCGAGCCGTGCCACACGCTGCGTCGTCATCTCAGCACGGCCAAACCCATTGATATCCTCAAACCGACCTGAATGGTTCCAAAGCGCCCTCCAACTTCCTCGCAATGCAATGACAAATCATCAACTCATCCTCTTGAAGGATCACAGTTCCAGTGACTCCTCGATCATGAAGTCTGCTTGGTTGCTGGGAAAGGCGCCCATTTTCTTTCCTCCCTTGAGCTCGAGCTCCGCCGCGGCGAGTCCCATACGCCTGAGGCGGTCAAGAGCCTGTTTCTCGTAATTCTCTGCGGCCCGGAGTGCCGAGTACTGCATTTTCGCTCTCGGATTGGCCGCCTTGGTAGTGACCAGCTGAGTGGAGTTCAGTACACGCTGTAACGCAACTCTGAAGCGGGGCGGAACGAGGATTTACCTTGTCTATGGTGTTGATCCTAGCCTCGACTGCGCCCGACTGAATCATGTCGGCCAGCTCGTCCTCGATGCCCTGATCCGGGCCACCAAAGGCCTTGTTCATGGTATCCAAGCTGACACATGAGAACGGGATCAGGTACTGGATGATGCATTTGCTCCGGATCTGAGAGTAGATGGCCGCGACGTGCTTTTGAAGGTAGATGTCCAGGAGACAATCCGGGCGGTACGACTCGAGAATGGCAATGCACGCGGAATATCTGCCGCTGACGAATTGGGTAACAGCTCGGCGAATGTGCGGGGCCTGCTCGAGGAAGCTTCGAAACTGCGAATTGTCAAGAACTTTGCTCTGCAGCTCGTTTCGGTCCATGGATGCCAGAGCAAGGAGGCCGCCATAGACGGCGACATCGCTCTGACTGGCGACTTCACTGTAGGTTGATGCTGTGATAGTCGAGTCGGCTGAGAGAAAGCTGAGTGCGGCATCTTTGAACCTTTCTTGCCCTAGAAGCGCAATTCCCTGAGCAATTCTGAGGTATGGCTGGACGGCCTTTTCCTCCTCTGCGTGTTGAGCACCGCCCATCTTGCTGAGGTGGGCGCTCACCATGCCCCATTCACGCCGCTGTATCGACACACGAACCAGGTGCCTCCCGACGTCGAGAAACTGCTTGGGAGTGCTGACATCGGGCCTCATCTTTGAATATGTCTCGGCCGCGGCATTAAGGTCGCCGATGCTCTCGAGATGCTTGGCAAGGTCTTCATTGCCCATCTGTCGCAAGAGATTACGTCGTTAGCAACATGGTGACCCTCTCTGCGACCTGCCCCGACTTACCCGAATGCTCTCCTTGATGAGGTTGTTCTTGTAACCCTTCAATTCCGTCAACAAGCGGTTCGTCTCGATCTGATTGGCCGCCTCTTGCGCTTCCAGCCATGCCTGGTCGAAGGTGGCCTCCGGTTCCGAAGGTGCCGCAATTCGCAGACACTCGACCGCTTCCCTATATCTCTGGGTATCTTTACCACGCTTGGCTTCGGCAATCGCTGCTTTCAGCGCATCGACACACAGCGGCACTGAGCTGCGCCCGATGAGAAAGAGACGGTCGAACCGGGTGCGACCTGTCGTACCATTAGCCCTGAAGCCACAGAGCACTTGTTCGCGCGACTTCGCATTTGTTCACCTTTGTAATTTTGAATATAAAGATCGAGATCGAATTTTGGAGGGTCTGTCCGAGAGCCCAAGTTAATCGCCGATATTCCTCGCGCTGATAGAGGCTCTCGTTGCGGGGTGGACGGGACATGGGTTAAGGTGATTGTGCGCCTGACATACCTTTGACAATAATCCCGTCTTGGCTGTCCATGATGGTGAAAAAGGCGAGCAACGAGTCCGCCATTTTGCCCGTTCTCAGGAGGAAAATCGGTCGTTGTGAGGGCAGGCAAGGCTGCGACCTGAGCTGGGCAAGCTCTCCAGCTGGTAAGGCTGAATGTGTGAGCGGGTAGGCAAGTGTAATGGTGGGGTAAAACAGTGGGGCTTCAATCTGCTATCTGTCACCGTCGCTTGCTCTCTCAATTTGGAAGATGACAGGAAGGGAGCTTTGTCAGTCACGATGCGGAGAGCTGACGGCCAAAACTACCTTGACGGATGGGGGTCTCAGAACAGGCTGTTGCAAGACTGTTTTGGCTGGAACGGATTACTGGTGACAGAACTGGCAGAACCTGGGCCTCACAAATTGGAAGCAAGATATTCTTGCCCACATTCCAAAGTACCTTTCCAGACTATTCAACCAACAGTAATTCAATGCAAGAACAGTTCTCCTTTAGCGGGTTGGATTTGCTAAGGTTAATATTCTATTTCGCAGATAGCTAGACTACCTAGGCTCTAATAGCTGTTATATTCTGAGCCTAGAGTATCACGGCGGGACAGGCGGACAATCCAATGACAATTGTATTCAGGCTAAGCTACAGTCTAGGCTCTATTCCGTCAGGTACGGGCAGGCTTAATTGTCAAGACGTAGCTCGAGGAGCTACGAACAGAACTCGCGGCAGCGAGGTGCAGGATCTTCAACTACAGAGGCCGGTGCTTCCCACACGCCGGGCCCCACCCGTGGGTCCTGGCAGGCGTGGCGCAATCGCCGTAACATAGAGTGGGGTATATAGACTGCAACTTCCTTTCTTACTCTCTTATATTATCTCTGTGACGGCCTTCGAATTGCCCATGGCGGCACCTGCCATTGAGTGCACGTGCTTCACCTGCTCATAACTATAGTATATATAGTTAATACCTACCTCTTAACTTCAATTTACTCATATATATATATTTATTTATTAGGTATTTATTTAACTAATTATCAGGATTTACTTACATATTAAATACTCTTTCACTTTTACTTTCTTACTTCCTTTATTCTATATTTCGCTATACTATATCTTACTTCTATAGTTAGTTATTCCTTTCTCTTTTCTACTTATTTAACGTTATACTTATTTTTTATTCCTATTCTTTCAGTTCTCCTTTTGCCTGTTTGTTAAATTTCCTTTCACTAACTTCATCAAGTCTCAACATTTCAAATTATCCGGCACTCACCGTGTCCCTTGCTAACCAGCAAAGTCAGTGCTGGTCTGATATTAGATCGGCATCCTCTAGTGGGAAGTGGTAAGCCTGAGTTAGAATAGAGAAGTTCAGGCGGTAATTGGTCCCTTGAAATCAAGTTTGGCCAAGCCGAGATCAAATCGATATTCAAGCAGTCGGATCGTTTTCGGGCTTTCTTTGATTGCCTATACCGACACTGGAGTAGTTAGATCCATACAAATCCCATTTTGCCGAGAATCAGCCTGCCCGGCTCATCCTCCGGGAGTCCCAGAAAGGAATTCAAGAACGCCGTCTCTGCAAAGAGCGAGCGCGATGGGACTCCTGAGATTCGTGCCTAGGACCATCTGTCCACCAGCGCAGCCACATTACAAACGGTCCTTTCATGCCTTATATTCCCTGCCACATCGTCGCGCGGTGCTGCGCTCCGAATCGCATCCCTTGTACTCCAGTATCTTAGTCACGGCAACAGGGCCAAGCCCGTCCGGAAAAGTCTGCTCTGCTGGGGCCTTGCCCACACACTGTGCATGTTTGGAGAGATCATGACCTGATTTTGGACGGCGAAGACCCTTGGCTCCACCCTCCGCATGCCAAGAGACGCGCTATGACGTATACCAAGCCCTCTAGCGAGCCCCTGGCTTCCCCACCCTTTCTCAGATCTCCAATGTCCGTTTCCCATATTCTGCACCCTCTGGACGCGCTTTGTCAAGGAATTGACTGAGCCGCCGCAGGTTGTTGCTCAAAATACGCATCCCAATTTGACGGCTCAGGCATCCGTGAATGTCCTGCAGCCGCGAACCCCTTATTTCTAAGGTACTGCTGCGCACCTTGACGCACCTTCCAAGTGGATGGCAGCACCGGCATTCGATGGCTCCCTCCTTCCCACCAGAGAAAGGCAGGTCACAATAACCGCCCTCTGAGGTCTCCGGTGGAGCCCGGTTCAGTTTGCGCAGTGGTCCACAGTATCCATCTGCCCCCTTCATCACTGAAGGGGTCCGTCTTTCCCGACTCGAAGGAGACCGGTCGTCACGTTTTCTGTATCCGTAACCCTGTTGTTCCACCGAGCCATTCCTGTTCCTAGCGTGTCCGTCCAACCCGGGAATAACGTGAAATGGAAGGACGCGGAGCGCAGGCTACCACGGTGAACACGCCCAACGTCCACGCTCGAGCCATGCACAAGAGTCAGCACAGACAGAAAGACGGTGGATGGCTCTCGGCTTCGCGTATCCATCCTCAAGAAAGGCCCAGAATCTGCAAGTGCTGTTCCGCCCCAGACCATTCTTCTCCCGTTTGAGGAATTCCTGTGCACCGATGATGTGACATAGCTCTGCCCGACAACCGCAGACGCCAGGGACACCGAGTCTCGCGCACATTCCACCAGGAGATGCCAGAGTCGAATTTAGGATGTTGAGGCAGCCCAGCAACATGGGGCTACGTGACCCTGCAATATCGAAACGATCCCAGCCCCCCTCGTGGATTTGCACACTATGGGTCCGCACCCGACGGTTAGGGTTCATCCCACAGGCACGGAGGCTGAGGTCCTCCCTCCGAGGAGGTCGAGCAAGGCACCACCGGTAGGCTGTATAGACGCACCATATACAAGCGGTCCAGTACTGCACTGCTTCCCCACAAGGTTTCCAACACATCTCCCTCCACCCAACCACAAAGCGGTCACTGCCGATGCTTCGAGTTCACACGGAGTCCGTCCCTTGGCGGTTTATACGCGCTTTTCGTACCCTGATCGTCGTGGGCATTTCCCTTTTCTTACCAGTCTTCTGTCCCAGCTCTCGCCAAACCGAGCGCTCATCTGTGCCTAGTGTCCTGTGCTACGCCACTCTCGGGTTGACACTTTCTTCTCCCTCCTCCTCCCGTTGTCCTTCTTTATTCACACAGTGGCTCCCGAAATAGGATCCTGCTGATAGCGGGGTCCACAACTACAGTCCATACGTTGCTTTGCTGCCCTTCTGCAGTCCATACCTGCTTCTGCGACCCAACCCCTGCCCACTTCCCCGTCCATCCACTCGGCCGCTGTGAGCTCTCAGCCCAGCGCTTTCGAGCGGAGCGTTCCCGGGAGGAACTGGAGCTGGGGTCTCGGGAGACAGGGTGTCGACTTAAACGGGGAAAGTCCTCGCTCCGTAGATTCACCCCCTCCCGGGTCGGGAATCGAGGATTAGCCTGGTCACCCATGCGGGCTCTTAACCCTCGCGGAATATCACCGGCTTTGTCACAGTCCCCTAAACAACTCCTGGTACCCAACAACGACTCTCCTGGCTCCCAGTTGCGGCGTGTTCAAAGGCCTTACCGACACGTCGCTCCTCGAACAAAACATGAGCATGGGATTCTGAGACTTCGTCGAGACGGGGAAACAGACAGACCTACGCGGAAAGAGTCAGCTGGATATTGCCGAGCACCCAACGCCCATCCACATCCGCAGCGTAGCCATGCCGGTCCCGGCTCCCGACGGCGCCTCTGCTCGCCCAGCCCGGCCGGCTCCACGGCAACCGCGTTATGGGCCGGCCAGCAGTAGCACGAGGAAAGCGGCCGCTCCATCCAGGGCCACTGATTCCCGGAACAGCCCAGATGTGTCGGATGAAGACTCGGCTGAAATGTCCCAGGACGAGATGGCGTCCCCCTCCGATGGCACCAAGTCACCGGCCCAGTCTTCCGTCAAGCCCGAGTCCGAGGATGCGTCGGGGATACAAGACGGTGTTGATGATACACCGAGAATGCCCATGCATAAACGCCGTAGAGTAACGAGAGCGTGCGACGAGTGCCGCCGGAAGAAGATCAAATGCGACGGCAAGCAGCCTTGCACACACTGTTCCGTCTACAGCTATGGTAAAAACGACCTCAACTTTCTCCTTGCTTTTCTCGGCTTCGCCCTTGGTTCAGGCCGACTGACTGGTATGCAGAGTGCACATACGACAAACCGTCTAACCGCCGCAGAAACCCTGCGCCCCAGTACATCGAAGCTCTAGAAGCCAGGCTCCAGCGAGCCGAGACTATGCTGCGCAAGTTCATGCCGGAAGTTGATCTTGCCGACCCCAACCTGGACCCGGCAGTCCAGCAAGAGTTTCGCAACAGGGAGAGGGCGAGGGCGAAGGCCATGGAGCTCAAGCGGGAGGCAGCAAAGGGAGAGCAAGGGGACAGCCAGGACGCCCAGATCATGTCTATGATAGAGTCGATTGGCCAGCTAGAGATCAAAGAGAGCGGTGAATGGGACTTTCACGGCATCTCTTCGGGAGCTGTCTTCCTCGGGCGGATGAAGGAGCATTTCCAGACGCTGTTGGGAAACGAATACCGCATCCCCTTCTTGCCCCGGCCAGCCGTGCCACCCGGCTTGTTCAGCCTCGACTCGCCGAAACCCAGTACCAGCTCGCCATGGGATGCTTCGAGTGCGTCGGCCATATACAACCTCCCTCCGATCGACAGGGTCCGCACGCTCTGCTACTACTCGCTAGACTGTGCCACCTGCCTTCTCCGAATTGTACACCGACCGTCCTTCTACGAGATGGTCGACAAGCTTTACTCGACGCCACAGAAGTCTTGGGGTAACGAGGAACACCGGTTCTTGGGCCTGTTGTACGCAGTACTGGCGCTCGGTTGCGTGTACAACGTCTCTGAAGACCAGGCTTCGGAGCCGACTGTGACTTACAAGTTGGCCGTCAAAGAAGGGTGAGATCTCCCGTCCCTGTCGCCCCCTTGACCTTCGGCGTTTTCCAAAACTCGTCTGACGTTTGCTGTGGTCCAGGGTCAAGTATTATACATCAGCACGGCTGATCCTGCAGGACGTCGCCGAATGCCGGGATATGGCCTCTCTTCAAGCGCTCGTCTACACAATACTCTTTCTTCAGGCGACCTCCCACATCAGTGACTGCTACGCATTCCTCGGCATTGCTCTTCGGTCCTGTCTGCGCATGGGCCTGCATCGTCATCTCCACCACGACAAGATTACTCCGATCGAGGACGAGACCAGGCGGCGCGTGTTTCACGTCGTCCGCCAGCTGGACTTGTACGTCTCGGCCATCCTGGGCTTCCCTCTGCTGCTTCAGGATGAAGACGTCGATCAACCGTTACCAACCGAGGTTGATGACGAATACATCACCAAAGAAACGATCCGCATGCCGCCGCCGGGCACCCCGTCAGTCTTCCAAGCGTTCAACGCGCACAACGATCTCATGAGGATACTTGCAAAGGTGGTCAAGGACATCTACCCGCTCCGGGCGATGGGGGACAGCGCTCAGGGGCAGCAAACCAACAGGACCTTCATGATCAGCTACTCTCGGATTCAGGCGATCGAGACGGAGCTCCAGGAGTGGCAGTCCCGGCTCCCTGACTACTGGCGACCGAACCATGACGGTCCCGTTGAGGTTGTCCGGTATGCAATCCGGTCATGAACCAGCTTCTACGCTACGATTAGATGCTAACAATACGAATCCTGCCAGCATTCGCACACTCCTCCGGTTCGGATATGCCCATGTCCAGATGATGCTCTACAGACCGTTTCTCCACTACATTTCGCCACGACTGACGGCGGGCAAGAAGATTGAAGACCGCTACTACAACTGTGCAGCTGCGGGGATTACCGTGTCTCGGAATATCATCCTCGTTGCGCTCGAGATTCAGAAACAGGGGGTCCTCATCGGGCCATACTGGTTCATCCTGTACACCGAGTTCTTCGCCATCCTCTCCCTCCTATTCTTCGTCTTGGAGAATCCCGACAAGCCAGGGTCCGCCGAGATACTGGCGGATGCGAAAGCAGGCAGGGACGTGATCGCAAGCCTTGCAAAACGAAGTCTGGCGGCTGACCGTATCACCACTGCTCTCAACGTAGGTCTTCATCCCCGGTGCAAGGATACCGTCAAGATTCTGATGCTAACCATCTCTAGCCCCTCTTCGAGCAGCTGCCAGACGAAGTGCAGAAAACCACGACCCGGCCAACACCGACAAAGAAGCGATCCGCCCCGACTTCGGCCCCCACGCTGACCCCGGCTCAAGGATCAAGGGCGGGCAGCGCGGCGTCAGCGACTCGTCCAAACTCCAAAGACGAAATCCCGCAGCGCAGGTCAGAGGAGGTCGTTCGCCCGCCCATCGGGCTGCTTCGGCGGGAAGCACGGGCGCCTCCCCAGAGAGCCACGTCTCTGGATACCGTTGAGTTTCAGCACGGCAGTCTGGCAGGACAGAACTTCACCAGTTTTCACGACATCATACCTATGAACATGCCCCTCTCCGCGCCGGTTTCCGATTCCAGCGGCCCGCAGGGAACCGTTCACAGCCATGCCCAGGGCTTCCAACAAGGACAAGTGGCAGGCGGGCCAGCCAGCTCCCTGTACAAAATGGACGCCATGATGTTCCCCTCCGAAGACCCGTTCGCTTATCCAAACCAGCCACTGATGGACCCAGCCAGCCATCACCACCACCATCCAGGCAGCCAAGCACCACCACAGTCGGGAGCGGGCGGCGGCCCGTCCCACGATGCGATGCAGTTCTACATGCCGGACATGTACGACGGGATCGAGGGCCAGCTCCTGGAGCCGATCCCGTCGTATCTGATCCAGCACGGGCAGAGTCAGTCGCACCACGGCCTGGACGCGGCAGCGCAGACGTACAGCACGCCCGATCTCTTGGCGATGCACCAGGGCCATGGCGGTCCGCAACAGTACCATCAGCAGATCTCGCAACACCAGCAGCAGCAGCAGCAGCAGCAGGGGGCCATGATCGATGAGATGCAGACAGATCAAGGTTTTCGAGGGGGCAACTGGGGCGACATGATGGGCCATACCGGGTATCGGTGAATGGATCTCCAAGAGAGACGACTCGAAGGAAATGGGAAGTTTCAAGTTGAACATCCCAGATTCCAGAGAGGAGGAGGAAGTCAGCTGTACCGCTGGTGGATGAATACCGCCTCAGCAGAGCTGGAGGCATCGACGCCTCGCTACTGCACTAACCGACAAGACAACCGTCCGTGTGATAAATGAAGGGGGAATTGAAGGCCAGGCAGGTATGGTCAGATTGAGACACCAAGCGGCGATTTTCTGCATTTTTGATACAGCGGGTGACTCAACGCTCGATGCTCTCCATGAGGAATGTACGGAGCGACATGAATGGGAACTGGCTCTGGAGAGTGGTGCTTTGGACACATTGATATCGGTCGGATAAGATAGAGGATGTCGGGTTGATTGGGGAAGGGTTCGGGATGGGTTGGGGAACAACACAACAAAGAAGGGGCATGATGGGTCCTTACGAGCAAGGGCTTTGCCATAGAATGACGAAAGCAAGTGAACAGATGAAAGCATTTATTAACCAAGGAAGTCAAAAAACGTGGGGATACTTGGTAGTGATGTCGACAGAAAGATCTTCAAGTTCCCTTCTGCGATAATTCATCCCTTTATCGGAACGTGTGCTCGTTGAGGCACCCGGTAATTATATAGTATTTAACGTTAACTAGCTTATCAATTATCAAAGTATTTGTACGCACAAACTCCAGGGTGCAATTACCATCACACCATCTAGCGCGTGGGTAATACCCAACGGCCGGCAGTTGATTGATTCTTGAATATAAGGCAGCACATCGCCGCACTTAGATTGTGCGCTGCTCAGGGCCTGCTGAAATTCAAGCTGTTCCAAGATCAGTACCGCTTACCGAGTAAGGAAGGTTACATGATACGTAAGGTATCCGTACCAGATAACAAAGATCCCCCGATCTACCTTATGTGGGTACCGTAACCCGGGTGCATCGCCGAAGACTCCAAAGGCAGCCCCAACAGATGACTTCAGTGCAGGTCTCGTGCCTCTTCATCTGCACTCGCCTTTACGAGGAGCTTACGTCCGCCCCGGCTTCGATGAGAATTCAATTCACATTTACTTTGAGCAGGTAACTAGGGGAACAACTTTATCTACTGGCTGCTCCTTGATTTCCACTCTTTCAACCATCGACTCGCGAGCCATTGTCAGCTGTTGGTTTCGCAACTTGGAGCGACCCTGACGCTATAATTTCTTGTGGTTCTTGTTTGTTTTTGCGGCGCGTTTTGCTGCTCGAGCGGTGACCACCTGACAACTGTCAGGTTGCTGTTGTTCGAAGCCGAGGCAAGCCTTCGGGGAGTACAAAGTACAGGTATCTCCACGGGCAGGGCCATCATCGCACTCATTATCAACCTAGAAACGAGCAGATCCCCATAAAGCTGCCAACATAAATAAGTAAGATGGGGGATTCTTACCACTTGGTCCCTGTGGACGAATTCGAGGCGCTGTGAGTTGGCCATGACGTGGATGAGTTTGATGCTCGAGAGCTCGCTGATCTTCGTAGGTCCATTGAGGTGAAGCCCACCTCACCGCCGCAGCAACGGTCCAAGAGAACCGAGAAGAATTCCGCGTGCTCCCCGAGTGATTCCAAAGAAACTGCTTCTACAAACACCAAGACGCCGAAAATCATTGATCATCTTGATGTGCAATGGCTGTATAAGGACTTGGGCAAGTATCCAGGTATGCCTCTGGACCCCTTGGAGTCAAGTTCATGTCCCTTGGAAACACCGCGTTCTAACGAGCCGTAGCCAAAACACATGCTCGGAAGGTTGCTAAAGAACTGGGCGTGAACTGCGGTGTCGTGTACCTCGTCGGTCAGGAGGAGAAACTCTATGAGGACTCGGACCAAGGCCCCGAGTTCCGCCAGCGAAGATAGTATGGTCACGCTGGCCTCGAAGTACAACGCACTGCTGGATTCGGAGCTGACACCACCTTAGCTTTTACTACATTACTGGTGCCGACTTCCCGGGATGTGCCGTGACTTACGAGATCGCCGCCGACCGGCTTGTCCTCTGGATCCCGCAGATAGAACCCCGGAAGGTGCTCTGGTACGGAAGGACGCCCACCCCCAAGCAGTGCATGGACGTCTCGGAACTGGACGATGTGCGCTACATCAAGGACCTCAATCGGACGCTCCTCGCCAAGGTCCAACCGGGTACCATCATCTACGCCCTGCACCCGGACCAGGCTCCAAAGCTCGTCGAACACCGCAAGGGGATTGTGCAGATCGACACCATCAAACTCAAGCCGGCCATCGAGCGTGCCAGGGTGATCAAGACCGATCATGAAATTGCCCTAATCCGGCGGGCAAATGCGGTTTCCGTAAGTCTCTTCCCCCTTTTCTCCCCGTTTTTTCTTTCTTCGTTCAACGCTCTCTAACCTCCACTTCCCCCAGAGCGCCGCCCACAAAAAGGTCCTCACGCTCGCCAAATACCAACACAACGAGCACGACATCCAAGCCATCTTCGCTGCCTACTGCATGGCCCACGGCGCCAAACGCCAAGCCTACCCGATCATCGCCGCCTCCGGCCCCAACGCTAGCACACTGCACTACACCAGCAACGACGCGCCCCTCGACCCCAACCACGTGGTTGTCCTCGACGCCGGCGCCGAGTGGCGCTGCTACGCCAGCGACGTCACGCGCACTTTCCCCCTGTCGGGTTGCTTCCCCTCGCGGCAGGCGGACGCCATCTACCGCGCCGTGGAGCGCATGCAGGAAGAGTGCATCGAGCGCGTGGCGCCCGGCGTGCCGTTCTACGTGCTGCATCTGCACGCGTGCGTCGTGGCGGCGACGGCGCTGTTGGAACTGGGCATCCTGCACGGGGGGAGCGTGGCCGACATTCTGAATCGGGGCACCGTTGCCGCGTTTTTCCCGCACGGGCTGGGGCATCATGTTGGGTTGGAGGTGCATGATGTGTCAGGGAGGGAGAGGCTGTTGTTGCCGTCGGTGTTTGGGGAGTGGGAGGAGGTTTCCGGGATTGGGCGTGGTCGGGGAAAGGTGTCGTCGAAGCGGGAGTTTGTTGGGCCCGAGCAGCTTGCCGCGCTGTACCAGGAGTCGTTGACTTCGGCGCTGGTTGACTGTGCGCTGACCTCTGAGGAAGGGGAGGCGGCGAATGCTGGCGGAAGGCAGACGCTGGAGAAAAACATGGTTGTGACGATCGAGCCAGGGATGTGAGTTCTACTTTTCTTTCACATCTTGCCTTTGGAGGTTCCCCGAGCGGGGGGGGGGGGGGGGGAGGGTTTAGGAGGGGGAAGGTGCGATGACACTGACTGAACGTGACCCAGCTACTTTTGCCGCGAGTACATTGAGGGCTACTTTGTGAACGATCCGGCTCATTCCCGATACATTAACAAGGAGGAGCTCGATAAGTACTGGGACGTCGGCGGAGTCCGTATCGAAGACGACATCCTTGTTACGGACAAGGGGTACGAGAACTTGACATGGGCGCCCAAGGGCTTCGAGATGCTCAAGGAGGTCGAGGAGGCCCGGCCCTTCTGATAAGATGGCATGTGGCGAGGGGATAGGAGGTGGACTTATGCCTTTTTCATCATGTGGGGGGTATATATTATTATTCCTACACCGCTGTGCCCTCGGGCTTGCCGGACCTTCAACAACTTACTATACAGGAAAACCGCGCCCTCGTGGGCCGGGTGAAAAACCCATATCGACAATCAAGGAAACGATCAGT